TTCGGGCTCGCCATAACCAGGTGAATGGAGTAACTGGATCGACTACGATGGGTTAGTGTAAGATTTTAGGTTGCCCTGCGCTGCTATTCTCCTAAGATATTCCTTCTGCCTCCCTGTATCAAGGTGCTTGTTATTCTTGGGAAATGTGCTGTTAGCTAGACCATGTCGTCTCCACCTCTCTGGTGTCCTTCCGCCCCCACGGGGCCTTGGACTAAGAGCTAAGGGAATACGCTAATAGTGTATGTCAAGCGACGCTTTGAAATTATTGATAAGTCCGTGGAACAACGGTATCGAGCGAGTCAAAATAGTAGGGCTTCCCATCGAGGCTATGGATTCGTCCGAAAGAGTTTCCCGAGAACCAGAGCTAATTTCCATTTAGGTGGGTTTGGCAACTTTTAATACACGATAGACCGAGACAAGGATATCCCTTCCGACCTAAAACAATGAATTCCCGCTCGAGAGAAAGCTGACCTAAGGATATTTGCCAACTTTTTGATGTGACTTGCGTTGTTCTGGAAATAATTATGTTAACGGTTGAAAACTGATTTTTGCGTACCCAATAAAAGCAGTATTTCCGGAATTGCAATAAAAATATTTTGATCATTGAATAATTATATGCCATTATATTGTTACGTGTTAAGCGATGTTTGCAATAACCCTGGCTAATAAAAAGCAAGCATTAATACAGGATAAGAACGTGAAGCAATTCACCAAGGACTACATTTTACAAAGCGTTAAGTTCACAAGTCTTAAAAGTGTTACTATAAAGACCAATATTAACACAACTAGATCAAAGCCATAACAAACTCTAGATATTCAGAGTAATTATGAAGATTGGAGATTGAGTTACTTACTCCCATAATGACATTATGGCTTCTTAGTGACTTCCATGTCTCTTAGTTAATGATCGAAGCGTGCCTTCCAAAGACGATGGCTATGACATATGGTTGAGAATGCCGAATGTATGCTACTATTCACGGGTATTTACTTGCTATTATATTACGAGGTACAATCTTTACGTAGTTCTTCTGCTGGAACATATCCTAAAGTGAATTAATCTCTCTAAGCTATAGGGAAGATTGGGACAGGTAGAATTACTACAACGAGGCTGGTATTATGCCCAAAGGCCTAGCCTTGTAGGGCTAAACACTGCTGCTGTAGGTAGCTTACAACCCCCTAAGTCATAATACAATAACTTGTTCTTATTGCGTACTACTTCTGTAAAATTCGCTCTAGTCCTTCTATATTCAAACCACTACAAGATCTTTTACAGAGGAATTTGTCCCTCCTAGCTTAATTCCAAATCGTTCAGCATGACAAGCCTTAATATCCCCCTTGATATTCTGTATGTAATAAATTTTGGGACCATAAATTCCTTTGCTGCTCTGTGTAGACGTATAAATGCTGATATAAAAGCCCCCTTTATTAGGTAGGTAGTCATGCATTGTAACACGTTTTATGCTGAGCTCCGAACGACGGAGTTTGCAAAAGATATATGCCAACGATCAAACGAAACTAAATAATCGCGACAAACCAACAATAGGAATACTGTCTCTCAGAGATGACCACCGAGAGATTCCATCTCTCATGCAAAGCGCGTGTGTTTGTGATTATGGCGAGTAATAACCTAACCTATTTCTACTGTCCTAAAACATCGTATACGCCCCCAATACCCAAGCATACACTTCGAACAGGTACTTAAAGAACAAATAATGAATGATCTTTTCAAAATTCCCAAGCCACCTGTTGTTTATGCCCGACTCCCCTGAACGTGTCTTGGCCAACCGGCACGAATCATTCTAATATCAAGGACCAAGTATCGCGCAAGCACTATCAAATGGCCCGCGGCCCGATACGATGTAACCATATAGGACGCTACTTAGGTTAGAACCGGAGAATTAAATCGATATCTCCTTCCACTGTAGAGCTGCGGAACGATCTACCTATCTACCGGTATCGAGCTTTAGGCGGAACGGAGAAGATACGATCTCAACATTGCATTGGACGGCTGTTCCAATGATAGTTTGATAGTAAGTATTCTAAGAAACTCCCTAGCCAGACACAAAATCATCATTTCAAGACGCTAATTGCTAACGAAAGTATTGTAATACTAGTTCATCTACACTGTCTATATTTATTCAACCGATACCATATTCAATCACTAGGTCCTCGTTCATCAAGCGCCGATATCTACCTCCAGTATAATAACTGCAAAAGGATTTAGTTAATTGCGAAGACCTACAATGGGAGAGATGACTCCATTGGAATTTAAGAGTTGTTGGAGCGGTGGAAGGGATTTTGTAGAAGCGATCGAATCATCTGTTACCGACCGACCACACTAAGTACCGCAATCCGCTGAAGTAGTAACTTTATGGGTTGTCTCCAAGCATACCTGAAATATTGTAGCCCATCGATATGGTTGGCCTTGGAATAAAAGGAGCTTGAACTAGTATAATAGAATAATATTAAAGAGACCACTGAATTGTATATTATCCGCTTGCTATATAGCAACTGCTAATACATATCTACAAACGAAAGCTGCCAAATGGCGTTTTATGTATCGTCGATAGAGCCTAGGTGCCTGTATTTCTGATAGAAAACAAGCTATTATGTGCTACCACTCGTGAACAAAGATATACAAAACTGATTAAAAGTACCCAAGGTAATACGATTTAAGTGTATTGAAAGAGCAGCCAAAAAGTGGCTTTGGTGGACTGCCAACGGAAGTCCTACCTTCCTGGTGGCTATTCACTATTGAAGGCACGACCACCACGACAACATAATGCGGCTAGCTGGTTTCTCCTCTTGATGGTTCAATAGGAGTCATTAGCAAAGTGCCTCTTTCTCATCCGTGAATAATTCCAGTAGTCTTCAACTTACAATAAATCGCAAGCCAGTCTTTTGACTTCTGTAGACCTAAATCCTTTCTAGTCAGGTTAGCTGGGCGCTTCCACGCATTGCAGAGCGGTCTTTTGTAAATTCTCGTTGCCAACATTATCCGCCCTAGGTTTTATTGCAGTTAGCATCATACACTGGTGTAAGGCAAGACAAATACCTTAGGTACCTCCTATTTATTTACCAGCAACTACGTGTTAGTAAATCCTATCGTTGGAATCTTAACAAGACGCCTGGAATAAGCAACACATTTACCATACGAAGCTTAAATTCCCAAGGTTATTAAGGGTTAAAGTCTGCTGCGGAGTATCGAAGCCATCTCTACACATGTCACTCAGCTTTATGAAATTGTATTTATACTTCCTTAGCTAGGTCGGTAGTCATATTATCCCTTGATTTTGATTAAGAGCCTTTTAATAGAAACCCTAAGAGCCGCTACACATGTTCGATCCCTTATAAAGGGTTTTTGTATTCTAGGACCGAGAACATAAAGTAGAAACCTTGGCTACTAAGTGCATACGCTATTTAATAAACACCAGGTAATGAGTGCCAAATTTTGTCTTAACAGGAACCCATAGGTAACAACTATATGTGTAGGAGTTCGGAAGCTAGCTATCAAACCGCTACACTACCAAGAGGTAGGACGATGTCAACTCGAGGGGTTGACGTTGCTAGGACCGTACTGTGAGAATAGGGGGCTTCGTATCTTGTTTGAAATTAGTTGTATGTTATCCTGAGTCATAGTGCAATTACTACTTCTCTAACAATAGCAATGGCCGCTCGGCTCCAAGTTATGAATTCATTGACAGTATATGGAAAGCTAAGCTATGTTTCGACTTTGGTGCTACTTCTTCATATTGAACCGAACGTTCTCTTCTATGAGACGGATGCTGTGATGGTCAAACCAAACTATGATATATAATTTTTCTTAGGCGAAGATTTCCGCGTAAGCCGGCCATCCTGTGCTCGAAGCACCCATACAACATAGCAGACTCTTTTCACCGTTTATCTCGCAATAGCAAGCTACTGAAAATCATGGAGGGTATATATGGAAAATATATTAATGATGGAAAGCCCAGTAATGGTTAGTAATAGCTGAATTGGGTTGGCAGGTGCGCTTTAACTGAACACGCAAGCAAACACAAAACGGCACTTGTGAAAGGAACGGCGGTCGGCTGTGCGAGGAATATGAAACTGTTCTAATACTTACAGTCACTAATACAGGATGTTGACATTGATACAGCAAGCATGAGCTTGATCTCTTAGTACTAGTCATTCATGAATGTTTTTCTTATTTTAATGGCATTATCCGGTTAAATATTTTCATTAACTGAAACAATAGCTTTAACTCTTTACTATACTAATTCCCAATGGATTTGCCAGTTATTTGGGTACTTAGATAGCACTGGTATTTAGCTAATAAGCCTTAAGTTCGCGAAGTTAGAGGACGACAGTGAACAGGTGCAGAATATGTGAATGTCCCATGAGGGATTCGTTAAATAAAACCTACTTACCTACCTAGGTACCTTATATAATACTTATGATATAAGCCTGATAGTATTGAACTTTCTCTCATCTGAGACTCGAACTTGATTGTTAACCATGCATTATTCACCCTTCTGGTTTCACTGTAGGTGTGCCAACCTCAGCAATGTCTATACATTTAGGTTAGGTACCTACATAGGTAGGTATATACGTTAGGTAGTTTGTATTCTTCTAGTTAGATCATCCCTATCCTCTTCCCAGAATAGAATTATCGACTGCCTGCCTACCCAGGTATCTGTTGCTTTGTAACAGGATTTTGGATAGTGAGTGTGCGAAATAGGTAGCATGCGCTTAGGAGAGTCTGGCTCCTGTTTAACGGCGATCATAAGTATAGGCTGGTATCTAACATAACACAAAAGAACCCAATTCTAGATGCCGGTTAAATGTAGATTTGATGCCTAAACACTCAGTAATGGTGGAAATCGAGCTCACTGGTATATAATGACGCAAGGCTCGATCACAAGCCTTCAATACGAATCGTCATCTCTAATGACCTCCTTTTTCTAAGTGCTTAGCTAGTATCGGGTTCACCAAGACGACGAACATGACAACAAACAATTGTAAACTTTGTTTATTATATTAACTTGTGGCTGTAGCCGGTATATTTACCCCAGTTCTCTCTTCATTCTATGTTGCTTTAATGTAAAGGGGAAAGGGGAGAGAAACATAAAAGTATAGCTCTCTAAGCTGACTTCAACTGCTTCGATGTTTTTAAAATGTAACCACTTGGTTGGTTTCTTTTCTACCTACCTCTAAGGCATGGCCTATTTCTTGATGGACTCGCAGCGAAGTCGTGACATGGTAGGATGGTGTCGATAAACCTACCTAACCTGTTCCGTCTTGAGTTTGCTCCGCACCCAAACATTTGGATGGGAATTTAATGTAACAGAACACAGATATTGATCGAAAATTCGCCGTCGCGTATTAATTTTTCCTACCTACCGAGTATGCGTGTATCCATTATTTTATATAGGGGGTAAATTTAGTTTCCCCTTTCCGTTCCGAAACACCTCATGAATAAGACTGACCGAACGCCGTAATGCTTGCTTCACTCTCTCCCTTCCCCGGCTCTAGTACTATTTTGTAGGAATAGCCTAACCCAATAATAAAACAAGCCCCTTAATAGACACGCCCAGAGCTTTCCCACCAGACGACCAAGGCTAAGATCACTTGCGCTTGTGCTGCTCGAAGATGTTCCTCATGTGTTCGTTCTCGAATTTCTTCTGAACGCGCGAGGCCTTCTTTCGCTTCGGCGGCGCCTTTTGGCCGAGGTTCGCATCTGTCTTCCCCTCGCTCGTAGCCTTCTGACCCAACGCCTTCAGCTTCCTAGGCATGTCATCGACGGAGGGTAGGGCTTCTTGGAACCACATGACTCGGAACTCCGGATCGACCTCGTGGTGCAGTTCTGGGAAATCGGGCCAGATGAATCGCGCGTGGGTGTCCTTCTTGGTGCGAATACCCATAACCCTGTGTTCCTGCTCCAGTTCTTCGATCGCGGCATCGCAGTCCGGCCAGCCATCTTTGATATCTTTAATCGATAGGCCTGCTTGATCCTTCCTGTGTTGTAGGTATTCCAAGAGTTTTATCTTGGAATTCACTCCAGGTAATTTGGCTCTATACTCATAGGTACCGGCACGCCAATCAAATTGCTGGCCTTTGACTTTGGGAGCAGGGTTGAACTGAACACGAGAATGCGTCTTCAAATTGTGAACGAACACGCGTTGCTGGTCCTCGGGAAGATGCTGTAGCGTCAGGTGGTCCAGGATTTCTTGTATAGGTTTAGGACTGCCTTTCGCTTTGAGGAAATCGACAGCGTATTGTAGATGCGTGTTGCTATGCTCGCCGATATCTCTCGCTGCGGCGGCTGCAGCTGCAGCTGCAGGTGTCGGAGTCGAAGCATAATCCCTCGTAAAACTCTCATCGCGTTTTTGGCGCTTGATGTCGGACTTAGTTGGATTCGCTCCGGATGGCGATGCGGTCGATGAAGCAGGCGCCGACCTTTTTATGCCATTCGCGGGTTTTAAGGGAGACATGATGGGGTGTTTCGGAATCGATTCGTATAGTTTATGCGACGTCGCGACGAGGGATTTTTATTGATGAAAGAGATCTCGTCAAAAGCGCAGGATGATGGAAAGAATGAAGAATGAAAAGACGAGGCTGAATAATACCTTCAATTGTTAGGTAATGTTTTAATGTTCTAAAATTAGGCCCACTAATTACATCGATTAGGTGCATCCACGCTTGTAAGGTTTAGTGGGTTTCCGGTGGGGTGTCTTGGAAAGTTGGGATGAATCTTATCCTTATCAGTTCTTTTTCTTTGACAAAATATTGGGACACCTTGGGACGTTCTTGGGACGTCCACGTATTCCTTAGAAAAAGGATCAAAGAAGCAACGTATCTTTCTTTACAAACAATCGGGATCTGTTATATTGTCGCATTAATACTAAACTATTGTCACAATGAATAGCTCTATGTCATTTTAATAACACAACGAAGGTTTAGAATACGAATGCTACTTAAATGATTTATTACCTATCCCTCCTAGTGATTGTTCTGTTACTGTTATTAAAGACGGGAAATGTATTGGACGCCATGCGTGTAATCAATGGTTGGAGATAAATATTCCGAATTATATTAATTCATTGCTACAGTACTTCCTACTCCTTTCGATCATCGGAATTATTAAAACTGCCTTTTTATTAAAAAAGTGACTGCTGTCTTCTAGCAAGTTCATCTCTCTACTAATGTTAAATGAGCTATCTATATTTTCATCCGACTTGGTGTTCTAAATTAACTAAGAAAGTCTGAATGATGGTAAGAACAATGGACCAATGCATCGCGAAGAACTAAATAGCTCCATCTATTGAGTACCTTTCATCAAATACATTGCCCAGAGGATATAAATCGTCCATCCCCTGAATCATCCTGGACGCTCTTAATCCCCAAACAATTCACTCCGAAATGTACGATCCCGTTTAAGCCTCTTTGCCTTGCTGCGCCTGGAAGTATTGGAATGCACCGAAACCAAGTAAACCTCCGATGAAGATAATGGCGTACAAAGCAGTTCCCATACCAGCAGAGCTTGTGTTGGCGGCAGGCGCAAGAGATGACTGTCGGTCCTTGGGGGAAGGGTCACCGGGCTGTATTCAAAAACCGTCAGCATGTCGGAAACAAGAGAGAGAGGTATGGCTTATTTCTTTATTTTTAGAGACATAGGGAATAGGACATGTCTCTCTTACCTGTCGCTTAAGAGTACCGACGAGGAGTTGTTCTAAGGTCTCTCGAGCTTCGTCACTGTGGCCGACATCTTCGAAAGCTTCCGTCGCATCTTGGCCACCGACATCTAACAAAACTTCTTCACCACCACTATGAAGAGGAGACGAGTCAGCTTATACGCCACCAAGTCCGAGTATTGGCGAGTTGCTGCAAGGCGGGGAAGAAATTGCGACTCGGGGATCGCATCATACGTTGGAGTTGGAGTACTTACGGATGTTCATCGACGAATTTTGTGCAATCGTAGACCTTATCGTGGATAACAACAAAAAGATCCTTCTTAGTGTTGTGCTCAGCAATATCCTGGTAGGTGTACTCCTTGTCCGCCATTTTGAATTTGTTGTATTTAATATTTTTGAGGTTTAAAAGAGGAAAAATATCAATAGAAACCGCTTGCTACGCAGACTTTCGAATCGAGATGAAGGCACTGGATGCACGGGAACGGGAACGGAGTTCGGAGATTGTTGAGGAACTTGTGGAAAGTTGGGGGATAAGAGAGCTTATGAAATTAATTGTATTGGTGGTTGAACTTCTTTAAGTTGGACTTGTCTTTTTCCCCTAGAAAATTTCGGAGCTAGCGGTCTGCGGAGTGCCACGGCAGCACGGGCACCCCCCATTCACACAAGTCCTAGCGAATCAGGACTTCCCTAATTCATTTATCAGGATGCTATGGGGATCCTTGGATAAGCTCACCTAAGATAATGGGTCAAATGGACCCTGAGATTGGTTAGCTGCTTCCTTGACCCGTACTACAAGCTACGTACACCTGGAAGCTACCTAGCCCTTCTGCCCTTATTCCTGAGTTATGTACAAGAATCTTATGCACGCCTCGGCTGGTCGGTTATGTATTCCTCTTAAGACCGGATAGTCGGTCGGTACCTGCTTTGCGAGCATTGTGTAAGAGGTAGCATTGCATAATTTTATTGGTTATTTAACTGTACGAATCGTACCTACTTAGATAATTTGATAACAGATATTGAGATTTCTCAGACTTTGATAAAGTACACGGCATTTTGTCGCAACAATTATATTTGTAATTGATGAAATAAACTGCATTATATCTCCTAAATTGTTAGTGGGCATCGGTATGCATCGAATATATGAGGAATCGAATACGCTTTTACTTTCTTCTGTCTTATCCGGGTTGATCACGGATCTATATGGCACTGGTGTCAATGTTCACCCTCCGATTACATTGACCCCCATGGTCCGGATCTGAGGTTTCCGTCCGGTTTTATATTCACGCTCAATAATGATATAGACTGTAGCGTATGATACCTACTATTTCGACTTTAATACCAACTGCCTTTTTATGAACATATCTTGTCAGTTATCAGCCTACCTGGGCAGTTCTCATACCTACCTAAATAATGACCCTTCTCGAAAGGCCCGGGATGCTGCATTGTGGAATCGTGGTGAAATCCTCGGAAGCTTTCTTGAACGAATACGAAGAGCGGGGATCACCAAGAGACTGAGCTGCAACGAGTTTTCTATACAAGGTTGAAGAACTCAGCTGCTGGGGTTCCAATTGCCTTCCATTGTTCAATGGCCTCCCCAGCCATCAAACCAGCGACAAAACACTCTCCGATGAAAGAATATCTGTCCTCACCTAGGTCTCGAATTACATAAGGCACTTTACCACCAAATAGGACGACAACTATATCGTCCCTTTCCATCGTTTCGGGACCTATTCCCATCAAATTTCCTTCCGTGATGAAAAATCGTCTATGTAAGCAAACTCTTGTGAAGGCCTCGTGGAACCGGACCGAGCTAGAAGACTTAAGAAGATTATCAGTCCACTTGCGTTTTTGACTGATTCCAGAAATTTGTATTCGCTTCCTAAACTGCTGGAGTAGCCATTGTACTGCATCATCAAGAAATTCGGGATCCTCGTTGATCGGCTTTTTCGTGTCGCTGAGACCTGCGGTGAGCGTTGAAACAAAAGTATACGGTATATTCTTCGGCTGGTACATCTCTGGTCTCCTGTCTTCTAGGTTATTCGCCTTGTCGGCCCAGTGTGCTATCAAACTCCAAGCTGCCCCAACGAAATCACGTTCCTCTTTGTACGTCTTGTGTCGGAATCTATAGCTGACAAGCTTATCACTGTATTCCCTTATTCCACCGCTGGGGACCCTGGTACCTCTAACGCAAAGGCATCCCGGATCAGTCGAATCTCCAAATGTCAAATGCTCATTATTGCTTGCATTGTAAGGTGGGTTATCCTGGTTGTGGCTAACTAACTCCACGCATGCCTTTGGCTGGCTCCAGTCGGGAACCCAAGATGGCCATGCGGTGGTTTTTAAACCTTGGATTCCACCAGCATGAGATAAGGCCGAAAGCTCACCGTGTTCTATGAGGAGAAAGCGAATGACGCTGCGATAAACCTCATCAATAGGCTTACCGTAGACAGGTTCGATCAGCGTGTCAATCCTCTTCGTATTTGAGGTCTCCTCTGCTAAACTGTAGGTTGCGTATACTTTGTCTTCTTTGAGGGCTGCTTTCCTCCCTCGAACGTCGCGCAACATCTGAAGCAATGGCTGCCTCTTTCCTGGTTTTATGTGCATGTGCCACATTGCAGCTACTTCGGATATAGAGAGAAGGTCCCCTAACTCTCCCTTGAACTCAACATTGGTGGGCAACGCAAACCCATGGGTCTGAAACCACGCGGCCGCTTGACCTATGGCCGCCCAGTGAACCTCCCATTCCCCCAAAATAACTATGGCGCGTGGAGCAAGGACGACTTCCTGCACGACCCAAACGCGTTGGAACCACAAGTTATCGAAGAACTCCCGAAGGTACTGCCAATCTTCAGCCGACGCGTTGGGAAAGCCGTGTACTAAGTTTCGATATATGGTATCTGCAGCAGATTTGGATGCTGTAGAGTATCCCTCCCCAGCCTGAACGTTTCTCAACGCTTGTGCAATCATCGTCAGCACGACTGGCATCTTCCCGCGCTGACTGATGGGCCTGCTCCGTTGCCTTAGAAATGCGGGTACTCCTGTCAGTAGTTGTAATTCCGGGGTTGGCTGATTAGTTGGATGTGCGGTGTTTGGTAATTTGCCTAACCATATCTTGACCGTATGGGCATTGGCATAAATTTTATTCATGGCCTTTACCTGGAGCGACTTCTCAGAATTGTCGTTTTGGTTGATACAGAGAGCATCGATCCATATGGGCCTTTCCTATATGAGATTATTACGATTTGGACGTATCTATCACCCATCTCGAACGAGTCGCCTCACCTGTTGAAAGTCGGAACGCTCTCGCTTTTCCTGCCGATTCGAGGCGATCCCGCGCCAAACATTGCGACTCGAGTGGAGAGGGTGATCTTCTGGCCAAGTGACGACCGAATCCCAGTTTGGGAGCGGACGGAGATATCTCATCGCCTCGATCAAGTTCTTGGTGACTGTCATCCTCTGGCCATTACACATGATAGGCTCCTCCGACAGTTCAGTACCCCAGACATATGATATCGCGTCAAAAATTGGCGCCTCTTCTACGTTGCTGACCACGACGAGACTACAATTAATGGCTTCGGAAGCGAAACCCGGCATGATTAATAACAAACGCATCGACCCTGCCGGAAGGGGTTGGTAAATATGTTGGTTTGCCATTTCACCGCGCTCGACGTGAGGATCTATCCGAATACTGCTCTTTTTTGCACGATACCTCTTATATATACGGTTTCAGATGATTACGATCGTACCTTTCTTATTAGAATGAGAAGAAGGTACTATAAGCCCTCACCCACTGTTAAGGAATCGGAGTTAGTGCTAAACAAGCAATAAAAACGCCCCTCAGCAGAGCTATTTCTGGCATGAAACGCCTTCCCATAGGCTGTGATCTCTTAAAGCTGCTTATGCTCGATCAGCGCTTGTTCTCAGCCCCCATGCCTGCCTTACGCATGTCCGACTTCTTTGGGGTTACATCTGATACTAAATGGATGCTAATCCTTGAATTAGGTCGACATGTCACATTTGTAAGGCAAAAGCGACTTTCACGATCTTTATTTCCATCTTAGGTTTCTTTCTCATCGGGAATCAAACTTTAACTTCATTTTGAGACCATACGTATCTGCTGTATTCAATTTTATCTTGTCTGGGTATGATGAGGGTATTTTCAAATATTAGGAGAGACCTCGCCCTACGGAATGCTAGTGAGTCTTGACCAAGGAATATGGACCTAATTATGTCAGGACTTGTTACTGAGCGACTCCATAGCTGTTTACGCGCAATGGTAATGGATCATTTATCAGTTATGGAATATATGTGTTACTTTTTTCTAAGTTTACCCTCTCAGGCTCGGAGTTTTGTCAGCCCTCTCTTTCATATTGACGAGAGTTTACTGGATCATCGCATACGACAGCTTTAGCAGCAATTCGAAAAAACTCCAAACACTGGGTCGACTATTGGATATGATGTACGTCTGCTTTAAGCTTATTCCCACCCATCCTGGAGTTCCTTTTTAGAAATGGCCTCTTAACAGTTCTTAGCTTCTTCCCCCTCTGCCTATTTTTAATGGAGACGCCTCCCAGCCTCCGCCGCTGGCGCGTGATCTTCGGCATCAGCCTGGGCTATTGCTACGCCCGCTCGATGCTAGGCTTCGTGATGTCTATACCCAACCTATCCCACAACGTGCCGGCAGGCATCGTCATGTTCTTCGGCAGCTTCGTCGGGATCGCGCTGTACTTCTCCCTGTCCGGGAACATGCTGCTCCGCGGCGAGTCGGAGGACTTCTATTCGTGCCGCTCGCGGGCGCTGTTCTACGCGGGATACACGTTTTCCGTAGCCGTGGGCGGGCGCGGGAAACCGATAGACCCCCCGTACGCCTGCACCATATCCCCGCTCTGGTTCCTCCGCCCGGGACGGGTTCTCGCGCTCAGGTGGTGGTCCGGCGCGACGTGCTGCGTCGAGCTGGCAGAGGTGCTTGCGGCGGCGGCGGCGCTCGCATATTTCGTCGCGTGGTGGGCTGGGCATGACTATGTGTTTACGCGGACGCTGGGGGGCCCGGGGGTCGAGCTCATGCCCAGGGTGAGTGTTGGGCTGGCGCCGCGCGATGACTCGATAGGGCAGGATGAGGGGAGGATTATGTTGACTTGATTATATAGGTACCTAGGTAGGTACCTAAGGTATACTGTGTGGCTGGCGATGGGAGTCTTGATTTAGATGCCGGTATTATAGGGTAAAGGGGAAAAGAGCAAAGGTAGAAGAGTCTTGATAATTTAATATGACAGCTCAGCCTTGTCAACTATTCTATTGGGATTGCCGACCCGACCCGTCACCCTGTTAGATTCGAAGCAAAAAGTGCCTATTTTCGAAAATCGTAAAAGTGGTTATTTCTACGCTTTTAATTATATCTTCCACCGGTACCAAAGGCTAATGGAGATGTGAATTGCTTAGATTTCTTTGTAAGCAGAAGTAATGCTTTCTTGTAGGTTAGGAGCTAGGTAGGTAGGTAGCTTAGAGTAGCTTAGTGCCCTTGTTCCTGGGCTATCTAGAGTCTGATAGCACATGGCAAAATGCGTAATGAGCTATATCAAGGCAGCACGGGTCTCTTTTCTCTTATGAATCCCCAATAGGCCTAGTATATCCGAGACACAAGCTCTCTTAAGTCCTCATCACTCATAGAAGTATCTAAGGGAGGTACGTGCTCATGAAAAATTCATTGTTCGGCGTATGCTAAGCTAAAAATTACTCGGGCTGGCTAAGTACAGCATAACACCCCTGACCTCGAACCAGTTAGGTCATCGTTCCGCGTCAATCAAAAGGCATCGCAGCTACCTTCTCCCCTCCGCACCGCACAATTTACCTAGGTAGGTAGGTATATCTTAGGTACTATCTATCTATCCTCTCCTCGCCGCCCCGCCGATATCCTGGCCGACGCGGTAGCTAGCGACCTTATCCCACTCGATCTTCTGGCGGGTGACGGGCAGCTGCCTGCGGAGGCCCTTGAAGGCGCCCTCGCTCAGGCTCGTGAACCCGCGGTTCAGCTCCTCCTGGTACCTGCGCTCGGCGGCGCCGATCTCCCGCGCGATGGCGGCGCCGGTGCCGCCGGAAACGGACGTGGGCGCGACGGGCTTGCTCGTGAGCAGCCGCACGTTGCCGTCCTCGTAGTAGTGCACGTCGACCTTGACGCTGCCCTCGAGCGTGCTCGCGGCCGGGTCGAAGACGTAGAGCGAGCGCCAGCGGCCGTTCCTTGGGACGCGTGAGCAGTCTGTACATCTTGATAGGGGGGGATGCGGTGGGTGATTGTGATTGTTCTGTGGATGGGTTGTTGGGCTGGTGTTGGTGGAGAAGAATAGGAATAAGGGAGCAGTACCAGTAGTTGTTAGGGCTGTATTTGTTCGCCACGATTATCACCGCGATCTTGGTGTCGTTCTCGATCGGGTACACGCCGTATGAACCGTTGGGGAAGTGTTCCTTGACATATGCGGATATGCTCTTTAGTGTCGACTTCCTGCGCTCTGCCTGTCAGCCGACATATTCTATACCAATACCTACAAACCATTTCCCCCCTTTTCTCTCATCGCAACATAAAGAGGTTTATTCGTACACTAAATCTGTCTGGGGACCTTCCAGCACGTAGCTCTGAACATTGCTCGCTTTTTGGGTGGTGTGATCGAAGGAGAAGCTCGAAGAGCTTTCCACATCGTAGTATCGTCCGTCGCCGAGGGAGCTGTGGGAGCTGATAATGACGTGCTGGCTGCTGCCGGGCAGCTTGGCGGTGACGAACTGCTCTTCATTGTATCTCTCGAAGGCGGGTCCTAGCTTAGAGACGATGTCGGGTTCGTTGAAGGTTAAGGCTTTGATGTCTGTAGGAGTTATGAAGCATTAGTTACTATCTTATGTTGGATTAGTAGAATAGCTGCGTAAATAGGTTCGGTTTATACCATTTATGACATCGGCGAGCTATTTGACATGTGTAAGTTAGCTTGCGATGCTTCAACGCATATAAATAGCTGTTAAACGTACCTCGCCAGGGGGTGCACCCTCTACGAAGGACTCGACGGTTTCCAGAGCGGTCGCCATATTGAGTCTGTGTGCAGTGTGCAGAGAGATTAATTAATCCAGGTAAGTTGAGAACTTCCTAGCTAAAGTAAGGTACTATTAAATAAATAAAAATATCACAAGCGTTGTTGTCTCCATCACCCCCGATTTACTGGTCACTAGGTATCGAAACGTTAGGTACCTAGGGAGCGCGGGGGTATCTAATCTAAGTGGGGGCTAAGTGCTTTATCGATAACATATGTCCTAATTACGTAGCCTAGTACATACGGATCCGTGCATGGATTTCTTTTTCATTAACATGCACTTTATTCTTTTTTCCATACAACAAACATTGAAGACATTCGAATACTTCCTCTAAAATCCTAAGAATACTAGACTCGCGACTTATATGCATAGGAGGTAGTAAATGGTATTTACAAAGGCACTTCTTAAACCTCATGATTCAACATCTACAGCTCCTGTTTAATATTCTAACAATTTCTTAACTCCGTCATATACTCCTATGCTACAGTTAGCACGAACTATTCATCGCCAAACAATAACAGCTTTGGAAACTTACTGGCTACGTCCGGGATGTTGAACTTCTCAAACATCAATGGAGTAAATATACTCCATCCTGCCACTCGTGATACGGGAGCCTCGAGTCTTATAAATGTGTCTGGGTCTTCTTGGATTGCCGCAGCTACTTCGGCTCCGATTCCTGCGTTGACCATGGACTCGTGGACCACCATGCACCTCCCCGTCTTCCGCACACTCTTAAAAACGCATTCTTTATCCCAAGGATAGACGGTTCGCAAATCGATAAGTTCTATCGAAACCCCCAAGTCTTCTTCTGCCTTTTGGATGGCAGCACTACAAGTGTACAACGGCTGCCCGTACGAGATGATAGTAACGTCCTTGCCCTCCTTGAGTATCTCTGCTTTGGAGAGGGGCAATGTGTATGGACTTGTCGGCACTTGTTCGACGGCTGCTCGATACAGAATTTTGGGCTCCATGAAAACGCACGGGTCATTGCTCCTAATCGCAGAAAGCAATAGGCCCTTAGCTTGGAGTGGAGATCTCGGCATTATCACTCTTAAACCAGGAATATGAGTGAAAAGGCTCTCGGGCGACTGCGAATGGTATAGTGCTCCGTGACCAACACCTCCGCAGGGCATCCTCACCGTCAAGCCGCCCACGCTTCTTCCTGTATTACCTTCGCGGTATCGATACTTAGCAGCTTCGTTTACCAATTGGTCGAAGGCAGGGTAGACGTAGTCGGCAAACTGGATTTCAGCTACGGGCCGCATACCCTCAGCAGCCAATCCGATACCAAACCCCATAATGCCTTGTTCTGTCAAAGGTGTATTAAAGACACGAGCAGCTCCAAAATTCTCTGCGAGCTTCATCGTACAGCGAAACACGCCACCAAAGGAGACATCTTCTCCAAATACCAGAACGTTCTCATCCTCGGCAAGCGCTATTGATAGAGCGTCGTTTATAGCCTGAAATAAGTTCATACGTTTTGCCGTGCTATTCCTGGCTTCTGGTGGTAACTCTGGATTGGCAAGTGCCGTTTGCGAGCTATGTGATAACAGTGGTGTCGTTGAGTAGTCGGGCGGTAAGTTAAGTCGTGCGTTGGGCGGATGTGTAGAGTAGTTTCGACGCCGCGAGAAGCACGCAGCCGAGAATCTAGACTTGTACAAGATGTTGTTGATAATAGGCGTTGAAGCTCTAGCTAAAGGACGAAACGAAATGGAATTCTTCATTGTCACGAGTTCTACCTGCTACCTGTGCGGATTCATGTCTAGTATTCAAAGTATTCGATGGAGAACTTTGCTGAAAAGTAGAAGTGGAATTGAAGGAATCGGTCAAGACAAACCGAAGCCGTCATACGGGATGAGAAGTTGCCCATAACCGACGTCGCTTAGTTGCGGCATTCGGTTCAGAGTAACTTTCGGTTCAGGGAAACTTCGAATTGTTGAACTAAAACCCCACAATCTAACTAACGGGAAGCCCACGAGACCTTAATAAGCCAACCCCGCTAGTGGACCACTAAGCAGCTAAGTATCTTGCACTATGTTCATTGGTCCAAGCTACTGGGTGCAACAAGGTCTTAGCTTACGGTAAATCCGCAATTGGAGAACAACCATCTTTAAAACACAACAACTTTCTGCAAGGATTATTAACTTGATTAACTTGGACAGAGATAGTTGCCCGGTCAACCACAGATTCGCTGTTGAATTGAATACGAACTCTGGACCACGCAAGCTTAACCGGCGCATATTCCTAGGAACCTGACGCAATTGATAAATGACTGCAGATACTTTCCTCAAACGGCCTGCATATTTGTCTCCTCTACAGATTGAGGCACTCGTTAAGAAGAGTCTGTGAATGTATTCATATCACTATTGTATAGGTAGTTACCTGGGTACCTACATACCTGTCTCAACTTTCTCAATCTCTATACCCAGGTGGCATGGCGCACGACGAGGTGGAATCCGACGGCCCTCGGCGTAAGAACCCCGATGCGCACCATCAACGACATAAGAAAATAAGGTCAAGAGAAAATGGCTCTAAGAGGCCGACCTCAGGCGCTGAGGGAACGTCGCGTGGAACTAGCCAAAGGTTGTCAATGGGCGCTCTCGCTCAATTGAATGAGTATAACTCCCTCGAGGCTGCAGAGGAACAACCGAAATCACGAGAGCGCAAACCGAAACGGGATCGACCTCGACGAGAGGAGTACAAAGTTGTTGATGTCGAGTACGAATCACCCAGGAGAGCACGACGTTCTAGGGCCGAGCATGCGTATTCGGAAGGAGAGTATGAATCGCCTAGAAGAGAGCGACGGCGGACGAGGGAATATCGGGACGGAGAAAGGATACGAGAAAGAGGATACGAATCTCAGGGGGCGGAAGATCGGAGGGATCGGCGGCGACATCATAACATAGAAACTGAAAACGAAGAGGATATACCCATTTCAAGAGAAAAAGTACCAAAACATCGCAAAAAGGATCGAAGAGTGGTTAGCGGGGCTATTGTAGAGGAAGGGAGGGCAACTTCAAGGATGAGAGGCGGTGCCGCGAGTAAGCACAGTAGCTACGACAGCTACGACAGTATCGCGCAGGAGAAAGCGGGCATGCAATGGAACATGCCGGGAACAGTCAGAAAGAAAAAACGATGTACGTTTATTAAAGGCCTGATACCAGGCGATCATATTATTAACTTTATATATAGGGATTATAGCAGGCGTTGCGCTTGTGATACTTATCATTATTATAGTGGTAGCAGTCGTCGTAAGCAAGAAGAACCAAGTCAACGGTTCCGGTTCTCATAAGTCCAACCTCGGCGACATCTCGCAGAATGACGTCCCTCCAGCCGCCCGGGGAACGTATCTGGACCCGTTTACATGGTACGACACAACAGACTTCAACGTGACTTATACGAATGAGACGGTAGGCGATCTACCGATTATGGGGCTCTTCATGGACTGGGACGACTCCAAGTCCGCTAATGACAAGGTCCCGGCTATCGAGAAGTCCTGGGGAGATTACGCCAAAACTCCAGCACGAGGGGTTAACCTGGGCGGCTGGCTGTCGCTCGAACCGTTTATTACGCCTTCTCTATTCGACTACGACAGCAGGTTAGGGATCATCGACGAGTGGACTCTATGCAAGCATCTAGGTCCCAAGACGGCGGCTTCAACGCTCGAAAAGCACTACGCGACGTTTGTTACGGAGCAGACGTTCCAGGAAATTCAAGCGGCGGGTCTAGATCACATCCGAATTCCCTACAGCTACTGGGCCGTCCAGACGTACGACGACGACCCGTACGTCTTCCGCACCTCCTGGCGCTACCTCCTGCGCGGGATCGAATGGGCGCGCAAGTACGGGCTACGAGTGAATCTGGACCTACACGCCTTGCCGGGGAGCCAGAACGGCTGGAATCACAGCGGGAGGCAAGGTACCGCCAACTGGCTTAATGGCACGGACGGCGACCTGAACTCCCAGCGGTCGCTCGACGTGCACGACCGCCTGACCAAGTTCTTCGCGCAGGACCGTTACAAGAACATCGTCACGTTCTACGGGCTGGCGAACGAGCCGCGCATGGTGAACCTGCCGGCGGACGCCGTGATATCGTGGACGACGCAGGCGTACGACCTAGCGCGCAATAACGGGGTGACGGCGAATATCGTGTTCGGGGACGGGTTCATGGGGCTGGGCAACTGGCAGGGCAAGCTGACGGGGATGGACGGGCTCGTCTTGGACGTGCACCAGTACGTCATCTTCAACAACGACCAGATCGTGTTCTCGCACCAGAAGAAGGTCCAGTACGCCTGCGACGGCTGGACCCAGCAGACGCAGCTCAGCATGGATACGTCGACCGGGTTCGGCCCCACCATGTTCGCCGAGTGGTCGCAGGCCGACACGGACTGCGCCAAGCACCTGACGAACGTGGGCTGGGGCAACCGGTGGACGGGGACGTACGAATCGGGGAACGCGTCGACGGAGGCGTTGACGCCGCGGTGCCCGACCCAGGACTCGTCGTGCTCGTGCTCCGACGCCAACGCGGACCCGGGGTCCTACTCGGACGCGTACAAGAAGTTCCTCAAGATGTTCGCCGAGGCCCAGATGACCAGCTTCGAGAAGGGTTGGGGCTGGTGGTACTGGACCTGGGACACCGAGGGCGCGACCCAGTGGAGCTACAGGAAGGGCCTCGCCGCCGGCATACTACCCCAGAAGGCCTACGACAAGGACTTCAGCTGCGACGCCGACGTGCCTGATTTCTCGGACCTGAGCGAGACGTATTGAGCGCTGATAGCGACGTATCTTGAATAAGCATTATTTGATGTCCTTGATTTTTTATTTTTCTTCCTGCTTCCTTTGCTGGTTTTTTGCGTGGGGGTGGGCGTTTGGGCTGAAACCGGCGTGTTCTTCGAAGGGGGGCTTAGCATCATCATCTTAACCGGTCACTTACACCCATGCATGCCTAATCTACCTCCAACTTCGCATTCTAGAGGGGTTGTCAAAATGAGCTGAGACCGAGTGCAAATCTATAGACAAACAGGTCATCAATCGCGACAGCTCACTAATCCCCTTGCAGCAATTTCGAAGGGTAGAGCCAAGCGCGGGTAAGAGGTATGCAAGATGCAGCGGTAAAAAACAAGCAAGTAAGCAAGCTAATTTTCCAGCTATACTATCAGACCGGATCTCGCAGACGAGTCAAAGAGGGAAGTGGCGTATAAAGCCGACCGAGAAAAGATTAGCCGCATGTATCCCGCATCCGGTGGCGTCTTCTTTCGGCTCCTAGGCAAAGCTGGAGATGCCAATATCATCATCGTCGTCATCTCGCGCGCATAAGATTGGTTTCATGGAGCAGCAAGCGTTTCGCATATCCGGATTTTGCAAGCGGCTGATTTTTTTTTATTGACATATATATTGGATATGATACATGAAGTAGGTAGGTAGGTAGGGAAAGGAAAGGGGGCAGGGGGAGAGGGTGTGGTGAACGGGGTGGTAGTGGTGGTTAGGTCTCAGTCTATGTAATTATGAAACAAGCAAAATCTGGGTAGATATGAGATGAGCTTGCGTGTATATACTCCACGGAGAAAATCTGGCCATGGCAACATTATCTTGATAAGAAACAAATTTCGCAATGCTCTCACTATTCCCGGTCTCCCCCCCGGATCACCTGCTCCGGATTGTTGTATCAAGCACCATCCACGGGGATCCGCTTTGCATGGGGAAAGAAAGAGGGTGTGTGGAAGCCATTAAGGTAGTATTATGAGGCTCTGCGGTTGAGAGCAGAAAAGCAAAATCTCAAAGCAGACAAAGAGTAACGTAGAACGTTGGTATGCATGGGGAGGAAGAGCGAGTTGATCTCGGTGTGGCTAACCGGGATTTGTTTAGGGATCGGGCCTCTAGGAAGGCCAACCGGTATACACCGAGGCCGATGAAGTAGGGTGGGGGCCGGGACGAAAAAGGAGGCTGATGGAACTGTATGTTGGCCCGGTTTGGATCTTCTGGTTCTTTGCTTTACTGCGTTTCGCGTCCTGCCCACGCCACAGAGTCGCATTGCGGCTGATCCTACATGAGTTAGGTATACTTCGTTTATGCTGACAAGACCTGACAAGTGACAGATGGAATGCAAAAAAAATATCACCTAAATCGACTTAAAGCAAGCGTAAAGCGAATAAGAAAGTGGCTTGATATGCCAGCGTCTAATATCGATGTCTAAATCATACCAACAGACCGCACAAGGGTCCAAGTTCTGTCTGACGAGACGGCTAGAAGCCGGGGATTGGGTTATATTGCCGCGCATACGGGATAAGCGACTCGTTCGATTATGAGGCGGTGGAAGTCAAGTACAAAGCCAGAGGGTATGATTCGGCAGGTTGGCAGGCTAGCTGAATGTCCCGTAAACAACCTCTCATCGTACGTCTTTATCACAGCTTCATCCAGCTGCCCAGAATATTTGCCTCAACTCAATCCGAAGAAGGGCCGAGCCGCACGTTATACGTTCTAGATGAAGTCCTAGATCTAATAAATCTGAATGCAATAATACCTTACGTTAGGTTAGGTAGCCTTGTGAATCTGTGATATCGCAAAGATACCAATAGGCAACGCAGGCCAACGCAGGCAACCTACCTGTTAGCAAACCGTCTTTTCTGTTCCATCTGTCACCGTTAGACTAAACTAAGAGAATTTATGCCGTGCTATAGCCGTTTGAATATGTGCCAAGTCTACGGCTGGTTGCGGTTCGCAACTTACTTCCTTACTTAGACAAGTTTACTCTGAATTCCAGGAACGTAGATATGGAGCGAAATAGAGTCATATACTGTTAGGTCTCGGGGGAAACTCGAAATGGCGCCATTCAAGACCTACCTACCTTAGGTAGCTAACTTCGTACTCCTAACCGTGTTAGGGGTGTTACTTTGATGTGTACCTAACGCAAATACGCCCTTGTCCGGCGGTTATTCCCAAGTTTGATCTATAGAAACCGTAATTACGAGTTGATAGGAGGTAGTTGGTAAAAAACGATACGTGTAGCTGGAACGCAAAATCAGGACCTGCACTAGTGCAGCCCGCATCTGCGGCCGTAAAGACGATCCTACAGCTGAATTCCAGTACGAATGCCGAGAGACACGTCGATGGATAGGTGCTGGAAGGGCATCGACTGATGGTCGCTGTAAGTCGGAAGTAGCACCTAGCTTTCCGAATAAGCCAACTACCCGTGGCAATACCAACATTCTTCTTATCTTTTGTCGCTGTAGACTTAGATGCTATCGAGCGCCACCTCGCATCTCATGATGTCAAACATTGTAGCTTGCTAGGTCATTGGCTCCCTTTGCCTGCGATATGCAGCGCCACAAGGTAGTGTTTTGAACCGACTGTACGAGCCATAGGACGTACTTCTCCTCATCTATGCTTCCCAGTCCGTCGGGCCCAGCTACAGATAAGCTTATTGGCGGCATTGCAGACGTGCGTATCATTTTGACCACTTGGCGATGAATGTATTGGTTAGTTGTCAGAGACCTTGATCGCGACCTTGTAACCTCGTATCAAGTTTTCAATATATGCCCACAACCGATGTACGAGGAGAGCTAATGGGCGTGTCTTTCACGCAAGGTACGATACCTTACCGGATTAACGGTTCACTTGCTGTTAGCTGCTCTTATACTTACAGTTAGAAGTTAAAATACTTCCCCCCTGAAATAGTCCCCTGATACCACTTAGTTAGGCCTAGGAGACGTATTCGCATCAATAGATAGCCATAGTCATAAAGTAAAGCAGATTAGGTTTTGCATATGCTCACCGAATAGACCAATTTTGGAATAGTTTGGGAGTAACCCAGTATTCTGTACTCGGAAGTCCGGGCAGCCTTTTACCATAACTACGCCAAGGGTGTTTCCTCATTTGGAGGGCTTCATCCATCGTGATGGAATGCTATCCAGTAAATTGACCATATCAAACAATTATAACGTTGTATTCGATGCTGAGGATAGCTACCAACACCGTGTACAGACCGTCCGGTTACATAGGGTCTAAGCCTGGCAGCCTAACGCAGATGATGGTGTTGAGCAATGTTAGAGAGAGCCCTTCCTGCGAACTTGTGAGATAATGCAGTGAGACAAAGACAGGGTGCATAGTCGAAAGTCTTCCTCGAAATATTTTTGTAATCGCTTTGTCAGGTTTCTGTGGGCCATCGTGATCTTGCATGTCCGAAGCAACTTTTCCAAGTTAAGGTTCCGTGTCACCAGTTGGGACGAAGTGTAGAACACCTCAGAATAGGTAACGCAATTCTCACGTACAGCATGCTTCGAACCGTGACATCATGTGTGATACCACGATGAGTAACCGCAATATCAGTACCTACGCAGCGAACGCCCACGTCTTCGTAAGTTAGTCATGTCTAGGACCGCTGATGCTGCCTTGAGCCGGGCTGCATTTGGAAGAGCGCTTCCCATGTTGCACCAAGCTTGTAGCCGCTCAGCTACTTTCCTAGGGGATAGTTCTTCCTGATGAACTTCCCCAGTTCGCGCATTAGTCTTAGTCACTAGCAACTTGCCACAGTCCGTTGAGAGGCACACTAGCCACTTGGGTAGTAATATATATCTCTACACCACCCCTTCTACGGCTTCTTGTCCTCCCCAGTTTGTGTAGCCTGGATTATATTAAAACGCGCGAGGGTTGTATGCAGGCGAAACACGTGACTTTAATTATAGGTAGATTAGAAGGCTTGTAATGACAGCTCTTGGTCTACTGAAGTGCCGTGTTGTTGGGGTTCGAATATATCTGATCCGTACTATTGCATGACCCTCCAAAGGATTTGCATGCTGTGCCTCCCCAGTCCATCTGGCCAAGAGCAGGGCTGTACGCCATATGATATCTCAGAATAAAAGGAGTGCCGGTATTAAAACAAGATGCGAATATACTGGTGGAAGGGTGGCATTTACTTTCCATGACGGGTATAATGGGAATAACAAGCTTATAATGTGGTTGCATCCCGCAATAATAACAGCGCTATCCATGCAATGCACGGCACTGAAGTAGCGGATTGTTGGCGCCGTGAAATGCGTCGAGTTTGGGTGAGCGATCTTAGATCAATAAGACTGTATCAAAGCTATGTAGGGTTTCCAAATATGTGGACAACCTACATTGGCTATGTCGAATGGCATGCTAGGTATCATGACAATGGCGGGTAAGGCGACATCAATAGATGTTGTATGCAACCGTCTGTTAACGTAGTCATGAAAAGATGATCTAGAAGTCGGATGCGGCCTTTCCCTGGTGATACTGGTGGTGATCACTACATAGTGCGTTTTAGGTAGTGGCATAACGAAAGATGAAGGTCTCTTGCATTGAAGATCTTCAGGTACCCCGGAGAATTCGGGAAGGTTGGCGATAGGATACGGACGACTAAGCGGGAAAAGAGCGTCTAGATCAACATAGCGACCTGCCTATTTCACTGAGTTTTAGTGGGCGGCGGACGTAGCAACGTCTTTTGGAGAATCTGCAAAGAATGAGGCGATCTTGGTATGCAGCCATTCACCCATCGATTCGACGTCCCAAGTGACGCGTCCAAGAGAAAGCTTCGACTGGACCCGTTGGAAGCTGATTGGACGCCATCAAATGTTGAGTGCATATACATGTGGATTGACCCATGATAAGCATGGCTGGGACAATTCCTCGGCACTACATTCTGCGTCTTCCTTCCCAGTCAGGCTCGGCAAGACGGAGAGGTAGATGATGATTCGACGAAACGTCTCTCGCTTGTGTTGGCTCTAGATATTCAGCCACCCTTATGCATATAGAGACATGCAGAGAGCGCCATTCGTTTTAACGAAAGGGGGGGCAATTTGGAGCTGTTATCATTATTATTGGATATACCTGCGTACCGATGGTCCATCGATGGTCCATCCATAGTGGCCCCGTATAGATTTATATCAGAGATAGTATACGTGTCTATAAAGAAGGGGCAGAATATAGGACGGCAGCGTGCTCACCTGCTAGAACTGGAAGAAATGAACGCACGGGAGTGTTGTCCGTGATGAGATGGCGAGGCGGAGGGAGGGAAAAAAAGGGGGGGTGGATAGGTAGGTAACTTGCACTTGTGAGAAAAAAAAAGCGATAGAGTGAATGGAAAATGTAAGATGTAAAAGATGTAAGTAAAATGAAGTATTACGAAAGCCTCTCCATGCTTTAAATTGACGATTCGTATATGTACGTATCCCTGGGTTAGACCACCCTATACAGCTATACCTACCTACCTGGTACCTTACTTATACATGTAGAGGTATGTGTGGGCAGGTATGTGTATATGTATAGTTGAGTATCCAGCATAGTCTACCTCCTGAAGAGGCAACGGCACCTACCAATTATACCTGCATATGGTATATACCTTTCCTAAGTGTTCCCTTAAATATTGGAGCACCTAATGTTGGTCGCATTAAATTGTGCGCATGTATGTACCTAGGTACCTTAGGTAGGTAGGTTTATACATAATGTACGGATGTATGGATATAATAATGTAAGCTGCGATACCTATGTAGGTTAGGTACCTGGTATTCGTCCATATTTCGCTTAATGCATACCTATAATTAAATAAATGTCTACCTACCTAAATATAGGTAGAGCTTTAAGACGCCATGATCTGCCAAGCTAATTGTTTGGCTTGTCTGGGGAAACGCTGCATCAACGGCAGAGAGCCCTGTCGGGAGTGATCGGTCTTAGAGGTGGGTGAGAGGACACCTGAAAATGATGTCGTGCAAGGTTCTCACGTTTTTTATAGTTAGTCATCCAAGTTTGTAGCCTATCCTTGGCATAATTCTTGGCGTTGGTTGGTTCGTGCCTGACTGGCAGGACTGGGCAGGACTGGCCGACAAAAACCTTGTGGAGACTTGCCCACTGCATGAAAACATGCAGTTTTAGGTCTAGCGCCGCTTGGCTTTTCGCTTTTTTGTTCCTTTTTTTATCGATGTTCTTGTTTTCTTATGGGAAAATCCACACTGTCGTGTGCGTTTACCGGCTTTCTCTCAAGACCTGGCCTACATGGGGTAAAAAAAAAGACAAAGAATTAAAGGGATAAGAAAGATATGCCGGGAAAAGGGAAAAATGAATTCAATACATTTAAGTCCCTAAGAGGTAAGTACTGTGTAATAAAAACCTATATAGGTACTTACCTAAACTACCTAAGGTACCTAGGTAGTAGTAATAGTACCTCAAAGCGAAAGTGAAAATGAAATTAGAGTTCAGATGATTTTATGAACCCCGCAATTCGGTTCAAGGACCAGAGGGAACTACATAGTACGTACACTACAATTTGAGAATTGCGGAAAGGAAATAGCCAATGAGGTACCATCCTTCCCTCTTTTTTTTCGGTTCACTACTCTACCGACCGATATCGTCAATTCTTTTTTTTTTTCTCTGGTCTGCTGGCTCACCAAATCTCAAGGCCCATGTCATTGGGTCACTGATGTCGACATCAAGCTCTTACTAACCTCACCTAAACAAACCTCCCGACTTCCCTTTTACTTTTGCGCCACCGCTGTTTAATACCAATTGATTGGCGCTACAATTTTTTGAATATGAAAATTCCCGACTACTGACGTCTCTTCGTCAGTATTGTATCATTACAATTTCTTATTCTCGCTCTGATCTCGCTTGATCTCGTCGCTTAAATTACCCAAGGTAGCTCTTCATTGTTCTATTCAACTTAGTTCACCTACTTCGTCGCCGATCATCGAGTCGCTAGATGCATCCATATCCATATCAGATCTCCTATGCAGACCGCGCCTTACACGATCATCCTCGCAAAGCCGCGCAGCAAATAACGTATACGCAATAGCCTAGCCTACCTCTACCTACCCATATTCTTCTTACCTGCGTATGGTACTTTAGTTACATAGGTCGCCGATCCAGAAATAAATACATACCTACCTATATTTCTATATACACGCATATATACACGTACCCTACGCCTATCTATACACCCATCTATACACCCATACTTCACAAGCTACTGCTTCACATCTCCGGTTTCCCTCCTCCCCCTCCCCCACCTCCAGGTGTTCTATTCATATCCGAATCGCCGACGACAAAACAAAACTCTGTGCGCCCCAGTACCAAATGCGAACAAGCTCAGACGTTGCGGCTAGCTGCATCACCGTCGACCATCCCACATACCACCCCAGCCAGACGCCCCAGTGCCTTATCCGTCGCCGCGTGACTCCATGAGCAAAGACTTGTCCCCCCGCGCAGCCCGGCCCGTTCTTATTCTTGTTGAAACGAAATAACACCCCCCGCGATCTGTGCGAACAGAGCGGATAGACCCGCTCGACGGGGCCCCAGTAAGCCTTGTCCCCGTTGCACAAGGAACGCCTCTTTGTAACGGGGAACGGGGAACTTGCCCATTGGCGTCCGCCTTGCTTGACCACGCTGAATACGAGCGGCCTGTCGTTGCGCCGTGCTTGTGCAAGCCTTCTTGGGGTGTACTGGCCCCTAGACACGGCTGTCGCACCGCGGCAGCGTACAGCGCCATAATACCTAACCTAGCGTCTTACGCAGTATCTTTAGCTCCCCATTACCTCCAGCTTCGAATAAAAAAAACTTCTCAGGCGACTTCATTGGCTTGCATACGCCACTCAAGTCAATTGCTACTGGACCACGATCCAAGTCGAGGGTCTGTGCTGAAGTTGAAGCTAAGAGGCGGTGGGAAGATTGTACCTAGTGCTTGAAATAGGGAATATTGAAATTCTGAGGGAGCCCCCCCGGCTCTGACTGTGATACTCCTGCGGGGGTTCGCAAATATCAGCTATTTGTTGTCCTGGCCAGTGTGGTTGTGCCAGACTTACCCTGGGGCTTGTATTGCCATCCCTTTCATATCAGACGTGGAAAGCTGAACAGGAGCTATTCTATATAACTAAGACAGGATGCCGGAAGACGTTGAGGCAAATGGGACAGAGGTCTCAGATGCCTTGTCCGAGAACGAGAACGAGTACGACGACATGGAACAACCTATCAAAGACGAAGACGCCAAGATGACTGACCAAAACACGTCGCCCGAGGCTGGCGCCGCCGACCATTCAGGAGAGGTTAAGAAGAAGTACGATCCCAAAGATCCCCACCGCCCTAGGAGGAAGAAGGCAAGACGTGCGTGCTATGCTTGCCAAAGGGCGCATCTTACATGCGGTAAGTCTCAGCCCTACGACTATGTGCCCAGCGCCTGCATCGCAGTCCAACTGTCTCAACAACCCCACAATTGACCTACAGCCAATGTGTCTCAGCGTGAATTATGTCGAAGCGCCATGGAGCTAAAGTAGCCTTACTGACACCCTTCGGTAGGAGATGAGCGCCCGTGCCAAAGGTGCATCAAACGTGGTCTTGCGGATGCTTGCCAAGACGGAGTCCGGAAGAAAGCCAAGTATCTTCACGATGCTCCTCCGGAGGCTTTGAGACCGGTACTGGGACCAACTTATAACCCAGCGGTCCACACGAAACCAACGAATGGGAGACATCTTTCTAATGGGAATTCCGAAACATCCCCATATTATTCGGAAGCTTCCAATTCCTCTACCTACTCTATATTCAATGGCAATGCTCAAGGTCAGCTATCGTCGCTGTCCGACAACATGTCATTCGCCAGCCAACAGTCTCCGGTGACTTCTGGATTTCAGCCACCGAACACGTCAAGAGCGGCGCAGATGGGCTCCATGCACGTTCCTCAAGTCTCTGGCGAGATGACCCATAATTTTTCGACTGCACTGTTTGATCCAAGTAACCCCGCGTTATTTAACTTCGACCTCGAAGGCCTGAATTTTGGGAATCATTATGGTGCCCTTGAATTCGGGATGCTCGGCCATATGTCTTCTGGTGCTGCAGAGACACCCCCCAGAGACGCCATAGCTCATCCTCCTGGGACGGACGTCAACTACGGATCTACACCAGTATATCGAAACGGAGTCAATCAGTACAGTCATATGTATGAGAATGGCATGAACGACGGCTTCATGAGCGTTGATCCAAATAACGGCGGCACATATCCGGGTAACTTGCAGCATGGCTTACCCCATGCGTACGCCGTGGCGGCTGCCGGACCAACGCCAAATAGTCTAGCCAGCCCGAGCACAGACAATACGTCAAGCCCGCAACCCACGGGCTATGGATTCGATAAGTCGCCAACTGCGAGTACTTACACAGCTGCCAGCTCTCAACCAATAACTCAAGCTCAACCTACGCGACCAAAACCGAAATCGTCTAATTCGACGGGACGGTTCGGACCTCAGTCTGTTTTGGGCAAAAGACAACGTGACCCATCTGCGATCTATGATACTGTCACCGAGCCCTATCCATATCTCACCGGTTTTCATAACTTGATCGCATTTGTCCAGCGAAGGTTCTCCGCTAATAAAACTCTACGTATCGCCAAGTCTCTTGCCAGTATTCGGCCTTCATTCATCGCATGCACACGGAATCTCAACCGGCAGGATCTCATTTTTATGGAAAAATGTTTACAGCGAACATTATTCGAATACGAAGACTTTATGGGTCACTGCTCTGCACCAACTATTGTTTGCCGAAGAACAGGTGAAGTGGCCGCTGTAAACAAAGAATTCATAGCTCTGACTGGATGGACCAAAAATGTGTTGCTTGGAAAAGAACCCAACATGAACGTTAATAATGGTCGGTCGGCATCTGAGCTGAGTAGCCTCGGTAGCACAGGCAAGCCAGAATACACTACACCGCGGCTCAGAACTACTCAGCCAGACTTGGGCAAAGCCTCGGAAGGCAAGATACAACCAGCCTTCATTGCGGAGTTTATGGATGACGATAGTGTGGTGCAATTCTACGAAGACTTCGCCCAATTGGCCTTCGGGGACAGCCGCGGCCACGTGACAAGAAAATGCCGACTCCTCAAATACCGAACCAAGGAAATGAGCGAGTCTCTAAACAATGACGACTCCTCTCACAAAGACAGGCGGAACAGCAGCATCCTGAGCAACAGGGTCACACGGATCGACGGAGAACATGGAATCTCCAAACTTGAAAAGGACGGCAAGATTGACTGCACGTTTTGCTGGACTATCAAGCGGGACGTTTTTGATATACCAATGTTAATTGTGATGAACGTAGGTCGACTTCGCTACCGTGCCCCGAGGGGATTTTTAGATGGCTAATTTGATCGCAGTTCCTACCATGTTACTATCGCAATCAGGACCAACTAGCTGTATGAAGACTGGTTAGTTGAATCACACGTATAGAAGCATGCATGCTCTTGGATTACCCCCTCTTTTTTTTAACTTCACGGAACTACTATATATAGGTAGCATGGGCGGCGTTTTGGATGGAGCTCGTATTAAGAGCTCTTCTCCCTTTGAAGGGAGCTGGTCATAGTGCATGTTATCAGGGCTCACCATAGGGTAGACACGGCATAGAACATGGATTTTAAAATCGGTTCTACAATCGAACACCATGAATTTCATTGACCTATTCTACGGTACTATTAAAAAAACAGTACACCTTGTTCTATGCACTGAACGCCTATACGGTGAACTGCTAGACCAATATATATGGTCTTGTATAGGAGAATCGCATCCAACATGTCTCACGTGCCTTGCATCAAGGATATCCGAGAATTCCCATTGCAAATGCCTCGGGACGGGTTGATTCGGGTAACCCGCTGCCCCTCCTACCCCTTCGCGTCACCTCTCACCCCCTTCGCTCCCTTACCCCTCCATTTTGCCCCTCCTGATCGCATTACCCATGTCGCATCCTTGTGATGATATTTCCCATGTGGGTAAGTGAGGAAAGTAAGATTATTATATTTGCGTCACGTTGATATTGCAAGTACGTATCTAAACAAACGCGATACATAAGGTCAGGTTAGGTTAGGTTAGGTTAAGCAAGCAACCCAAGTCTAGGTACCCAGGTCTCTCCATGTCTATCTAGATATATATAGGTAGGTATAAGGTATATATATATATAGAAGAAAGAAACAGGCCGTTATTCGTCCCTAACGAGCCAGGAGGCGTCGAGCTCGCCGGCGGACCCTTGTTGTTGGCGCGGGGTCCAGGCGGGGCGGGCGAGGGAGGCGCGGGCGACCTCGCAGTCGATGTTGATGTCGGCGACGAGGGCGTCGAGGGAGGCGTAGTCGCGCTCCTCGCGGACGAAGCCCAGGATCAGCAGGCGCACGGGGGCGCCGTAGAAGTCGGCGCCGAAGGACCGCAGCACGTGCACCTCGGCGGAGCGCACCGCGTTCTTGTAGAAGGGGTTGTACCCGATCGACATGACCATCGGGTAGATCTGCCAGTGCTGCTGCTGCTGCTGCTGCTTCGGCGACGAGGAGGTGGGGGCGGAGGCGGAGTCGTGGGGAGTGGGGGAGGATGTGGATGTGGATGTGGGTTTGGATGTGGAGAGCGACGGAAAGGTTTCGGATGCTGTGCTGACGGATGTTATCGTCGTGCGCGGAGGGGGAGGGTGGGATGTAGGAGGAGCGTCGACGGCGGCGCGGGGGTTGGAGCGGTGGCGGGGTTCGTGGGATTGGTTTGCGCCGGTGCTGTTGGTGTTGTTGCTATCGCTGTCGCTGTTGATGGTGGTGGCATCTTGTCGGTCGGGATGAGAGGAAGGCAAGGCGAGGGCGGCGTATCCGAAGTATACGCCCGACTTGGCGGTGGCGATCCAGGGCGTCGTGACGGAGTCGACGGGAAGGTTGGCGGTTGGGATGCCGAGCTCCTTGGACCCGCGACCGAAGCCGGATATGACGGTGCCTTCCATGCGCAGCGGGTACGGTGGCTCCGGACCCGAATCCGAGTACAGGATCCGCGGGCGATCCTCCGCTGCTCCTGCTGTTGCCATGGCGTTCTAGGTCCCTCTATAAAGGGTAGATCTTAAGGGGTTATCGGAAGTTGGGTTAGAGATTGGCTGAGATTAGCGCTGACTGGCGTTTCGAAGGCGACGTTGTTTTTCTTTTCGTTCTCGGATGTGCGACAAGGATAACTTGGGGATCGACCGCGGGGTTTTTTGAGGGGCCTTGTTTGGTGGATAAAAAGCAATCTATTTTTTGATTGCTTCTCTAAGGTATATATTAACGACCAATTGGCATATAAAAGAGGTATGTATCCATTATATAAATCCTGTGGCTATAATGTATTCTAGTTGAAAAAATTATGACTCGGATCTATTAGGCACAACGCATGGAGAAAAGAGAGATCCATTTACGTGTAAAGCTATATCGGAGTTGATGGACATGTGGGGGTAGGATTAATAATACCTTAGGAACTAGCTAGTGTATATGATGCACGTCGCAGATTAGATAAACCTTACATTATCAGTTAAGCACCTTAGTACGTACAGGCTATTTTTTTATTGCCATTTTGTTCGCCTCAGGTACCTCCTATCACCAAGTCTCAGGAATTTATAGTGTGCTTATGTAATCGCTGGGTGTCGCTGAGCAAAGCCCACTACAATACATTATAGAACTTATATGATGACCAAACGTAAAGTTATTTTACGTTTAGTTTACGAATAGAGCATATGACCACATAGGTAAGGTAATTGGTCTTCCAATGTTTTACCTGTGAGACGATATCTTTGACGTCTTAACAAATACTCATCACTTTGTTGTTGACCTCACGTCCTATTAGCGCATTTGAAATAATTACCACAAAGCACAGTTTATTGACATGTTCTTCAAATCTAGTCCCGAAAACAAATGCAATTATATAAACAAAGCACAATCACAGTAGTGTGAGCGCGAAGAAATTCTAATATGATATACTTACAGATCGTAGCAGTTTATTGCATTCGACCGAGTATACCTAATCTATACTCACCTAAGGTAATATGAAAAGGACATAATCAAGGGTAGCCAGGTGCCTCGCAAGAGGATAAAACTTTAGGTAGAGGGCCAGGTGTTACTACATATTTCATCCCAGTATACCGCGCGTACAGCCTTGTGTTAGGGATAGGTGAATATAGTAGCGGTTCTACCAGGTATATAAATGGTAGCCAGCTCCCTCAAAGGAGGTTAGAAGGCCAGACGTTCTCGAAGCCAACTTTCAGAGCCCTTTGACTACGACGATATACACGAGCATTATGTGTAAGTAGTTTCTCATAAGAATAGTCAAATTTATTATCTACCGTAACAATAACGCCGCCTAAGTACAGTTATGATAAAGAATTGTTATTCGAATCGCTTTGAACTTGTAAATTAACGCACACGTCAACCATAGACTGATTAAAAAGATGCAAATATTATATAGATATGCCAAAGCAACTCAAAAATACGCACCACGTAATCGACCCTCCCCCCTTTTCTTTCTTTTTACTATCCATAATAATGTTGCCGAAATTATACCTACCTCCTAGCTTCCCTAGCCCCAAAAAGAGCAAAAGAAAAGCCTTGGATATAATTTCCTATAAGGTATTTCAGTTTTACCAGCTTTGGGCTTTACTTTGACCAACAATAACGTTTTATTCGAATTAGTAGTTTGTTCTTTACCTTACCTAAGGTAATTAGATGGTACGGGATCGGGCAAGGCCACGTACAAGCGTGAAACTATCGTCAAAATTAGGCTTGGATCTACAAGATCTAAACACGATGTATAATGTCCCTAATAAGAGCAAAATAAGATTTGAACTTCGTCAATGCGTTTTGTTTACCACACTAAACCGGAGTAAACAACACGTCTATGCTAGCCATAAGTTTATTTGGAAGCTAGTATTATAAAAGCAGACCCTCCTAGCCAGTCCGGTTTCATTTTATTCTTTCCCTTCCCCATATCGACCTACATCATCTTGGATACTCCAGTGGCATCTACGTCTCGAAAACATTCACAAGTTTTCATATTTTATCAGATCTATTTTCGAAGCATCGTTCCTAATCATCCACTACTTCGTCTTTTAGATACACAACATCGTTCTAAGCCCACTCAATTACTACAACCAAGATGTATGACTCGCTGGGATTCACCCAAGTTTCCTACGGCCGTCGACGCCAAAACAAGCCCAAGCAATCAAGCCCGCCTTGCCGACGAGACAACAACGGTTGGCAAGAGGGTGAAATTGCGTTCCTCAAGCCACACAACGAATTCAGTCCGGCGGCAAGAAACGACCTGATCCGTAGTGGCTATCTGGAAGTAAAGGCGAGCGGACACCCTGTAATTGGTACGTACACTACGTAGACAAACGCGTCCGCGTATACCCTATTTCGCACCCAAATCTACACTTCTTCGAGAGGTATCACAATTGTACAGAAATGGATAGAGGTGGAATAAAAGTACAGGATGATAAGTAACTACCATAGAGAAGGAATTATCCTTGTTGCTCATCCATTCTTGCTAAATATAGACATTATCCGTATAAGACGCGTCTCTACGTAGAGCCAATACGAAATGATACACTATATTTTGCAGAGTACTTTTTATCCATTCTCTATAGCCTCTTGCTCTCCCTTTTCTTTCTTTTTCTCTTTTTTTTCTAGAAGTATAACTGCTAATTATCATTATTCTATTCAGTCCTGGAGAAGTCGAAGGATTCGAGCCACTATCTAGTTACCACCATCTCGGCATATGGCTCTGGATCCTTCAATGACTATCTCCCGCCGTGGAAGCAGGCCGTTCACCGCTACAAGGACCGCTCTGCTTTTCGTGCGTTCCAGGGCTCGGTTAGGCCAAATTGCCATCGCAAGTATCTTGAACTCGAAGGCAACGCCGCTCTACCGAAGCCAGAAACGTCATGGGTCTACGCTCGAAGCGCTTTCGTGGTTCCTTCCTCAACCCTTAAGAAGTTTAATAAAGTTGAGAAGGGAACTCGATTAGCTAAAGAGAGCCTTATGGACCTCCTTGATCACTTCCGGGAGAATCCTCAGTTCCATCAACGCTGGACTCACCCGACGATTGTCAAGATGCTTCAATCGAAGCCGGAAAGCGGTAGCCCCTCAGGAAACCCGAAGCCAAGATTTCCAACGACAGCAACATCGCCCGTGCTATGGTGCCGTCTATGAGGGAGGTCCTTATAGCAACGTCAACCCCTCGAGTTGGCATCGCTCTACCTTTTGGTAGTGTAGCGGTTTGATAGACATCTCCCCGAACAATTACAGCCCGGAACCAACGCAACCGAAAAATTTGTCTCGAGTCCAGAAGATGCTACCCATTCGACCCCGGAGTGAATGCCAAATACAACATCAAATATAACTCATAGAGTGACTCTTAGTTGCACTTGGAGTACAGTTGTGAGGAGGTTCATTCCTAGGCCGAGTTAGTGGCTCGCGCGTTCTGATGCGGTTACGAGCAAACCCGTCACCGGATGACACCATTACCTTAGGTGTCTTCCGCACGATAAACGTTGCATTGGTAACACTGCAACCAGCTCGTATCCAACTCAACGCGAGCAAACTCGACAGACGATTTATTCCATAACTTCGACATTGCCGCGACCACCATAATGCAATCACTATATTTTGGTGACGATGGTGACGACCTTTACATTTATTGGGCTGTGAATGGACTATCTACGATAATCCAACAGCCGTATTATATACAAGCGAGGAGTTATCACCTATATAACTTTTTCAGGGGTATCTGGAAACAAAACAAATCAGGCAACCATTGACATCCTGTCGCATGGTATATAAGCCGTAATCGCTAGCTACATGTAGCAATTACGACGGCGGCATTTTTGTTCGACACATCTTCTGCTCCACGCAAAATGCCGCGGAGGGGGGCTATTGAATCATCGGGATGGGGATCGGATCCCGAGGCCGCGCGGAGAATGAAGTCCATAAACACTATGACGCTTCCACTTACGCGCCGCCATGCTGGATATCTTGGATCAAACCCTCGAAGTCATCGCCCCCGTCTGTCGATCTGCCTACTCCTAGCACTTTGCTACCTAGGTGGTTTGGCAGCTTCGGGGCCCTCGGGGTGCGATACCCACCTACCACCAACTACCAGCGCTTCTATCCGCGGAGCTCGGACTCTTGATCATGTTGGAGATTATGACCGAAAATCTAGGCAGCAACTTGTTTGACGCATGGGCTCACTCTTTATTCCACTGGGGTTTAGGTAGCAGAAACAAACATAACAGCTACACCTACCTAACCTAGACATACCCATGCCGTGGCTCCGCGTTGAGAATGAATGTTTATGGCGGGAACGAGATATGATTTTTGGAAAGATGGATTTTGGGAAGGGGTTTTGGATGGTTCCAATTTTTGGATGACTTTTTTTGGGAAAGGATTTGAGAATGCTTTGCGGGTTTTGTCCTCAGTGGAGGTTTCCCCGTATTCAGCGTATACAAAGGCATATACATGTAGCTGGCGAATGCGCATTCAAACTTGGGTGGAATTTGGCTATGACGATGTCGAGCTTGGAAATTGTGAGATATTGAGCGTTGGGAGGGTTATAGGTTTACCAAGACTATGGCTTTTGAGGATATGTCATATACTGTACGATCAAATGAACTCAGACTTTTACAATATCCAATTGATATTGGATCATTCTACAACATGGAAAGCTCCTTAACTTCTATCTTACCTGAGGTAGTCACTCAAGTTTCCTTGCTTCTACTTCCGGCGCAATAATAACTGAGAGCGCAGGTAAGTTTTAGACATTTGCTTTTGTAATTCACCTTTCATCGTAAAGCTGACGACTTGGGTTTAAGGTGACGTTGGTACATAGTCATAAATTTTACCCCTGAAAGTAAAAAGTTCCTTAAATCGACTGCAGATCTCAGCGGTGTGGGGATCTGATTTAGGGATCTAGATGTGCCAACATGCGCGTTGGATCCTAAATCCAAACAATTGTTGCTGACGTCGCACCCAATTATATTATATTATTTGTCATTCGTGTGGCGGAGCTCACCCTCACAGGATTGTGGGATTTTGGCCTTGGCTGGGTTGTATTATAAGAGTCATGTTGTCTAGATGTTTTCTAGCGGTTATGAGCTATGTTCCTTAGAGCTCACTGCGACGTGCCCTCCGGTAGGTCAAGTACTCAGCTCGCTTTTGAGTAGGTACGACATAAAACGAATATGCGTTTCGCCCACCTTGCTGCGTCAGCTGCCGTGGCCGCCGCTGCGAACGTCGTCGACCTGTCCGATGTAGGCTGGACACTTACCAACGACGAAAGGGATATCTCCGTTCCTGGAAAAGTCCCTTCGCAAGCCCACCTGGATTTATTTGCCGCAAAAGTTATTGATGACCCGTTATATGGGCTGAATGACTTCGAGCTGCGATGGGTCGCCTTGGCCGATTGGAACTACACGGCCCAGGTCTTGGGGCTGTCGAAGGGGGAGGGCTTAAGCACTTTTCTGCTGTTCAACGGCCTCGATACGTTTGCAAACATCAGTCTCTGCTCGAAACCTGTTGCGAGCACAAACAACCAATTCCGCCAATATTTCTTTGACGTCACCGATGTTTTATCCGGATGCCAATGCGATTCTCCCGAGCTTCTCATCGAGTTCGGTAGTGCTCCTAGAATTGCCAACGAGCTTGCAAGTCTACCCGGAGCTCCTACTTGGCCCGGGGATCCCTCTAAAGGCGTTCCCTTTGCCCTTGAGATCACATTTGAGTTCTCGAATCGCCAGTTCATCCGAAAGGAGCAATCGGATTTCGGTTGGGATTGGGGCCCGGCGTTTGCGCCGGCAGGTGTTTGGCAGAAGGCTTGGGTCGTGCAACTTCAAGATGAGGAGGTTCACGTTCGCAACTCGGTACTTGACATCTATCGCGAGGGTCAGTTGAACCTCATCCCCCCCAATCAGAATGCCAACTGGGTCTTGAACGCCAGCATCGACGTGATTGGTACCGTGCCGCAAGGGGCGAGCATGAACTACAAGATTGTCGACCTTGTAACTCAGAAGGAGGTTAGCAGCGGAGATTTGGCAAACATCATGAATCATGGAGACGTGATTATTGGTACTGCTGTCCTAGGGGCTAATGATTATAAGTTATGGTGGCCAAACGGACTGGGAGCGCAGAACCTTTACAATATCACTATTGATATAGTATCTAGATCGGGCAAGACGTTGGCTTCCGTAGAGAAGCGTACCGGATTCCGCACAGTCGTTCTAAACATGGGAGAAGTTACAGAGGACGACATAGCCAAGGGAATAGCACCGGGTAACTACTGGCATTTCGAGGTTAATGGGAAAACATTCTACGCTAAGGGTAGCAACATGATCCCGCCGGATACCTTCTGGCCACGAGTAACCGCGGAGAAAATCCGGGCGATGTTTACTGCCGTGGTCGATGCAAATATGAATATGCTTCGTGTCTGGGCTGGCGGCGCGTACCTCCCCGATTTTATATACGACCTCGCAGACGAGATGGGTATCCTCCTCTGGTCCGAGTTCCAGTACGGCGATGCCCTTTATCCCGTCGACCCAGAATTTCTCGAGAACGCTCGCGAGGAGGCCGTGTACAACGTCCGCCGCATTAATCATCACCCTTCGCTGGCTGTCTGGGCAGGCAACAATGAAATCTTGCTCTTGATGTTTTATGTACTCTCAATCATCGCACCAGACAAGATCGACTACTACCAGCAACAATTCCAGACGCTATTCATAGACACGCTGGTCCCTGCTCTCTTTGGAAACTCCCGCAGCATCAGCTACATGTCCAGCAGCGCCAACTACGGATATCTGTCTCTTAATTTCAGCGACCCGATGCCGTACGTCGATCGATACATGAACATCACGCCGGGACACATCTACGGCGATACCGACTACTACAACTACGATATCTGGCAGGCGTTCAACATATCGTCTTTCCCTATAGGTCGGTTCTCCAACGAGTTCGGGATCACAAGCATGCCGAGCATCAACTCGTGGAAGAACGCCGTCGACGAGGAGGACCTGTGGTACAACAGCACGACAATCGTGCTGCGGAACCACCACCAGCCCCCCAATGGGCTCAACACGAGCAACTTCGACCAGGCGACGCAGGGCATGATCGAGATGACGAACGCGGTGGAGACGTACTACCCGGTTCCCATGAAGGCGGACCCCGCAGCCAACTTCTCCGCGTGGTGCCACGCGACGCAGGTCTTCCAGGCAGACTTCTACAAGACGCAGATCGAGTTCTACCGCGTCGGATCGGGAAAGCCCCAGCGCCAGCTCGGCACCTTGTACTGGCAGCTGCAGGACGTGTGGCAGGCGCCGACGTGGGCGAGCATCGAGTACGAGGGGCGCTGGAAGGTCCTGCACAACACGGCGAAGGACATATTTCAGCCCGTCGTCGTCGCGAACCAGTTCAACGTGACGTCCGGGATCCTCGAGGTCTACGCCGTGAGCGACCTCTGGGAGGAGATTAAAGGAAAAGCGAGCCTCGGCTGGGTGGGCTGGGATGGTAGCAACGTCGATGCTGCCATCGAGGCGGGAGACGTGGATTTTACGATCGGGCCGCTGAATACCACGCTGCTCGCGAGGGTGGATGTGAACAAGTTGAAGGCGGACGCGGCGTTCGACGCTAGTAACGCCGTGCTGGTGGCGAACTTGACGGCCACCGGAACGCTGCCGAACAGCGACGCGACCACGACGTTCACGCACACGAACTACTTCACGCCGACGCCTCTAGCTTCAGCTGCTCTGGTAGATCCGGGTCTAAGCGTCGAGCACGACAGTAGCGCGGACGAGTTCGTGGTGCGGGCGGACAAGGGGACGAGCATCTGGACGTGGGTTAGCGTGGGAGTAGACGATGCGGACGACGTGATTATCGCTTTCGACGAGAATGCGTTCTTGTTGAGGAAGGGCGAGGAGAAGCGCATTAGATATCGGGTCATTAGTGATAGTGGACGGAGGTCTGGGTGGAAGAGCAGGGTTGGTGTTAGTAGTATTTGGGATCAGACCTTGCCGTAAGGGATTAGGGATAGAGTTACAGTAAGCAGATGACGTTTTTGATATTTTATTTTACGAGTATAGGTAATATACTCTGCCTTCTTATGCAAATAATCTTTAGATGCTTGAGAGGTATCTATATCTATATCTATGCCTTTTGATTTATGATGAATATTTGAGGACTTGTCACATAGGTACTTGTTAGGATTCTTTCTGAGCATAGTTGCAAATTCTCCCTTGGTTCAGATATACCCTAGATGTAATTAAGATATGTAAGAGCATTTGAACCACTCAGTTTAAAGATCTCTACTATAAAGCCCGGAAAGACTACAGGATACGGAAAAAAAGGGGGTGATGCTAACAGCTGTAAGGCACCTTACCGGCCCGACAGCTGTAAAAAAAGGTAACCATTGCGGGTCTCTCAGATCTTAGGCACATAGTAGTTCACCGACAACTCGATCATGACTTATAAATTCATATCCATACCAAAACTCACAGCGCTTCTCGTCTTTTTTATTGCACTAGTCATGCACAATGTTCTTAAAAATCAGGTTGGGCCCGAAAAAGTGGCCGCCATCATGCTATCATGGCACTCTCTTGAGTTAGTCTCATGCCGGAAATTGCAGACATTATGGGCAGGGTATGGATACATCTACGAGCTCAAAGCCCGAGCTACTAACGATGAGACCGCTACCGAACTTCGAAAGAAATATAGTAATAATAATACTCCTCATACCAAAACCGGTGAAGAGTTGTTTCCACTCATCCTCAAGTACATAGCACCCCCACCCACAAGGCCAGGTTTCGAAGATGAAGGGCATTTGCGAAAAGTCATGAGTTATGGCGTTGAGCAATACTTCTACAACTCTGTGGCTCCGCTGTTAGAAGATGATACAGCTGTGTCTCACTGTGTTGCTACAACACTGGAGTCTCACGGAAAACCAGGTGCAGGGGACCTTCAAGGTTTGACAGCAACAAGTATGTAAAAACATTTTATTTAACTATCACGATCTTTCTACACCTTTCCATTTCTAACAATAAATGGCCTTTGACTTATTCTTATTATAGTTATGACCGATCTGAAGCCTAGCTTTCCTATTGCGGGAGAAAAAAGGTCAGAACTCAATGAAAACCAGGTTTACGCCGCATTGGATTGGCTGTCGAGTTTCCATAGAACTAGTCGAAGATTCATGTCGGCGAACCTGCAGGAATATGTGCGCCCTCCTCTCGAAGAAGCTGAGAGGCGACGTAATGGAGACGACTCTGGCAAGACGTTGTGGCTTAATGGAGGGTATACATATCTTGCCACTCGTCGCAAGGAGTATAAAGAACTTTGCCAATATGAGAACTCGGAATGGTCTGCACTCTGCAAGCCATTTGTCCCCGGCGGACAGGCCGTCTCCGAAATGGTGGCTGACTTCCTAACTCCGCGTGGCCGAGACTATGAGACCCTCATCCACGGTGACGTCAAATCCGAGAATCTCTTCACGATTGGAACCGGTAAAAAGGCTGCATTCTACGATTTTCAATATGTCGGCCTCGGCTTAGGTGTCTGCGACCTCGCTAAATTATTCACATGTTCGGTTCCACGAGGGTTTCTTATAGAGAAGGGCAGAGAACTCCCCTGGGCGCTTCCGATGACCGTGGGCGAGAGCAAGCTTCTCGAATATTATTATTCGAGATTAACCAATGATTTCAGAGACTCTGAGGGACGGAAGCTAGAGTATGACTGGGATTCATTTATTCGGCACTGGGATACCGCGCTGGTTGACTGGTTGAGATTCCAGGCGTCGTGGGGTTTCTGGGGTAACACGGACTGGCTTGAGGCCAGAGTTCGATACATTATAACGAATGAAGCGTGGAGGGAATGGATCCAAAAAGAAATTGAAATCGGGATCTAAGTAGGTACCTAGGTTAGGTACCTGATATCAAGTTGTGAATATCAAGTTGTGAATGTCAAAGAGAATAGAAAGCTCCATCCTATGAAGGTGAGATAATCATGGAGGCTGAATTAGACTATTCCCAACTAAAGGAAATAAGCCTGGCATTATTTGTTGTCTGTTTCGATTTTCGTGAGCTAATCTTAGTATCTAACTTGGAGGCTCCCGGACGCGACGCTATGCTGGGTGCAGCTATTTCGCATTTAGCCGAGAGTATTTACGTATGTCAATGAGCTGACCTAGAACGTCACGGCGTTTTCGGCTTTACATGTTTCAACATTAATGGCCTTATACGCATTATGATTACCACTTGGGCCCGTATTCCCTAACTTCTCCGCAGAAGCAATACAACCTACTCATTAACCGAACGGTCCGCTTTCCGTATTCGGAATGAGGCGGCCCACGATGAATTTTCCAGCTATTAGTAGATTAGCCTAAGGGAAGAAGATGCAAAAAGGAGACATTCGGGAAAATGGCAGAGGTCACATGAGACATCTTCGAGACTGCCCTAGGTAGGGTCAACGGAATCAAAATGTTTATTTACCTTGGAAATCGCCCACCGGATTCCTTTTTTTTGAGTGATTCTTTCGAGGGAAACTACTGGGAACCATCTAAGTTCATAGCGGCTCCTGCGAAGAAACAGCAACAATGAAGGTCTTGTCGACGCTCGCAACTTTGGTTGCGCTTGGCAGCTGCCAATCCCTGACCAAGGTCAATGACTTCAGCGGCACTCCCACGAAGTTGGGCATGTACTCGTACGTGCCGAAGAACCTCAAGACCCCGGCGCCCATCATCGTAGCTGTACACCACTGCCAAGGCTCAGCTCAGGGATACTTCAATGAGGCCCGCTACGCACCATTGGCTGACCAGCATGGCTTCATTTTGATCTACCCCAACTCCAAGTCTGGTGGTGGTTGCTTCGACGTCGCTTCCGACGCTAGTATGTCTCTATTTCCCCCAAGCTATACTATTGCGAAGTTCATTATTACAAGAAAGTTGACTAACTGAATTTGTGTAGCCTTAAAGCACAATGGCGGCGGTGACAGCCAGACCATCGCCAACATGGTCAAATACGCCGTAGAGAAATACGGTGGTGACGCAAACAGGACATATGTCACCGGAACCAGCTCCGGTGCCATGATGACCAACGTCCTCCTCGGAGCCTACCCCGACGTGTTCAAGGCAGGATCCATCTACTCCGGCGTGCCGGACGGATGCTTCGCCGTCCCCGGCTCTACCGCCACCCAGGACCCTCCGGGATGGAACAACCAGTGCGCCAACGGACAGACCACCAAGACCGCCGCTCAATGGGGTGACCTCGTCCGATCTTACTACCCAGGATACACCGGCCCTCGTCCCCGAGTCTTAGTGTAAGAGAAAAGACACCTCATCTCAGATACGATCATGTTATTTTCGAACTGGTAGGACTGACCACTATCCTATAGCTGGCACGGAACTTCTGACAGCACCCTGCGATACCCTAACTGTAAGTCCCAACTGACTTGGACGAGATACATAACACAAAAAGCTAATCTTATATGTGTAAACAGACCAAGAGACGCTCAAGCAATGGTCCAACGTCCTGGGCCTCACCACCCACAAGGACACGCCCAACACCCCGCAGAGCGGATACACCCAGACGATCTACGGCGAAGGCACCGCGACGACGGCTCAGCTCGTCGGATACAGCGCCCAGGGCGTTGGCCACACCGTCCCTGTTCACCAGAACGACGACCTCGCATTCTTCGGTCTTGTGTAAAAGGTAGGAAAAGGTCGTGTGGGGTTCACCAGACCGAAGGGCTAGGAGGTGCCTACCTACTTGGTTTGGCCAATTTGTAAATACATAGCGGAAGCATTACTACCTGGTATATACATACTAGTTGACTTTACCTCGCAACTACATATCTTTATGATTGTTTAGATTGGTAAAGCTTAATTTTCTAACTTAATGTAAGGTAAATTCTTGAGGTGAGAATTTCAAAATATTTGAATAGGGTAGCAGAGTCAGAAACTAATTTTCATGGCATCAAATGATTACATGTAAATAGATGCCACGTGGCTACGGCAGTAAGTCCCTATTATCTGGTCTGTGGGGTTGCGTCTTAGCCGGGGAACTGGAAACTTCATAGAGACTGTAATATGCTATAGGTACCTACCTAACCTAAGTTAAGCTCAGATTCAGTCTCAGATATCTTGCGCCCGTCGTAGTAAGGTTATTACCTAAGACATAACTTGGGATCAATTAGCCTGTCTCAATCCAAGGTGCTTCACACACCGTAGGCAAAACATTGGAGCCTCTCCAGAAAGTAATTCTGCAGCAACGACATATGTATTGTAAGAATCTTAAAGTTACACGGATCTAAGATCGACAAATCCCACATGCATGGCCTATCCGCGCAGGATAAATCTTCACTGCCGAACTGGGACGGGTCCGGGTTGGCAGGGGATATATCTTGGCAAAGCGACCTAGGAGAACTATACTACCCTAGATGTATGCTACGTAGCCAATGAACGGTCGAATACAAGCTGCCGATATAGAATGCTATTGGGGTAACCTATATAGTTGATAGTATTCCCAAGCTTGGTTGTGGAGGTTTGCACTAGGCAGATCCATGACACCATGTGGGAATAAAAAGCCTTTGGCGTGTGTCCCCATCTGTATCTCCCGAACAGGCGCTTTCGTTTAGGAAGAGTGTATAAGGGTAAATTTCGCGTCTATTCTATTTTAGCTCGTAATGGCAAATGTGCGATTAGCAGATAAAGAGGTACCTAAGGTGGAAGGGGGAGAATAGCTTTGCTCGGTCTCGGAGATATACCATGTAGCTATTTCTAGCAATATCCGGAGAACTTCACCGTCATCGATATTCGATTTGTAAGAGATCAGACCTTTTGTTACCGGAACATACCTACCTAATATATACCTCCTTTTTTGCTGGACTCTGTATTTAAGGTACCTACCTAGGTTGTTTAGGACATTATATATAGTAAGACGCGAAAATGTCCTTCCCGTATAAAACCGTCCTCTTAGTCGGTGCCACGGCCGGCATTGGCCTGGCGATGGCGGAGCGCATGATCGAGAACGGCATTTTCGTCATCGGTGTCGGTCGTCGGAAGGAAAGGCTCGACGCGTTCGTAGCCAAGCACGAGCCCGAAAAAGCCGCAGGGTCGCAATTCGATATTACCGAATTTGACAAGATCGAGGCATGGGCTAAAGAGTAAGTGCCTGTCTACCTTCTATGTAAAACCCGAGAGACAATGTTAGATCCGACTGATTGTTTGGTTGGTTTGGTTGGTTGGTTGACCGAAGCCGCATATATTAGCATCACTACCAAATACCCCGACATCGACGCCGTGTTCCTCAACTCGGGCATCCAGCGCACGCTGGACTTCACCAAGCCCAAGGAGATCGACCTGCCCCGCACGATGCAGGAGCTCGGCACGAACTACACGTCGTACCTGTACCTGATGACGCATCTGCTCCCGCACCTGCAAGCGCGCGCGCCCCAGCCCGCGGCCCTGATCGCCGTGACCTCGGGGCTCGCGCAGGTGCCGCTTCCGCGGTGCGGGAACTACTGCGCGACGAAGGCGGCGCTGCACTCGCTGCTGTGGTCGATCCGCGCGCAGCTCTCGCACGACGAGGCCAGCAAGCACATCCGGGTGGTGGAGATCCTGCCGCCGGCCGTCAAGACGGAGCTGCACTCGCAGCAGGCGGAGCTCGTGGCCATCGGGGAGGGGGACATCGGGATCCCGCTCGAGCAGTTCACCGACGAGGCCTGGGAGGGGTTGGTCAGGGGCGACGAGGAGATCCCCGTCGGCCAGATCAAAGAGCGGTTCGAGGCGATCGAGGGTCCGAAGAGGGGGCCGTTTAAGAAGATTGTGGAGATATTCATGGAGAAGAAGTGACTATTAAGGGGGAGGTTGTGAGGACCGTAGCTGGGTGTTTATAGCGAGCGACTGCTCTTTTCGTTTCTTGTTCGAATCGGGTATCACGTAAGGGATACAAGATTCCAGCTAGATATTAAGATGCAACCTAGACGTAGCTGTCCAACAATGGAGACAATAGATTCTGTTAAGTCGGCAGTCAATATTTGGTGTAAGATAAAAAACTTTAGGGTTTGACTCTAACCATACTAAACCATATCTATATTATTATGGCTCCAAAAAAAAAAAAAAATCACACGCTTTGGGTTATTATAATATCGGAGCCGTGTATCTCGGGGTTTACATACAACATTTCTAAATTGGTAGATGGCGCAAGTGTCGAAGAGCTCTAGAAGAGGCAACCATCACAACAGCAGCAACGAATTATACATCTAGCACGTAAAGGTGACACGCAATCATACGCAAGTGGTGATAGAAATTATGTATATTGAAGAAAACCCTCAAGTATGGTTTTCCGGGAGTTCCATCGATAATGCTAGTAGTAGCCGCCGAGGACCATTAATTTAATAATGATATCCCCCGTAACAACTACCAGTCCTGGAAATATATGGCAAAGCAGGCGATGGGGAGCATGAGGATGAGCCCTAGGACATGCTTGATCGCTTGGCCGAAGCTCTTGTGGGAGCGCTTGCTTGTCTTCTTCTTGCCGTCCATAATTGCTATGGTAAGAGAAAGGAATTCAGTGCAAGATGCAGTTCCTCGACCTAGATATTTATATTTTCTCAAGGGGTCTGTAGAAGGGACATCTCTTTATCTCAGGCCTTTGGAAGTGACTGAGGGTGAAACTACTCCAGGACAAAAGTATACAATCAGCCTGGTACTCGGTCATTGTTTTGGATTGTTGTTATATTCTTAGTACGCTAGTCTCTAGTTACAGCCCAGCAAACACTATTGTTTGTCTAGTGAATACCTACTGCCGCCAATAAAAGCATGACCTGTTAAAGGGATGAATGTCCATAGTCTTCAGCTCTTCTTTGAATGACTAAGTGTAGGCTGACTTTATGTAGATGTTGCAAACACCTTCCACGTAATAGGCATAGATAAAATTATGGTGATTAGGGCAAACTCGCCAAGTCCTACACTAATTCCTTCAAGTAGTTCGTGGTTGACCATGACGGTGGAGATCTCATGCGAGATCGAATAAGATCCTTCACTATACCTACATGTGAGTTGACTATTAACATGCATTTTTATAGTTTCTCGATTCTCCCGTGGTACTCCGACGAGAAAGGCGGAAAGTGTATATCGAAACTCCTCGTTCTCGTAGTTTCACCCAATGAGCACGTGTATGACAGATGGAAGTGAGATAGGCCAAGGGTATTGTTTTAGTTGATCGAGAAGAAGTCGACTTCAATAATAGCTAGTACACAGAGCCGCTAATATATCACTGTTAACATATCCTATTCACTATAGGTGATATTCCTTAACAGTCTTCCTATTCTCTCAAACCTAGGTACCTCCCCCACCATCCGGATATGAGATATAGCCCAAGCGCCAGACTCCATGCCTTAAAACAAAAGGTATACCTAACCCGTTCCACGCTTTCTCCTCTCTTAGGTACTTAAGCCTTCCACTCGTCCCGGCCGAGCCTGACGATATCCGATGCCCCCAGAACCCAGTACTTGCTCGGGGCCTTGCCCTCGGCCGCGAGCTGGGAAGCGCGAACGGCCGCCCGCCCGATGACGTCCGCTTCCTGGCCCAAGAAGTCCTGCGCGCCCTGGGCGATCTTGCCCAGGCCACGCACGACGGCGTTGAGGAGCGGCCCGCCGGTGTGCTCGACGTCGCGCTTCCCGAGGATCAGGCCCGGCTGCAGGATGATGGCCTGGTCGAAGGCGAGCGCCTTGATCGAGTCCTCGACGCCCACCTTCATCTTGGAGTAGGGCGCCGCGCCGCTGAGGAACCCGCGCGTGCCGGCCGAGGATACGAAGACGAAGGTTTTTACTCCGGCGGAGTGCGCGGCTTTGGCGAGCTCAATATTGACTGCGAAGTTGGAAAATAAAGAATTCTGTTAGTCCTATATACTCGAGTTGAATTTGCGCATCAAGGGTATGACGGGTCTTGCGACGTACGGTCATGATCAATCTTCCACTGGTTCGCGATGCCACCAGCTTGAGCTCTGGTTGTTCCCAAGGCGGAGAAAACGACGGGGGGCGGGGGTGAAATGGACGAGAGGTTAGATGCCCACTTCGTAGTGTCGGACTCGACGGCGGCGACTAGTTTGGGCGACTCTGCTTTCGGATGCCTGCGAGAGATGGTATAAATCGACTTGAAGGTATCGAGACCGAGGAGGGTCGAGAGTATGTGAGAGCCTACGAGGCCTGTGCTGCCGATGACTGCAGCTGTCGACGTCATGATCGCTGAATGTGAGGTAGTAAGTTGGCCGGTTGGGTTATGGTGAATAAGTGTCAATATTGTGTTGTGTTGTATTATTGTATTATATTATACGACGGCTTTAATACAGGAATGCAGCCCACTATCAGGTGCCGCTATCAGGTGCAGCTTATCGGATACAGCCGATTCGGGCTGCCGCTTCGGAAACTTCTTTTAATTGTGAAATACAATTCGGGGAAATGGTCCTCCCGTAATTCAATTACTCATCGGGCCTGGAAGTCTCAAGCAGGAAGTACCTCCCGGTAATGTCGTACAACATCGAAGCTACTAGTGACGCCATTTGATAGCGCTGCAAACGGTTGCAAGCTAGGCAAGGTAAAATGGGGGGTTACGCCGCGGCCGTTTTTGGCTTTTATGCCGAGGCTTATTTTTCTATGTACCACCACATAGCTCCAACTCCGGCCACGACATCAAGACCTGCCTAAGAAAATCCAACAACATAGTCATTACGAAGTGCTTATGATGCCTACGCTCAACCTTCACATCTATTTGTTATTAACACAATTAATTGGTATACGAAAGTGCTTTGCGCAGATATTGATTTGCGAATGGATGTTATCATATAATTTCCTTCTAATTTGAAATATCCCCCTTTATTTTTACCGTCTTGTCTCCAATCAGGTCACCTCGCAAGCTTCCCCTTAAGTCCAAATGGCGCATGGATAGTATCGCATCCCACACAGCCTACATAGCGGTCTTGAATAAAGAGAAATCGATGCTGAGCTGATTGACTTAGGCTATATCTATCAAGGATATTGCAAAGGTTTGATTCTCTAACTCCGATCTATGGGAGAGAAGATCAACTGTATCCCCGTCACAGCTAGTCACTAATAGCCTATGCCAACCAGGGTGAAGTACCAGAGTGAAGTGTTTCCCAAATACGAAATATGATTTAAAAAAAAATATGGAAAAGTTGTCTATATGTCTTTTCTATTGCGCTGTTGCACGCTGAGGGGATATCCTCTTTTCTGTCAGGGTAAAGCACTGACCTAACATAGTAACTTCTTTTGGGTGGGGTCTTCGAGTTCTTGTTCGAGCGAACAGTTCTAGAATTTCTCAAGTTTCTCTCAGGTTGTTAACTATGCTGTGCGACACGGTTTGTTTCAACTCGTAAGCTTGATTAAGTCACAATGTTGAAGCGAAGCTGTATCGAGCTTTACCTCTTTCAAGATACAAGATACCCTTTGAGCTGGGTCTTAAGACTCCATTGCACTTTACTGCCTCCAATTGGCTAGAGTCTTTGGAGAGACTACATAGTGTAAAGGTCTCTAATGATCATCAATATATTAACATTTAGCAGATAATTCCGTTTTATATTAGGCATGTATTGTAAGTCTATTGTTTACCTCCTAATTCCATCAACGCGAAGACTTTTACTTTCAGATTGTATTGCCTTTTAGTTCTTAACGACAATTAATTACACAGTACAGCTGAGCATCAGCTAACAAATTTGTGGAGTTTAAGGAGATGGCCTTATCCCTTACCTTGGTTGTTCGTATGAGAGCCTCACAGCCTCAGAGCTTGGTTTCAACTAGCCAAGGAAGAATGGATACATCTGCCTCATCTGGTCTAGCAGCTAATAAGAAGGGGTTGTTAATAACCCCAACCCACCAGGATAAGGAGAGCGACGTCGAGACATCCTGGCGAAAACTCATACAAATGGTGGCGTTTCGTTTGAATGGAATCGCATTTACCCTCCAAAACTGCCTATTTTCGAAGAAAACTGCTAGCATTCTATCTTATCTATATCCCAGCAATCTGTGCCACAGGTGGACACTTTGCGACGGCGTAGAAGGCCTCAAGAGAAATCCAAAACTCACAACGGATTCTTTTTCTTTGTAGAATTACACATCTCCTAAAATCTAACTTCAATTCTCAGCAACTGCAGGGCAGTATATTCTAGATAGTATCAAGGCCGGTCCTTAAGTTATAAAAGTATTTTTTTGTAATTATCGTCATTCATTTCAGCTTCATTTTCCTATCGTTCATTCGTTCAGTTTTCTTTCTATTTTTATTGAACAAAAAAAAAAAAAAATCAATTCGCAACAATGCTGCACACGGCAACCTTACCTCCGATATACGAAGTACTCGAAGATGATTATGAGAAGAGCGAGTCAGTCTATTTCTTACCCAAGAGACAACAGCCGAGATATGCCAGGCGGCGGTATCATGCGCGCGACGATAGCAGTCAAGGAGTCCTCTCGATAATTCTCATTGCTCTTGGAACATTCTTGCTGGGTGTCATTTCCGCACTGGTCATCATTCAATTCAAATCTCGAAATCCTACGAACGGCAGCTATGAGACGGGATTTGAAGAAGAGAAGCTATGTAAGTCTTCTTAGAATACGTAAGACGCGCCTTGGACTATGATCTAATGCTTCGTCAACTAGTACCAGCTAGCTCCATCGAGCTTGAGCAAGTCCAGTTCAAATTGCCGGTAGACTTCGCATCCAATGGGGGCGAGTTCCTCGTCGCTGAGCCCGGCGACAAATCCTACATCGGCACAACCGCGGAAGTAGACGCCGCCTGGAAGAACCTGCTCTGGGGGAGATATTTCTCGGTGTCTGAAGCCGAGGCGAAGGACTTATGGGGAGACGAATACACGGAGTATTGGGACCATCATAGAAGCGGCTACACGGCAGGGTGAGTTGTTCTGGCCCACTTTCTATATGTACATGTGCATTTTCGAAGGGGGAGGTAGCCTATATGTGCTGACTTGTCTTGTGCGATTATGGTAGTCTCGACATGTTCCATCAGCTACATTGTCTAAACCAGATTAGACAAGCCCTACACCGCGACGTCTACCCAGAGACGCCCTTGCATGGGCCCGTTCACACCGGTTCGTAGTTTCTCTCTCACACCCCCTCCCCCTCTTCCATGTGAAAAAGTTCTTCACCGCTAAAACCTCCAACAAGACCGCTGCTTGGATCAGCTACGTCAGTCGATTATGTGCTGGGGCAGCACAGCTGTCGTCCCATTGAAGTATTTGGAAGGTTACGGCAGCGAGTACGTCAAGACGGACGCGGTTCATACGTGTCGAAAGTTCGAGCCGATTCGTGAATTCGTGTCGGAGAGGTTCAACGGCAGTCTGTTCGTGCCACGGCCTAGCGGATGGATTGATACTTCGGATAATGCATTTTAAAAGCGAGTTGGCGCCTAGTTTAGATACATGTTATACTATTATTGGAATACCCCTGGGAATTTTGGTTAGACGGATAATTGGCTTGAAGGCGAGTTTCTTCCCGCGAGAGCTGAGGTTACTATGTTACTATCTCCTGGCATATAGAGTTATATACACCCCCTCTTTGGATTGCTAGATTGACGGTTCTATAAATACAAGTCTCTAAAGACTATACACCCTGTAAACTCGCTATGTGAACACCCTGAAAGTACCTAGATTCGATTTATATGTATAACTGTACCTTTTATGTAGAATACCTACTGTGTTCAGAGCCCACAGATGGATTGCGTGGCATATACAGTAAGTGTTAGGTAACAATACAGACGTTCGGCGAACCCGAACTTCTCCCTTTCAACCGGAGCTATATCTCCGCTCGGCGTGGACTCCTGCTTCGAATTCTCTGGTTACTACTATCGGGAACTCGAAGACTAGCAGCAGTCTTAGTCTCGGTCTCAGTCTCAGTCCTAGACTTCTCAGAGCGCGTCTCTTCGCTCCCGCTGTCAGTATCGGCAAGACTCTCCAACTCCATCTCTTCGTCAGGGACTCGTCTTGGACCATGCTGGCTAGGCGGGTCGACCGGCTTCTCGTGCGCGTGCAGTTTCATGTTCACGAACATGGCGTATAGTCCGAAGTCGTACGACAACCGGCAGCTCCCTGCCACGATGAATGCGATCCAGAAGCGGTCGCTCGAAGCCAGTATCCCGGTGACTGTGGGCCCCGCGGTAGCGGCCAGAGTCCTAACGGTGGCCGTGATGCCCATGACTGCCGTCCGCTCCTCGGGCTTCACCACCGCCGCTATGAAAGCCGCCCGCGGCGCTTGATCCATGTTATTCAACCCCGAACGGATGAGTAGGAGCCCTGCCGTCAGCCATAGGTACGGCGGGAAAGGGAAGAGCAGCACTGCCGCTGAAGATGGCGTATGGGTGAACACCATCGTGTTGATTAACCCGATCTTTCGCGCTAGGGGACCTGCGAACGACGCGGAAATGGCCCCTAGGAAATAGCTAAATGAAGTGATGTCGCCAAGCGTTGACTTGGCTGGGTGGAACTTCTCGTCCATGTAATAGTTAGTGAGAGAATACGGCACCATCCCGTCGGCAAGAGAGTCGACGGCAAGTAGAAACCATAACTTATACATAACCGATCGAGTAGATGGCGATATTTGAGCTAATCGATCGGATAGCCACCTAAAGGCTCGGATGATCCAATTTCGAGACGCTGTAGATTCAGGAGATACTTCCGAAGGTTCCTCAATATGTCCCGTACTTACATCGCTGTCATCTGTGCTATCGTCTTGTGTAAGTTGTGCGTAGGCTTCATTCTCTGGTTGCAGCTCGCATGCGTCAGTCAGACATAAGACCAGTACGAGGTTAACCGTGCCCATCACAGCGTATATCCAAAAGAGGGCATGGTATGAATCGACCTCAGTCCAGCCATCTTTACTTTGCAGGTAGCGGAGAACTCTCCCTGACAGTTCGCTTCCTAGCGAGGACCCAAATAACGCCGTGGTGACATGCCACGACAAGACATCTGCTCTTGTCGAAGGAGTAGTAAGCTGCGACAGTATAGACCTGCGCTATCGTCAGAAAGGGGCTGATACTACCATATGGTAGTCTTAATAAGAAAAAAAGATAACAATTTGACTAACTCTTCTATACTTCGAAACGGACCAAAATCGCCGCCAGTGATACTGATAACCCCGACAATCGCAGCGAAGAGCAAAATCCAAAAATTCTCAAAAATCGCAAAGATGAGACCGCTGCATATCATCAACACAGATCCACCTAGCAGGACTTTTCGTCTCCCAAGACGGTCCGCGACAAGCGTGAGAAAGGTTCCGAGGACGACATCTCCGACCAGCGTAAACGTCATGAACAGGCCGATCTGGTGGTCTGATATCCCCAGGGCGGAGAAGAAGATAGCTGTGCGATATCGTATTAAAACTCGTATGTCAAACTAGAAGCTATAGAACTAACTATAGGCAGGCAGATACAGGATGTAAATGAATAGAAGTATAGGTTAGGTGCGTATAAGTACAGTATAATTATATCCTGCCTGTTACATAGTAGGTTGAACCGGAAGATGCGTACCTAGAATCAAGGCATTGGTCCCGTACGCGAACATCCGGCAGGTCCGCGCCAAGATGATCAGGTAGGCGTTCCGACCGGCCTCGTGGATGGCCGCGACGCCGAATTCATGGTAAAACCACTTTATCGGCTTTACGATTCTCTCCAACATCTAGTAATAAGTTCTGACTTTTCGCCGATTCCAATCGCCGATAGTTCAATCTGACGCACTACCTTTTTTTTCTTCTTATTGATGTACCTTATATACGATATACAATATACAGGTAAAGATTATGTGTTGAGGAAGACTTTTTACAATATAGAATAAGCACTCCAGAAAAAAAAAGATCGGTTGCCTAGCTCTAAACCCGCACCGGCTTGGTCAACCCCCCGTACGCAGAAGAGATAGCCGACGTCGGCATTGCATCATTTTGTCCCCGGGTACGTCGCATTCTTTTTGAAGGGATAACACGGGCCCCGGTAGGTGATTTGAGTTTTGTATTTGCATATACTATTATTCAATGGGACGGATTGAGATTTAGTTTATACAGCATCTGCCATTGATAGATAGTTTTTATGCTGCCTAGGGTTAGAAGGTAGTTGTTAATATTAACTCTTGAAGAGTATTCTATAATTCTACCATGCTCTTAATGCAATTTATACAAGACTGTGTCAGGAGGTATGTATGCATGAATTAACGTAAACGTAAACTGCGTGGATTCGACGACGCTTTATTTCAACTCGGATATCAGATCCGTGCAGTGTAATACAATGTAAGGTAACTTTCGGAGTTGTGACTGTGACGCTGTCCATATTTTCTCTATGCAAACCCGGCGTAATCCAAGTAAATATACCTCATCTTCACATCTTCTCAACTGGTGCTTTTCTTTCCTACCATCATCTACAACATCCCCAACCACATCGGGCGGTCTTACGGGAGGAGTTGCGCCTTTATTGATCTATATTCAGAATATCCCTTTTCGTATCCAAATCTCAGAGGCGACACTACGAACTCCCGTTGGCGTCGATTTTACCCTCGGTCTTTTCTATGTAGTCGACTAGGTCCTCGATTGTGCAGACTTTCAGTCCCCATCTCCTTGCGAATGCGATACATCCTTCACCCCTCATCATCCCCGGGTGTTCTCGCACGGCCGCTCCGGCGACCTCTTCTCCATCTTCGACTATTTCGCAGATCGCAGCGACTTCTGGCTTTCCAGCTAATCTACAGAAGTCCACGCCAGCTTCTGTATGCCCTCTTCGGGCTCGAACGCCGCCTGGGCGCGCGCGCAGGGGAAACACGTGGCCCGGACGCCGAAAGCTAGCGACGGTAGAGTTGGGGTCTGCGAGCTGTCGAATTGTTAGAGCCCGGTCGTGGGCGCTAATACCGGTCGTAACAGAAGGGTCGGCAGCGTCGATGGAAATTGTGTAAGCAGTTCCGCGGGGGTCTTCGCTGTTTTCCACCATCTGCGGTAACTTGAGAGATTCGGTAAGGGCGTGTGTGATAGGTGCGCAAATCAAGCCGGACGTATGCCGAACCATGAAAGCCATCTTCTCGGTTGTTATGCTGTCGCCAGCTATGATCAGATCTCCCTCGTTCTCGCGACCGGGGTCGTCCATAACGACTATGAATTCGCCATTGCCTATACAATTACATTTGTGTAAGCTGACTGTAGGTATGGACTGCGCTCGAGATGAATCCTGTCAAATACCTAGGATCAAGGACACGTACGAAAAGCGGCAATTGTTTCGGGTATGCCGTCGAACTTGTTATGGTTGATGAGGGCGGACGGCATGACAGGCGATTTTTTTTCTTTTATTTTAATATAGTCTAATGAGTGTTCTTTATTTTCTAACGCTCGCTAAGGATATCGGAAATTGGTTCAAGGTGGTTATAGGATTACGTCGCAACGTACGGTTCGGAGAGCGGCGTATAAATGGCAAAGATGTCGTCCTGTTAATTGAATGGCTTCCAGGAATAAAGGGCTAATAAAATTTTGAGGTTCAAAATAATCTACGACAATAAAAGAAGAATTGGAAAGAAGTAACTAATAAGTTAAGTACCTAACATTAATAAGTAATGTCTGACTACTAAATTACGGTAGACAATTACTCATCCTCCATCTTTCAAAACGAAGAATGCGGAAACAACTTTCAAATGCTGACTGATGACCCCGTTTGTCTCATCTAAGCTAAAGGGTTCTCCGAGGGGCCTGGGGGCTTAGGGACTTTCCTCGGCGGGGTCGGATTTCAATCATGAGGGGCCTTTTTTGCGCATTCAAAAAGATCTATGGGGCGCAAGTTAATCCGCCATCCTCTCGGGGTTTAAAATTACATCACATTAACTCTTATCGCGTACTTTAATTGGCCAATTCCAATTTTTGTTAATGTTACCACACGATAAGACTTTCCATTTCCACTAGACTGGGTACGTTACTTCACATGCATTCTTGGCTCTTCAGTTAAGGTAAGCTGTTTACCTAATTTGGAATTTTACCATCTTGATGCGACCAATCTTTTCCCACCTTTTCACTCCTGCACGATAATAACATCCGTCGTAGCTGGGTACCTAAAACTACAAGATCTAGGGGTAAGCGTGAGAGTGAAGGTATATTTCAAAATACTCAATCATGCCACCCCGCATAACACCCGCCCTTCTCCGGCAGCTCCGATCTCCTCCAGCAAGTCCGCGGGCCGCTCGATGGATATTATCATCTCCAAGCCGGAACCTTTCGGCTACGGCAGCCTCGGCCTCGGCTTCAGCTTCTCACTCATCTCCGAATCCTACTTCTGCAGATTCTACTTTCACAACCGTTTCTCCCGATGAGGTCTCTCATTTCAACGCTCTAGCATCCTCGTGGTGGGATCCTCATGGCCCATCCCGCATCCTCCACTTGATGAACCCGCTGCGCCATGACTTCATCCGCTCATGTCGCTCTTCCGTCTTTGACGACCCACCACCGTCTTCCAATAATTTAAAATACTTAGATATAGGTTGTGGGGGTGGTATCTTCGCCGAGTCCGCCGCCCGATTACCTACCACCGCGTCCGTAACGGCCATAGATCCTAGCCCTGAGGTGCTATCTGTTGCCAAGGCGCACGCGAAGCGGGATCCCGCTTTGAAATCCAAGTTGACTTACTTAAATACTCCCATTGAGGAGCTGCCAGTCCCGAGTACGCCTCAGGACGGCTATGATATCGTGTCAGTCTTCGAAGTGATAGAGCATGTATCGTACCCGGCAGAGTTTCTTGATCGCTGTGCGCCCTTCGTCAAGCCCGGTGGCTGGTTAGTTCTCAGCACTATCGCAAGGACGTGGCTTAGTTGGGTGACGACCAACCTTGTGGCCGAGGATTTATTACGCATAGTACCGAAAGGCACCCACGACTGGCGGAAGTACATCAACGAAGAAGAGATGAAAACCTACTTCCTGCAAAAGAGGACAGAGTGGACTGAGCCTAGGTGTATGGGCGTAGTTTACGTCCCTGGTCTTGGTTGGAAAGAGGTTCCTGGTAGCGAGAAAGTAGGAAACTACTTCTTTGCCGTGAGAAAGGCCGCTAATACGGTATGATTAATTGATGTGGTCTAGTTGACCAACAACACGACTTGAGGATATCGTACTGCCTCACATCTCTATGCCAGGTACCTATGTGGGTACCTATACTATATATAGTCTAATCGTTGGCATTACGGCTATGGAAGCTCTGAGGTCGAATCCAGAGCTTCGGTGATGAAATAACGCCCTCGGGATCACACCATTTTTCTCCAAACCAGCGACATGCCGAAGGAGATTAGGTGCCTACCTAGCCTATCATTATATCCAGCGTCAGATACCGTTTGGTTTATTTGACTCATATAACTTAGGTACTCTGTCACGAAGACAGTAATAAAGACGGTGATACTATAATCCTACCGCCAGGTCTAGGTCGAACTAATTCGATCGGATGACATAGAAAAATATATACAAATATTAACTAAATATTCAAACACATATATGACCCATCTTAGGCTTCTCCTGATTGACAACTCAACCTACCTGTAGGCTTACTATGTTCTTGTTCAAGCTTATCTAGTTAGGGACCACTCGCGCGATAAAGCCTGCTCATGTTGGATGTCGTAATTCCGAGTGTAACGCTATCTACCAATGACAAACCGGGGATAGTATAGATATCGATAGATATCTCATAACACAAGGCGTCTATTCTACGTTGATAGGTACTTCAGGAATCCCTGAAGTAGTTGGTAAGTTGGCCTTGATTAAGAGCAAGTTTAAGCCTAGATTTCAAATGGCTATACCGAATGCGCATCCCTTACCGATGGTTAGAAGTGGATCTTCGAATTATACACCATGGCGACACGGTTATAATAGGTACCTAAGCTGTGGTTCTCTTTAAACCTTTCTACCTACCTAAGGTACCTAGTTTACTCTTCACGCCTACCTTGACTTATCCTCGTAGACGGGATCTAGTCCTAGGTCAGTTGCAATAATGAGTTCATCTTCAAAGACGGAAGTCAACGACGAAAAGTCGTCGGCTTCCCCTGGAGAACTTCTACAAGAGAGAGAACCCGCTCTCGCCAGTAACGGAAACATAATCGACGATGGCTTACAGCGCGGCCTCAAAAACCGCCACCTAGTCAGTATCTTCCTACTCTACCGTAAATCCAGCATGCATGTGAAGATACCTACTCACTCGAGATAATACCTACAGCAAATGATTGCCTTCGGCGGCGTCGTAGGCGCCAGCATCTGGTACGGGACCGGCTCGGCGATCTCCTACAGCGGGCCGGCCGGGGCGCTGATCTGCTTCCTGGTGGTCGGGGTCGACGTCTTCTTCGTCATGCAGAGCCTGGGCGAGATGGCAACGCTGTTCCCCATCCAAGGCGCCTTCATCGAGCTCGCCGGCCGCTTCGTTGACCCGGCGCTCGCCTTTGCGCTCGGGGTTAATTACTGGTACGCTTGGGTGACTAACATCGCCAACGACTACAATAACATCTCCCTCATCATGGGGCTCTGGACCCGCGACGCCGTCCCCTCATACGCCTGGATCTTGATCTTCTGGGCCGCGTTCCAGGGCTCCTCGCTCCTGGGCATCGTCGTCTACGGGGAGATGGAGTTCTGGCTCGCCTGCTGGAAGCTTGTCTGCGTCGTGGGCGGCTTTCTCGTTGCGATCCTCGTAAATACGGGGGCTATCGGCGGCGAGTACATCGGGTTCCGGTATTGGCGGGACCCTGGCGCCATCGCGAACGGGATCAATGGGTTTGGAAAGACCTTCGTTCTAGCCGCGGTTTATTACAGCGGTACTGAAATGCTGGCCCTGACCGCTGCTGAGAGCCGCAATCCGAGGAGGGACTTGCCCAAGGCGATTCGGCAGACCTTCTGGCGCATATTGATCATATTTCTTGGCCTGGTTTTCTTTGCCGGGATAATTGTACCTTATAACGACAGCTCGCTTCTAACGGCTACTAGCAAGTCTGCGCAATCCCCCTGGACGGTTGCGCTCGTGCACGCCGGCTGGGCAGGAGGCGGTAACCTAGTCAACGTCGTCATGATCACCGCGCAGCTCTCGTCCGTCAACAGCGCCATCTACGTCGCCTCGCGGAGCCTCGTCGCCCTCGCCGCGAACGGGCGCGCGCCCGCTCTCTTCGCGCGGACCACGGCCAACGGGGTTCCCGTCAACGCCATCGTCTTCTCGAACCTGCTCGGGCTCCTGGCCCTGCTGAACGTCGCCGCCACCCCGGGAAAAGTGTTCAGCTACCTGGTCAGCATCTCCGGGGCCGCGACGTTCATCGCGTGGGCCTTCATTGGCGTCACGCACGTGCGGCTGCGGCGGGCGTGGGCACTCCAGGGCCGCGGCCTCGACGAGCTGCCGTACCGGGCGTCCCTGTACCCGTACGGCGCCTGGCTCGTCGTGGTGCTGAACCTGTTCCTCGTGTTCGTTTCCGGGTACGAGGTTTTCGTCGGCGGCTTCGCGGCGGTCGATTTCGTCTTCTCGTACGTCGTCGTCGCGATATTCGCGGTCTTGTACTTTGGCTGGAAGCTGGTGAAGAAGACTACGGTTGTGAAGTTGGCCGAGGCGGACCTCGTGACGGGGAGGCGGGATTATTTGCTGCCGGCGGAGGGGGAGGGAGAGGGAGAGGGAGAGGGTGCTGGGGAGGAATCGGGGATCCCGTGGTATGTTGTGGTTAAGAGAGTTATTTTTAGCTGAGGATAGGTGGTATAAAAGGTGTTTGAAAAAAGCGAAAGTGCAGTCACCTCTAATAGTGTTAATGTTGTAGATTAGCAATTATTGGAGTACAAATCTGCTGCCTCTTCTTCGCTTTGTATTTCTTCGTAAGTTAAATCAAAGTCAAGCTCAAATCACTCAATATCCCGCTCTGCTATACAGTGTTTAAGTTGCAAGAAGATGTAAAGTAATAGCTCAACCTGATTCCCTAGGTAAATCATGGGGGAAGGTAATTCAGCCATCCGGTTCGGTCTGGATCGACGAGATATAAGCATTCTGAAGCAGTCTATGCAAACTATAGAAGGTAGGCAGTCAACTTAGTACTTAGGTACCTAGGTACCTAAGGTAAACTATGTGAATATATTTTATTGTTGGTCTAGCCATCATCTAGCAGTCATTAGCTGTGCTGCTATAACGTGTTTAGCCGAGCGAACCCCATAGGAAGTACATGATCCGATTAACAGCAACCACTGTAGACGTCGCCACGCCGTTGGGTACATCAGCGAATTGAAGTTTTGGCTTGAAGTATATCCCGTATGACATGTTGGTCTCCCCACATAGCGCAAGTCAACATCCGGACAGAGTCATCCCTAGATAGGCGAGGAATTCTATCCAACAACACTTGGACAGTGCCGCTATGCTGCCACTTGATTGCATAGTATAGCGGGCGTCGCTTCTGGTTATCCCTCGATAAGACGTCGGCACTCTGCTCGAGCAGTATTTGGGTAACAATATCATGACCTCCCTCAGCTGCATAGGAGAGTGCTGTTCTGCCTTCATTATCCTTCAAATCAATGTCGGCACCATTTTCCAGCAGGAGACGAACCGCGGCATCGCATCCTTCCTCGGCAGCATATGACAGCGGTGTTCTGCCTGTGATATCTCTTGCCTGAATATCCGCACCGCGCTCTAGGAGAAGTTTTGCGAGGTCATTGCAGCAGCTTTGAGTATTATGCCCCCTTTTTAGCGTAGCAGCATGGAATAAGGGCGTTTTGCCGTTAATATCTGCTGCTTCAACGTCCGCGCCCCTTGTGAGCAGTGTGGACGCAACAATGGCGTGTTTATTCTTCACTGCTTTGATCAGTGGCGTATCGAAGAGGTAATCCAAGTTGACATCGGCGCCGCCATCAAGTAGTAGACCCACTATTGCATTGTAACCTTCCTGTGCCGCCCACATTAGCGGTGTTTGGTTATCATATGAGGTATCTTTTGACTCGATGTCAGGACCTCTTTGGTCTAATAGCTGCCTGACGACCTCTTCAAGTCCAAAGCACGACGCGCGCGCTAGTTGAGAATAAAACTCTGGGCATTCTGTACGCAGAGAAGTCCAAATATTGTACCACATTCTGGTTTCAACCGAATCTAGGAGACGGAGCATTGAGTTCTGGATTGACTCGTTCTTCTGGAACCGAGCTTGGTGGTAATGAATAAGCCAATTTTGTGCTGAGTATTTGAGGAATGGATAAATGGTGGAAGTTTCCTTGCTGCGCAGAAATGTAAGGTCGATAGAAACATTGGTAGAATCCGAAATGTCTTCGCGATGATGATAAGTTGTCAATGGATCAAGGAGAAGATACCAAATGCAGACATTGGCGAGGATACGATGTGATTCCACCAAATCTAGCGACTGTTTCCATTGAAGACAGGAGTTCATTGGTCTATTTAATGTTTGAGCATTTTGAGTTTTGATTAAGAAATCTCTCGCAGTCTCATGAAGTAAGTATATCTTCGACTCCACGATTCTTATGAAACAGCCGCTCAGGTCTCTAACCGTCCGACTAAATCGGTCTTCCGTTTCAAGCAGTAAGTCATCATGTTTACGATGGCTCTCTCCAATAGCTAATGCCACAGCTATTTCATTTAAAGAAAGGGGCCGCGCTGCCGCAATCACGATGCCTAAGAGTCGCCTAGCCTGTGATGGATCGCTGCTTCGGCCCAGAATCATGTCATAAGCTGCTTCAACTGTCCTAGGAAGTGTGTGAACATATTGCTGTAATTCATCTCTTGTGATATCGACGTTATTTCTGATAGCTTCGAAGACCAGATTTGCCCATAGGTATGTCTGGTGAGGAACTGTAGTAATCGCTTTTCTTAAGAGTTTCTTCTCACTCTCTGAGAGTCTGAGCGCTGGGCCTAGATGGTGGATATTATCCTCGATGAATATGTTGATTTCTCGAGATATTGAATCAATACTGTTTTCTCCTGTTACTTCTATTATAGGAACGCACTGCTTTAAACGCTCAAGGCCGCGCCAAATGGTAGAATATGGGTGGCTTGTTAACACGAATTTCAGCACACCGCTATTGTTCAGGAAATGGACTAAGGGTAACCTGCTCATTGCTTCGGTTAGTTGAGCTCGCCCCTATTCTGCACATTCGTCAAAAGCGTCCATGATACAAATGATTTCTCCGTCAATCTGGGATTTTGGATCGATAAGAATTTCCTAGAGTCCTTGAAAAGAGCTAGTAAGTGTTTCTCTTGATTCAATCTTTTCGATTATTCCTCTAGAAAGGAGACCAGGTCTTTGATCGATAATCTGTCGTACGATGCAACACATAGCAATCGTCATATTGCTTTGGTCTTCTAAACCTTCTTTGAAGAAGAAATAGCACGTTGCTCTTGTATCTGTTCTAAGAAGGACCTCATCGGCCAAATACTTTGCTAGGACCGATTTCCCGCATCCTGGATCTGCAGACACCCAGAGTATACTTGGTGCTGTAGCAGTGCACCAGTCGTGGAATTGGGGGTAACCCGTAAACCAGGCACAGGTATTATTAAGGCGTTCGGGGACCGCATTCATGCAATCTTCATATGGTAGAAGATATACAGTTTGATACGAGATATTATTGGCTGTGGCTTATAACCTATTGCTCCTAAAATTGAAGCTGATTGGACGTACTAAATACCGATACGAAACCATACTGTGTATTAGAAGTAACGAAATGCCTCTTGATCTCAGAGCATCGCTGGACCTTCTCGTAAGTAGCATAGGCGCATTGCCAAACGGCTTATTAAAATGAGAACTATTCCTCCTTAAGATACGGTACGGATTCAAGTTTGGTACGGCTATTGTGATCGATGAAAGGGAAAAAAAATCAATTCTCAAGAGCAAGGTAAAAAACGGAATAGGGTATCATTGAATAGGGTGAGTCGAATCATACTAGAGGTATCTAACAATATTATTTGAATTTGTCGGGATTGCTGGTTATGAGTCTCTTGAGCACCTCAATTTGACGCGCTTGCGCCTTATTCTTTAAATCTGTAACTCCGCGCTTGTCGGTTCGTCTGGTTCCATTCGAGTATACGACGGTGAAGTCAGGAACTATCTCCCAAGGCTTTATAACGCTATGGGGCGTTAATGTGCAGTGCTTCTTCATCGTCAACATTTGAATTATCTACTAAAATAGGAAAATGAGCATATAGATTCAACTCACCTTCCCCAGCCTCGCCCCCTTACCAACTCTACAGCCTACGCCAACCAAACATCCCTCGCCGATCAGTGTGCCGCCAGACTCGAGTACGGCGCCAACTTCAATATTTGCACAGTCGCTAATGAATACGCCGTCACGCGACTCGCTGGGAGTTGGGTCCGCAGACGCGGCTCCAATGCTCGTCCGTTCATGGATAATACATCTTCGACCAATGGTGATTCGTCCATTAGAGGAATCTAACTTTGCTCGTGGATGTATAACCGTCTCGCCGCTGATATTGATTGTGTGATTTCCCGTCAGAAGGGCAGAATCAGCTATTATAATTGACGAAGAGAAGTTAACGGGGGCTTTCGGGCCGGACTGGACACGAGGGAGGATTGACTGGCGTTTGGAGGAGGACATCTTGATCCCATCTAGGTTATGTGTTTGTGTTTTGAGGAAGATCAATAATACCTGAGGTACCTGAGGTAGGTAACGCTTTTGAAGGGGGAGGTACCTAATTGTACCTCTTTAGATCAGGTACGCTTACCAGCTTATCAGCAATTCATTTATCTGATAAACCGTATGCATAAATCAATTGAAGACATGACCTCATTACATAGTACTCAGCCATTCAGCCACAGTAAGAAAACCTTAAAAGACGCCATCGCTCTTGTATGCAACCTAGAGGCTAGGTGATCGCCACAGACGATAGAGCCCACCTTTAGACAGCCCGAACCAATCACAAACCGGCCATTTCCATTCAAAGGCCTCACTTTACTAATATACTAATGTACTAATAGTAGGTTAAGTACTTTTATCTTTTCCAAGACAAAACCTACGTATTCCTCTCCATCGCCAATCCGGTCTCTCCACTCCCTCCGCTCAATTGAGCAACCAAAAACCCTTCCAAGATGCTGTCAAGGACCACCGCGCCGTCGGCAGCTTCCGCGAAGGCTTTATCGCGTGTCGCCCTACCGTCCTGTTCGAGATTATCATCACAACAGTCCCCCTCCCAACAGAACCGAAGTTTCGCGACAGTCCAGGATGGAACACCGAAACGAACTTATGGCGGCCTTAGGGACCAAGACCGCATATTCCAGAACCTCTACGGCCGCTACCCCGCCGACCTGAAGTCCGCTAAGAAGATGGGAGACTGGCACAAGACGAAAGAGATTATTCTGAAGGGTCACGACTGGATTATCAGCGAGATTAAGGCTTCGGGCTTGCGAGGTAGAGGAGGAGCTGGTTTCCCTTCTGGCTTAAAATGGGTATGTCGAATTCTCGCATCTGGGGCCGGAAGATAATCGCTAATTAATGGCACGATGCAGTCGTTCATGAACTTCAAGGATTGGGATAAGGACACGAAACCCCGATACTTAGTCGTCAACGCCGATGAAGGAGAGCCCGGTACCTGCAAAGACCGAGAGATTATGCGAAAGGACCCCCACAAACTTATTGAAGGATGTCTAGTCGCTGGCCGAGCTATGAATGCTACTGCTGCTTATATTTATATTCGCGGAGAGTTTATCCTTGAGGCCGCCGTGCTACAACGGGCAATCAACGAAGCTTACGCCGATGGTCTAATTGGTAAAAACGCCTGCGGATCCGGATACGACTTCGATGTGTACATACACCGCGGTGCTGGTGCATACGTCTGTGGCGAGGAGACGTCACTAATCGAGTCTCTGGAAGGCAAACCCGGAAAACCCCGTCTAAAGCCTCCGTTCCCCGCTGCTGTGGGTGTGTTCGGTTGCCCATCTACTGTCGCCAACGTTGAAACTGTTGCTGTCGCTCCAACGATCTGCAGAAGAGGAGGTAGCTGGTTCGCCTCTTTTGGCCGAGAACGAAACCAAGGAACCAAGTTGTTCTGTATTTCCGGCCACGTTAACAACCCCGCGACCGTCGAAGAGGAGATGAGCATTCCCCTGCGAGAACTCATCGAGAAGCACTGCGGTGGCGTCAGGGGTGGTTGGGACAACTTGCTTGCCGTCATTCCTGGCGGCTCGTCTACTCCTATCCTCCCTAAGAGCATATGTGATGACCAACTGATGGACTTCGACGCTCTCAAGGATAGCCAATCCGGTCTTGGTACTGCCGCTGTCATCGTCATGGACAAGAGTACGGATGTGGTCCGGGCCATCTCTCGATTAAGTCATTTCTACCGACATGAGTCCTGCGGACAGTGCACACCCTGCCGTGAGGGTAGCAAGTGGACTGAGCAAATCATGACCCGTTTCGAGAAGGGAATGGGTCGCGAGCGGGAGATTGATATGTTGCAGGAGTTGACGAAACAAGTTGAAGGACACACTATTTGTGGTAAGTCGCTATCATGATAATAAATAATACCCTACTATATTATTACAGTAATACTTATTTCTCTATAGCTCTTGGTGAGGCGTTTGCCTGGCCCATTCAGGGTCTTATCCGTCACTTCAGACCCGAGCTAGAGGCTAGGATGCAGAAGTATGCGGCGGAACACGGCGGTGCACAAGCTCTAGCTGGCGGATGGGATCCTAATGCCCGAGCAGAGGGCAAGCTGATTGCCCCCGGACAATAGACCTGAGCGGGTTGCCCATTATACTATACTACTAGATGGCGTAACTGGAAGGGTTAGAGAAACACTCAGCCACGTTGTACATCATAAATACTCGTCACTTTGTACATATCCGCACAGAGGCAGCACTCAATTCCTAGACATTGCTAGGTACCTACTTACTAGTGACACCAACCCTCTATCCAATAATTCAAAAAGAAATCATCCATGAGTATCTTGCCTTTGCAATTAACGTCTTTATGCTTAAGGCACTTAACGTCGTATCTCTATCTCATCTCCTTTCATGGTCTCGTAGCCTCATTTCCAACAGTAAGTCGAAAGTCTATCCAATTCTCCCCAGATTGACCCCAAACTTGATGTCTAAAAGGGTCTGCTAAGCATCAGGATCCAACGTCCCGAATTTCTACCTAGCCCCTGCAACTTCTCGTCCACATCTCTCCCACACATCCATCATCGTCAAGATCGTCGTCACGAACATGGCCAAGCCGACAGTCCCAGGTTCGGCTTTAACCCAGCCGACCGCAGTGCCCGGCAGGAAAATATCGAGAAGGCTAGCCGTGGCGCCGCGGCCCAATTTGTACACTTTAGTCGTGACCTCCCGCTTGCGCTTCTCCTGACTCCCGGCGACCTTCTTCTTCTCAGAAGCAGCGCCCTTGCTGGCTGGCGCGGGTTGAGCCGCGGCGGCGGCGGAAAGCGTAAATGATATCTCGAGGACGCTGTAGACGGCGCTGCAGACGAGCGAGAACAGCCAGAACCGCTGGGCCTCGACGGAGATGGTGCGCTCCCGCTCGGCGGTCCAGATCGCTAGGCCGGGGACTTGCAGCGCGTCGACGATCGTGCTGGCTTCCAGCAGCAGGTACATCCCCATGAAGGTCTTGGCGAACACGTCGATCCACGGGTGCACGCGCGACACGAACCCGCGCGGGGGTGCGCCTTTCTGGTCCTGGGCGGCGGTGAGCTTGGAAGAGAGCTTTTGTGCCGCGCTGAAGGAGTCCAGGAACCGGAAGAGCCGGAAGAAGCGCCGAGCAAGGGCTAATCGCTGATTCAAAGCCTTAAGGACGACGCGAGTCGTTGCGGGGGAGGGGGTCTTTTCTGTGGTGAAGGTGAAGAGTTGCAGGAGTAGATCGAAGGGGAGAGCGAAGTTTGAGAGGATCTGCACGATGGATTGGAAGAGACGGAAGGTCCTCTCAAGGCCGACTATGAGTTGGTGTTAGCTAATATCTCCAGCGAGAATAATTTGATGTAGAGTAATTTGGAAAATGTGTGTCCATTCATGAAATATGAGGGCTATGTCCCGGCTTAGGTCACTCATAACCATCTTGACATTGACATTAAGCCCAAGCCATTTACAATACTCTCATTTCGATATCATGAGCAGATCGCGGCTTGACACAAGTTCCTAGGTATATCTAGAGGATATAAATGACTCCAAATAAATTCTGTGCCGATATTCTTGCTAGCAACTTGAGACCAATATTAGGTTTTTTCTAACCTGATCGTACTTAGATATAACCCAATTCACTCTGCTTTGGAGAGTGCAATTGACTTATGTTTGATTATAAACTGAAACAAGTTACCCGGGCCAAGAACTACTTGACTCGGGGGCCACACGGCGTTTAGACGGGGGCCCGGAGGATTTGTGAGACGGCCATAGAAAAAAAGGAAATAATCTGGCCGTACCTGAATCGGTTGTGAACCTTACGAATTGTTCAAATTTGAATGACATCTTGCAGGCCTATTCGATCGAGATGTATCGAAATTCTCAAAGTCAATAGGCGTACCTAGTAGTATGTTGATGGGAAGATTTCGCTTATAAACTGTTGGAAATGGTACGTAGCTTACCTGCCAGGTTAGGTAGGATTTGCTCCGGATGCGGGCGATTTGTTGAGTCGGCGTTACGGGAACATCCGGAGCTAAGATGCATTATGCGGTACTTGACCTGCGCCCATCATTGCTCCGTGTTTATGCAAAATAAAAGCTCAACTTCTACTACCTAATGTAATTGCGTTAATATTAACAGTAGGTAGCCAACTTCGTAAAAAGCAGAACTCCCGCCTCTTCACAGAGAGGAATATGTTAACATTTTCTACAACTGCACTCCGAAAATAGAGTCAAGTAGAAACAGGATACTTGACTGGACTTCCAGATTGTCGAACGGGTTTCTACTTTTCGGGTAACTCAAAGTCTCTAGGGTAACAATAAGGACGAATAGAGCCATTATGCTCTTTCTCAAGATGAGAGCTGCCACGGGAAATATCCACTGTTTTATAATTAGCAAGTTGTACGAGCTCTTATACTGTTCAACGATAACCCTTGGTTCATTATAGGTAAAGTACCTATTAAACCGATGAGTAAAAGTGAGATAAACCTAGGTAATTATCGATAAAAGGTACGTACCTGCGATAAGCAGGATAAGCAAAATGTCAATGGCAGAAAAGAGGGTCCTCGTCGCGTTCCACAAATTTTTTTTTTCTTCGGCAACCAGAAGGTCGTGATTTCCTCCCAGCTTGGGGTCAATTCCGAAAAGTAACCTACCAACCTTTCTTTTAGGTGGAAGGTACTTACCGTTGGCAACTTCTCTTATTATTTTTACTATAATTAAGGGTTATGTCCCCCAAATCTCACACTCAACCCCTTTCTACATCATCTCAAGGCCCTCCAAATTGGTTATTTAGTAATAACTCTAGTAACTCCTCTATATCCACATCCTCGAAAAACAAGGCGCCAACAATGGCAAAGAAGAGTCAAAAGCCTGCCAAGGCGGCGGTCGCGTCTACCGCAGCGGCATCATCATCCGCCAACCGAAATCAGCCTCCTCCCGGCCAGCTCATGGACTTAGTTGAGTCGTTCTTGTCCGATCAAGGATTCGACAATGCCCATCGCGAATTTCAGAAACACAGGGCAAAGAAAGGATGGAAGAGCCAGAATGCCGGAAAGCAGAAGGACAAGGCACATCATTCTCTGGTCAGTGTGTTCCAGACATGGGAGACATTCTCAAGCCAGGCAAACACACCCGTCATTCCCAAGGACGATCCCATGAAGAAGATCACCAAAGTCAGCAGTAGCAGTAGCGATAGCGATAGCAGCGATGACTCAAGCTCAGAGAGCTCTAGCTCTAGTGATAGCGACAGCGACAGCGACGATTCCAAAGACGTCGCTATGGCCGACGCGCCTGGTGATGAATCTAGCTCTTCTGAAAGTTCCAGCTCCGACGATAGCGATAGTGATAGCGAGAGCGAAAGTGAAAGCGATGATGAGAAGGAAACAGCAGCAAAAGCAACCAATGGTACTGCTAAGACTGGCGCAAACCCGTTGAAGCGAAAGGCAGCTTCCGAAAGCGACAGTTCGTCTGAATCTGATTCCGACGAAGACATGTCAGACTCAAGCTCGGAGGATGAACGCCCACAGACGAAGAAGGCTAAGACTAAGGCAAGCTCCGATGAGAGTTCATCTTCGTCCTCTGAGTCATCTTCTGACTCTTCTGACGACGAGAGCTCCGACGACGAAGACGAAGATAACGCCAAAAAACCTAAGAAATCCCAAGCCGATGATGAGTCCTCTAATTCTGAATCGGACTCCGACTCTGACTCCGACTCTTCGGACTCTGAATCTGACGATGAGCCTAAAGTGGACTTGAAAGCGGCTGCCGCAGTTCCACTACCTGAATCTGACTCCTCTTCCAGCGACTCTGAGTCCGAGGCGGAGGATGGAAAGCGCCAGAAACCTAACAAAGGGTCGGTTCCCAATGGGGCCGGATCGGATACGTCCGTAACTCTTAAGGCCTCGCCCGAGTTCACACCCGCCCCTCTTCCGCCTGACCCTGTTACATCAAAGACGAACAATCGGGGTAAGAACGGGGCCAAGACGCAGAATCAGCCTTTCTCCCGAATCCGCAAGGATATTACCATTGACCCAAGATTGTCTTCCAATGCCTATGTTTCGCATGACTATGGCGAGAAGGCCCACCAGGACCTTATCGTGACCAAAGGCAAGGGCTTTACCAAGGAAAAAAATAAGAAGAAGCGGGGAAGCTACAAGGGTGGTCCTCTAGATATCCACAAGAGCCGAAGCATTAAATTTGAGGATTAGGACTCCTGAATTAGTGCCGACTTGGTCAAGCCATCCCCTAGGATTACAAGCAAAGCGAAGCGAATTATGTACCAAGCGAAAACGCCAGGAACTTCCTACCTAGATCCTCAAGAGAGCCCCTAGCGAAATTTCCGATAACAAGTCCAGTTACGATCTGAAGAAAGCAGCGAAGCAGGTTCTTTCCAATCAATACTCTCAAAGTTAGGGTTACCTACCTCCTACCTACGTCAAGACACCTCCAAAAAGTAGGTATCTACCTAGATACATTTATCTCGGCAGTCTTTGTGTTTGTATTTATCAAGCATAAGAATGCTCATACTTTTTTTTTCACTAGTTATTACTTCCAGGGAGCCTGTCTATTGTCAGAGGGCGAACATGTTGGATTGAGCCAGACGTTCTACGAAGTGTAAAAGGGGGTTGGATGTTGCTACATCTACGTGCCTATTGCAGATAATAAGTTAAGCAATGCCCTCTTATAAAGCGTTTTACCTACCAACACTTTCATCCATAATCACTTCATAGTATTACCCGAATTCTCTCAGGATTTCTAAATAGAGTATCGACTGCTTCATAAATAAAATATACCCTAACCCTATCCCCTGCCTCTTTCGGATTGTTCTACATGACATGTCAAAAATTCATTGGGTACCCCTGAGAAGAGAATAAGGGTTGGAGTGGGCTAACTCAGATATTCCAGTCCGCTCCTCCCGAGATAACAATCGCTATGGGAGCAAATCTTTAGCGTCGTCGTTATAGACATCGTTCAATCCTACCATTTTCGCTGGAGCTTCAAAAAATCACTTTGATACCTACCTAGGTACCTAGTGTAGGATTATTCCGCTCTACTCTAAGGCTGATTGATAGAATTATTACCTACTTAGGTTAGGTACCTGTGATGCCTAAAAGTTGTCTTCGTTTTCAATGAAAAGCCGCAGATGTGGGGCCATCGCAGCACCGCCTCTCCAGGTCGTATTGATTGTTTTCTTTATGAGCGATTTCCTGTGAGCGATGAGACCGCATGACAGCATACCTACTAAGGTATCCTTTTTTTTCTCCGAAGGCTGTATGAAATCATGTGGGGAAGGGCAGAACGTTGGATGTTGAGTTCTGACAAGACAGGGATCCCTAGAAAGTGGAATCTTCAGCAGGGGGGTTCGGGTTGTTGAGTTGTTTGCAGACTTGGTTCACGGAAAGGCGTCACGGTGATTGGCATACTTCTATTACTATTCACGCAGATAGGTACACTGCCTTTTTGGTGTCCTTCCTCCAAGGCTGGCATATTGAGGCTGTTTATGGTAAGTAAATGTGAACCAGCTATCGCTATGAAGTAAGCTCGGATTAAGAAGATGACGCTTGATACTTTTCAGCCTGGCGGACTAATATGACTATTGTAGAATTTTCACCTGGAGTACCTGGGTAATTAGCGCAACCTCATATTATCTGACAACATATTTGTCTTCTGACCCGATCACAATATACCTTATCTGCCTCATAGGTAATATGATTTTATGTTAGCTACCTACCTAGTAGGCGCCCTAACTATCGAACACGCTGATCGTAAACTCGAAAGCCATCGCCTAGCACATTCCGTTCGTTGAGTGAGTCAAAGAACATAATCGCATAAATGTGTTAATAATTAATGGCCTAGTATATACGATGTATCGTGGAAGATCCTATAGGCAGAGTTGTACCTATAAGATAGGTGTACCAGCTGGATATCACAGTATGCCTTTCCATCCAGCTCAGGAATTGAGATAACGCCGGAGAGTCAGATGATAAGTTTGCTACCATCGAACTAATTATTTGGGTCTGATCATAGCCGCCTTGGTGCCGTATGCTGTTATGTTGCTAAATACGGATGCTTCGAGTAGCTTTGTTAGGCTTACTGGACTGATTTTTTTTTTTTGTTGATATTCCCGAGTCCTAGGATAAAAAAGGCGTATCGAGTGTACGGTAAGTGACTAGAAGAGCGGGAAATATACACAGATGATGGTACGATGCTTGATAATCTATATATCTAATAGGTGTGAATGTCGGGAGGCGCAGTCTCCTGCAAACAAATGAGCTGAATTTGGACAGCAAGCAAAAGGACTAGACCAAAGATGACAGGATTCGGGTGAGACTTGTGACGATAAAGGCCAATAAAGACAATGATACAAGTATGCTACGATGAAGATGGAGTTTATTTAGTCTGTTGTAGCCCTTGGGTTGCCCTTGGGTATAGTAATACCTCTCCATAATAAGTAACACCTGGAGATAGGCAATAGTGTTGTTAAAATGCTTCGTTGAATTCTTCGGCAAAATAGCCTCATGCTTAAATCTGATAAGACAACCTAAATAGGATAGAGAGTTCGTTGCAAGGGAGGATCGTTATCCTGAAGGAGGACCAGTTCGATGTTTAAGTGAGTTGCCGGACTTTTAATAGATACTTGTATGTCCTCAAGTGCCAACTAGAAACAGGTACATACTCCACTTATACCAACGAACCAAAATCTCTGAAAAGATTAAGATATACTATTGTTGGAATGATATTTAAAAGGAGTACCAATCAGATTGAATTGAGAAATGTACCTGTGTCTAGTTGGCACTTGAGGACATAGCACACGCGGTTTTTACACTTCTCACCCGCACTTACATGGATTTATTCTATATTAGGTACCTACATGGTAAGGTAAGGGAAGACCCGTTTGCTTGAAGAATTTTACTATAGTATGCTAAGAGTTAGGTATAACAAAATACCTAGACTTCAATCAAAATTTAGTGTGAAGAGATGATTGGTGCTTCAAGAGACGAGCAAATGTACCTACCTAGTCAGCCTAACCGCTCAGCCTAATTAGGTATAGGTACCACTATTTAAGTGTGATGTAGCGCTTAATCAGATTAGGTACAGTACTTTTCACTACAGGTAACCTATGATAGATAAAAAGGGCCTATGAATGTAGATGTACGTCGGGTCAGGTACATAGCCTACTAAGACAGGTACCTAAAATAACTTAATCCCAATTAGGTTTAGCATTTGTCCTGAGAGCCTTACCTGGGAACTTTTGGGGATCCAACACAACCATGTCCCCCCTTCTCCACGCGACACTCCAGCGCATGCATTCTTATTCCTATCACAACCCGCAACTCACAACTCAAGCTGTGCCGATGGGGTAACTACCTAACGTATAGGTATTGGCAAACATGACTATAGAATTAGTTTCGGAACACTTACTAAATATTATGTGACTCCTAGCGTTAATTCACTTTTAGCCCATTGCTACTAATCCGGAAAGTCACATCTTTTTTTTATGAAAAAAAAAAAAAAATCACAACGTCTTCACCATATGCGCTTATGTGCCTGGGTACCTTCCGCAGTACATATAAAAACGGTCGTGTCGGCCAACATGAACCAGCCATGAATAACTTCCCAAGCAAACCATCTAGATTCCCTCAATTGCGCAAGATTAGCAAAATGGCTGGGAACTTCTTACACTCGATATCCAGACAATCGAATGCCCATCCAAACCATCAGGGCGGGGCACAGGTCGGACTCCATTTTCAAGATGCGATGAGGAAGCGTGCTAGCCGTGATGAGAAAGCCGCAAATGAAGTCCTGCTAGAGACGAGAGATGCCGATGGGAAATTGTATGGCGAGCATGAGCTTCCTGGAAATCATTTCTCCCGGAACGTTCATATCATCGACAAGACCCAGCTTTTGAAGGCAGCACAATTTCTACCTAAAGGCGCACACCTTCATATTCATTTTAACTCTACCCTCCTCCCCGAATTTCTCTTGGGTATAGCCAAAGAAATGCCCAATATGTATATCTCGAGTCCTACCCACAAGCTTCGATCTAAATCTGACTTCGATAATTGCGAGATCGTATTCACGCTCCAGAGTACGAAGAAGATTCTTCATGACCCAAACGTAGGCCGTGAACTTCAAGAGCAGGAACTATCTCCTAAAGATCTAGAAGGCCCGAACCTATTTCATGCCGATTATAAGCCACGCCAACTCATGCGTTACCAATACTTCCGTTCTGCATGGAACAAGGAGAGGAATACCAGGCAGGATTATACGTCGCAAAACGAAGAAAAGGCTGACCAAGATCAATCTGAGCTATGGGATATGAATATAGAGTGTGACGATTGGCTCGTGAGTAAACTCGTGTTTCACAAAGAGCAAATCGACGAGATATTCAATTCGGAAGATCAAATCAAAAAGACCACGACAGAAGAGGAGAAACAAGCAAGACAAAAGCAAATTGAGGAAGAAAGATGGCCCGAGAATATCGAGTCGAACTTTCAAAATAGTCCATATAAATCTACGCGTGAGAGGGCAGTAAGGTATTGCACCATCTACTCCATTAATTAATAACAGGTAGCTAACTGGCTTACAGGGCATGGGAGAAATTCAATGGCCGTACAAGAATGATGAAGGGCTTATTTAACTATGAAAAAGCTTTCAGGGCCTATACCAGAAAATGCTTAGAAGAGTTCGTCCGGGAAAATGTCCAGTATGCCGAGATTCGGCCAAATTTTATGAAAAGCAACCAAGTTTTACGAGATGATGGGTCGGAGGGTTTCAACAACTTCGGGTTAATGGAAATCATCATAGAAGAATATGAGAAATTCATGAAAGATATTGGAGACATGGACGAGCATGGTCAAATTAAAGATAATAGGAAGTTAGATTTAGAAGGCAACCCTGTGTACTTAGATGGTACCGACATTCCGCTTGGAAATGGCCACATCCCGTCCTTTGGCGGTATGAAGGTCATCTACTGCACGCCCCGATCTTTCCCTAAAGCCATGGTAAAGGACGCATTGGACGAATGCATACGAATGAAGAAGAGATGGCCACAATATATCGCTGGTTTCGATCTGGTTGGCGAAGAAGCTTACGACAAGAAATATCCACTACGGTATTTCAAGGAAGAATTCAGGCAGTTTCAAGAGGACTGTAAGGAAGAGGGACTAGATATTCCATTCTTATTTCACTGCGGCGAGACCCCTGACGATATCGAAGGCAACCTCGAATGTGCACTCGATCTTAACGCTAGACGAATTGGACACGGCTACGCGCTACCGCAAAAACCTGCCGTTATGGAGCAAATGAGAGCCAATGAAGTCTGTGTCGAAGCATGCCCGATCTCGAACATGGTTCTGGGGTTAGTGGAGCACATGCACGAGCACCGGATCTACAGGCTGCTTGAACACGAAGTCCATTGCAGTCTAAATAGTGACAACGGTACCCTTTTCAGGTAAGCCCATAAAATCCCACCAAACTCGGAACCACTCGATTTAATTTTACTGCTCTAGGTCTACATTATCACATGATTTTTTCGAGGTCATGATTGGCAATCGCGATATGGATCTATTTGGTTGGCGCCAACTGGCCAGGTGGAGCATAGATCATTCTTGCATGAGCCATGTCGAGCGCGAGCGAGTCCTAGTAGAGTGGGAAAGGCGATGGAAATATGAATTTATTCCTCGAATTCTCGGGAAAGAGTCCACTAGCAGTCTGGCGAGGCTCGAGAGATTGAATCAGATCGAGGAGAGTCGAAAAAGGCGGGAGGCTAAGGCTAAAGGTAATTCAGAAGAATGATGGGCGCTATATACATGTAGATTGGGCGTCTTTGGAGTGGGGCTGGAGCGACGAGACGGATGAAGCCATTTACGATTTTGATACCCGATTTGACGAGGCCCTTAACGGCGTTCATGTTACTATATCTGGGATCAAGAACGCAAGTACTTATACCAGGGAGTTTAGGTACCTAGATACCTAGCTTTTCCACCTTACTTAGGTAGTTCAGGGTACTAGTATTAATGATCTACGAATTTCCTTATTTTCCTACCATGTATCAATTTATGAGTTACGAGATAGATCAGCTTGATCAGCGTGACGTGTTAGGCAAATAGATCTAGATGGATAATTAGCCACATGAATACGTATATCCTACATAGGAAATACTTTTCATATAATTTTTCGGCATCCTATAATATGAACCCCGTGCTTATTTTCATTGCTGTAAGTAGTTGCAGAGGCTGCCTCCATGAGAAACATATATAAGATTGAGGCTATGAATACCTGTATTTACAGATGCGCGCTTAAACAAAGGAGGCTTTGGTCGGTGAAGTGGAGTCGATCGTGTGTACATAGTACATAGTAAACGCTGTGTTACCTCCAATAGCACACAAAAAACCCAATCATTCAAGGCCAGCTGGGGCTAGGTATCGGACGCGTGCCAGCGTAGTGGACAAGCTGACAAGTAGGCGGGCCGTAGCGGCAGAACCAAGGAGGGATCCAAGTGGGACCCTCCCAAGATCAGCCAATTGGAACCAATTAAAACCATAGAATCTCTAGAGCGGGCAAGGATCATCCTGCAGCTCCCCATTATCTTTTCGAAACTTCGCGGCACCGCGAACGTTTATTTCATTTTCAGCCTCCAAGTCTTTTGCTCCTTTCCTTCTCATTGTACTATACCCTTTCTTAAAAGGCCGGTGCTTTTACCGACCAAGTCTGGTTTATTTGTATTTGTATAGGTATTATAAATATATATGTTATGATTTCCTACGCAAATATACCTACCTGTTATTTCTTTTTGGCAACTTATAAACCTACATCCCGCTCCCATCGAACAAGTCATTATCACAACTCTCAATTGAACTTTAAACTTTAAACTCTAATAACGTTGATTCCGATTTGCTTTTTCCGCATTCTTTCTCCGCACTGCGGCCCGAACCTTACTCGCTACCGACGGACTGGAACTTACTAGGCGCCTAGTAAAAGTATAAATAATGGCTGACGACGCAGATGGTGTTATTAGATCCTCGGCGGCTAGTTGGTTTTCCTCCGACGTCCCAGGCGCCGAGGGACCTGGAGGTTGGCGTCTTGATGTTGTTACTCTACTTGCGGTTATTGGCGAGTCTTCCATAGCGGAACACTGTCAAACTATCACCGCCAGCATCTTCTGCCTCCTTCCACGCATCATCCCCGCTCCGCAGGCATTCCTAAAACCTTCCCGCCCCGGTCGATTACCCGAGACCACGGCAAAATTGACCGGTGTCTACAGCGGTGTTGTCCTCGACACCGTGGGATTCTTCGCTAATATCATCCACCCCCTCGACGAGTTGCAGCCGTTTGCCTTCCGAGTCTTGCATATCACCCATACCGACCGGAATAACGCCGGTGGCACCGAAGTCCCTAGAATCAGAAATAGAACGACCTTACTTGAAAGAATGCGTACAAATGGAAAGTCTGCTACTCCTTCTTCGTATGAACTCCGTACTCTACCACGAGGTCCTCCGGCAGATCGCAATGCGCCGATAGACACGGGAAACAGCAACGACATCGAGGCTGGACCATCACCTGGCCTAAATAGGCGGGCGACGATCAAAGAGAAAATCCAAGATTTTGCGGCCAACCCGACGCTTGCCAATAACAAGAAGCGGCCTGCAATCCCTGCTACCCTATATTCGCCCGTCCACGTCCTCTCATTATTTTCTCTGTTATTGACGTGCGGTATCATCGCCCTCGCGGCCGTACTCGAGGATGGGACTGCCATCCTCGCCGTTACCCTCATCTCTTTTGCGAGCTCCATCGTTGGCTGGGCTTCATGGTGGAAGCCTATTCTGATGAATCGCAGTCACACTAATACGGTGCCCGACGGTGATGTGATCATTCGCACACGGGAGGGCGCATTCCTCCTTATCAAATGTACCGAAGAAGTAGCGCGTGAGCTCTATTCAGGCACGGAGGAATGCGAGTACCACGTTAGCGGAAGCGCTTATAGGGTGCTCATGGGATTTGGAACCTGTTTGCTAATGGTATCTGTCATCCTCCTGGGCAACTGCAAATGGTGGTCTCAAGTCTTCATCGGTGTTAGTTACATCGTGTTGAATGGGCTCTACTGGACCATGGGGTTGATCCCAAAACGCTTCTTCTGGGACTTGAGCCGCTATCAAATCAGAGACATAACTCCCAGAGAAGCACAGAACGCACACACAGAGACCTCCAGCGATCCGCGCGAAGGGGTCAAAAGCTACACGCGCACTCTATGGTACGCGATCCGCGAAACCAAGCGTACCGCCTGGGTCAACAGGAGCGGCGCGGCTCCCGACACGCCGCAGTGGCGCAAATGGCTTGCGGAGGCCGAGGAGGCTGCGATTTTGAATAACAAGGACTGGACCTCCGTTGCTCGTAAGGACGTGATTATGAAGATGACAGAGAGCGAACTCAATGAGAAGGATGCTTCGGCCCCCGAGGCGACTCGAATATTTGACCAGGCGGAGCAAGCGGCACCGATGACCCAGGTACAACCTCGAGACCGACGCCCTGCCGACGGTACTCTATAGGCCGTCTTGCGCCAATCAGCGGGCTTCTACCTTTTTGGAATAGTCAATGCGTTGGATATACCCCTTTATATTTACGATCGAGTTGCTGATATCAAAACCTTTACATCTCATTTAATCTACAAGGCTCTGGAAAATTGCTGTTTGAGCTAATGGCTGAGGATATAATGCTTTTACGACATCTATTTTTCTCTATTTACGTCTTTTTTTTTCGTGGTGCCTGGCTATTGCATATACATGTATACTACTAAGACCATGCATCGGTGCAAGGCGCATAAATGACATTGGTCCCTGCATATGGCATGTAGAACTAAAAACAAAAAGAAAAGGTCAATATGCATATTCCATCGGATACAATTTGGGTACTTGAAGATAGGAGGAGGGGAGATTGCGGCTTTTAGCGAGGAGTTTGGTGTTTGATAGCGGGCGAATATCGGCTTATACGTTTTTACATATGGCCTTGCAAAGAGCATAGTTGGTAGAAGTCTTTTTAGATGCTTTCTATTGGAATAACATGCTAAAGCTACGAGACATATTTTGATGTGATTAACTTGACGGGTGAATATAATATTTTGGTGATAGGTACTTGGGAATAAAGGAGAAGTGACAGGTATGCCCGGTGATGGTTGTCATATATAGGTAGAGAGTGAGTGTTAGCGCATAGTATGCAGTCTATTGTAGAGATCTAGTAACGCCTAGCCTTCTTACCTTCCTCGAGGGAGCTGGCTACCCTTCATATAGACAGTAGAGCCTCATACTAGACTCATATCCCCAACAAGAAATAGAGAATAATATTCCAAGTGTAACAACAGTTAGGGTCGTGTGAATAGGAAAGTTGACTATAGGAGTCTGTTGAATCTCTCAGCAGCTCCCCTGGTACCGAACCTGCCAGCCTATAATAGTAATAAACCGTGAGTACTAGGTAGGCAGGTGGATACATTAGCCACATTATTTTATAATAGGGTTGTATTATTTGCTTCAGCTCGCGTCCTGTTGCAGAACATTCAGCTGACACGGACGCCCAACCAGCCAATATTCATGTCACATAGATTGGGCGTGAAGCAGGCTGTAACTTCCCCGCAGTGGCAGAAAATCGATCTTGAAAAGAGGTATTTAGAAAAGAATCCTGACTTTCTAGTTTTGAGTCTTTCTTTTCTTTTTTCACCGTAAACCGTTTACAACACAACCAAGCTGGCCATCATGGATCAGAACTTGGAGGACGTTCTACAACAACTACATACCGCATTAACTAGTTTGAATTCTTTCTTGAAACCCCTAAACCATCAAACTCCAACCGCCGCGGAAGACTCGGATACCTCTAATGACGAAGTTGCTTCGCCAGAATCGGATGAGTGGAAAGATTTTCGTATCCCCGACGAAGCTTGCCTTCGCAAGATTGGAGACGCATTCATACGACTCATAGAGCGTAAAGATGACAGGGGGTTATTAGTTAATAGAGATGATTTTCTCTTTGACTCCGATGCTGAAGTTCTTGTTCAGGATTTGGCAACCCAGATTATGCTCTTGAAAAACATATTAACTAATGAGAAGAACAACTTGTTACCGAAGATCGCCATACCTTATGGGCGTAGTTTTGAGTTTAGTAGTAAGGGATATCCGGTCTACAACCCCAGGGTTAGTGTTAAAAGATTTCCCACGCCACAAATGATACAGTTCATAACTAATACCATATCTAGCTGCCATATTCGTCAGCACCTGGTCGGGTCATGTAAGTGTTCAACTGACACAAGGGCTTGCCTAGCATGGGATTTTATGATTACCTTAGGTACCTACTAATTATTTATTAGCAACGTATCATCTGGAAATGGCATTATTAAACTTGAAGAATTTGCATTCCTGTGTAACTGGCTCCGGTCTTATTCTGGCGTTATCAGCACCAAATTTATTGTCACATTCGTGGAGCCATGGGGGAGAAAGAAGAGGGTTTCTGAAGAATTCAGTTGGGAACCTGGAGAGCTTTCGCCACGCATGATATTTGAATGCCATTTGCGTTTTGTTCGGCATATCTCCGGTCATCATCAAATCAGTCAAGAACTTGGGATCTTACTCAACAGAGAACGCGTTGCGATGCGCGATATTCGCCACAGTATCCATATATTTTACGAGGAAAGACAGTCATTACGCCTCGAGATGGTTACAACGCCTGGCACAATCAGATATACCTTGCTGGGACTTGGCGACAATTACAACGTAGTCGAGGTGTCCTGGCCTTACCCCAAGTCCAAGGGAATTTTACCCTGTGGAAAGGCCGTCGGGATTTACCATTTTCAAGTCATTGTCTGCGACATGCTAGATAAATGGGACCGTGAATGGACAGCTGTGCTTGATTCAATCAACGAAGCCGTCGGCGTAAGAGTCAGTATTGGACATTGCCCCCAACTCGCAGCGCTTTTTCATTATTCAACTGGTTGTCTAATCATTTTTGAAATAATAGTTCAACGATACTCAAGATGACGAGTTTATGTTCGACTCTTCATTTAAATTGTCTAGGTTATATTTTACTGTGATCCAAATACTTCGGCTCATGGCCGAATGGATTGAAGAAAGCGCCTCTGATATAACCCAGTCACGGGAACACTTTAGCTCTGTAATTCATGATGGCTCACTTGGGTTAACCGATGAAGAACTGGAAAGAATAGAGAAAAACTGGAATACTATTTCATATAAAATGGACTCACAAGCGAAGAAACTCAACAGCCGTATCATTCGGAAAACAGAAGAGATTAAAAGCCTTAGGGATGGGGTAAGACTTATATGAAGGGAAATATGAGAACTAATTGCTAACCGCCTACATCTAGCTTTTCAATGCGACGTCGCTTCGCGAGACTAGCAAGGCTATGGCCCTAAATCGGGCAATCTATGTGTTCACGGTGGTCACTATTATCTACACCCCTCTCGGATTCATGGCTGTCAGTTCACCCTGTGATAGCATAAAGACTCCATAACTAACAACATTCTATGTAGACATTCTGGGCATTGCCGGTTTTGAATAGCTCACCGAATAACGAGACTGCGGTATGGTGGAGAGCCTTCATCAGCACTTTTGTTCTTATACCAGCCCTTACATACATCATTTGTCCGTTCGCTGTCTGGTATTTCAGTTTAGACAGCGCAAGGAGGTCATTGAACTCAGAGAATATTCACAAGATTCTTCACGCGGATTTTAGGGAAATAATTCGCGATAGTGCTACCACATTACCACATAAAATGAAGGTATGGGCATTTGGAGATAGAAGATTTCCGTGGCGTAATTCACGACCTGCTATGGATTCTGGTCCTCCAGCACAGGATATAGAGCCCGGCAGTCGAGGTCGATCGGAGAGTGGCAATGTTTCAACCGCCTAGATCGGCGTACAATGGGATTTCCAGTATACACGCGAGGAAAAAGGAAGTGTTCATATAAAGTATGAATATTCTTTTTCATAGAAAACGAAGGGAGGGCCTGTTCTTCATTAGAGGTAGTTTGGGATCCTTTGAATTTTATATTGTATGTACCTTGAAATTGCTTAAACTATTGGGTCAAGTAGGATCGTTAGTTTTGAGTAAAGAGCAGTATGGATCGACTTTATCAGTGTCTAAATTGTTACCCAGTGGCGTGGAATGTCCCCTCGGGAATCCATGACGTCGTGATTGAGGTACGGTAGTGTGCTCATCATCAAACCCAAAAGCAATAAACTCAACGCTTCAGGGACTACAATAATATTCATAAAAAACAAGATTCTAATGTTCGTCTACCTATGTTGTCAAAGAAACGTTACGTATTATAAAATAATAATAATAATTGACGACCACGACACTTGATACCAACTAACGAAAAATAGGAATCTATGGCTTTAAATGGAAGCAACATCCCGGATGGGCGTAAAAGGGTTCTAATCGTCGGCGCTGGCGCTGCTGGGTATGTAATATATGAATTTACAAAAGATTTCATTCATTAATATATAAAATCTAGAATGTCAACAGCATATCATCTGTCGCAACACCCGGATAAATTCCATCTGACGCTAATAGACGCTGTTGATTATTGCGGCGGTCAAGCATTCTCTATCCCGCTGGACAAGCAGCGTTATGGAGCATCGTGGTTTAATCAGGGAGTTCAAGTACGAGCTTCGAGTTTCCCTCAAACAAACACCCTTGGTTAGATACTAATTGAATATAACCCAGGGCGGCTCTTACATTTTTCACCATACGGTGACTATGTTTTATCGACAGGGCTTTCATGCCGATCCTGTCAATCTCCAAGTCTCATTTGGCAAAGATAAAACTTTCTGGACTAATGTATTCCCAACACTCCTGCTCGCTCGCCACGAGAAGGAAGTGAAACGGCTACCAAAAGTGCTAAAACTGATCCGTTGGTTCGAGGTCTTCTTTGCCTTACTCCCTCTAAAACTGGTCCTCAAGTTATTCAGGTTTTCCGAGGAGTTCACAAACACAATTGCCCTGCCAATGACTGCCTTATTCCTGGGTACGGGGAATGCTACTCCAGAAGTCCCTACCATCATGTTCGAGAGACTCTGTACGTCGCCAACGTACGGCATGTGGTATGCCCCTGACGCCAACACCGTTGTCAACAACCAACCCCCCATGATTGTGTTCCCCAATTTCTCCGAGTTCTACGGTACTTGGGCCAAGGACCTCATTTCACGTGGCGTCATTGTTCGACTGTCAACAGAGCTCACCGAAGTCGTCCAGAGGAATGACCGTGGGGTCGTCGTCAGGCTCAAAGCACGGACACCTGTGCCCGATGGACATAACCCCACCGGTGGCGACCCGAACGCCCCAGTCACCGAGGAGGTATTCGACGAGATCGTTATGTGTTGTCTTGCAGATACTGCGAAAAAGGTGTTGGGTCGGACGGCGACTTGGAAGGAGAAGAAGGTACTAGGGTCAGCCAAGTTTAGCGATGATATTACGATCACTCACAATGATTCCGGCTACATGAAGAGGCATTACGAGAACTTCTATCGCGAAGATCTAGCCGTTGCTAAGGTGAATGGCGTGGACCAAACCTCGCGTCTCCAATTTGCGGTGAATAATTTTCTGCCAATGTACTATATTAAGATGTACCCTGAAGATCAATCAAAGCTCGAGATGTGTTTCGACACGACCAACTATCAGAGCCAATTCCCGGATAAGGTGTCCTTCGAACAGCATGTTTTCCAGACCATCTACCTGAACAAAGACCGCGATAGGAAACTATGGACGGATCAGGAGATCGATGAGGAAAAGATCATTCGAAAAGACTGGTGGCATCAACTTTGCCACACCTACACACACTATCTCTTCGTCGTACCGTGGATGATGTTTCTTCAAGCGAAGAACCATACCCGCTACGCGGCAGCGTGGACTCTGGTCAACGCCCACGAAGTCGCGGTTATGTCTGGAATCGCTGCCGCTGTGGATCTCGGCGCGGAATATCCCGAGGATCTCGAGCACGACAAGTTCGCGTTCCTCTGCTTCCGGCTCTACTATCTTCTTGCATATGGGAGGTGGTACAAGCGCAGATACACCAGCAGTAGTGGTAAGAAGAGCGATAAGCAGGGAGAACAGACCACGACGCAGGCCGCCAGAGAAGGCAAGAGCTGGGCGACGGGGCCATACGGCGGTGTATACGAAGGCCCCGGAGTATCAAAAACGGAGCGGCAGACGTGGAAAGAGGGGCTCCTGGATGGCACTAGCACTAAGAACTTGGCCGATGGGAACGCACCCGGGAGGAGCCAGCCGTGAGCACGACCGTTTTAGGACATGTTCTAGATCGAATTTGAGATGGAGTGTCCATATAGGGAAGAAGTATGAATCTAACAAGACTGCCAATTCACCTCTTCCAAGCTTCAAGTCCCAAGTTTCCTAATTTTCTATTCTCGTTTCTAGTTCCTAGTTTAGACTTTCCAATTATGGTTCCGTGCTGCACCGCGAGATGTTACCCTTGTTAACTGTCAAAGGGGGCACGAGCCACATTTGTGCGGTGGCCTGCGGTGGTAGCCTGCGATGATGGCCTGCGCACGCATACCTGCCGGTGGCTAGAACACCTACTTGTCTTTCCCACTTTGTTGGTGCCCACCGACGTATAATATGCCTTGAGGCTTAATATTATAATAACTGAACCACCGTTAGAAGCAATGTAGTTAGCAATTCACGGTCTACGCAGCCTACATAAATTATGGAGATATAGTTCCAGACTTCATATCAGTTATACATAACTAGTTCGTATTTATCTCAAAAGGGGGCTCTTGACTCACAGCCCCAGGTGCATTAGTAGTATGCCTGGTGTTGGTGTTGTTATTGTTGTCGTTGTTGTTGATAATTTTATGGTGTTTATGCTTACCCCCCCATCAGTACTTTTGGTATACCTATCTACTTCCTAACCTCCCTCTAAGTAACGTATAGTACGAATATTAAGAGCGAGTAAGCTAAGCTATACAGCTATAAGATCTGAATATATTGAGTCTGTGGGCAGCTGTCAGCAAGTATAATGTGTGGGACCAGATGTTAGAACATGAATTAGCAAGTGTTAGCAGAGCCTCGACTAAGCTGGCATCCCACCACTACACCACCTATCGTAGCTCATAGAGATTACGAGCTACTGAAGGGCTACGGGCTATGGGTTACGGACCACGATTCTAGGAATCTCCGCTAAATTAAGGCTCGTATGACTCATCTGTAGTCTTCACCACGAACAAGTAAAAAAATAAAGAATAATTCCAAAAAAAAAAAAAAAAAAAGATAGACAACAAAAAAGAATTCTTCTGTTTTTTCCCCCGAGATCCTTGGATCTTTGGGACCATACAAATCAACCCAACATGGAGTCTCGTCACACAATTCCTGCTACCTTCACACACAAACAACCACTAATATCTATAAGACCAATCTCAGCAGAAGATACTTACGCCTTACGACAGGCAGTGCTTTGGCCCAACAAGCCGTTGTCTTACGTGCAGCTACCCGACGACCCCGACGGTCAGCATTTCGGAGCATTCGTCTCCAATAACAATGACGACAACGACGCGGAGCGCAACAATAGTAGTAGCAGTAGCAGTAGCCGCGACAGTAAACAACAAAATTCGGAAGAATCATTAGTGAGCATCATCTCGCTGTTCGATGATGGTAGTGGCGCGGCGCGGTTTCGCAAGTTCGCCACCGCGCAGCTGTGGCAGGGCAAAGGCGTGGGGTCCGCCCTGCTATCCTACACCATTGAGGCGGCCGCCAGAAACGGTGCCACGAGTATCTGGTGCGACGCTCGACAGAGCGCCCTGGGGTTTTATGAGCGCTTCGGCATGAGCGGTGAGGGCGAGGTCTTCTTCAAAGGCGAGGTGCCTTACCTTCGTATGTCCAGGGCTCTACCCTAAAAGACCTATTTTTCGGCTCCGGTCTGGCTTGCGTTTGGGTCGGGGGGGCCAGGGTAGCGCAGGGTAAGGCGGGGGGGTAGGGGGTGCTATTAAAGAGGTGTAGGAAGAGAAAAGAGAAAAGAGAAACAGGAAAAAAAGAAGGAAAAAAAAAACCACAAAAAGGAGAGGAGCGACACGGAAGAGTCTATTGTCTCTTGGCGCAGGAGTGGAATTAGATGCGCTTGTCCGTCCCGCGGCTTACAAGACCTACGGTTGTCCAATAAACTCGGCATGTACTGACACTACGCGTCTATGATTGGGAGGAGGATACCGCCGCGGACAGCGCCGTGCAGAGGGTGGAAATGGTTATTCCCCGCGTTTTACATCGGGGCACGGGCGCTGCCTATAGGTCTTCATGGGTCTTTTAGGTCTTTTTAGGTCTTTTATGGGACTGAAGAAGCTGTGGATAACGGTCCTTGGCTTAGGTGATGATGCTTGCTAAACCTAGACGGATGGCTGGGATGGATACCGAAAAAAAGCTCGATTGCCTTGATCACGCTAAACAACGTTCCGCTGTTTGACGATTTTGATTCTCCAGCCCTGGAAATTTTTGGCTAATGACGTACTCATGGCCATTCGATTCTAGGCGCTTCACTTCATTTACATAGAACGGTTTAGACCGGCTGCCCGGCTGCCTGGACGGGCCTTCAGGACAAGGATACCGGCTGTAAATTCTGCTACGGGTATTACTATGTATGCTTCATCCCCCAGCCTCCCTTTGAAGCCCAAGGTGATACAGAGAAACGGAGAGACAGAGGGACGGAGGGACAGACGTGCGCCTTCTCTGGAAAAGGGGGTTCATTCAATCTCCATCATTATCATGCGATATGTAACAATATAGGTACCCTCATACGACACGAGCATACGCTATTTAATACACGAAGATGGATCACGTGCAGAAACGGAGACTTGCTAAGGAAACGTCGAACCCCTTGGGGATGGATGTGATCGTATAGATTCAGTTGGCACGACGATGGGTTGAGTTGATGGTTAATAACGGTTAGTAGGCACATACTATGTAGACACTACTGCCATGCAAGCTGATGTGTATCTACTATCTACCTCTTAGAGATACTGGAGATACAAGGAATCCTAGAAGTATCTAGGAATAATATCAATAATAATAATAATAATAATAGATAGCAAGAAGAGGAATATGAGGAGAGTTCGACCTATACCGCAACATATACCGCAACAGACCGCAATCTATACCGCACAGTGCGGGAGGTGAGGTCCGTGTACCGCCCCCCTCCGGCCCCCCCCCCCCCCCCTTTTATACGCCTTTTGTATGGGCATTACGGCGATTTGACAAGTCTGGTATGAACGGTATGATTTACAAACTCCACTTACGCACGCACTGTTTTATGCAGTGTGCCGGCGCCACACCTATCGGGAACAAATGTTTATGAGGGAAATCATTAAATGGGCAAGCAAAAATAATGAACGGGAGTAATGTACGTAATGTACCCAAGTGACCGGATCTGAAGGAATTATGCTCGGTTAGGTACACACGATAATGGTACACACGATGATCGGACCTTTAGATCTTCGATGTTGGTTGTCTATCGGTCTGTCGTATATCGCACACTTTTTATTTTTATTTATTATTTTTTTAAGAATCTGCTGCTAACCGGTGTTACAAGGGTAAGCAAAAGCCAACATACGTATTTACACATTTGCGAGAGACACGATTGTGTTGTGTTACCTGTATACCTAAAACCATCGCTCATAAATCAAGAAAATCCTCAAGAATTTCAATTAACTTAGGTAGGTACTTAGAGGTAGTTAGAAAGAAAAATGAATAGTTGGAAGGATATTCCTGTCGCATTATTATTCAAGTCATACGTACATAACCCTACGTACATAACCTAACCTATCAAGTAAAACACTGTGCAGACTTCACAAAGTGACTCCGGTATACCTTTTCTTCTCCAGAATATACCTAACGCCTAAACGGCGCTACGCCGAAAGAATAAGACGCAACTCACCATAGTAGGCATCTACCGGCGTCTCTAACGCGTTAGTCTCTGCGTCTAAAAAAGGGCGTCCACCGTAAGGGGATCCATAAGTATAGATCCTAATCGGACTATCAGGGGCGATAGGCGGTCGATCCGTCCATTGTCCACTGGCGAGACCAAATCTAGCCGCGTACATCAGGTACTTTGACAACGCAATTGACGATTCAGTAAGGGCCAGGCGGGGGCGTGGCGGACTGAAAATAAAACTCGAGACGGGGTCTATGTGGCTCAACCGACTCCGTCGGCCGCTGGTTGGAGGACGGAGGATGCAAGCAGTGTCCAATCCGACACGATTTCCATATATGCCCATATATGTCTATGTACATCCCTATGTACGTCCCTATGTATGTTCATAATGCTCGAACCGTAAGACGTCAATGGCTCTGTAATTTTCCGTGGTGCATGTGAGAGAAAGGAACCGTTAAACCGGCCTGGCTTGTTGCTCTCTTGGCCTCTCTCTCTCTCTCGCTCGCTCGCTCGCTCGCTTAATGCATAAGCCGTCGGCCAGCCTCGCGTCAATAGTGGAAAAACTGTAGGGCAGAAGAAACCTAAAGACGTCATTAGGCCGACGAAGAATTGCGTATGATTGTCTCGCACCAAGGTGATAGAGACGGGGAGTGGTCAGTAATTTTATGAAATTCTTCTGACTTGGCAAAAGGTGGCAAATGATGGGCCAAATAAAGGGGGTGGGGTAGTATTTAGAGGGTCATCTGGCAATTGAGCCAATCATCTTACACGGATGCATGAGTGCCCAATGTCTCCCAGAAGGGTTGGGCACTTGGGCATCTGATCCAACGATAGGTTTCCAACGATAGGTTACAGCCTCTTTTTCTGCGTCTTCTTATGCATCTCTCTTGCGTTCACCAGGTTAGGTACTACTTTGTATTCTACTGTGTACGCCCTTGGGCTACGGTGTCTACTTTGTCTACTTCTTACTACATGCACCACCACCTTTACTACACCACCACTTAAGTCTTAACGCCACTACCATCACTACCTACATAGTACTCTACTCTCTACTACTACTACTTACGGACACTACTACGGACGCTACTACGGGGCCCCGTTGGGCAACGTTCCGTATACCCATTGGGCGCCTCGCGGTGAGTCAGGTAGGTACAGCAAATTTAGCAAATTCTCTTGCAGATGGACCCGGGGACGGTTAATCCCTGTAAAGCACGCGGTTGTGCAGCGTGCAGTTCTTTGCCAACTAAAGCTAGGCTTTGGACCTTGGTCATCTACACACCCCATACTATAGCATATAGTATCAGCCGTTACGAGGCCCCATTAGTCTCATCCGTTCCATACACCCACCGTAGAAAATCCAGTTTATTATTCAAGTACCCGTTCAGCCTTCCCTTTAGAGTCTCCTGATCCTAACTTGGGAAAGTCGACAAAAACCCTCCCGGGCTACGTCTTTATCCGTTTGCCTCACCTTGTCTCGTAATTCCCAGACAACAAAAACCTGATCAAGCCCACCGAAATGAGCCAGCACCTCACCATTTCAACTCCAATTCAAGAGACCACACTGACCAAACTGACCTGGGCGTACTTGATATCAACTCTAACATACCAATTTCATCCAGCATACGAGATACTAAAAGAAGAGAGATAAGAAGAGAGGAAGAGGAAAAAAAAGAATTACCATGGACGTGCGACCAAGCCGACCCGTGGACCGGGCGTTCGTCGTGCCCGGCGGATTCCCAACCCCAACCCCAGCAGCCGAGCGGCCCCGGTCAAGATCAAGATCACGGCCGCCGGCATCCGAAGCAGAGACAACCCATAGCAGACCAGCCACAACAACCACAACACAGACTGGTCCTCTAAGAGGAATACTCAAGAACCCAACATCTCTAATACCCATACGAACACCACAAGACCCCCTCGCTGCGCGCTTCAACAGAGTCACGAGACCCGAACCGCAGATGTACACAAACTCGGCACCCCCCTCACCAACATATCACTCGGACAGCGACAGGTACACATCCTACGAGACTGATTCCCAATCGGCATCGTCAGAGCTTTCTGTCAGCACAGATGCTACCAGCGTCATATCAGATTCTAGTGTTCCCCCCAAACCCTCCAAGCCCTCGAGCCAAGTAAAGCACGTGCGCCATGTGCAATCAACAATTTCGACCAAGGCCAAGACAAGGACGCGATCTAGGACGCCTTCGGAGGTATCTAAGCCTCCCGTCCCGGAGAAGAAGAGAACGGTGCACATTCAATTCGTCTCACCTAAGCAGCAACAGGCCCCCGCGCAGTCCAAGGAACTCCAGCTCGCTCGCAAACCAGAGGAAGACCTTAGGTATAAGATTGAGCAACTCGAGTCCGAAACTGACAACCTCCGACAAGAGCGGAATAGGCTAAACAGGGACCTGGATGATGTATCTGTGCAATTATCTGCTAAGGGACAGGAGAACAAGGAAATAATGCGAGCATTGAACATCGAACGCAACTCAAAGGAGCTTATCTTACGAGACCTCGAAGAGCAACGGCAGATTTCCGATGAATTCCGCAGCAACTTGCAGCTACAGCAAGTCATGCTGGTAGAGGTGGAAAGGGAGCGAGATAGCCTCAGGCACATGCGTGACAGGTTCCAGCAGCAGGTCGCCGATCTTGAGAGGGAATTGGCGATGCGAGACGCCGCCCAACGAGAACAGGAAGAAGCACTCAGACGTGACATCGAGACTCTAGAGCATACCACAGCAAGCTTCGAGAGACAAATGGGCTCTCGAAACAAGGACGTTAAAGAGCTAAGCACCGAGGTCAAGGAACTGAACGCGGAAATCCGGGACCTGGACCACGAAGTCAAGGAGCTAACGTCAGAGAGAGACTTGGCTCGGGCGGACGCCTCGCGATTCCTAGCCAAGATCAAGGCTCTAGAGGCCAACAGCGCACCTATTAGAGAGGAGAACAACGCCCTCGACAAGGATAACCAGAAGCTTCACAACCGGGTCGAACATCTTCTAGACGAGAGGGATGCCCTTGAGAAGAAGCTCGAATGCTATGAGCGAGACATTGAGACTCTCAGGGCACATATCACAACCCTTGAGTCTGACAAGCGAGATATTGAGTCTCTCAGGGCGCATATCGCAGCCCTTGAGTCTGACAAGAGATCTCTCGAGTCCGATAAGCAATCTCTCGAGAAAGATATTGAATCGTTGAAGAGCAGCAGAGAAGATCTCGAAAAGCAACTTGAGACTGCGCATGCTGATAGGAGAGAGCTTATGGACTTCCTTGAGGCCGCCAGGACTGCCCGAAATGACCTTGAGAAGCAACTCGAGGCGAATAAGGAGGAACTCGAGAAGCAGCTTGCGACCGCCAAGGAGGACTTTGAGAAGCAGCTTGCGACTAGCAAATATGACTTCGAGAAGCAACTAGAGGCTACTAGGGATGACCTAGGACAGCAGCTGGAATCCTCCAAGCAGGAGCTCGACAAGCAGGCTTTGGACTTCAAGACGATTATAGACGAGAAGCAGTCGAGAATTAACGAGCTAGTCACCGAGATTGCCGGATCCAAGGAAGCTAACATCTCCCTTGCGACCGAGCGTCTACGGCTTGACGAACAGCTCGTGAATGTTCAGGCTAACTTAGTCAACATCGAGAACGACCTCAACCTAGCACTAGAGCAGAATAGGACGCTTGAGTTTGAGAAAGAGCAGCTGATCAACCGCACCGCTGACGTCGGAAGGGTGTACGACGACCTCGAGAAGCTCCGTCAGGAACACGCAGGATGCGAAGAACGATGGAAGGCCCTCGAGGAGAAGTCCAAGGGACTTGAAGCCGACGTCGAGAAGCACCAGGCAGTTGCCAAGGTGCTACAGGAGGAGAAGGACAAGATCGCCGCGGTGGCTAATTACCTAGAACAGGGCCTAGGTGTTAACAAGTTCCACGAGGAGAAGAGCACTCTCGAAGTCAGTGTGAAGGAACTTGAGGGCAAGGTCTCCGCGCTCGCGCAGGACCTGGAGGCCAAGACAAGCGACCTCCACAACGAAGCCGGAAAGATTCCCATGCTAGCCCAAGAGAAGGCCGACCTCATGGCCAGCCTGGAGGCTAAGTCTAAAGAGCTCCAAGCTGAAGCCGACAGGGTCGCAGCTCTCACGCGGGAGAAGAACGACCTTGAAGGCAGGATCAAGGATCTACAGGCCGAAGCGGACAAGGTACCCGGTCTAGTCGACCAGGTGCAGTCATTGACCACGCGTCTTGATGCGGCAAACCTACAGCTCTCCACATCCACCGCGATCCACGCGTCGTCTACAGCCCAGATAGCTGATCTCCACTCGCTCGTGAACAAGCTCCAAGACAAGCTGCACGATAAGGACCACCACCGGTCCAAGTCACGGAGCAGCAAGCGTCAGAGCCGCTCACCATCCAACAGCCTGATCTTCGTCCGCAACCCGTCGGACAAGGACGGCAACATATTCGTCATGTCGCGCGACACGCTCAAGAAGAGAGACAAGTCGCCATGCTAAATGAACAGGGCTGCTGCTGGTCACGCCAAGGAAGTGAGGAGTTTTCCCACTCTCCTCTCTCACTAAAGTCACACATTTAATCGAGGTCCGGGATAGAGAAAAAAAGATCAATCATTATCAACACCAATACCATATACCATCACCAATATAATACTACTACTATTACTACTATTACTACTACGACAATATGGATCCAACGGGATCTGATAGAGCGGAGGGATCTACGAGAACAAGAGATCTACGATGACCAAAGACTGAACGCTACATTTGCCTACGAGCAGAAACGATTCCGTCGCCGTCGCGGATCGACCTACCTACGGGTATTACGGGTTATTATCTACTACTACTACTACAACTACTACTATGGGATACATAAAAGCACGGACGAGTTGAGCGGGGGTGAATTGAGTTTGTGTTGCTGCTGCTGCTGCTATTGTTGTTGTTGTCGGCTGTATTGTGTCGAGAGCGCTGTCATCATCGGCATTCTTATTGTACGAGGAGGATTTGAACAAACCCCCCATAGATTGTTCCAACTTGTCAAGCGGATTGTAGGGCGATTATTCCTACGACCCACGCCGCCGTCATAGCATTTCATTTACATCTGTTTTTTCCTTTGTTGGTCATCACTATCACAATATTTCTTTCTTATTTTCTTTCTTATTTTCTATCTACCTGTTATTCTACTACACATTTCATCGTTGTCATATGGGAGGGGGGGGGGGGTCAAATCGGGAGCGGAATGCGAAAATGGAACATGAGAAACACCGGGGGTGTTACCAAGGAGGGGGAATCGGGATACAGCAACTACAACGACGAACACCACCACCACCAACAACAACAAAAGGGTCAACCTCGTTATCATGTTTTAATTCGCCCTCACGACGACGTGTATTGCTAGTGTAAGGTTGTCGGACGTCAAATCATGTCTTGTTGTTAAATCAGGTCGTCATTATGTATCGGTCTAGACAATGAGCACGAGCTCGAAAGGGGAAGTGGGCAACAACCACGGAAAGGGTTGCACAATTTTTAGAAACTCAGCAATCGTACCTAATTTGTGGATTTTAATTGTTCAATTGAATATTATTTTTTTCCAAATATCTACCTCTTAGCCGTCTCTGTCTCCGCTCCCTATTGATCTACCGTAAATCTTACTGTGGCAATAAAGTAAAATTCAAAATTGTGATATTTCATCCCATTGGTGTCTCGGTAAACGATATCTTCTCCATCTTTCTAGAAATACCCAACCCAATAACAACCCGGCATACCTAGCTGGGCTCTTGGGCGTAAGTATCGTTAAGTATTGTATTGTACCGTACCTGAGAGCCCAGGCAACTCTCGTTGAACCCAACCAATCACGATTCCTATCAACAACCGAATACGGTAGTAAAAGCGTGTTAGCGTCTTCATCACCTCTACTCAGCTCGCCGGTCAAGAAAGAAAATTTTCTTTCTTCCTTCATTAGTGGCCCAATGCGTGCGAGTTTGGGTAGCCAGATCTAATGCAACCATAGAACCACCCATCCTAGTAACTACGATCAAGTAAAAACTGGCAACTATTTGCTACCTCGAAGCAGGCAGCCAACCTTACGTACCTAGGTAACTTAGGTGTGTACCCTACGTACATTAGGCATGTAACTTTACTATGGTACATTTATTTACAGAGCCAAGATCGGAAAAACTCGTTACGGAAATAGCGTATCAAGTGCCGGCCTCGATGCCCTAACTTTCGGATCGCTCCGAGCCTCAATCTCTGTCCAATTGACATTCCTCCAAAAGCCTGAATAGGGGCGGGGCGGGGCGAGTGGCAACTACAGAGGAGAAGAGGGGAGGGAGGGGGTTGTGGCGGAATCTCTTAATATCAGACGTATAATACTCACAAAGACGCCTCTATTAAAAGCCGATCTTTATACACCTTGGATAACAGCCTTTCGCAGATCGCAGAAGATAAATCTCCTATATTGCTATGTAAGGAATTCTAGACCAAGAGACCGGTTCCGCCTAGACCCTCGTCTTAGGTAGCCCGTAGTATATTGTAATGTAATGGCAACGCAGATCCGCAAAAAGAGAAATAAACGTTCGTACCCGAAAGAATTCTAGGTACCTATCTATCAAACCTAGACCCCGACCCTGTGTCTCCCCTTCCGAGCAGGTTTTTTTTTTCTTCAACTTTCTTCAGCTTTCTTCCATCTTTCTAAGTTGCCGCAGAACCGTAAATACCAGGTACGTTAGGTTAGGTAGACATAGCCAGGCACAAGGATCGAACGTGAAACTTCCCCACGCCCGCGCTAATTGCGGTCGGGCAGCTATACTAGCGTCAGGGATCATCGTCGCCTGGGATTGAACGAGGCGGGAGCGTGGCAAATTTCCAAATATACGGTACGTAAAACGGAGAGAAAAGACAAAAACAAAAGAGTTCGAGGCGAACGTACCTATGTGTGATGAGAGATGCGGCTGTTATTTGTCCTGTCCTGTGCGCTACGCTGGCATAGCCGAGAACGCGGCCGGGGTCTGGGTTGGTACGATACCGCATCGGTATCCCGAACGCTATTAAGCCGGGCGAACATCTAGACACCTCGGGGACATCCCGCTCCAATAAATCGCCATGACGTTCTGGGGAGTCGAGCCCTGTGACGAGTAGGTACCTAGTCGCTGGTACCGCGCGTTAGGAGCTTGGGACTTGTCCTGCTGACGAGCTCGATTGTAGTAGATCTTCAGTGCGAGCACACGTACATGTAATACTGTCCTTTTCGCGGGAGCCTGGCCTCAGGCGAGGAACTGGATGAGCTGGCAAAGTCGCAAGCGAGAAACCGAGAAACCGAGCGAGGGGTATGTCTCCCCAGCCAAACTGCATTACAAGGCATAGAAGAAAAAACAAGGCTGCTGTTATCTAGACGAAATATACCTTGGATGCCTACATGTCATATATGCTGGTACCACTTGCAAAAATACCTCATCAAAAGCCGTAGGAGACGGCTCCGTCAGTGGTAACACGTCCGAGGTAGCTAGGCTCTCATTCCAACGGACTTAACTTACAAGTTTGGACCAGCGGCCCTCCAAGCCGCCATCTTCGAGATCGCAGGACCTCCCCTCCCCCTCCCCTCAAGACGCTCCCCCCGCAGAGACCTGGTGTTGAAGCGTCAACACTACTAGGTTAGCACCCTATAAGCGAGAGAGCTTAGTCTAGTCCAACTAACTATGTTGACGACATCGATCGAACCTGGGGGAAGAGGACACGTATATCCTGCAAGATGATAGGGATGGAGATATAGCTCGAGCACATAAGAGCTAGCTACCTACCTAAGATAGATGCACTAGAAATGATGTGCTGGTCTGGGGTAAGCAGTACGGGGAAAGTCCATTCCCCCAGATGGGCTTTATGCAACCCGATGACTAGCTCTAGATGTTACGTCTGATGTATGTCGGGTCACGACACATGCATGTAGAATGCCATGTAACTTCAAGACCTTACTAACTAATGGAATAGCCGCAGCTACTTCTAGCGACATGGGCTTGGCTTGCCTTTGGCATGTTGAGCTTAATATGCCCATGATAAACCCAGTACGGCGACGTGGCAGTTACTTCGAAGTTCGAACATTTGGGATTGAGAAATTTCACTTGACCATTATCGTCCCTGATCACAAACGTACATAGACTCAAACTTTTTTTTGGTTCATTTTGTTCCTTTTTCAATTATTATGTCCGTGACGTAAATCTGAAAGCCACAGGATTGGGCCATTTATTCGTAGAGACATTAAGCTATAGCAATATTTCCCTTTTCTCCTGAATCCCTTAACCAACAAGAAGAGTTCCCTCCGAGTATTAAACTCGATATCGAACTAAGAAGAGAACGGCGTCTTGGACACCACGGAAATTCGAGCTGTCTGTTAATATGTTAACATCTACTCTGATCAAAGTCTAGGTGGTGCGTAGTCCTGAACTTACTTTAAACATTGCTCAAAGATTGGCGTTGGAGCCTGAATCTGTTCTTCGTTGAGATACCTGTCATCCTTGCAGGATGATGACCACGCTGACACGTATCTGTGTCAAGTAGAATCACCGGGCTCTGTACACCGATTTCAATGTTGGAAAGGGCCAAAGTAGAGTGTTTCACAGGTACTATCGTCCATATAGTATATCGATGAGTTACAATTCAATCCGACTACTACTCAAATAACGCAAGAGAGTGAAAAAAAAAGTTCAAGGCCTCTGGATCTTGGGTCACTGAGTGCATGTAAGCTACCTCGAAAGCGTAACCTTTGCGGGTCCTGATCGTTGTCTCGTCAAGATGCAGGGCAGCATCTCAACGCAGACGCATATGAAAGCTAGAGCGAAATGGAACAAAGCGAGTGATGTGATAGAAGTTGGAAAGATAAATGGTGTCTATTATGATTGGAATTTCTTGCTCAAGGGTGCCACAGGCTCCCTCCAGTGCCAACCATACTGGTATGCCATGCGAATCCTGTGTCGTTGGGCGGGTATACCATCAAGAATCAAACCGTCTTAAGAGCTCGTAGCCCATACCGCATTAACCGCAGTGGTCGATTTTAGCCACTAGAATCAGAATACATATATATCCGCATTGAATTGTTCTGTTGATCGATAAATGGGAAGGGTTACGTATTAGGCTGGACTGCTGGTGCCGAACCTTCAATTGTCGCGGCAATCGTAGTCTGGGCGACACCAGAAGGGACTGGGTTGGGTTGCGGACCATTCTTACGGTGGTTGTTACCCTCTTCAGTCAAAAGCTTACTCAGAAGCTGTAGATCATCACGAGCGCGTGGATCACGCTCTAAGGCTCTACGAACGGCAGTCCACTCGCCTTCCTTCATACGAGCCGCATGAGGAAGAAGGAAGGCCACGGTTGAGCTCGAGAACAGAGGACCAAGTACTTGTCGAGCCTTCATTTCGCCTTCAGCCTGTGCAGCTCGTAAAGCCGGAACCATAGGGTCTTGGGCAACTTGCGGCGCGGGTGCCGGCACAGGTGCGGGTGCGGGTGCGGATACGGGTGGCGCCTGGCGGGGCGGCACTACTGGTGTCGGATGGCCTGGGATCTTAGGAGGCGGAATCGGCGTTTGACTGTATTGCGGCTGAGGCAAAGTCGGGGTACCGAAGGGTCCCTGAGGTGTTGCAGGTGACCACGACGGACCTGAAAGCGATGGTCTCGGCGGCATTGGTGTACCTTGAGTTGGTGTTGCCGAGGTCGCTTTCTGTAGCTCTGAACGCTGTTGGTCGATCGGAATCTGTGCCTGTTTCTCGTCGCGATAGACAAAGATCATTAGGAGCATAGGCTCGGAACGCTTCAGAGGAATGAGGTGATCTCCAATGTTTTGCAATGGTTCTGGGATCGGGCCGTCGCCTTCCGCTACGGGGACCAAGTAGGTGTCTCTAACATTGCCTAGCTTCTTCTCGCCAACAACTCCATATCGTTTCTTAGATTGGAAGTATTCAATGACAGCCGAGAATTGCTTTCGTGCGGCGGGGTCCGTGGGGTGACTCGGAGACAAACTAGTAATGACTAGGTCTACCTGGTTGTTATATCTCAACCCGCAAAGATACGGAATAGCTTTCTCTTCTGCGATACGTCCGGCGACGGTGAGAAGGGGCGGTATCAAGTCTTTCCATGCAATGTTCCTAACCTTGCTAAGATCGGCGCCACCAGCATACCTCGCTACGGTATCAACCTCGGCCACGTTGGTCATAACAAGGGGACCGCGCCACACGATATCAGGGTCGACGTGCTCGGTCGGTGAGTATGGCGGAGACTCGTTACCATCTTCCTGGAGTAGTCGGTCAACTTCAGGATCGTCGCCGGGACCTGCCGACTGAACTTGTGTAGAGGCTCGTCTTTGATGAGATACCGAAGGAGAGCGCACGCTCGAGAAAACTTTGCCAATATCAAAATCCGATCTTCTGGGCGATTGCTGGTGTGTCTGGGTATCAACCCGAAGAGGCACCGCTGACGAGCTAGAAAGGCTGCCAGTATTTGCAGGAGATGCCCCTCCATCCGCCGATGATGCAGCCGCCTCGTTGCTCGCATTCGCAGCCTCACTAGCTTCTCTAACACCCTTTCGGCGAAGAGTAGACGGGGCCTCGTCTAATTCAACTGCAAGGTGGTCCACTTCCACAACTTCCTCTCCTTTGTGAGTTCGTCGTACCCGGGGGCCATCGTCAGTAATCAGAATGGATTGCTTCTCCGCCCGCGCTTTCATCTCGGCCGTCTCACGCTGCTGCTCCTTAGTTGCAAGCTGGTCACCAGTCATCACGACAAAGGATGTAGGTGGCAATGACCTATTCAGGACCTGACTAGCAAGTTCCAGATTGTTTTTCAGACTGAAGAACAGTGCGCGAAGCTGAGATGCGTTATGAGAGGTATTCGGATGAGTATCTTGAAAGGCTCGTTCAATCTCGATAGCTAACCGTTCAGTAACATCCTTTTTGGATGAGCCTTCGGGGAGCGTATACAGCTTCTTCTTCTCAGTAAGGTCAACAGCAACATCAAGAGACTTCTGTAAGCCTAATGCTGCTTGTCTTCGAGGTCCCTCAAGCTTCTGTATGCTCTCGGGCAGATCATCAGGGGGCGTATATGCCGGACCTGATGGAACTGCTTGTACCTCTGAAACCTTGCGAAGCTTGCTCTGTGGTCCTTGCGACTGATCTCGAGCCTTGCGCTTGCCCTTTGAAGCCGACTCAGGAGTAGTCTCATCCTTTTTCGCGTCAGGGGTAGATGCCTTTCCTTTCGCGCTGGATGCACTCGGTGATGCTCGGTCCTTGGGGTCGCTTACACGCTTTCCCTTGCTCTTTCTACCCCCTTTTTTGCGCTTCTTCTCTTCTTCATACTTGTGCCTACGATCCTCCCAAGGCTTCTCACCCTTCTTCATAGCCTCCAGGGTACTTTTGTGGTCCTCGGGCGCGCATTGTTCACAGAAGTAATCTCTAGTTAAATCTTCCGTAAAAACACTCATGCCCATACACACGTTGTGCTGCCAAGCGCCGCACTTGTCGCATGCAATCCACGGCTCGTTCGTGTCATCATCGTCCTGCGTGGTAGCACCGCAGATGCAACGGATGATCTCTTCATCCTCCTCTTGTTTCTCGTCCTTTTCGGTCGCCTTCTTGCTGTTCTTTTTGGTCTGGCGTCTCTTAGCTGGCTCTGGCCCGTTTTCGAGTTGGTCGAATACTTTCGTGTGTTGCCCTTTTGTGGCTCGCACAGATCGACGAGGCTCTGGTTCACCTATAAAGATGTGTGTACGCGTTAGCGAGTGGTTTAAACTTCATAGCTATGTCTGAAGTAACAGAACGTATATAGTAACAGGTATTTGGACGTGTCAACTGGGACTTGCGCCAAACTGCTTGTTGCAGAACTGTGGCAGGTGGTACGCTTACCAGACATATTGGAGGTTGACGGAATGCAAATTAGGGGGATTCAGGTCAAGTTGCAGTACGGATTGTTTTAGTTGATTGGCGTTGTAAGAGTGAGTCTACGTTGCGACTTTAGATATTGGCAGCACTCTTCAGACAATCATGACTTCTACGGAGCTGGGTTGATCTATGATTTGACCAGAAGGCGAAGGCAAAAGTAACCAGAATATGACCTCCAAGCTCTTTTAGCACTTAAAAAGAGACCTAGCCTTTTTCCTTTGGGCACTGGTAGAATGTATTTTGCTGGACCAAAGTGGCGAAGATAAAAAAAAAAGGAGAAATCTAGTAAAATACTGTCGAGCGATATAGTTGCGAAGAATCCAAACTGCCGGTGACGCGACAACACCTACTTATTGTTGGCGGGCGGATATAAAAAAAAGGTTGATACCGTCGGGTAAGAACCTTGTTATGAGGCTCTGAATGGTATCGTGTCGTGTCGTGTCTTGTCGTGTCGTGACGTGGCCCTCCGAATGCTGAGGAGGGAGTTATTATAATGGGAAATTGTCACGAGTGGAGAGTTTTTGATGCTGAAAATGGGGAAACATTCTATGAAAAGACAGCGGCGGTTGTGCACGGACCTTCGGATCTTCTATTTAGAAGAGATGGAATCACGGAGGCTGGCAGACCAGGCAGGCTGTTTAGCAGGTTAGCTAACATCTTAGCCTTGTGGCTCAGGTTACTAATACCAGGTTGGTTAGGTACTACCTAAAGCAGCTTCCCCGCACATCTCTTGGCAGGTTGGGAGTACTTACCTTAATATACGAATGTGTATAAAGCAACTTCCTACCTACCTGTAGGCTGTAGTAGGTTGACAGGTAAGCACGCCTTATTCTCAATAATAGTTTTTTTTATTAACAGCTTCTATTATGCGCATATGAATAAAATATGTGCCTTTTCATAAAAATATCAATTGCACCCTTATGAATGCTAAATTGTAGGTGGTACCTAATGAGATGAACCTTTGCTCTTTCAAAAGTTATGTACGTGGGGTAATTCTAGGTACCTCATGGCCCCGTGCACTTATGTTTGTGGAGGTATTTCGTACAATCACCAGCCACATTAGCTCCAAAAGTGTATTTGTCAAACTGAGGCGCCAGGCCGTTCAAAGTTCAGGTTAGGCACCTAGCCACATGCACGTAAATATATATGTACCTAGGTACCTAAGCCTTACAGGTACGGGTCCCGTCTCTTGTACTATGTATTGTTGGTAGGTACCTGCCCTGCTATCTTACGCGTAGGAGCTCTTGCCTAGCTGTTAACCCTTGATTCAATAGCCTCAGCCTTTCCAGAATTCAATTCGCAGCATTCAACAACGTCAGAGCTTTGATACCTGATACAAACAACACCACCAATCCTGGCTTTTATTAGCAACTGAAGACCGGCCTTCGTAAAGTCATTTTATTATTCAAGGCTAAGAGTCATTTTCATTCCTGATTCTTGATTGTTAAAGGCCAGATCCCCCACCATGTCTCGCCGCTACGATTCCCGAGTAAGCTTAAAAGCTACCTACATATCCCCAAGTAACATTATGCGCAGAAGCTCACATCTCCACTAGACCACTATCTTCTCGCCTGAAGGTCGCCTGTATCAGGTCGAATATGCGCTAGAAGCCATATCCCACGCTGGAACTGCGATCGGAATCCTCGCCAAAGATGGCATCGTCTTAGCCGCAGAGCGCAAGGTCACATCGAAGCTGTTAGAGCAAGATACTTCAGCGGAGAAGCTCTACATCCTGAATGAGTGCGTAGTGGGGTTACAACAATATTGCTAGGTTATCTTGTAGAGAGGCTAACGAGTTGCAGCAACATGATCTGTGCAGTCGCGGGCATGACAGCCGACGCAAACATCCTCATCAACTATGCCCGACAAGCCGCCCAACGGTACCTCCTAACCTACAACGAAGACATTCCATGCGAGCAGCTGGTGCGAAGACTGTGCGATCTCAAGCAAGGCTATACTCAACACGGTGGACTACGACCGTTTGGCGTGTCATTCATCTATGCGGGATGGGATCCCCAGCGACAATTCCAGCTCTACCTGAGCAACCCTTCGGGTAACTACGGCGGTTGGAAGGCGACAAGTGCCGGTGCCAACAATGCAAGCGCTTCAAGTTTGTTAAAGCAGGACTACAAGGAGGATTGTACGTTGAAGGAGGCCTGTGGTATGGCGGTTAAGGTGCTAAGCAAGACAATGGACTCAACGAAACTGAGCAGCGAAAAGAGTGAGTTCTCCCTGATGATGAAAATGTGCGTCTTGTGCGTAGCAAATACTAATACCGGTTTTTCTAGTTGAATTCGCAACGGTGGGACAGACAAAGGACGGTAAGATCTACCACCGGCTTTGGAGCGCGGATGAAATCACTGCGCTCTTAAAGGAGCATGACCTCGCAAAGGATGAGAGCGCGGAAGATAAATAAGGGAGATTTCTAGATGATAGACTTTCCGTCGGTTTAAAAGCACCCGGAGTTAGTCATGTAGGTATCAATATCAAATGATAGGAACATCAGCTGAGTTGACGTTGGTATATTATATACCTTAGATTAGGTACATATACCACGTCCGGGTCAACCGTTTTGTGCACCGCGGTATTGGGAGCTTCAGCTGATCCAGGACTGTTTATTCCGTAATCCTGGACGAGTTATAGATACGTGAAAGAAGATAATGCTCAAGACTTCTTCGAAATGCCATGCCCGTCATACACGTAACTCTCCCATGTCTACCTGAGGTTAGGTAGGTTAGGTACCTACCTAGGCACCCAAAAGGCCAAAACAGTTCCAAGTACGAAGCTTGTTTCTACCAGCAGTGATGTGATTACTTTAGGTACCTATGTACCCGAAGGTTACCTAGGTAGGTACCTAGGAGGTAGGAGGTACCGGGCACTTTATTATCGGACACAATGTTGATCCCTCCGACCTGAGTTGGGCAGAGTACCTAGGTATCTACCTCTTTCCACCATCCAAAAGCCAATTAGTGCCTCCACATGTCGCACGCATATCAATGAAAGCCATTAATCAAATCCCTGTCACTTTCTTAATCTCCATCAACCCAATCAACAAGCTTCTACAGCTGCATGAACCTAGGTACCATAGCCTACCGGAGTAAGAATTTCAGGTCAAGTCAGGGGCCTAAACAAGCAGACAAGCAACTAAACTTCGCTGCCCCGCCAAATAAAAACATATTGTCTTAGGCGGACTTCCAGTTGTCGTTGCATTTCGAAGCTTCAAACTTCCATTCCTTGCCTTAGCATTATATACATACATCTTTGTGTCGGTCATCATGCTTCAGGTTCCGATTCGAGAAAAACATAATGGTCCCGGTACGGGTACCAAAGCTATTATTCTGGTATGCGCACCCCCCCACCTCTTATAGAGATAACTTACAACTAATAACAACTTGTTCATTACAGGTTGGTGGTCCTTCGAGAGGAACTCGCTTCCGTCCTCTGTCACTCGATGTCCCAAAGGTCTGCATCCATAAAATAATCATTCCTATAATCGAATTATAATAACCCGTATTAACAATGGTTTAATACCTAGCCTCTGTTCGACGTTGCTGGCCATCCCATCATCTGGCACTGCTTGACCGCCATTGCGAAAGTACCCTCCATCCAGGAGGTTATTATGATTGGTTACTATGATGAATCTGTATTTAAGGATTTTATCAAGGAGGCCGCTTCAGAATTTCACAATCTCCCTATCAAATACCTACGAGAATACCAAGCGCTAGGAACAGCAGGTGGCCTGTACCATTTCCGAGATGCTATCCTCAAGGGTCGACCTGAGCGCATCTTCGTCCTCAACTCGGACGTATGCTGTTCTTTCCCTCTCAACGAGATGGCGAAGATATTCGACGATAAGGATGCCGAAGCTGTCATTCTAGGAACCCGGGTTAGCGAAGATGCTGCCACCAACTTTGGTTGCATCGTATCCGACCAACACTCTCGTCGCGTGTTACACTACGTCGAAAAGCCAGAAAGCCACATCTCGAATCTCATCAACTGCGGTGTCTATCTCTTCAGCGTCGATGCCATCTTCCCGAGCATCAAGACCGCTATCAAGCGAAGAACCGATCGACCGCGACTAGTGTCATATCCCTCGTCCGAGAACCTCGAGTCAAGCTTCATGGCCGACGAAGATGAGGAGAAGAAGAATGAAGTCATCCGCCTCGAACAAGATATCCTTAGCGATCTTGCGGATAGCAAGCAATTCTTCGTATACGAAACCAAGGACTTCTGGCGCCAGATCAAGACGGCTGGCTCTGCCGTCCCAGCTAACGCGCTATACCTACAGAAGGCCTACCAAACCGGGTCGACCGAACTTGCGAAGCCTTCCCCTAACGTTATACCACCTGTCTTCATTCACCCCTCCGCCCACGTCGACCCTACTGCTAAGCTCGGACCTAATGTTTCTATCGGACCCCGAGCTGTCATCGGACCCGGTGCAAGAGTAAAGGAGTCTATCGTTCTTGAGGATGCGGAGATCAAGCATGACGCTTGTGTGTTATACTCTATCGTCGGGTGGAATAGCCGAATTGGTGCATGGGCTCGTGTTGAAGGCACGCCCACGCCCGTCACAAGCCATTCCACCAGCATCGTGAAGAACGGTGTGAAGGTGCAAAGTATCACTATTCTAGGAAAGGAATGCGCGGTTGGTGACGAAGTGCGCGTGCAAAACTGTGTCTGTCTACCTTTCAAGGAGTTAAAGAGGGTATGTTCTACGAATCCATCTCGAATACCAAAGTCTCTATACGGTATCAAGCTAACAAACTGATAGGATGTCGCTAATGAAGTCATCATGTGAGGACGTTTACCGTGGTAAAGCAAATTACTTGCGGCCTCCTTTCTCCTTGCGATGTCAGAGAGCACAGTCGGTTCTCAATTTGGTGTAAGAGCTTTGAAGAGAAAAAAAAACCTACTATGATACCTTCGGCGCAACTTGCCAGCCAGCCAGTCAGATAGTCGAGACGTTATATAATTGGCAACGTTTCTGTTTTTCAATGTCATTTTGGCTTCTCTGCATTTTGCCCAGGCGGAACAGTGATTCTCGATTCAGATTACCACGATATAAGTTGTTACAACGTGACAAGCTCTTCGCAGCGCAGTGAGAAATAACATGATGCAAGCCAGCATACCATTTGGTAATGTATCAGGCATACCCAGCCATGTCGATATACTTTTAAACGTATTAAATAACAGGTACCTCTTATGCAGCAAGTCCCACGTCACTAATCCCCTCAAGTAGAAAAGCTGAAATCATTAAAGAAATCAAAGATTAGCATGTCTTAAAAATGCATTACTTGTAAGTTAAAGAGATTAAAATCAGTTTTCACAGTAGGCCGGTAGAATGGCCGGCTTATCTTCAAATCAACAGCATCCAATGTCAGCAAACAGAGCATATTTGCGAGAACAAATGATATTAGCACCGAACTAAGTGGTGCGCCGTCGCAACTAACTGTGGACTCGATCCACGAAACGAATATAAAGTGACGAGTAGTGCCGCTTCGGCAGGTGGAAAATATGTACAATCCTGGCGACTTCCGGCGAGAGACTTCTTTCTCTCGCTCGGATTGCCAGCTTTCGCTTAAAACTCGTTCCGCCTGCTATATTCTTCTTGGTTCAGAACCGGCGGTGCGAATAACGGCCTGGGGACACCTGCGAACCCACCGCCGCCGCCGCCGGCAACCGAGGGCTGGGATTGCCGCCACGGATGCGAGTCCCGCCACGTCGGGGGGTCTTCTTGCCACGGCGGCGTCGCTAGCCACTGTCCACTCGGCGGGCGAGCATCGCCTGTATCGCTAGCCCCTCTGAGGTGTACTTGTTCCATGACCGGCATCGGCATCGGCACCGGCACCGGTGGTACGGGCGGTGGCGGTGGCGGTAACGGCATGCTGATCTGGGACATGCGTTCTTGATGTGATTGTGCAAGTTCCTCGTCCCGGAGCGCGTTGATCTCCATCTGCGCCATACGCGCTCGCCGCCGCCGCCGGCAGAAGAAAAATATTAATCCGAGGATTGCGAGCACACCGACCGCTGACCATACCCCGATCGCGACCCGGGCTCCTGTGCTGAGACTCCCCGGGGGTTCGACGGTGCCGATTGCGGGATGGTCCGCGGCGCCGAGAGCTACGCCGGCTTGGGGTGATTCCGGTAAACTGGGGGTATCATCGTCATCGTCTTCTTTTTTCTCCCCTTTTTCATCTTTCGCGTCTCCGGAACTACTAGACCCTGATGAGGAGGAAGAGTCTACCGACGAAGGGCTATCTACTGAAGATTCTCCATCCTCCTCTTCTTCCCCTTCTTCATCATCATCATCTTCCTCTCCCTCGGATGCGGGTGCGGGCGCAGGCGCCTGTCTCCTTGAGGATTTTATAACACCATGTCTTCGTAGAAAGTTATTAAGCGCCTCCTCCGGCAGCGAAACCTCGCTGGCGCTAGCGCCCTGGATCCAGGCGGCGGTGCTGACGAAAGTCGCAATGCGCGCTGCGCTGATAGTCTTGGGGAACCTGTGGCCCATCGTGTATAATATAAAATTAAAGCGTAAAAGAAATAAAGAAATAGAGAGGAGCGAATGAATTGTCGTCGAGACGAGTAAAGCCGGTCTCGCAGTCCTCCTGTCGTTCTTAGCTCGGTTGATAACTTTTACTATCACTATACTACACTACACTACACGTGGTTCCTCCAGGGACTAACAAGCGTAGTATAGTCAGTCGATCGACGGGGAGGAGAGATCGTGCTTCGACGACTAGGTAGGGGACGGATCGCGAATGCCGATGAGCAACTTTACCCTTCAACTCGTCCTGAAGGTATGGGTGTTGGGTCGCCAAGGAACATTGGATCGAGAAAGAAAGGGACGGCAGGACAAAGTCTTGGGGGGAAGATCAATAGTATATACTAGGTACATATCAACGTATTGCTAACTAGAAACCCAGAAGCGGTAATTGGACACACGACAGCCGGCGATCTACATCTTTGCTATGGGGCCGTGTCGCAACCCAACCCAAGTTTGGATTGCTTTAGAGCTTGTTATGGTGGGAGTGGAAGTTCGGGGTTGACGATGAGATGAAACGAGATCACAATGCCAAGGGTATCAATGCTCTCTTGGCGAGCCGCATCGTTTGGCTTGGCTTTTTCGTGCAGTTCTACACACGTTAGGCAGTATCAAATTCTCCACCGACTTCACTTCCACGCGTTAACAATTTCAGCTAATTTCCGAACTGGAAGATACCCGTAGCCTTGCGAGAAGCCAAGCCTTTATCCTAGACGAAATCAGACGGCTGCCGTCACGGAAAGAATCAATGAGTTAGCGCCGGCGACGATCTCTTAGCGAAACAACCATCACCTGCCTCGTCATCAATTGTTTCAACCAATGCTAAATATCCCTTAATCCCCCTTTCCTTCGTATTGATGACGGCACAATTTGCGTATAGAAGTTTTAAGCAGACAAGCTCCTAGCATATATCTACCTAACCTAGTCTAGGGGTTCCTACAAGCAATCACAAAGTTCGAGAAAGATATCGGTGCTTAACAGAAAGTCCCGGTCCAAGTCCATCCAGTGACGCTTCATCGCATCCGAGTGCCGGTTTGATACGTCCCATCACACCCTTCAAACACCGTCCCTAGGGTCAGGGAATATACGTTATCATTCAAGGGTGCATTAACCATTTATTATATATACCCTTGTTAAACCGTCGTTGTTAGTTCTAGGTGTTTCCCGAGTCCATCCTATAATATAGGCCTATCATAAAGACTTAGTATATATATATATATTTGCATGCTTTACATCTAACAGCCAATCTTATCCTCTAAAGACTACGTCAACCTGGGGAACCTGTTAGACATTTGCAGCGAAGCAACATTTTCGGCAGCGTTTTCTCCACGACTAGAGGCCTTTAGTCTCTTTATCATATGATTCATATGACGCCTTTTAGCTATATGGCTGCTCATCATAAGTCTTAGTGGTTCTCCTACCAAAAACTACATGTGTCACACAATCTGGATGTCATAATAAAGAGTATGTCGCAATTTTAAATATAGGTACTTAGAGTTGAAGAAATGACCCCTAATCCTTGTCTCACTCGTACCTAGTTGCAGCTTAGTAGGTAGTTGTCCTAAAGTCCTAAAAGACTAAAGTGTTATGTACCTTAGATGGTTTAATCGTCACTAAGCTACGAAGTTTGTGAAGTTTTGCGCCATGAACTTAGAAAGGAAAAGTCATTATCCCGGAAGATTTTACATCTATAAAACCAAATCAATCGTATGCTTCACAATAGCTATGATGTTGTCAAGGTGATAAGGAAAAAGCGTGATATTCACGTCTAAGGAGTAGGTAGAAAGAGCAGTTTAAGCAAGTAACTTCGTATAAGATATGAGAGACATCGAAGGACATCGAGCAGTAAACCCTATATTAATACTAGGTTTTAGGCATCATTGAGAAGGAATCACTTTTATAGTTGATATAGTTAACCACTCTTATAAATAACTATAATATCAAGAATTTCAACGATGATGTATACTTCTGCTTAGATTTTACGACGAGTTATTACGTTTCTCATCGTACTCTATCTGCTTCTACGGTGGTTCCTTACATCTCTACTTACCTAGGAGGCAATTTGTAAACAATGCATATAATAGGATGAGACTTTTAAGGATGTGATGCACACCTTACCCAGATATCAACCAATACATATTGAGAACTAGAGTAAAGTGAAATGTAAGATATAAACAGGCAGCATTATTCTGCTGATAGATAACATATGTAGGTACGTCAACCAAATTTCGGGTTAGATTGAGTTCTGGCAGCTCAATGGTACCAGAAAATATTATGATCCTATTCGAATCTAGCAAACCTGGCGGTGAATTGATCTAGACTCTCGAGTGTGATATACAGCACACCGTAGATTATCAGTTAAAATAATATAGTTTGGATTAGGTGTATGATTATAGAACGCGGTAAATACCAGCGTGATAGATAAGGGCCTCCGTGACAGGTCACCACGCATGTCGATAGGTATTCATATTCCAAATGTTCTAGAACATGACTTGGAATCATACGTGGTGGCTGTCTCTCGAAACAATATCCATGGAGTGAATTGGACGAGCATGAACCATTACCAAAGAGACTATGGCCATTGGAGGACCTGGTTACGTGCGCTCGAGTGCGGATATCATATACCACTATAGTATCGTGAAGGACATAGCTCCATAGTGCCTACCAATTAATATAACCTGGATCAAAACAGGTCCTTGAAGAAGCACGTGTTACCATGTGCGTCTAGAACTATAAAGCTACCTAAGCTGTGAATATATATGGACACTCTATATTGAATATTGAACACAACCCGTGATACTCTCTACCAATTGACCCTACCCCACCTGTATAAAGCATAGAAAGACAGAACCACAAGGTGTAACTGTATAAAAAGTAAGACTACCTAGGTATGAATTGCTATAGACCCCGATTGCTATATACAACACTATAGAATATAACCGTCTCACCCCCATCGATCAGCAACTACATGGATGCAAGGATACAGGTAGTCAAATGGAGTAATGACACCCCTGCAACCTCCGTGTCCCAAAGCCGTAGACTCGGCGCGGAACCGAGTTGGGGATCCCAGTCGCCACGCGGGTGCTAGCTAGTGAATACGTCGTGAAGGGGGGGCCGGGACCGCCACCGTGGCACAGGCGACTTGTACATGAATAGATACCTACCTACCAGGTTAGGTACATAGACATGTGTTACGGTGCATGCATCTCTCAGGCGCAGTCCCACCCCCCTTTCAGCCCTTCAGCTGACTGTGACTATTATTGGGGTATGAGGTATACCTTAGGTACAGTTTCCTATTTCTTGATTTCCAAGTATACATACCTTACCTCTTACCTAACGTAAGGTAGCTATAAACCGGGAAATTGGGGTGGTGTAGGTATACCAGGTAGGTATTCCAAAGTGCCAAAGTGCGACATCAGGCTTATGCCAAGGAAGACGGGGTCGAAAATCAAGAAGATAGATGGGATATGAGAGAACAGGATAGGATGGGATGGGGGAAATTGACGCCTTAAGCTGGCAGGTGGGATCCTGTGACTTGACTAACGACCTGAACTATTCGCCGTAACCTCCCCAATGCAACAGGTTCGCCGTCGGTAGCCGTCACGTCATAGAAGCACATGAACCGATAGAGAACTCCGGCCTGCGATCTTGCGATGGAGAGAGAAAAAGAGAGAGCAAGAGAGGACAAACCAACTGAGTCGCGTTCCCGGGCGGGTGCTACGTAAAACGCTGCGAGTATCCGATTTCAGCTAGCCCGTGGCAATACGCGAATATACCCACGCGCCTATCGAACAGGACAGGCTCGAACAGAGAGAGACATATCAAGTTTACTTGGAATTGGGCAGCGCCGCTAAAGGACCCCGTAACTTCATTTCTGTCTAGGTGAGGCGGAAGTAATATGTAGGCATCTTAGGTTAGGTGCGTATGTTGATCTACACTTGTCCTCGTGGACTAAGGGCTGAACGAGGGGTTGGTAGGGTAGGGTAGGGTAGGTAGTACCTATCGCTATAGTCAAGTAAGGCTATGACACACAGCGAAAGCTCTTTTAGGTGAGAGTCGCACCGCAGGCAACACGAGTAACCTCAAGGGCAAAAAGTAATGCTACACCTACATATCCAGCCCTTCCACGGGGTCTGCGGCCGAGCAAACGTATGATAGACTTGAGGTAGCCTGCTGTAATACCTAGGGGCGTACATGGAAAGGAGCTAGGATTTCTATGGCAGCTTGGGATATCTATAGCATCTTACAGGTAATTTGGAAGTCTCAGGGGCTAGAGAGCACACCCGTCCGTGGTAATACGCCCACCTCGGACCGATACGTATAGGTATAGGAAGGTAGATGTACATCGCATCCACTCCCCTATGATGATGGGAGCCTTAGAGACTTTGCGATATGTACGATATGTATGGGGTTCTAAAAATGAATGGGATTTTCGACATCTAGACTCATCTTTGGAGATGGAGGGGGGAGGGGTTGGGTTATGTTGGGTTGGCATGGCATGAGCATGTCCTGAACTCCCTACCCTATCGATAAATGAACACAGGCAAAAAAGGGGGGTCGACTGGTTACTGGTGCGATTCGCGAGTAAGGAAGAGTATAGGACGATGGGTTGAATCTCGGGTTAGGCTATGTTGGGTACCTAGGTGGTTCACTAAGGTTCCCGTCGTCGCGTCTCGGTGCGGGCTGTACAAGTGCGACTATAACCCTACATACATACCTACCTACATATAGGTAATGATGATGTTCAGTGATGCTGCCGGGGGATCTCAGCCCCTCTACTACGTAATGACTTGCATAGACGCCGGTATTCTCTAAGCCCTAAGTTAGGTAGTCTTCGAGAAGTCGAGTAAGGAATTCCATGCCTGCCCACGTCAATTGCAGCACGGATACATTGCATATATGTATAACACGTCAATTAGATAAGGGACCCCTTATATCAAGGGGCTGGTTTTTGCTATAGTGAATCAATCTATCCTCACGCCAATGGAATCGTCTATCTAATGATTACAAGTGGTGGCAATTCGTGTCCAGCTGTCTGCCCGACAGTCTCGTGTGGTACACGGCTTTCACAGCCAATACTCGCACCAGAGAGAACCACTATTACGAGTTATAGACGGGAACTAGGTAATTGATCTGGATATTGAGGAATGCCGGATCAAATTGTGTTTGCTTGCCTGTTTATCATCCGACGTTAGAAGAGAGGAGAGCCGACCGATGTGTTATACAGGTTACGGAACCGCGCATATGTTCGCTGCATACTAAGCCTTACGAGAGACGATACGTATCGTATCGTATCGTATCTTACATGGTAAGGGTATGTTTCCGAATGCAAGAAAGGGAGATGGCAGATTCTCACTCACTTAGGAACGTAATCCCCTAAATCCCCTAGATCCCCTGTGCCTTTCAACCCCCCCCTCCTTGATGACGCGGAACTCAATTCGTCCATGTGTGTGAGACAAAAAAGAGTACCTAGAAGGTAGGTGGGTGAGAATATCCTCCTTTAGTTTCTATTCCCATTGTGCTGCGAAAAGAATAAGACAACTGTGCCATATTGGCCGGTTTCTGTGGGTAGTATTCGATGATTTCTATTTCTGTTGTAAGCCAATGCGACCTGATGTATGCACGGCTGCTGCGCAATGAGAACGGCGCCTTGCCGTTGCTGACATGACAGATAGGTAGAATAATAGGACCTAATTTACCTCCTCTACCATCCTGCTTGGGGACTTTGGCCCTCCTATCTGCCGGGGGTGAGAAGGCTAGTGAAGCCTCAGCACGCTCTACATGGATGCGATTCTGATCTATGATTGGACATATAGGGGTCCCCCAGCTCGTGGAAGAAACCCCAAAATGGAACACAAATTTAGTATGAGATGGATGGGTGGTTTGAATGGACGAAAACTCGAATCTGATCACATCAGCGCGCGAATAGTCGCTGATATTCCTACTATGCAAACGACCAACTGCCGCGACAGACGCGGCTGGGACTTGACGAGGAATAGGACGAGGTTGGCTTCCTTTTGTGTTACTTATTCGGGTCGCTTGTAAGAGATAGGATGCAATAACATGTAACTAACTAATGTAATAACTTTGACTTTTTGGCGAGCAGCCAACCTGCATTCCTTCGGCGAATAACCCTTCAACAAAGTACATACGGTATGCAGTCCATCCGCTCCGTATGTTCGGCCGCCTCCTCCGATAGGTTCGAAATAAAAACCCATATGGCATGCAAGGTACTCAACTTCGGTTCTGTTATTGTTTTTATCCCTAGCTAGATATTTCGATCAATGAGGATATTGGATACGTGATCCAATTCTTCCATGCCAGGGATAATTTTAATGTGCCTTTTTTTTGGCCTGGAACACGAAACCAACGCAAATAAACATCGAGTCTCACATGGGGCGGGAGGTATGTGTATGTGTATCCAATGTATTATGCGTATGTTCCTGTACTTTGTTGTTTAACACACAACCCCCCCGTCCCCAGTCTACCATCAACTTCAGCTTCACTAGCCACAATTACGATTACACGATGACTTGCAGGAGGATGAAAATACTGTTAAACAGCTAATTGAAATGAATTGTCTCAGTCTGGAGGTATTACTTGTTAAGTATAGCTAGTCTAAGAAGGTGTAGTATTCCATAATACTCGCGTGGCAGTGGATTCCATGTACTGTAACCTCTCAAGCGGCGGAATCCTAAGGAGTTTCTCTCCAGGCTCCTTCCCTCCCCCTCCCCTTGCCGTCTCTGAGCGCTACTGCGCCGTACGCTTACGATTACAATGACCCCTACACTTAATCCGTACCGGGGCCTACACAATCCAAAAGGGGGTCTACAGGGTGTCAGTACCAGTAGCGTACGTACTGCTATCTACCAGGGCGACCGGCGGTGCGGATATGAGCGGATCCGCGTTGGCGCCCTACGGACAAATTCGTAGGTGCCTAACATAAATACTATGGCGGAAGGACAAGTTGGAACAGCCAATTCACTTTGGTGACTCGAATGATGAGTGGTAGACTCGCTCATTCGATCGATAACTCGTTCGAACAGACAGGCAAAGAGGGGTAAAATAAACTGGCGAATGAGACAATTGGTGGCCCGCCGGTTCGATGGCCATGATGATGCCAGCCTTTCAAAGTACATGATGTTATATACATACGGAGGGGAGTAAAAAGTCTAATTCGTGTATGTACAATACTTGATGTATGTTATATGCGTTACGTACACTATAATATGTAACCAGGGAAGGAAGAAAAAAAAAGTTGACATGCAGCCTGCAGCTTGGACCGCGGAACGCATACGGACTTAACTATCATGGAAGACATGACATGGGATATGACAGGGGTATTCAGTCGCTAAAGGAGCCTGTAAGAAGCACTAGAAGACATTAATGCGACGGAAGGATTGGTGATAGACTGTGCCCTGTAACCCTAGAGATGGAACCCTAACACGCCGTCGGTCTCGGCCCTCGTATCATGAAGAATAACAATAACAACAATATCATCATCATCACAGTCAGACGTATTTTATTAAATATGGGAAATCTGGGGAAATATCAGACATACCCCTTACTACCATACCTTACATTCAAAGCATGTGTCTAAAGCAACAAAATAAGCATGAAGGTGGGTAATCATATGTATATAATAAAGCGTCCTCAACATTCTCATTCTCGTGTTCGTGTTCCAAGACCGCATAGCATGGTTGGAGTATGCCAATCTCGGCCAAACAAGCCGTCGGCACACAAAATTAAAATGAAAAGGATATGCGAAATTAAAATAAAAGAAAAAAAAAAAGTTCGAAGGATTCTGCTATGTATATACCTGTAATAATAATAAGATATTATTACATTACGCCAGAGGAACGAATGCTGACATTGCATGGCAACTCATCCTTCATCATCTTTTTTTCTTTCTCACTTTTTTTTCTTTTAGTTCCTCATATCAGGCAGTCAAGGTAACGTATGAAGATGACGACAAGTACCTCTAACATACGCGCAAAATTACCGAATGTGTGGCAGAGTAGGTGGAAAAAATTGAAGACAAAATTGGCTTGGCGAAAAGACGGTTTGATATCTTGCGCGGGAATACTCTGTGGAAGACATTCCAAGGGAGGCAAAACATAAAAAAAAAAAAAAAAAAAAAAAAAAAAACCGGGTTATACGGTTAACTAATCATTTCAACTCTCATATCTTTGTTGAGTCAGAGGTAGAACAATTCACCGATGCAATGCTTACCACATAGCGATAATTGACCTCTACCATGTACGGAATATATTATGTTGCAACGACGTTGGCAAACGGGTCCTCATCTAAGACCGCATACCTCCACCCATAAATAATTTCGGCAGCAAGCATATGCATACCACATGCAAACATACGAACGGCGGGACAAGAACATGCATAAAGTACAACACCATATGTAGGATAAGTAAGCCCATGAGGAACTGTATTGCGATCAAAATTTGTTGTGTATATCAGCATCATATCACGATTCAGACAAGATCACCATTCATAAGATGCGAGACAGTAGACGTGGGAGAATAACAATAGTGGTCTTTTTGTCTTCCTGAGATTTGAGCTACCTAACAATGAGAAGAAAAGGGGGTATCTCCCAGCCAGCCAGTACAACCATATCCCAATCAATAATAGAACACGCTAGAGATCTTCTATAATTGTATCTCTGCGAAAACGACAATAAAGCAAAAGAGGCCACCGTAATCGACCGAACGCCCGCTCATATTCGCGCAGGGTGCCAACTGGTGAAGCAAACGTAACTCGGCTGGCGTCAACGAATCCATCGCTAACATCAATAAAACAATAGCCATTAAACTCTCTTTCAGAGGTTGGGTCATAGCCAACCCCGTTTGATACCCTTCAATGGGTTCCGTAATGTTGTTGCGCAAAAAAAATAAAAAACAAAACAATTCCTTCTCCAAAGACAAACTTTTGAGTTCCCGAATAATGTCCCTACAGGGTATATCGCTCGTGTCCTCGTCAACTGCTTGCGCGGTGAGCCGTGTGCAATAGACACGCATTCTCCTCTCTTCGTCCGGGGTATCTCTGGAAAAACGAAAGATAAGACAGGAAAATCCAGGCCCTTCTTCCCTCGATGCATGCTAGTTTGCCCTGCGGCGTGTGTAATATGACAGATGAAAGACGTCCTCAAAAAGAGAGGAAATCCTGGTATTAGGGTGTCACTCCGGAAATACGACCCAACAGGAAATCAGTTTCTACTTGTACACGATGGCGTAAGCCATCCTCCGTCCTCAAATCGGGTTTAATAGTAAATATGTTATGGTCCATCCTCGGGGAAAAATTGGATCCAATGGATGGCAATAAGCTGGGAAAAAATAAATCAAGGGGTCCGGGTATCTATTGCTTGGGCCTCTTCAAAATGTCCTCGCAGTTTGCATCAAACCGCAGGTTCCAGAGACGAACTTGCTGCATAAAAGCCTCGGTACGCTCAAGCTCTCTCTCACGGCCGAAAATGGTCCTGACGAACTCCACTCCGGCATTCTGCCCGAGGTGAGATGCTTCCTTGGTTTTGGAAGACCTTAGCATAGGGGCCTCGCATTTCTTAAGTAGAACGCGAAGCTTGTCTGTCAGGCGTTCGCCTGATTCAATAAAATCTTCAATCATCTCCTTATTGGCTTGGGTCCTGACCTCTGGCACAACTTCTTCGGCGCGCTTTATCTTGCCAGAGAGTTGAATCAGAAGAACCCATAGTTCACCAGCCACATCGGCAATGGGAGTGGCAGCTCCGTGGTGGTGAACGGTCCAATCGTAGATCCACTTTCCCAATGAGTTTGAGTCGAAAACACTACCTAACAGCATGATTGGTTCCTCGGCGGGATCCCAGTTCTTGAGGGAATATCCAGGGGGGATCCGATGCTTCCGGGCATCCGCCTCGGTGGCCTTCTTTGGTACCGAGGTAACAGTCTTCTTCTTGTGCGAGCTAGAGGGGCGTGTAGTAGCGGGGCGCTGGATGGGTACAGCGGTGGATGAAGAGCGACGGGTGTGGTGACCGATCCTCGTAGCAGAGCGGGCTGGAGGCTCCTCGTAGGAGGGGTACTCGGCCCTTTCTTTCTCGTAGAACGACGACGGCATGCCCTGCGAACGGTAGTAGTGATCAGTGCCATGTCCCGGAGCAGCATAGAAAGACTCTCTGCGCTTGCGACTCTTGGACTCCCCTATCAACACGCATCTGTACCCATCGATCTCGACAATCTCGTCCTCGTCGGAATCCCCATGAGAGGCCCGATTATATGAGAATGAGGTCCGAAGCTCGCGCCGAGGCATATGATGCGACCCTATTGAGAAACTGTGCTTTCGCGAACTCACATTCGGGCTTGGGCCGGTGGCATACTCGCCGGTGCTCGTGTACCGGGGCGAGAAGGCAGTCGACGGTCGGTAGTCGGGGATGCCGCTGCTAGCATTACGAACATGAGCTCCGGTAGCCGGTCGCTGGTAAAATGGGTAGTGACGTGGAGAAGGTGTTGGTGAGGGGCTCTGTACGTCGTAATAATAACCCGCATCGCCTCCTCGATGGGGAGTCCCGTAAGGCGACCCGTAACTCATCTTGATTGAGTCTTGCGTGATGTAATGTCGCCGAATTTGTGTAATGTCGCTAATATAACTTCTCTATTTATGATCGCCCCCGAATGCGACTCGATGGTAATAAAATGTCGTCGTAGTTTATTTCGATGCTGCTTTTTCTATTTTGTTCTGATATGGCGCCTGTGTCGTGACGCTGGAGGAAGTGACACCTGTCACCTTGGTATGTGGTCGGTGGGAAGAGGAGAGGAAAGCCGTCTTCTTTGAGAGAACATGTCAAGATCTGGTGTTTATATCCCCCAGGAGGATTGGGCATCAAAGTCGATAGTAGTCGACTTCGGATGTTGAAAGCGCTGGAAAAAGCTGGACCGTTCTATAAAGTCCAGTTTGGAAAATTCGTTTGGGGAAAACGAATATCAAATACAAATAATGTGGATGTAATAGCAAGATGAGTCAGTTGATATGGCAAAAGCCAAACTTGGTAGAAGAGGTAAACCGTCCGAGGTGGTTGGGCAAGGCGAGTGGTCTCGTTTAATAATAACAGAAATATTTTGGAGCAACCAACGGCCAGGCCAATTTTTTTTTAAATTTTTTTTTTTAAGTGTCGGGGGGGCTAGCAAGGGGTGCTAGAAAAAAAAATTGACAGGGGGGGCCCCTACCAAGCCTAATCCTAGCCTAAAAGTAAAGGTAGGTACCTTGGCAGGATTTGGGTATGTGCGTAGTCCGGTACGTACAGTACACTCAGCTCGGGTGTGTATGTTGAGATGTCAAGGACACGGGTGTATGCGCAGTATGCCCCTCTATGCACACACTCTCACACAATTTTTAGTCTGGTGTAATGACACAGCCACAACGTCTGACAAAAATCCGCTCGCACTTTGTTTCTGATTTGGTACCCAATCAGGATACCTAGGCACTCAGTTGTCCACTATGTGCCGAAATAGCGATTAAATTCAGCTGCTAGTTGCTGCAAATCGGTCCGCTCAGCATTGAATGATTTGATAATGCCAGCGGCAATAAATAAAGGCCACGCCTCTTCAAAAGTTGTCGTATATCGCTCGAAGCCTGGAGATCCTCCTCGGCGGCGAATGCGATTACGATAACGTTTGAATAAATGCGCAACTCCTCCGATATCCCCTGTCACTTGATCATAATTCAGGCAACTCGGAGCTCTCCATAGTAAAAGGCTCGTTGTAATAGATATGAGTCCGGCCGTGCCTGGTGAAAATGGAAACTGTTGAAAATTTTTCGTGAATAATAATGCTCTGAGGATCCTGGATTCCAGGGTTGCCGAGATATCGGCCTGCCCTTTAGCGAAATTGTGATTATAGCCTCCTTGTTCCGACTCGGTCCTGGTCCTAGTCCCTGTCCTTGGCGCACCGACAATATCCCAACGATATGGACCGTATCAAAAGGAATAGTGAAGAAAACTTTTTTTTTTTAAAAAAAAAAAAAAAATCTAGCTCATGGATTATCAAGGATCCATCAACAGAGATTTCAGATCCCTAGGCCTTCGTTTAGAGATTGAGGCGCAATAGAAATTAATGCAGCGAATATCAGGGAGATTACTCGTTTGAGTATTCTGTAAAGGAGAATGTAGGTCGCATTAGATTCCGAGTAAATGATTTTTTTTTTTCCAATGCCTTTGGTTAGATTGAATCAAAGGAAAAAAAAAGTGTTGAAAAATCCGTATCAATCCTAGTGGAAAAGAGAAACAACTTGTAGATTCAAGATTGCAGGTTTGACAGATGTGGCGGGTGACACGATCCTTATGCTCCAGATTGGCAGATTGGACACACCGAGGAGCCTATGATCCCTCTCTGTCAAACAGCATCAGATGAGTAATAAGTGCAGATGCTCAGATACTCGTTCATGTAGGCATTCAACAATCCGGCCGCGGGACTCCAACGGGTGCCAACAGCATGCGGAGGGACAGAAGCTTTGAATTGAAAGCTTTGGCCAGTTTGCGAACTGATCAATCAAATATGCGCCCGAAGCAGTGAGGGGCGTGTGGTGGAATGGTGGAATGGCCTAACCCCCTCAATTGTCCCAGCGTATTGATTTAGATGATCCGATGAGAAGGAGGAAATAGGTGAGAGAGAACGGATTCAATTTCCAAATCTTGCGCGATTATCATGTGGGTTGGCTGGTTGTAGATTTATAAGTTGAGTGATATAAGTTACCTAAGTGAAAGAAGGGAAGTTAAAATTTAGACTACGATTCGGGCGGTGCCGAACAGGTATATGTAATAGGTAAAAGTCGAGATCACAAGATGGGACGCAGTTGCCTACCCACCTCCCATAGTTCATAAGTTAATTGATGGTTAGGTAATTCTCTAGAGGAGGTACGACGGATATTCTGTAGTATTACTAGACGATAGTATTGGAGTAGTGCCCGCGCGGGGAAGTGGGCAGGCAAGAGCGGGTACGTGCCTAGGCCCGATTGTGCATATGAATTACCTACATGTAGCCAAAAAGTGTCTTGCCTACCTCCTAGACCTAAGCTATACTTGCCTATACCTATAGGCGATGCTACTGTGTGTACTCCATCTCGTCATCGCCAGCCTTCTTACAAAAGAGATACATCCTAAGAATAGTTGTAAGAGTAACAATCCCCCCCACTTGCTAGATTTAGCCTTTTACAATAGCCTGCCCTCCAAAGAGATAGCCCCTCTTATTAGTCAATTTATCATATACAAAAGGTATTATTGCTCATATTGTCGTCCTTACAAATGTGAACGCACGGAGAAGACTTACACTACCAAGGTGTATATACAATCACATTTGAGGCTACGTACGCCTGTGCTGACTATTTCCTTGCCTCTTCCACCTCGGCAAACTCGCATCTTTGCCGGATTTATTTATCTCGGTGGCGTGGGACATAGTAGATCGGATTGGAGGGTTGTAGATTCTTACACACCCATACACCAAAATAGAGTATCATCCGGCGCTTCCATCCTTGATACGACCCCGAAAAATCGAACTCTCTTCCTAGCCATAAGAGAAAAGAAAGAGTAATTCAAATCGAGTAACCACACAATAGAACTATCCAGGACTTTCTCGATGCGTCATCCGACGAGCGCGATTTACATCTAGCGTTATAAGAGCGCCAATATGGATTTGGGCCAGCAAGCCTTCTAATAGTTCGTTATTAAGAGGGTCATCTGCAACTCCCCGGGGGATGCATGGTAGTGCATGGCGGGGGAAAAGAACCAGGAAGTGAGTTAAAAAAAAACGTGGGAGGTCGCAGCATAAGGCCCTCCTCTATTCTCCAATCAAAGCTTTCTGGAGTCATGTATGTATGATGCTGATGACAAGCTGCGAACGTTCCTAGATCTAATATGAGTCGTTATTGGCGGTCATCATATGCGCATAGTTAATCTTGCTTTATTAAATCTCTAAAGTAAGATTTGGTTTTAGCCAACTAGGTGAAAAGAAATACTCCGTATAGATCAGCTACCTACCTGTCGGAGGCCTGTTTTTACAAGCAAACAATCTATACAACCATATTCGTGCTGTTACCTTACCTTACCTACTTGAGATCTATAAATTGTTAAATCGCCACCGCATTATTAAATGTCTACGGAATGAATGTATGTGTGTATTACTGTACAATACTGTACACAACCAATTCTGTTGAGATATTGTCTCTGCACGGACTCGCCCCCGGCTTCAATCTGGATCAGCCAGAATCGTAAATTGTTGGTTCTTTAAGGACAGTCAGCCTCTATTCCGCCAAAAATTATCCGCCTTACAGTGTAGATACTATTATCTGCCTAGGTAGGTATCTACACAATAAGTTAGGTAGGTAGGAGGTAGTTATCGTATATTAAAAATATTTCTAAGTAGTCAAAAGCATATCTAGTCCTGCTCCTTTTCAGTGTTCCGCTGTGTAGGTAGGTTACCATGTATTACGACGCACGACCTGCCTCACACCCTTATGTCCCTTTCGGTGTAAGCAAGGAACCTCGGGGTGGTTGGCAAACCCGTTTACGAGTTACCCTGTTTCGGCCTTATTCCCTCAGCTCAACGCCTCAAGTCAATTCCGATCTTATCTATGTCCTATCGACACCAAGTCGAGACTCATCCGTACCGGCTCATTCATGGCAGAAGATCCTTCCGAGGACAATCACTTCAAACGTGTGATACCGAGGCGCTTAGACATTTTGCAACGATGAGAAGACAAGATGAGAAGACAACAACACGGCTTTTTCAGCCACCGAACAGAAACTTCACCAATAGTCTAGTTGAGTTGCTCCTGGGATCGGTACACTTCGTCATGCGATGGACCAATAATTCGAAACGGTGGGATTCTGTGTGACAGTCTCGCACTTATTATTACCCCAGGGTTCCTACTTCGTACGACGGCAAAGCAAGCCACTTGAAAAAGACTGGCGGCTCATCGCAAATACGTACATCGAGTGGATTCAGATAAAACTTACTACGGTTGCTCTAGAAGGTTCAGCTCTCTAATTCGAAGAGCTAGGAGCCCGGGCCGGTTCGGCTGACAGGTAACTAATGCTTCTCTTCCCCGGCAAAGCAACCATAATTGGGAATGGTGCTTTTACGATTTCATATTCTCCATACAGTATGGGCAAGACTGTCCCAGGCCACGATTCAAGCCGCAGATGTTCTGGAGCTATCGACTCGGCGGAGATTACACCCATTGCCGCGGGTCAGTCCAGTAGCATGCGTTGGAATCCATGCAGCCATGAGTAGAAGTACCCATATACAGGACATGGGCTATGGACTACAAGGGCAACACGGACTTACACAGGCTACGCCATGGATTTTACCAGTCTGTCTTCCTTTCGTCTTGGCCCCGTTGACCCATGCCATAGCAAGCATGGACGGAACAGAAATTACCTGCTCCCCGTGCACGGCTACATTCACCGGCCACACCTTAACCATCCCTGGTTGGTTTTTTTTTTATAGGTTTGCACCCTTATGGTTTTTAGGGTTAGGTATGCATTCTTTTTGCTTTGTCCCATACCCGGTCTTGGATAATAAGCCAATCCACCTTCTCATTTCTCGATACGACATAGGAGGGAAAATTTTTTTTATTTCCAAATAGTTCATTTTACTCCCTTCACTGCAAGACATGCCAAAGGTACATCAAGTACACAGAGAAGGGATAGGATAGAACGGCATAGATGGATACCTATTCTCTGATACCATCGGCCTAGTATCAGATGTGACTCATACGAGTAGGACGTCATGTACGTTTATGTCCTGATGCCCTGCGAGCAGAAATTTCTGGATGCAATGATGTCCAATGTCTGTAAGCTGAACGGGCCTTGTAAGTTGTTTGGTCAATGGGGACCCGGCTTAAGACCACTGACCACATCGACCACACTTCCTGCAGCTGTGCATATCCCAATTGGGGCTGGCAGGGATGTGTGAAGCCCTTTAGAGGTCAACATCCTGTTTAAGCCACCTGATGTATCTATTCTTTCATGGTAGTCTTTTTCTATCTCCGCACCCAGCAGCCAATATCATGGTCACTTTGTTGAATAGCGTATTTACTCCACCAAGTTTTCAACAAAACAAACACAGAACTCGACCAGGACAAGAGGCCTGACCCGAATGACCTAGGCGACTCTGGCACGATCACGAAGCAGATCCCCCCTCATTTCTACCACTCACCGACTGTTACTGAATAGTGGACAACCTGTCTCTGCAGGATATTTCGGAGTCTTTTTTACCCATGCCTTACATGCAGCTCGCAGATACCGCCCCGGTCGAAGTTGGCTCGGTGACGTAAAGGAAGTGCACAAAAAATGATTTTTTTTTCTCGTGGAATTGATATTGGTGCGATGGCAGCCATCTCCCCCTCTCTCGGCCTTCTGGAAGAAGACGAAAAAGAGGAGCGAATGTATGCATACTAATGGCTTCGAATTGTATTCTCTTTCCCCATTCTCCATCGAATTTGACATTCGACATTCAATATTCGATACATAAAACCCACAAACCCACAGACGACGCCAAAGGGGCACTCGATGGTTAGAAAAGGTATAAGTTTGAGCCTATTAGGACTATAGCGACACCTCCATTAGAATCTTCAAAGAGGGTACTCCAACCATAAGTAGGGCTTTTAACGCACGTGTTAGTTTTGTGATGGAAAATAGGCGGCAGGGCGGTAGTCATTTTCCCTATCCAGAACATTTTGTGATGAATCTTGCTGTCTATCGCTATGCGTTGTTCGATCCATACATAGTATCCCTGTCGTCGCTCACCTGGCCCTCCTTTCCTTCATTGTCTTGTAAGCCTCCGATATCCTGATTCGACATTGTCTCACACATCGAGATTATAAGAATGCCGTTATTATCTGCCAAATCGCAAAATGCCTTTCAAGGTTGGGCAAGGCCGCCGGTACCTCTACATATCTCCCCTCGCGCGCCTGGCCAATGCTATGTAAGTTATGTTTGGGAATTCAAATCATTAAGCGTGCGCAGCACCAAGGGAATCATCCTACGAGGCGATACGGACAATAATACATACGAGTTAGCTAAATCACTGGGACGGCGCGCCGGCCTTGACCTCTCATTTGCTACCGCCTCCCGCACTGCCCGGCGTCGCGTATTATTCTAAGTATCACAGAGCACGGCCGCACGGGAGACAGGCCATAAAAATATATGCCTTAGGCCACTTCTTTTTTTTTCCTACCCTGTTTCTATCGGGAATTCTAGATACCGCGACCCAGAAGCCTGGGTATGCCGTATGTGTGCGTTGACGTGTCACTATTCAAACCCAGACGAATGCACAGAGCACAGCGCGCTTCCATCGTGGCTGTGCTGCTATATTGTCCTATTATATCTATCAGGTCTAGGCCCTGGCATGTGACAAAATATTAACCTCTCTAAAACCCGACTTTATATCGCTCCACTTCGTTCCGGAACATTGCCCTTTTCGATTACGGCTTCCCGCTTCGCCCTTTGTCAATCGTGACAGATACGCCCAACTATATTTCGACGCCCATCGAACTCCATCCGTTGTGCGTTTGTCTACGCTTGCGCGGGATCACCGGTACCATAGATTCTCTGCCATGCCATCCGGGAGCACGGATATCCATGTTTTCCGAAGGGGGAGGCAGCTAGCTCCCTGGTGCAAATCACGACTCACGATGGTAACGGGGAGATTAGTAGTCCGCGGGCGGGCAAGCTATCATGATTCATCCTAACGCGGAGGTAATAATAGTAAACGCCTGATTTAAGGAATATCTAGATAACAATAGTTGCACACCTCCGGCGCGGCTGTTGAGTTTTAGTTTGTGTGTAAGTCCGACGATCGCTCGCTCAGAACCTCTTCACCGTTATTTTATACGCATTACGACGTCCTTGCTCCTAGTTGGAGACTGGCTATCGCGAGGCGCTAGCTCCTACGTACTCCCTGTCTATCAATCAAGTTTCATAAAGTCTAACCAGTGACTCACCGCAAACGGACTCGATTCGCTGAACGTCGAAGCGAGCACCCGAACTTCGGGTACCCACCAAATCAAGACGAAAACCCCAAAGTATTCCACACAATACCGCCACCACCTAGCCCTAGTGGCTCTACTCTAATCCATGCTAAACGTAGTTCTATATTGTAGTAGACTGATATTACTGAAACATTGGCTCAACTCAACGGTGAATTTCGCCATTCGGATGTCATGGATGTACTCACGTTGGTGCCGAACCCAGGCAGCAGCCGCGCAATACCTATTCCACTACATCCCTTTTTCCGCTGCGACGCAATATGGGGCGAAGACAAGAGGCGGCGGTAGAACGAGCCTCAATATCATATTTCATATATACCTATCTATCGTACCGGCGACGCGTTCCCTGCTGCTACGCGCCTAACACAGGCCTATCAGAAGCTCCCGGTCTTCGATATTTCTCGTCCTACCCCACGCCCGCGTCGCACTTCAGCCTGCTGCCCGCCTCCCGCCTCACGCCGGCTATCTAAATTCCCGCGAGGCTGCGGACCGCCATCCAGACCCCAACTCTAGTTACACGATTTCTAAATCCGGCAGGGGAGGCAAGTTTGCCACAGCATCCCGCCTCGCCGTTCGCAAATCGAACCCCAAATTGAACCCCAAGATAAATAGATACTTAGGTAGGTAGGTAAGTCGGGCAATTGTCGTGGTGAAACAGCATCAGCCCGGCCTTGTACAACCAATCGATGATGACTGGAATTATCACACCCGTTTACGGTGAGTCATATGGAATAGATACTTACTCCTACAACCACACCCCCCAGCCTTCTCGATATCTTGATGTCGATGGTATCAGATGATCTATCGTCGATGTCGACAGTGCTGATACACTGGGTTGTCTAACTTTACACAAATGCCGGAGGTCTGGAGGTGGCTGTGCACTCTAATTTACATGTTAACCTTGGGCAGTAAAGCATCAATTGCTATGTAGCTTGCTGATGACTCTTTTCTCTCTACATTTGTGCGCTGATAGACATTATACACTCCACCACACGTAGTAATATCTCCTATTGGCACATTTGGGCGCTACACAAGCCCAATCGAGGAACGAAAATAGATGAGTGGTGATTGTTTCGTGAGGCAGCCGATTGATGCTTTGGAAACTATTGGATATCCTAGAGCCAATGACTTCTATGCGAGGCGAGTAATGATTAGAGTGGTATCTGTATGTTAGCCTTCGGCGTCTTAGTAGAGACTTTTACCACGGCCTTCTGCTACGCACACCGAAATAATGATGAATCATTCTTATTGATCTGGGCAGTGCACCTGTGACTTATTTCTCCGTTGTGCGTGTGAATCATTTCTCGCGTTGTGTTGTTAGAGAACCTCATACTATAGTGTTCCAAGAACTATTCGTCCTTCGACACTGGCGTGAATGGGATCTGAGTGAACCCTCAAACATGTGTAAATGGCGCCGCACTTATCCTGTGAAGTGTTCTACGTCCACAAGCGTTAAGTGATCAGATGTGCTATTCTAGTTCACACCTTTGAAAATGCATTTCACTCGTATAAACGAGACTAGATAGGGGCGCTCAAAATCAGCTGAATCTAGTTGATACAGGACTAATATAATTCAGCAGCGGATAAGCCCGTTGGCACATTGATGACTGGGATGGTTGCCGGCTTCACGCCGACGGCTGTAGTGACTAAATTAGTGAGATTGGGGACACATTTGTCGAAGATCTTCTATGCTCTTCACGTCTCTGTCACTCCATTCGCCACGAAGAGCCGGGTTAACTAGACCTCCTCAGAGATTGAAGTTGCTCCGAGAGTGATGATAAGGTCTGAGATATTCGCTTTCAGATCATCTGTGAGAGCTAGTACACCCTCTAAAGGCGTGTGCTGAGAGATGCCGTAGCGGGTTCCGATAATCTTGCTGCCAAGAACCTTCTGGAGGGTCGTGAAGGCGTTGGTCTTGTTAATAGAATTCGACACGACAACATAAATGCGCGAGGCATTAGAGATATTCTCAGTATGGTATGAACAAGCCGTTTCAAATGATAAGCCATGAGAAATATAAGGCCTTCGCTGGGGTGCAAAGGCTGCAAAGTAAGATTCGCCTGAAGCTGCCATGATAGTTATAGCTGTTTCAACTGGACAATCGTGTTCTAAGGGGTACCTATCTATTATAAGGTTCAGTCAAGCATCGAACCATGTTTGGACAACTTAGGGGGTAAATTGGCTTATTTATAGTATAACAGTCTGGTTGTTTCGATAAATGCGAGGCACTACCGTCCAGATACTTCAAGACGGAGCACATTGAGGCCTCTCTAAATGATCCAAAGACGATCACCCGTCGTGAAAGAACGGAGCCGATGCGCTTCCTTCACCTAGTCCTTTCCGAATGCCAAAGTTCCGACGTTAATGGGAAGTTCTGTCCCCGCTATGTCCGTCCTTCGATAGCCGGCTGCTGACCTTGTAACCTTTGCAACCTACATATCCTAAAACAGTGTCTAACGTTAAGCAGCCAAACTCTATTTACCTATGTAGGTACTCTCAATCATATGTCTGAGGTTCTAACTCGTTTCACAACAAGATCAATCCTCCAAGATTCGCCCAGGGGAATAATGTACACGAATGGCTGGGTAACTGATACGCTTCATTCAGGGGTCGTACTTAGATTTAAACTTCATACTATGGAAATGGTGGGTAAAGCATCTTCTTCCACGGCGGCTTTCTGTATGCATGAAGAGACTCGAGCGGTAGTGGGCTGGCCGTAGAAACACCAGAACCAACTCGGCTAAGTAAGAGCGCATCATCTGTTATTGATAGGCGACGTACTTGAACACTCGAAAAATTAGAAAGTAACGGATGAGTGCCATATATAGCTGTGAGATGGTAGTTAAAGATTTTATGATGACTTGGTAGCACCCTCTAAAATGGTCACACCCTTAATATCCTATTATAGTGCAGACCACCACCAGCGGATATCCCCAGATAGATTCCACGAATACAAATACATACCATGAAGGTACCTATATATTCGGAGGCCGCGAGCCCTCGCGCACGCGTATCAAATGTGGCATCCTGTTATCACATACCATCAACACGCATCCGACCCCACACAGTTATGTCGTTGACGGACTCACTTTTCAGAAACTCGTTCTGGGGCTATGAAGAGACCCACGAGGTTACGCTCCGCCGCCTAAGCGACACCCACACGCCGTCTGGCGATGCCGCGACGACTCACTCGTCAGAACGCCAGTCGCAGTTCTCCATTAGCAGCGACGATGGCCATCCCGCAAGCCTGGGACCATTCAACAACTTGACCCGCTTGCCACGCGACAAGCCCCTGCCACCTGTCCCGCGGGCGTATAGTCTCGCCAGGCGGCTTCGAGGACATACGACTGTCAGGTGCTCGGAGTTCCGAGACATCAGCGAGATATCCTGGCCATTGCCGCCCGGGATGAAACCGCCGCCGCAGGATTCTGGAAACTCGGGCTATATAGCCAGCAAAATGACACGGGCACGTGCAAGCTTGTTTATCTCGACGATATGTACAGCTCAGCTGTGTGCTTGTGAGTGGGACGCCGAGATGGCTATCGCGTAGGCAATAGGTCTGGCTAATACAAGTTGTAGACGCGGGTATCGGCCAAACGCTGGCGATTCTTCGCGAAATAGGCATCAGCTTCCGCGTCGGCAACACTGGCGATCTGACTTGGGCCCTTGCCGGCTATGGCTTAGCGATCGGCACCTTCACCTTGATAGCAGGTAGATTAGGCGACACGTATGGATACAAGCGAATACTTCTCGCCGGACTCGTCTGGTCGGCTATATGGTCTGCTATTTCGGGGACGGCGGTCTACTCGACTCACATATTCTTCATATTTTCTCGAGTGTTCGACGGCCTGGGCGCTGCTCTCTCCATCCCCAATAGTCTAGCACTTCTGGGAGCAGCATACCCGCCCGGAAAACAGAAGGCGGTGGTATTTACGCTTGTTGCCACAATGGCGCCTATTGGTATCATTATTGGTGCAATAAGTGCTAGCTTATTGGCGCTGGTTTGGTGGCCTTTAACATACTGGATTTTTGCTGTCACGCTTCTTATGATTGCCGGAGTAGGGCACTTCACCATCCCTGATGAATCTACTTCGAAGGACGAGACACCCGCTACCATACGAGCTGCAATATCTGAGCTCGATATTCCAGGAGCAGTATCAGCCGTTTCAGCCTTCGTACTGATAGGTTTTGCCTGGAATCAGGCCCCTCTCGTCGGATGGCAAGAACCATATCTCTGGATTGCCTTAATTGTCGGCATTCTAATTGCAATGCTGTTTCTGTTGATCGAAATTTATTATGCACATAAACCGCTCATCCCGTTCAATTCAATCTCATCCGACGTGTACTTTATCTTGGCCGCGGATGCCTGTGGCTGGTCGTGTTTTGGAATATGGGCATCATATACGTGGCAGTTTGTCGAGGATATTCGCGGGACTCCTCCACTTCTGGTATGATTAGACACAATTCCACCCATAGTATTTCTTGACTGACTCTTCCTACATCTAAGGCCACGGCATATATCAGCCCGTGTATTATTGTCGGTTGTTTAGCGACAGCATCGTCAGGCTTCGTCCTGCAACGCTTAAGCGCGCCGATTGTCGTATCCATCTCGCTCCTGGGATTCATGCTGGGATCCATACTCGTTGCCACTATGCCTGCCGTGCAAACATATTGGACTCAAGTATTCTTTTCAGTGTTGACAGTCTCTTGGGCAATGGATACAGGGTTTCCGGCTACGGCATTAGCCCTATCGAATGCGTTTGAGAAGAAACATCAGAGTACGGCAGCAAGTTTAGCCTATACCGTAACGAATTATAGTGTTTTCCTCGGTTTGGGTATTGCTAGAACCGTGGAGGCATATGTAACTAGAGGCGACCAGTCTATAGACAGTAAGTTGAAAGGGTACCGAGCCGCTTTATCTACCGCAGTTGGTCTAGCAGGATTAGGAGTACTTGGCTGTTCGGCTTTCTTCTTGAAAACTGTCTGGTGGAAGAAATTATGCTGTAAATATCACGAGGAACAATAATTACACCAAATACAGGTAGATTTTGCTTTAGCAGGCGACTCACAGGTATATTTGTTATATTTCGAAGGTCCTAGTGTCTCATACCTATCAGGTATGCCCGTGATAGATGTCATATACAGAGTGAGTGTTTAGGTATAGTATGCAGTCTATTATAGAGATCTAGTAACGCCTAACCTTCTAACCTCCCTCGAGGGAGCTGGCTACCATTTGTATAGACGGTAGAGCCCCGTACTAGCCAGTTTCTCTTATGCTTCTTCTTTCTCAGCCTTTGAGAGCGGGCCAATAAAGCCCATAGAAGCATCTCCCGTCGTGTAATTCACCAATGAAAGTTTGCTGAGTATCAACTCATCCAACTTCGTTTTATCTATCCTCAATATTTGCTCTTTGGTGAGCCATTGACCTCCTCTTCTTGAGCAAACCTCGACTAAACGAGTATGCGCAGAGAATCACTTAGTAAGACTTCGTAATGTGGTAATAAGCTAGTGTATTCATGAACTTGCGAACAAAGTGTAACTAGTTGATGGATAAAGATGACAAGACGTATCAAAATTGCAACACAATATGTCCGAATAGATTTGCAAATCTGCTCGTAGTTGAAATGAGTCCCGGTTATTGGTATTTCTATATCTATATCGGCTGTGGATGTCTTACCAGATAGTAACATACCAGGCACCCAAGTTATGCAAGTAAAAAAAAACTAAAAACTTTTATACTCGTCATAGAACCTTGCATTTTGGCGGATGTGATGTGATGGTCATGAAGTACGTGGAGGTACAATATATATGTACCTCCTACCTAGCTGGGTTGCCGGATAGCTTACTAAGCTGCCCAAGGTATCTAGGTACCAACCTACATGTACATAGATGTACCTAAAGAGGTCAAATTATTGCCCCACAGCCACAGGGGGAGAGCTTGGCCCAAATGACGTGTATGTTGCCCCTCATTCTTCCCTCAGCCCCCCTCTACATGAAAAAGGCATGGAAATAGGTATAGTAGGTACCTACTAGCTTGTGATATGGCTACCATAACAGGGATATACGAGAGGTACCTATATAGGGGTATCAGGTGTTGAGAGAAGTCCCATGGCATGCGGACGAACGTTTCAACTTATCAACTTAGGCCTCCAACTTCGTCACCTTTTAATATTTCGATCATATCTTCATCCTGTTTTCAACTCCTCCTACCTACCTAGGTACCTAAGCAGATCTATCCTTACCTATCCTACCTCTACATATTCATACATTCGATTCATACTCGCGCAACATAGTGCCCCTCAATCTATATCTCTATCATCATGGCTTCTAACCTGACAGTTCTGGTGAAAAATATCAGCGCAGATGCGAGCGACAGCGAAATTAAAGATTTCTTCAGCTTCTGGTAAGTTTCTCAATTATTTTATTTTGTTAGATATTTATTCTTACTACAAGGCCATTTTCGTGATAGAGCTCTTTACTAACTTTCACCAAATAGTGGCAAGATTACCGAGATCAAAGTCACCCCGGGCGAGGGGAATACAAAAGATGCTAGCGTCACCTTCGAGAAGGAGACTGCTGCTAAGACTGCGCAGCTCCTGAATAATACCCAACTCAAGGGATCGCAAATTTCTGTAATTCCCGCCGATGGTAAATCTGATGACGGTACCCCTCACACCACCAATGCCGACCGCGATACCGACGAGATTACCCAGGAGGAGAAACCGAGAAGTCGTATCTTGGCCGAGTACCTTGCACATGGTTACGTCATTGGTGATGCTGCTCTCCAGCATGCGATTGAGCTTGACCATAAGCACGGCGTTACCAACCGTTTCATGAACACCTTGATGAACCTCGACCAGAAGTACCATGCTACCGAGCGTGCTAAGGCGACTGACCAATCGTACGGTATCACGAACCGGGCCAGCAGCCTCTTCAGCGGCCTCAGCTCGTACTTTGAGAAAGCCGCAAGCTCTCCCACTGGGAAAAAGTTGGTCGGCTTTTATACCCAGAGCCAGCGACAAGTACAAGATATTCATGCCGAGGCGCGCCGTCTAGCTAATCTCAAGAAGGAGGAACATGGTGGTTCGGCATACAAGGCTTCAGGACTCGAGAGGGTCTTCGGTAAGGAGAAGGAGCAGGAGAAGGAGCAGGCAGCACCGACGGATCCATGTAAGTATACCGATAAGACAAAATGGACACCAACAATTGTATCGAAATCGCTGCTAACATTTGTCATTTAGCTGCAGTTCCTACCCCCGGCCCTAAGGCTGGTACAGAGGAATCTACTCCTCTGAGCACCGCGGGAGCTATTCCCTCAAAGGCGCCCGGAGAGGAGAAGGCGTAGAGATATATGATGAGAGCAGTTTGATGTTGTTATGAATTACTATGACTCGGGTACTGGGTTTAGTGTAGCTTTGTATTAGTCGGGTATGGTAATTTGATTGCGTTCGTCTGCAATACGTTTTTCTTTTCATAATTAAAGAACTGCTACCAATGTCCGTCCTGCTGAATACTCAATGAATTTTGTGATTTATCTAGAATGCTTAACTTGGCTTTTTAAGATGTGTTCAGGTGAGGAAAGATATTTTTAGTAGAAGACTAACGGTGTTGCTGAGAATAACTACGAATCCGTAATAGCCATCACAGTGAGGTAGCGTTAAGAATTTGTGTCACAACATTGGGTTACGTATCTATTCAGATAAATTCATTCCATTAAATCAAATATCAAAATAGCTTTAAACCGCGTCATACATATATTCGTAATACAATGTCCTTTTCCTATGTAATGAGATGTTGCTTGATGTATAACCTGGTGTATCTCTCATGCCAAATTCCCAAATTCTTTATGATGAAGATTTTGTTCCCTTGCTAACTTTACTCTCGGCTGCGTCGTCAAGGGGTCCCTTGGGGTTTGAAGGTAGGTTCTGCATAATTGATTCGTGTTAGCTACGATATTTCAAACATTGGTTCTTGAAAAGCCTCTTCGTGTACTTACGTTCAAATGGTCTTGTAGGTTGGCCCTCTTATTAGGTGTTTCATCTGTGCCTTGTCCGGAAGCGGGCACCTCGTTTAATTGTCGACCAGTCTGTCGCTCAGGGGGAGGGGATTGGCGGCCTTGGTTTGGGGTAGCAGACGACATTGTGAGGTATTTAGACTTGAAGTATGGTATGTGAGTCTAAAGATAAGTCAAGTTAATAAAACAAGTTCAATTGAGATATTGGGAACCTTGCAAACATAACATGCGAATATGAATCTATGATGTTTCGTATTTGGTAGGCTTGTAAGTCGATGGATCTTGGCTGGATATTGAATGTTTTGAGAAAAGGAACTAGAAACTACCTAAGACAACGGAGAAGAGTTATATAAGGCTCGGAGCATGCGCAAAATCGACGATTGAAAAGATACATAACCTATAATATTCTAAGACGGGCAGGTCTTGCAACACTGTTTGACATCAGAGCAGCCGTCAATGCCGTCATGTCCGCATATTCAACCTTCGAGAAAGGCGATATCTACGTCATTGTCTGCTCTTATCGATAATTGATGATGAAGCTTTGGTACGTACTCTTTTATGCATCTAAATTATGGGTCTCGGCAACTTCAAGCCACGATCCATAATAAAGTTCCCTACATTAGGTAACCACATATACGTACCTAGGTACCTATCAGTAAGGCTGAAGGACCCCGCACAGCGCGCAGAAAGCGTGAAAGTTACAGGTGCAGACCACTAAACGCGACCTTTGGTACAATACCTACTTCGCTGTAAACAGATACCCAAGAATAACTCTGCCTAAAACAACATTGGAAATGCTAACTTAATACCTTTTAATATCCATCTCATCTCACCCTGAGACGTTTATTTACAAACAAAGCAATGTAATCGCTTTTGACGGGGACCAGATTGGGACCGAATCTTTCGTTAGCTTTTATGTTGGTATCCGGAACACTCTGGTAGTTAACTCTTTCTGTGTGCTTCGGTCAAGCATCTGAAGCATTTGAGGCTATCAAGGAACTCGAGAACATCCATCCCAACTATTTGATATCGTAGCTTGGTCAATATGCCCGACCTCAACTCAGTTCCACCTTCTCCCCACATCCTTGCGGCTTCTAGACAAGCCTCTTCCAATCATAATTGGCAATCACAAACCTCAGCACCTCCAGCACCTTTGTCACCTTCTCTAAATATCCTGCCTTCGAATCAGCAGACCGTCAACCGGACATCCTCTATTCCCCTCCCATCGCCACCACTAGCGGGAGCTCATACGATGTCTGCTTCGCATTCTATCCCCGGACAGGATAACACCGGCGTCGGTGCTGGACCAGGTCCTTTGCGACACCCGCGACCCCTGACGGCTGCTGAACTTCATTCACAGCTGGAACAGGAGCAAGAGCTCTTGGTAACTACGATAATCTAGCATAACTACTTTCACGTCATGGCAAGCCTTCTAATTAAGTTGATCTAGGTGAACCGTTTAAGCCGCGATTTGGTTATGCTCCGAGCTGCGCAGAACTCATCGGTAGCCTCTAATGCTTCGTCCACGAGCGCGTCGACATCTGCTGATCAGACCCACCCTTCTTCTTTCACCGACACCCACCTACTATCTGGTCCGGGATTTCCCCTCCCAACGACGAGCGCAGATCGCCGTCATCACCGGACAAGCTCGAGTGCTAGTGCCCGTAGTCTAAACCAGTCTGTTGCTGCTAGCCAAGGATCATTGCCCGCCCCGATACCTATACCTCAGCCTCACTCCGGGAGTGCTGCTTCAGTCCTAGAAGCAGCTCGATATCCTCGAGCAGCTCCAGGAATGAGCCGGCAGAATAGTACCGCTTCTCAACGAAGCCGGAGCCGAAACCATTCACCCCATCCGTATCATACTAGCACTAGCCTAAGTTCTTCGTACACCCAATCACATGGCGTCTTGCATGACTACGGATCCGGTTACTTCCCTCGAGGCTACGCGTCTTCTAACACAAGCGTGCCTGCCACACCAGGCTCGGAGCTTTCTCCAGGACTCTTACCGGCCACTTTACGCTACGAGGAGACAGCTCACTATCGGCAGGAGTTGGAGTCAGCTAAACGCGAGAACGAGACTCTCAAGCGACGGATTAAGGAGCTAGAACGGGCTCTGCGAGACCGCCGCCAGAGCGATGCCAGCCGCACTAGCGGAAGAGACCGAAGCGGGAGCACCAGCACTACGGCCAGCGTTAGCGTTAGCGGCGCGACTGGCATCGGGGGCGTCATCGGAGGCGGCACAACCATAGCCGGGGACCGTCGAGGAGAGCGCAGAGCTATCGAGCGAGGTGTTAGTAATTTGAGCATTTCCGGGAGCATCGGAGCTGGCGTCCCCGAAGATGAGGTCAAGGTGGGCGAGAGCGCTGCAAGCGCTGGTTTACCGGTAGTAGCGGGGGACCAGAGCCGGGAGGCAAAGTAGCAAACATGTGAGATAACTCCTACCTAAGGTACCTAACCTAATGTTATTAGGATGGAGGGTGGTTTAGTAATGTGTGAATAACTGAATGAAGTCTAGGTACCTAAGATAGTTTATTATTATTATTACCTTCCAATACTGCCTTTGTCTTTTGTTCCTTAATGTTGGTGAGAAATACTAATGTTTAGTATGTTGAAACTGAGATGTGATATAGTTGTTTCAAGGTAGCAAGTCCTTTTCTACCTTGATACTTGAACCAAAGCTTAGAGGATTAGATAGATTATCCCTATAAAATTAAGTCAACTTGTAACACATACTATCTTATACTATCCTATTTACCTAACCTAAGGTAGGTAGATAGGTAGATGAGTATGTGCCCTGAGCTAGCTGGTAGCGAGATACTAAAACCACCTAACGGGAATTAAATGTTGACTTACGTCTTCAAAGCCAAAGATCTCACAATATCCCAAGGCAAATAGAGACTAGAGCTTCTCCCCTTTTATCGTTTTAGCCTCGATGGCGCAATCGGGCTAAATAGTCATTTCACCGAGACTATGCCGTATATAGAGGAAAGAAATTCTAATGAATTTACTACACATACACATGGTTAGGTGCGGCTCTGAAAGTGATTACTATTCCGACTTTGCCTGCTGTTCACAGTAGTACTCTTGCAGTACGCGTTTCCATCATAGAAGTGCTGATGTAATATGAGACTTTACCTCTCATTAATTTCACTGACTTTTCTAACTTTCAATTCCGGTAATAAATAACATGCATACCTAAATTAAGATGTCACAAATATTAATAACAACACATAGACTTATTTTCTTCGAAAAGAGAGAAGAAAAAAAAAGAGACAATATTTAAAATGACCACTAACACACCTCGTTCCCCCCTAAGCGGCGATTTGCCCTAGTCAGTTTACCGGCGTCAGGCACACTGGCACAGTGATACGCTACGGAGCGGCAAGTACGGATCTAGACAATCACGCAATCGCTCCACCCGAAAATTTCGAGGCCCCTTTGTGGCTCCTGGCTCATCATCGCGACAGCTAGACCTGTATACCTCTCTACCTTATATAATAACGCGCTCGTGTGCGGTCGCCCCCCTTCCCGTTGGTAAAAAAACCATGGCGTTGTGTCGTGGATCAAGAGTTCGCATCTACCTAAGCTAGCAATTAAATTTGCCACTTTCTTAGGTTGTCGGCCTTCTTCTCGTTCTTCTTGCTTCCTCTTAAAACAAAACAAAACTAGAAGACACACCATTGACGATAGCTTGATCGAGCATTGGTGGGGGGATTGTTAAAGGGAAAGAAGAAGGGGAAAAGAGAAAGAAAGAAAGAAGGAGAAGAAGAAATGGCGTCTCCGAATGAGGATTATACCGAACACTCGGACGATGGTGCTGCTGTTACTTCTACGGCTTCTAAGCCGTTGAAGCACTCTATCTTCCGTTCGGTACCCTTTCAGATGGCCGTCGCATGCGGTGTCTCTTTCACCGCTCCCGGTATGTGGGATGCGCTCGGTGGTCTGGGAGCTGGTGGCGCTGCTGAGCCATACGCCGTATCAGCCGCCAACGCTCTTGTCTACGGTCTATTCTCTATCGTCTGTGTAGCCGCGGGAGCCATAAACAATCGCATCGGTTTACCGTACGGTCTTGCCCTCGGCGCTGTCGGCTATCCCCTCTACGGCGCCGGACTGTACACTAACAACGTCAACGCCACCACGTGGTTCATGCTCTTCGGTAGCGCCCTCTGCGGTATCTCGGCTGGGTTCTTCTGGGCCGCGGAGGCAGCTATTATTATTGGTTACCCGAGCCCGAAGGATCGTGCTTTTTATCTGGCTATTTGGCAGACTGCTAAGGCGGCTGGTCCTATTGTTGGCGGCGCTATTAATCTCGGCCTTAACGCCCAGCGCTCTACAGCTGGATCCGTCGGTTCCGCCACGTATATCGTCTTCATCGCTATCATGTGCTTAGGCCTGCCCATCGCACTCTGTCTCAGTCCCGCGGAAAAGGTGTGGCGTCGCGACGGCACCCGCGTCGTCGTGCGCAAGGAGGTGACCTGGCGCGCCGAGTTCCAGGCCGTGGGCAAACTACTGGCGTCGCGACGCGTGCTCCTGCTGCTCCCGGCTTTCTTCATCAGCTACTTCTACAACGGCTTCGTCAGCACCTGGCTGACCAAGTACTTCACGGTGCGCGCGCGCGCCTTCTCCTCCTTCTTCACCAACTTCGCCGGCATCTTCAGCTCCTTCATCATCGCCGCCCTGCTCGACCGCCAGAACATCCACATCCGGACGCGCGCCCGCGTCGCCTTCACCGCCATCGTGACCATACTCATCGGCACCTGGATCTGGGCTTCTATCCTGCAGAAGCGGTTCTACGACGCTCCCGTCGCCCCCGTGTTCGACTGGTTCAAGGGCGGCTTCGGCTCCGCGTACGCGCTCGTTTTCTTCTGGACGTTCGGCGGCCAGGCCTTCCAGCAGTTCCTCTACTGGCTTGTTGGGCAGTATGCCACGGACCTGTCGTCGCTTTCGCATCACACTGGTATTTTGAGAGGTGTTGAGGCTCTCGGACAGACTGTTGCTTGGGCGTATGTTACCCCTTCCCTTCCTCCCTTCCCCTATTTCTCAAGACTTCAATAGGCTAATTGATGTGTTCGCAGCATGCAATCGGAAGGCAACGCCAACCACTTCGTCAGCATCGGGCTCAACTTCGGCATCACCGTCCTGTGCATCCCGTTCACCTGGATCATCCTTTCGGAACTCGACCGCAGCCACGAGATCAAGGTTACGGAAGTCCAAGTCGAGGCGGACGCGGATCAAAAGAAGGATGATACCGCTGTTTCCGTTTGATATTTGTTTTGTTGTTGTTGTTGTTATTGAAAGCGATTGGAGATAACAGTTTAATGAGTTGTGCGAAATGTTCTTATGAAAAGAGCGAATGAGTTGGTAATCGAGGAGATTGGGAGCTTTGGATGATACCCTGTTGATAGATGAATGAAGAGCTCTTTTTTTGCGTGGTCTCGAGTAAGAACTGTTATGAGTGCATCTTGAGACTTAGTACCTGTGTTGTAGGGTTGTTGCTGCTATCTTGTGATACCATTTCGAGAGCTTTGATGATTTGGTTTATTACGGGCGCAATACCAAGAAACCAGCTCCATTGAGCTTCGCTAAGGTGCTATTATTCATGAAGACATGCATCACATGTAATTGTGGTCAACCGCGTTTCTTTTCCCCTTTCTAGATAACTAAAATCAATGCATAGCATTGTCCAGTTGTTTCACTGCGAACTAATCGTAAGCGCCGTAGATATGTCGTGTTACTCTCTCACTGCCCACGTGTCATGCTTCAAGCGCCACATGTAAGAATAGTCATACCTGTCATAAGTAGAAGATAGTGATCATGGATTCTCGAATCTTTTTTTTTTTTTTTTTTTTTTCCTCGGCGTGACTAAACGCTACCTCCTCGCGAGGGCTGATATTTGCTTCGATAAGAATTTACGTCTCCGCATATAACTAGTACTAAATCAGAACTATGATCAAAGGCTTCGGGTATTCGCTGATCTCAACTGCCATTTCGTAGTGTGGGAAGTAATATGATGTTGTGGATACTTCCTTTTATAAGGGACCCTGAACCATTGTTAACTTATACCTTAGATACCTGTTATAGAGTTATCACCTTTGTTTGTGTTACCCTCAAATACTTTCTTAGGGATCATCTCCTTAAATAGTGTATGTGGCTTGAGGCTACCTATTGAATTATGAACACGCATGCTCCAATGAAAAGACATTACAGCAACACGTACCTAAAGTATACCTTTCTTGAGTGCACAAGAGAATAACGTGAATCCTATCTTGAATTACATAAGATATATGTAGTTGGCCCCTCTTCATTTCATGTTGTTCGTTCCTTGTACTTGGGCTGGCATATCAACACAAGCTAGCTAATTCGAGTTACTTGCATGGAAAAAGGCTCGGTTCGACCCCTGTTCGCTCGCAATGCAACATCATTCTAATCTCACCGTTTTTATTTTTATTTTTTTCTTCGTCCTTATCACTCCGGCGTTAGGACGGAAGCCAACGTAGTCCAACGTTATCCAGCATCTGATGCCATTGCTTTTTCGGTGTGACTCAAATCTAGTAGATCGCTCGTATATAATGAGTTGTCCGTGTCGCTTGTCTCTGTCTTGTATACGTGTAGAGTAAAGAGATCCCTAATCATCTCTAAACAGAGAATAATGGCTAGCGAAGAGCCGCTGCCAAGCTTCTACCGACGGTCTACGGATGTCTTTGATCGACTTAGCTGGACACCTCCCTGGGTCAAATGGGACCCTGAGGTGAATCATGACCTTAGTTGGGGGATGAACATCCTATTCGGATTGGTACGTAAACCTACCTCTATTACTTTTACCCGTGATATGATCCTTGATCATTACCTTAGGTACCTAAGGTTAGGTAGATATCTGTAAAAGAGAAGTCGTATATACGCTGACTTAGAGTAGTCGGCATCGTTTAGTGTCGCAAATTTGTACTATAGCCATCCTATCTTAAACATCCTCGCAGATGACTTCGGTATTTCAGATCAACGTGCTTCGTTAGTACCGACTATGACGCAAGCTGGATATGCTGCTGGACTTCTCCTGATCGTGCCTGTTGGAGATATCGTCCGACGACGGCCCATGGTTCTAAGTCTGATATTTATAACATCTCTAATAGTAAGTGTAAAACTTCGGTTGATATTCAACTACCAGGTAGCTAATTCGTCTTAGTGGCTGGGCTGTACCCTCACCCAGTCTTTCTCCTCATTCCTCGGCCTCTCGTTTGTTGTCGGTCTCTTAACCGTGACCCCACAACTCATGTTCCCGTTGGCGGTCCAATATGCCCCACAACGGCACCGAACTACTATGATCTCGGTGGTCATGTCCGGTCTCGTGTTCGGTGTCCTCGTCGCGCGTCTTCTTAGCGGTATCGTCACCCAATACACTTCGTGGAGAAACGTCTATTGGATCTCATTCGGTCTTCAGATTCTAGTCTGGATTCTGCTGTTCTTCACCATGCCAGATTATCCGACTTTAAGCCCCGATACATCTTATCCGAGGATCCTCCTGAAGATTGTTACTCTCCCATTCCTCAAGCCCGACCTTACCCAAATGGCACTTGTAGCCTTCTTAACATCGGGAATGTTTACATCTTTCTGGACGACGTTGACGTTTCAACTAGCCGACGTCTTTCACTTGTCGACGTTGGCGATTGGCTTGTTCGCTCTTATCGGCATTTCGCCCGTGTTCCTTAACCCGGTCATCTCTCGCTTGCTGATCTCACGCCTACATCCGCATGGTACGCTTATCATTGCGCATCTAATGACCATCGCCGCTATTTGCATCGGTACATTCGTCGGCACGTTTTCGCTCGCGGGCCCTGTCATCTGGGCATTCTTCGGTGACCTTGGAATGAATACGATCGTCGTTGGAAATCGGGTTGCTATAGCACATGTCGACCCTAAGGCCCAGAACGCTGTGAATTCTGTTTACATGGTTCACACATTTTGTGGCCAACTTTTTGGTACCGCGGTAGGCAATGCGCTTTACGCCAAGGGAGGATGGACATACTCCGGTGCCTTTAACATCGCGCAAATGATAGCTGGGTTGCTGGTACTATTTTTGAGGGGACCACATGAGAGACGTTGGCTAGGTTGGAGAGGCGGGTGGGACATGAGAAAGCCTAAGACCGAGGAACATAGCTTGCCTGCTGGAGCACAACGTGACGTGGAAGCAAACGCAGAGGACGTAGCTACTGAGATCCCCACAGAATTTCCTACGGAAGATGAAGGCCCTAAAGAGAAAGCAGGGGACAACGATGAAGAGAGATAGTTTCTTTGCAGTTAATGGGTAAATCTGGGCCTTTTTGCTTGGCGTGTCATCGTTTATCTATTAGGGAAAATTGATCAAGTATCTCAAGTATCTCACGTATTTCCTAAGAAATCATCGTAGAAGACGATTGTATTATTTATAGCTCTGCAACGTCGTAGTGTTTTCCTTATGGAATATAACTCCGAGTTCCAATTCAGCTGCAACCCCTATTCCGCAGCCCCTATTTATACTAGCCACCATTAGCCACATACATAGCTATACTGTTTACATACCGTATTATTGACTGTGTGGTCACACGAGGAAGGCCTCATGGGTGGTGATACGGGATACGTGAGCGATCTTTGAATGGTTCAAACATCTTCTTATCTATAGTTTCTGCTGGTCGCATCTCAATTGCGCGTGATTATAGCCCGATGTAGAATAAGATTCTTTTGAAATACATCTAGTGGTTATAGTCATTCCCTTCTGGGAAGTCCGAACACTTGGATTCCAACTCAAATCCGTGGTCGTAATTGAAGCATCAATTCCGAAGGGTATCGAGTAATGAAAATCATATTCCATGAAGACCAAGAGTTACCCGCAATATCATAAACAAACTTGTTTCTTCCTGTCATTTTATCTTAGACAATGGATGAACGTGCCGCAATCCCAGTTACTCTACCAAGAGATAACCCCACCCGGAGCTATTGGCAGCTTGAACCAGATGAGATCGCGGATATGCGCTCGACCGACTCGCTTCCGGAGAAGGCGGAAGTCCTCATTATTGGCAGCGGGATCACCGGAGCCGCAGTGGCTTTCAACCTTCTAGAGAGAGGCACCCGCGACATCGTTATGCTGGAGGCTCGACAGGCATGCTCGGGCGCGACGGGGCGGAACGGTATATTTTCCTCCTTTACCATTTGCCTGAGTACCTAATCTACTGAAGGTATACTTCCTAATACTAAATTTGCGTGTCACAGGCGGTCACACGAAGGCTGCATCTTACCTGTCATTTCTAATGCATGAGAAGCAGCACGGCACTGCCATGGCTGCGAAGATCGCTCGCCTCGAGCTAGCGAATATTCGTGCCGTGCATGCATTCGCAAGAGAACATGGCATTGATTGCGATAGTCATCCATGTACTACAGTGGACGTGGTTTATAATGCGGAGCGGTGGGAGTTCGACCAGCGCGCCGTTGAGGCCATGCAAGATGCCATGCCTGGTGATGATGCCTCCGTGTATGCTGTCCACGGCGCCGAGGAAATGCGATCCAAGTTCTTCTGTGGCAGTGGAGGAGACGAGGGGGTCTATGGTGGTTTGTCTTACGAAGCCGGGAGTTTAAATTCTTACAAGTTTGCTATCGGCGTGCTAAAGCTGTGCTTGGAAAAAGGGCTCAACTTGCACACGAATACTCCCGCGCTCAACTTGGAAAAGCTAGAAAGCGGTGGCTGGAAGGTCAAGACCTCTAGAGGCTCGATATACGCACAGAAGATGGTACTAGCTACCAATGGATATACAGCGAACACCTTGAAAAGTTTCCAAGGAATTATCGTCCCCCTGCGCGGCCATGTTACTGCGCAGCGGCCCGGTCTAAGCATTCCGAAAGATCGTTTAGCTGGTTCATACAGCTTCTTTAGCGAAAAGGGGTACGACTACATGATCCAGCGGCCGAAGGGCTCGAAGTTCGAGGGGGATCTCGTGATTGGCGGGGCTCTGTCTAAAGCCGTTGCAGAGGGTCTCGAGGAGTACGGGACGACGGACGATACTACGCTTAACGAAGACATTGTAAAAGCTCTCGAAGACAGCCTGCCGAGATACTTTGGTGACAATTGGGGCGAAGATAATCCTGATGGTCGTATACGTAATGCATGGACTGGTATTATGGGATATAGCCCCGATGGTTTGCCCTTCGTCGGGGAGGTGCCAGGTGAAAAAGACCTCTGGGTATCTACTAGTTTCCAAGGTCACGGCATGGTGCTCTGCTGGATGTGCGCCCGCGCGCTCACGGTTATGATGAATAGTCGCCCCGAAGAAGATGAGGAGTTGAATTCCTGGTTTCCTGAAGTGTACAGGATTACCGAAGAGAGAATGCGTTTGACTTTTAGGGGCCGTCTTCGTAACTGAGATGAAGTATTTTGTGATAGTATTTGTATGCTATTTATGCGAATCCTGAGAAAGGGGCTATGCATTTCTATGAAATCAGTTGTCTTCACTCTGCCATTGAAGCGGGAAGCCTACGATACCTTTCTTAAAAGATCCTTACCGGCATTTCGCCTGGTATTAACAGCGGGGTATGCATTAACGTTGCATTTGAATCTCAAGGTAAAAAGCGTAGAAGATGCAGCGTCTATATCCTTATTGGTTTTCTACGTATCTTGCCAGGATCATCTACCCCCTTAGCACTAGGTACTTCAAGCCCTTGTCGGGTCTGTAGATCCGGCATATGCGTCTTATCGTTCTTATGAGGTAAGCGACATCTCGTTCGTGCTGTCGCCATTTAGATGGACACCCTCGCGCTATACGTTCTTAGCGAAAACACGAAGACGTCGTTTCTTCCGGTAAAAGTTGCACTTGGTGTACAGAGCTTGGCATGCAGATGGGGTGGACTTAGGTATTGGACATTTAGACGATCTGTACGGTCAACAGCCGACATGTCACAATTTTCTCGTTCTCGTTCTCGCTATCGGCACCTACTGCATTAACTAGGAATACTACTGGGTATGTAAACCGGATCTTTTTTTTCGGGGACGATTAGTGGTATGCACGAGCCATGACCAGTGGACTGATTACTTCTGCGCGATATTACGGAATCAAACGTTTAATTCTGAATTCCACAAGTAAACTGCTAAGCCAAGTTCATGGTCAACCAGAGCGTAGCCGTACAATACGTGTATGCTGCATTGATCATGTTCGGAGGGTCGGATGATAATGCCTAAGGGATATATCCGACTCCGCCTAGTGTTCGGGGATATGAATTGATACCATTTTCCCCTTCTATTTTGGCTTGGTTGATCAGTGGGTATCAGTAGTACCGTGTAATGGTTCGCGTTTAGGTTTGGTACCTGGCAAGGAACCATGCCAGCCAGTATGCTAATGCTTCATTCGTACCTATGTATGGTCTGCCTTTTTTCGGGCTCTACAGTGAGACGAAGGGCCGAGAAGGTCTAGCCTCCGGCTCCGAACATCGTCACTAGACACCGGTAACGTGAGGCTACCTAAGGTAGACAAGTATACGGCCCCCAATCGAGATGAATATAAAAACTACTCTGCCCTATATTCAAGAGAGTTATTTAAGTCTACTAGCTCATTCTTATTCTTCAACTATTCACTAGTTACTAGTTAATTCTTTATATACTCGCAAGTTGGTTTAACAAGTAGACATCTTCACCACATACCTAACACTAGAAATCAGGTAAATAAGTTGCGACTAACCAATAAGAAAATACAATTTCGATAACCATGCCCGCCAACGTCCTCATCATCGGCGCCGGTATCTGTGGCCCTGCTTTAGCGACGCTGTTACGCCGTTCCGACCCGGAGAATAGAATCACAGTCGTGGAAAGATATCCGGGAATCCGGCATAACGGGTTGCAAATCGACCTTCGAGCATGGGGCGTGCCGATCATGAAGCGGCTTGGACTTATCGAGGCTGTGAAGGAAAAAGTCGTGCACGAGAGCGGCATCACCTTCGTTAATTCCAAGGGCAGGGAATATGGCTTGTTCGGCGCTACAGGCACAGGCACTGGTCGTAGGTGTTCATATTGCTTAAAACGCCCGTTCACCAAATCAAGATACTAATGGTTACGTTACAACTATACTATAGAACAATCTTTCACTAGCGATTTTGAGATTCTCCGTGGCGACCTCTCGGAGATCCTCTACCAAGCTAGTCTCACCGATGTAGACACAAAAACAGGCGATAAAAAAGTGCAGGATGCCCCGGACAGTGAAAACGGACCCGTCAAGTACATCTTTGGCACAACGGTCACGAGGCTAGAACAAGACGATAAAGGTGTGGATGCGACATTCTCGGATGGCCAGACGAGGCGGTACGACCTGGTGGTCGGAGCCGACGGGCAATGGTCGCGAACCCGGCGCATGATGTTCGGGGAGGAGGAAGGGATCGGCATGTTCAAGCGCATGAGGATATACATCGCATACTTCAAGGTTCCCAAGCTGCCCGAAGACGGCGATGTGGCGCGCTTCTACCACGCCGGCCAGGGGCGCAGCATCGCGACGCGCTCGGCCGACCGGCCTTTCACCCAAGTGTACATGATGATGGGCACGGACTCGGAGGAGGTGCGGCGAGGGATCGAGCGGCAGCCGGTCGAGGAGCAGAAGGCCACGTTCGAGAAGATATTCCGGGGCTCCGGGTGGACGATGGACCGCTTCCTCAAGGGGATGGCCGAATCGACCGACTTCTACGCCGACTCGATCGGACAGGTCAAAGCACCTCGCGTGGTTAAGGGCCGCATCGCGCTGCTAGGGGACGCGGGCTACTGCGCGGCGCCGGTGACGGGTATGGGCACGACGGTCTCTCTGATCGGTGCCTGGATACTGGCTGGAGAGCTGGCACGACATAACGGCGACGTACCCGCGGCCTTGGATGCTTACGACGCAAGGATCCGTCCCTACATCGAGGAAGCGCACAAACTCCTGCCTGGTGTACCCAAGATCCATCTGCTGGAGTCGAGCTGGGCTATTGCTCTTTTCCACATTGTCGTGGCAGTTTTCTCGTTCTTTAAAATCGACAAGTTGCTCGCGCGTCTCATGCCTGAGGACAAGGGCGGAATACCGGTTCCGGAGTACCCAGAGCTAAAAGGTGTATATCCTGCGTGAAATATAGATGGATAAGGGGGGATAGAAGAGGAAGAAAACCTGGCAAGGCATCTCTCACATGTGGTAATCAAGGAACTAAGAATGTGTTTGATATCTTGGAAACTAGGCTCGTCGGGCTTCTGGATAATGGTATATGGATGTTTCTAATGTTTTCATTGGGTTGATTAATTGTACATGTATATAGAAAGCAAGCGAGCGATAACTCTTAATATAAATCTCCTATCCAATCTATGATTTCTAATATCATGGGCCCGCGATATAAAATGTTGTTTTCGATCTAGAATTGCCGCAGCCATTCGCACTTGTATAACATTCCCAAGACGAAACTGTGACTGCAGTATGAGCCATTGAGAAACTTTCCTGAGTTTCGAGCAATTTTGACGTTGAGGGTATCTTACTGTAGCAAGTGACTATTGACACCTGCACCTTCGGGCCTCTTCCAGTGAGTTTGTACGCCGCCCCAGCTTTCTTCACTGTAGCCTTCCTGGACCTTGCAAGTTTTGAGGCCCCATACAGTCACGCCAACCATCAAGCAACTCTCAAACATGAAAGCGCAGCTACCTTTACCAACTAAGGTAGGTTTAAGCTCGGCATTAGAAGCGCCCTCGAAGCTCTTAGCATCTGGCCCATGCCCGCTCATAACATTATGCAAGCTCGCACCGCCAGGCAGAAAACCGCCATTCCCTCCCTTTTTCGCGTCGTACTCTCCGGCAATTAGACCCATGAACTCCGACATTGTGTTGCGGTGATACCATGGTGGCCGAAACGTATTCTCGGCTACTAGCCAACGCGGCGGAAAGATAACGAAATCGGCGATAGCTGTGCCAGGATGGTCCGAAAGCGCCGACAGCACTGTGAATATTGAAGGGTCCGGATGGTCGTACGAAATACTTCCAATGGTGTTGAAACGGCCGAGGTCGTACTTGTACGGGTAGTAGTTCCCATGCCAAGCAACAACATCAAATGGTGTATGGGCTTGCTTGGTTTGGAAGAACGAGTTGTTGAATTTGCTAGTAATTACGTATGTGTTAGGGCCTTCAAAAGCGGTAATACCAAAGTCCTCACTGAACGATGCAACAGGAGCTTGGAAGTCACGCGTATTGGCAAGGCAATTCGATCCGATCGGGCCTAGTTCTGGGAGTGTGAAGTGACCCTGGTAAAGTTCGAGTGCGTATCCACGGACTGGACCAGACGGTAGATGGACTTGATACCGAATCCCGCGTGGTATCACACAAATTTCCATGGGTCGGACTAGAAGCCATCCGAGCTCAGTTCTGATATCTAAGACTCCATCTTGAGCGACGATCAGAAGATCACCATCCGCCGAGTAGAAAGCAGAACGCTCATCCATCGATTTCCCCGCGGCATACACGTACATTCCGATGCCTTGCTTCAAAGTTGGATCGCCAGCCCCGGCAAGTAAGCGTAGACCTGAGACGAAGTTGGTCTGCTCGTCGTGGTTGAAAGGATCCCATCGTAATTGATTCGGTATATATTTAAGCTTTGCGGAATCAACTGGATTATTAGACTCCAAAGGGCTATCTTCCGCCGGGGAAAATGGAGGGTGTGCACATGAAGGTAGTATGCGGTACAGCCATGACTGCCGATTCTCATGACGTGGGGCCGTGAACGCAGTCCCGGAGAGCTTCTCAGCGTATAGCCCATATGGAGGTTTCTGAGGGGAGTTTTGACCAATAGGTAAAGCACCCGAGATTGCCTCTGTCCTAATTTAATTATAATGTAAGTAATTGTGGTGAAAAGACGATAGCACGTCGCAGACTTACTCGAAATAAGACCCAAATCCATTTTGATACCGATATTTCTCGGCGAAATCAAAAGTGGTGACAGGCATCGTGAGTTTTCCAAAGGATGTTAGTTCACTGGGTATAGGTTGTTATTGTTGTTGTTGTTGTTGTTGTTGTATGTCTTTCAAAGAGAGTTGATGTCAGGCGTGTCAAATAACATGATTGCTATCAAAGCAACCCGTAGCTGAAAAAAGGGATAGCAGAATCGAATGAGATACTGATCTACGGCTACTGAAGGTAAACTCCGCGGAACTCATAGGAAACTTAAAAGGGGTCATTCCGATGCATACCTAATGTACCGGAGCTGGAGAGTGCGGGTAAAGGACACCGCTAATATCCAGCAATAGCCGCCTAACCCGCTTTATCAACCCCAACTATTGAATATTCCCCACGGTTAGAATCGTGGGGTAGATCGGAAACCGAGCTGGGGTACTGTTCCAATACAACATCAAATTGCTAGTATTACAGGATCAAGTTTGGGTAACAGTTATGCCGGAAATAAATAATAGTCTCTTTCAAGGTGTCAATTACCTCTCAAGTCAGGCCCAAATGCATTAGATACCTGTGATTCTACTAAAGTCTAAAAGCGTAATATTTACATAGGTAGATAGAAACAATGTCTTCAACTTTTTTATAATGGAAACGACTTGTTTATATATTAATAAGCGTCCGACTAATAAATCAACGCCCTAATTCATGCAGATGGAGCTTCTCGAGTATTAGAAAGCTCTAAATTCTCATTATCGTACTCTTCCGAAGATTTAGACCGTCTGTAAGTTAAAATACCAACCAACGTGAAGAGGAAAAAATAAAGCGCTCCGCAGAACATACTAACTCCGAAGTAACCTGCTGAGGTTACCATGATTGCTCCAGCAATGGGAGGTCCAATCAAGAAGCCAACTCCTTGAAAACCTTCAACCAGGCCTATCCTAGCTCCGATTATCTCCGAGTGCGGATTGAGTTCCCGGACTGTTGACGGTATCAGAGAAATCAAACCACCTACGAGAAATCCATAGAGAATTACGAAGACAATTATGCCAGCCAATGTTCTAACTATCCACCAGCAGAATAGTAACACGCATGCCCCAAAAATAGAGAACTGCCACGTAATAAGAGCTGTTGAATATCCGGAAATCCAGTTGAAAAAAATGCGGCCGAGTAAAGACGAAGCGTTTATGCCAGCAAGTAAAGAATCCCCTACTTCTGCAAAGAGTCCTAGCTTCATTTGAACAAAGGTGGGGACAAAATAGAAGGGCACATCGACCCCTATATTCAGGATCAGGGCACAAACACCCAGTATTATGAGCTTCCAGTCGTAAAAGACATCCGAATTGACGGATCGTGAACTTATGTTTCTTTCTAATTGTTGGGACTGCCGAGGCTTTATGAGCAAACACGACGTCAGTAGAAAGACGCCGTTTATAAGAGCAAACGTGCGGCATGTCCATGAAAAGCCGATGCTGTTTTCTAGTTGCCGAAATAAAATAGGGTATATTATGCCACCGACACTCGACCCCGTCATAGAAATTCCTGTCGGTAAAGAGGCTTTTTCCGGTGAGAAATAGGTTTGTACCGCTGCCTGGGACGGAACATACAGAGCACCGGACCCTAGACCTGTCGCAATACCATAGGAGAGAATAATCCAATGGTACTGTCCGGCGAAGCTGGTACACAGCAAGCCAGCAACATTCAGAGCCCCACCCAAGTACATTAAGGATCTGATATAGCCTTTATCGTATAGGGGCCCACTGACGATGCCGAATATACTCGATAAAAACCCTTGAGTAGTCCCGATCCAGGCAATATTGGACGGCGAAAACGAGTCGAGAATATTATGTTCGAAATATGATTGGAAAACACCAAAGCTGTTGCTCAAACCCAGTGTACAGAGCTGTATCAGAAATGAGGCAAGTACTTGAGACCATGCTAACCAGGCGGAACTTGATATCTCGTCTGCTGCCATATCTCGTCCGAATTTTTATGTGGTAACTTGGGTTGAGGATATCGAGATTGCAGTTAAGGCCGTGGAAGTCAAGTCCAAACTCGTTGCAGATAAGTAAACCTACAAGGTTCTTATATCGGGCATCATGGGAAAATTTGTAGTGTACCTAACCGAAGAGCACCAAACTAACATCGTTACAAAGTCACAGAGTAGTGAAAATAAGCTTGTGGAGTCCTGTGCCTCAACTTCGTGTGATACTTCAACAAACGTTACCATTCACAATCAAAGTGCTGTGAATCGGACCATGGGTTAGGTAGGCAGACAATTCAAACAGCCCTTGTTCCCTTCATTGATTTTTTCTTTAGACTGCTTCCCCCTTCACATCAATATTATACTGCAAGGGTGATTAAGACACGTCACATATATTGAAATGAAACCAAAATATAAAGAGATAACTTTGTTGTCCCTTGCGGAACTCTATCCAGGTAGTTGTGCTAACCTTAGATACTGAGCAAGCTCTTTGTCCTTAGGTTGTCTCATCTAGAATCCAGTCACTATTCCAAGAATCACAAGTCTTCGCTACGGAACATCATTCAGCTATTAGATAGTGATTGATAAAAAGCCAGCTCTAGCTTCTTTAAGATACCAATGTAGGTGTAGGTGTAGGAAAATCAAATAACCAAAGAGGTGAGTCAGGCCCAAAGATATAAAGGGTATTAAATACACATCATTGAGAAAGAGCAACAGCAGGTAGTCCTGTACTAAACTAAGAATACGATATGCCTCATTCAAGTGATCCACAGGCTTGTTACCCTTGCAGAGGTGACAAAAGCAAGTATCTCTGATAGGCACATAACTTGGGTTCGACAAAGCATGCCTTACCTTCAACTGTCATACAAGGTAGGTGCTTAGATCTTTAGTAGACGCCTAGATGCCCATTATGTTTAGAAGGTAACTAGCAGCACATGTGTACGATATCACTATTTCTCAATTGGTTTAATGGGCACCCCAGATATCTCTGTAATGCACCTGTAAGTTCCGGTACCTAGTATGGTGAAACAGGCTGTGGTTAATACTTACTACCTCCTATAGCCGCTCCTCAGCCCTAAGCTTATGGGGTGAATTGTTTCAAGAGACCTGGTTTTTCCAAAAATAGTAAAAATACTTGGAAGTTCTCACCAATAAAAGGTATCTAACCTGCCTAGGTACCTTAGACTTTTAGAGTTGACGGTTGATGTAAGTGAGGGGAAAAGGGAAGACTATCAGCAACTTGTGGCTGCACTTGAACGGGAAAATAATTGGAAAATGTAAACCCATCATAATTGATAGACACGGTTTTCGGAGGGGGATTGCTTAATACTAGGTTAGGTACCTACCTCCTACATAACAAGAGTCAAACCCAACACAATTAGTCCGACTTCAGCGACCCAAAAAAATCACACGAGAAATGATATCTTCACACGCAGATTAACATGAAAGTAGTGATAATAATTAATAAATTTAGAGCGATATTTTGGTTACCGTTATACTCATTACGTTTTTAATCCGCCTTAGACCTTGCGTACCTAGTATTTTGTTGCTAATCTAAAATATCAAGAATTTAAAATCGTGGTGTGCGATAGGTTAGGCCTCCTCTTTACATTGCGGCCATAACACCAGCGATACCCGCGGCGGCGGCAGCTGCTAGCACGAAACCTGTCTCTTGTGGGTAGGCGGCTCCACCGTCAGAAGTGGATGAAGAAACGGCAGCCGAACCGGTAGGAGATGGCTCGGAAGAGTCAGTGGGCTCAGACGAGCCGGTTGTCTCGGATGAATTGGTAGTCTCGGTGGTACCAGAGGTTTGGGTCACTACCGTAGTTTGGGTTACGGACGTTTGGGTACCGGTGCCCGAACCCGTAGCGGAATCAGTGTTGGCGCCGCTGCTAACTGATGTATCCGTTTGGATGGTGGGGAGAGCAAACGTATCGGTCCCGGTGGAGACGGCCGATCCCGTACTCGTCACCGTTGAGACTTGAACGGTACCCGTCACTGTTGAGACTTGAGCGGTGCCCGTCTCAGTGGACAGATTAACGGAGGTGTCGGTTTCGATAGATATAACCCCGGTTGCACTTCCATCGGCGGAGGTGGCAGACTCGAGGGGACCGCCGGGGCTTGTTATTACTTCGGTTTGGCGCGCCTTCACATTAGCGTGAGTGGCAGATGCAAGACTGCCTGCCAAGGCGAAAGTGGTGAGAACGTATTTTCCGTACATGATGATTCGGGTTTGGCTAGCTGTAGTGGAAAATATGACCAAATTCTGTAGGTTATTACTAACGACTAAAATGGCGATCTAGGACGATGGGGTTAACGACAGCTGGAAAAGTTAGGCGGGTGCCTCCCAAATATATCTTCGATCCGAAATACTACTTGTCCTTCTTAACACTTCTTAACATGATCCCCATTCGCGAGGCGAGGATCCATTGGGGCAACACGAACTGACGTATGGACCCATCCTTGCATGACGTGGACGTAATCAGGGGTCCACGATTCGCATTTGCAATGCCTCAATTATGTGATATTTTCCTAGGATCGCCAAGCTTAAGAATTCCGGGGTAGCACCAAGCACAACAGCTCTGGGTTGCATCGATTCAGGGAGTTGCCATCAACAGCTTGAGATGTGTCTATCACTCCGTAAACTATTAATATTGACGTACATGTGTGTGCACAGTACGGGTCTGCAGAAGCTGGGCGTTTCATCTAAGGTGCGTCTGGGAGCTCTCAGAGAGGTAATTGGATACGAATGGTATGCAAGGTCAATACGAGTTCAACTACAAGCCTTACCCAGGTACGTGTCTGTGTACCTAACTTACCTGGTATAGGTATGTAAGATCGTGGCTGGGAGGCCAGGGAGGGGCACTTCGTACACCGCCCCCAAAGCTGACTGGTCGTCGAACCCTCGGCTTCGTTTTAAGACAGTTTCCAGATCTAACTCTTAACACTGTGTATGTCTTCGCCGTGTTTCCCGTCCATGGCTGTCACGATGTTACATAGTACAGCATCGAACGAGTTCCGAAGTCCCATACATCCACAAGCCCGGTTCTTAGCTTTGGCAGTAACACGGAATTAATCGGCGGCTCTGCTAGCACTTATATCGCTTGTCAACCGATTTCTTTTATCGATTCTATGCACTTTTTCTACCCCGGCTGCCCGGCTAACTAAAGCACCCATCCGTATCCTGCTGATTCGCAAATCCGTTCGGTGCCCCGATAGCCGGGGATTAGATCCTACGGAACCATGTATCTTTTTTTCTTTTCCACTTTGTAGTACAGCCACGCGACCTAAACCGACCAGGACCGACATCAACTAACACACAGATGGCTAGATCACAGCCCTGATTTCAACTCACCGAGGATCCGTGTGTTCGCCGAATTTACCTAGTATGCTCTCTCCTTATGATACACTTTTAGTCGGCGTATTTGTGTCGAGTCATAGGTATTCGTCGACAGAGATTTTAACTGATACTCAACTCAACCACAATCTAAGCCATCCAACCCTTATATGCTTAGGAAAGAGCATTATGAGTTTTATGAGCTATAATAATTATTATGGTGTCTAACAATAACAGAGCCAATCAGTCGCCAAGCCGCCTACTAGATCGAAATGCAGGAGCCCGAATCTAACACTATCTCTGGACACTTCGATCAAGATCTTGGTTGTACAATTCCAGCCAGGAACTGGTAACTCGAATTTTTATGGTTCATAAGAAATATTATGTCCCCGTTTTACGCTCTATGATTGTAATTGGGGTTATATGTCTCGTAGTATCTCATAGCATATTTCGTGGTTTCCCAGGCCCCCTTTTCCTAACTTAGGATCTTCGGATTTTCTAATAAACGTGGGAAAGGTTTGACGTATCCAACATTTTCGGGAAAACAAAACTCGGTACGTTTAAAGTTAAGTGGTCAATGCACTCGATAGGTTATTTAATGTGCTATATAGGTCCCTGTCATATATGGTACGTAGGTATATGAGTTGGTCAACGTGTCGCGAATGTCTATTGCAGCTGCACTATTTCGCATCTCCCTATTACTCATTTCTTGTCATTGTATTAGTAATAGACTCATAATAAGACTCAATAGTCCATAGACTCGTCCAAACTTGAATGAAAATATCTAGGTACCAAGCTGACATGGAATAAAGGAGTAGATGCATAAGACAGTTCGGTGAACAAGAAGCGTTTGATTATTCTAGAAGACTACCTGGTACTTTCATATGGAGGATCAAGCGTTAGTACGGCTAAAGAAACACCTGGCCAGCCGAGGGGTAGAGTTCTTTCTACGTGAGGTACCTAACCAAGCTACTCCCTTCCCCGACTATAGAACGCCATGCATATCATATCTTGTGTAACACGCCACTATAGACCAGCCGATGAACGTAGGTATATGTATTTGTCAGATAGACATAAGAACCTTGGATGGAACAGCGCACTTGTTTTTCGAGACCATTAATAAGGAAATGTTGGCTACGCGGAATAAGGTCGCAGGGAATGTTTTCATATATTGGCTACCTAGGTAAATCTATCTGCAGCATAATATGATAGTTCTTGAGACTAAAGACGAAATCCTGAAGATATTTCTTACTAGTTAAGATGCTGAGGCGCATCTTTCCGATGAATCCATTATCTCTCCTCTTGGAACTGACGTGAGGCAAGTCGTGCGGTAGAGAGACAGTTGATAGACAAAACACTTAGCCTTGCCGCAACATAGCCGGAGTGCTATCGGATTACTCGGAACTCTTCAGATATTGCACTTGTTCAGCCGCACATGACGTACTCCACGCCATGAATTGCAGTGTTAACGAGCCAAGACTTGATAGCCCTACCTCCTACAGTAGCCAAGTAGATATTAGTGCAGGTAGGCAGCCACAAGCTAGCATATTCCCATGTGAACTAACTAATACTAAGAACTGACAACGCTCTTAGGTTACAATGGAAAATCGATTTAGATCGGGGCTATAAATAGGTAGGTCAGGTACCTAGGATGGTATCATATCATCTACTACATACCTAAAGCCCTATAGCGAATACCAGGTACCTAATATATAGGGCATATCCCCTTCACGTGGCCCCAGGGTAGCTTGACGTGTGTTTGAGAACACCTGACGTCCAATTGCGTTTTGAGGATTGTGGTCGGGCGCTTATAATGAAGATTGCTTGTCGGGCTTAAATAAATCGCCCCTCGTTCTCTGATTAGTCTCTTGGCCCCCCGGTGACTTGATTTCTTAGGTATATACCTCAATTCGTAGATGCCTTAGATAATACCAATTCCCCTTTCCCGGGCTGATGTCCTTCACCTGATGCCCTCCACCGAGCCCGGCTAGGATGGGGGCGCGCCTCAGCAGCCGTCCAGCTGAAGGTCCTGACTCCTTAAGCACACGTCAACGCGGTTTTAGTTCAATTTGTTTTAAGTAGTCTTCGCCCTGAGAATATTATACCCCTGGGCTTTTTTTTCCATGAGACCTTTTCCCCTTTTTACCCGAATCTAGCGCGCCAAGCCATTTTGTTAGGATGTTTAACATCATGAGGCCTCATATATGTTATATATGGTAATATGCAGAGCTTCTATATGTTCGCCCTCGTCCAAGGTTAATTCTATCGCCAGCGTCTTTCCGCAAAGCCGCAGTAGTATATACGTTATTTGTAATGCCTTTTCTTCATAACTCATTACTATGGCTTTTAGTCCTATGGCTACATTTGGCCCAGTGCCAACCGGACATCCGCAACTCGTCAACCGATCTTGTTCCTATTTATCAGCCTCACTTATCGAACCTTAGACAGAACCCTGCGCTCTTCAACCCAGCTCTGGGAGGACAGGATTGGAGGATGTGTTGTAGCTTAGTTGTTAACGAAAGCCTTGTTATCGAAAACAATACGCTCTATATTCGTCCTGGACAAACCTTCTTCGCGGGTACCATCAACGATCTTGAAGAGTTTCCTAGATACCCTTGTGGCGCACAATACAATGGGACCCTATCGGCGCCTCATCAACAATTCTGGATGTCGTACTCTTGGTGTTACAACCATTGCCCAGGATGGCCGGTTACAAGGGCAGACGACCTCGGAAAATGGCTGAAGCCCCTGATTGCATTTATACTGCCGTCGCTTATTTTTTGCCTCAACGTCCCTCGCCGCCGACGGCTTGACCTGCCAATCACATTGTTCTCCGGTGGATTTATCGATATTTCAGACCTGCCCCTTTTTCTCATCAAGGTTCCGCTTGCTTCTTTAATTGTTACGGTAGATATTATCATTTGGACATGCGTCGTGTTCTCGGTGGCCAGTCCGATGATCACATCGGGCATATACGAGGCGCTTCTTGATGCCCGGGTTCTGTCGTATCTGGAAAGTCGGAGCAAGGAAAACACCCTCTCTGCTAAGGAAAAGGCACATACCCTCCTTTCGATCTTGATCGGTAACCTCGATATTAAGGCCTGGCGCTTGAGCAGCCTATTTGTGCACGACGTTCCTGGGGGTATCTTTCGAAGAAAGCCTAGTACTCAATACCTGCAAACAAATCTAGATACTCCTCGATCTTTGGGCTTAATTACGCCAAGCCACTCTCAAGATGCCAGCGCTTCAAATGCGCCAACGGAAGTTACTGTAGCAGGGCGATTTGGACAGTTGTCGTATAGTGTTCAACAACACCGCAGCATCGTTGCTATTAAGTGGCGGCTGTTAGCCATGTTAGACTCGCAAATCAGTTTCGGTACTTCAGTCGGCGCCCCAGTTCTATTTTATATCGCATCGTTCATTTGGTCGGTGTATGAAGTTAATCAGGAATTAGGCTCTTAGTAAGTTGACATCTGGCACATCATTCGTGACCCTAAACACGTCAAATTCCGAATCATTAATACTTGACAATAGTGTAACTGCACATCAATTGGCAGCTGGAATGTTTTGGATGACGATACCTCACGTCGCTCTTGTTAGTTGCCTACTCCTCGCCGGTAACAATCCAAATATCTGGCAAAATGCGGTTGCCGGGTCCTTACTTACGTCCGACCCGGTTACCCCTATAAATTCACCGAGACTGGTCGACAGCGATCTAGAGTCAGATCTCAGCGGAGTTCAAAATCATGATGGTCAAGAGTTTACTTCCAAAGATCCAAAGGCGATCAGATATACCAGATCAGTTATATCTAGATTTGTGAATCGCATCTTTGGATTGGCATATAAGGAATCTAGATTCAAACCGGCGTGGATGTGGAATAGGGGATCAAACAAGGCCATGTGGATAGGGAAGCTTGCTGAAGAATACCCATATCTCCGAGGTATGCGCGAAGAAGTATTAGACAAAAGCTTCAAAAAGGATCTGTGGACTTCGGGGTTTTACGGGTTCATCCTTTACTTCGTACCCACGTTCTTCAGCGTGCTAGTCAGGTACGGTCTTCATCACGGAGTATCCTCTACGATCATCTACTAACAATCTTCAAGCTATACTACTCCTCAACCTGGATTCGGATGTCGCTCGCTTCTAGTATTTGCCTACGGCGTATCGCAACTAATCCTTCAGTTATTATGGCTGATACGTTGGTATTTCTCTAAGCGTGGTACACAAGAAAAGAGCAATAACACCTTGTATACCGTGGTAAAGTCAGCCTCAATCTATCTATGGTATTTCTTTTTCCTGTTTGCGATCTTTCTTGGAGCTTTCACTAGTATCGGCGGGACAAGTAAGTCAAGCATGCCCAGGTATACCAACTTTGACTATTATAACGGTTGCTAATATTTACCTAGTATTCGTACTGACGAATGTCTTGACCAATTGTTTCTGTGCACTTCCAGTATGTCAATCCGGGGACCTTTCAAAGGACATACTAATAATATTACCTGCCTTACAGGCTAAGTACTGGATAGACCGTTGGACAAACCCCGACGCACTCATATTCGTCGATGATTCTACGTGGGAACAACTATATTACGCTGAGAAGTGGTGGTTCCCGGCTGGAGTAGTAGGTGTGGTTTTCATGACGATAGTTGCATATATCGGATGGTGGTATCAACGGAGTTTGCGCCAGCGCTACTGCGACTTGGTAGACAAGATTGACCATATTAGCGAGTTGGAGTTTGAAGCCGAAGAAGGATCAGATACCGATGTTAGACATACTGGGCAGCCTCTCACCGGTACGTTCTATCGTCTTTAATAATTTGGTTTTTTTTTTAAAAAAAAAAAGAAAAGAAGAAAAATAACTTATAAGAATCAAGCACGCTTAGGTTTGATGCAGTCTCTAGGCTTATAATAAAAGTTTTTTTTTAATACTGTCACCTTGGAATAAGAGCAGCAGTATGGTACCAGGTACCTACCTACCTAGGTACTTGTTATAGCAGCACCAACAAACAAGCTACCATCACTAATGTGACCATCTACCTAAGATACCCGGTACCTTACCTTGCCTTAGGTACTTGTACTTATTCTCATAGCCCCATAATCCTCCAAGTGCTCCTGCCTGGTGAAAGGGGGAGGAGGTTCATGATAGTTATCTATACCAGCTTATCCAAGGTGGTGTTTCAAACAAGATACCGCGATGGAGAGAACACGTAAAGAGGGAGTAACTCAGGTTAGATACCCAATATAGTAACGCGTTTCTGGCGCGTCACAGGATCAGTGAACTACGCAGGCTACCTACTTGTCTACACACCGCTGAACAAGTCTAAACTAAGACACGGTTTTGAATGCGATCGTCTTGATTGCGCGAATGCCAAAAATAACGGTTCCTAAGATTCGTACCTAAGCTTGGTATTGTATTATTCTCCTTTCTCTTTTATTATACGTTGACTAACTCCTAGGTACAGGTACTGAATAGGTACCCATTACTTGAGCCATCTAAGGCAGGGTATATCCACCGTCAATTATCAAATCCGCACCTAGAAATTATCAGTAAGAGCGTTGAGCACCTGGCATAAAATTAGGTAGGGACCAACCTGTTACATAACTGCTAGCATCGCTCGCTAAGAAGACGTATGCGCCCTTGAGTTCGGATGGCTTGCAAAACCTACGACCGGGAACCAGCTCGATCCACTTGCTTCTCCATTCCTGAGGATGAACGTCGAGCACTGCACGACCCATTAGACATGGAGTTTACTATCGATATGAAATGTCTCTTGACTTACTTTCCGTTTCGATGAAACCCTGTTATGGAATGTGGTTAATACAATACCTAATTCAGATCTGGTTCAAGGCTCAGATATGACTGTAAGATGACGTACCGGCGAAACATTATTAACCCTTGCGAAATCTACCCATTCCACAGCTAGGGATTTCCCCAGATGCACGAGAGCAGCCTTACTCGCGTTGTAAGCAGCTTGCTTTTGCGGAATGTTAACAAGGGTCGCCGACACCGACCCCGTAAATATGATAGAGCCCCGGTGCGGCGGTCCGTCGGCCTTCAACTGCTTCTCGAACACGCGCGCGGCAGCTTGCGCCGCCCAGAACGCTCCGTTCACGTTGACGTCGAATAAGTCGCGGAACTTGTCCTCGGGGTACTCTAAAGCGGCGATGTTCGCGGCAACTCCCGCGTTCGCTACCAGAATGTCTAGCCGGCCGGCACCCACCTCTTCGGTGACTTTGTTCACGACGGCTTCGATTTCGGCCTGCGAGCGCACATCGCACTTATACGCTTTGACGAGCCGACCCCCGTTAGCGGCGGAGACTTGCGCCGCTATTTCGTCTGCTTCTTTGGGTGGCGTGCTCGAGTAGGTTATTGCCACCTTTGCGCCGGCCTCACAGAGTCCTCGTGCAACCTCGAGCCCAATTCCACGGCAGCCTCCGGTGACGAGAGCGGTCTTTCCCGTAAGATCGAAGTGCGTCAGCACTGGGGCATCTGGATTGGGGTGAGGTGCGAGAACCATATTGGACTATATGTTAGGCAAGACTTGGAGCAAAATGCGTGTGAAATATGACAAGTTTCTATTAAAATAGAAGTTACATTATCCGTGGTCTGGAAGATCCCATTTTAAGGGGGGTAGGTATCGGATGAAGACTCAAGTCTGGAAGCGCTCGGCTTCTACATCATACCGAACCCCAGACTATTTCTCGATCCCCTCCAATGAAAAGACTTGCGCACCAAGGCGATTGTCGGGTAGGGTGGGACTTGCAAACTCTCCTTGTGAATCCACACCACAGCGGCGCCGAAGTTAACGAACCTATGCGCGGGGTTAATATACGACTAGCTACAAAGAGGTAAGACTTCATAAGAAGCATCATCCCAGTTGCCTGGAAAGTAACAAGGTTCAATAGACTTATGTGTGCATATACCTATGAGGTATCTACCTAATCCTGCATCGTATTACCAACCTACCGACCTGACATCAGCTACAAGTAACATACCTTATTTTATTATTCGTAAGAGTTAAATTTCCGACTACATAGTAACCAAAATTATACAGATAATGATACAGTCAAGGCCATATTAATAATAAAGCACTTTATAGTTGGGACGCGTATCTTACACATTCCGGCCGGTTTGATGTTCGCTTAGATGCCAGCTCCGTCTCACGTCTCTTAAACCTCGCCAGTACCGCACGGTCCTCGAACAAGATCTAGACGGCGTTGTAAAATCCGAATCCTTCCATTGGATTTTGAACATCAAACTCAACAAGCACTGCTATCACGTTTCTCGCTAAAGCAGATATATATCAATTATACCTTATATAAAATAAAAGAACGTGAATATTATAGGAGAGGGTCTATACTAAGGTAATAACTGGACTAGATTTTACTTTTTAGGAGTGGGATAAATATGGTTCCGTCTAGTTTATTGTTGACAAGCCAACAACTTCTGTTCTAGTACCGAACTCCAAAGGCCACCAAATTTAATAGTAGACTTCCCCTTTCCGTTATAATGCAGTGTGTCAGAGGATCTAGGTAAATCACATTCTATATGCCTTGTAGCTGTTGTCGACCGGCTTGTGATACTCCGACAGCCCCTTGTTCCAGCGGACGAGCTTGTCGGTCGACTCCGAGGCCGTCGGCTTGCCCGCCTCGTACATGGAGTCCAGCCGGGCCAGGGCCTCGTCGTTGCCGTTGCGCCGCTTCCGCCACACGCACCGGAGGATCAGGATGATCAGGATGATGAGCACTAGGCCGCCTCCACCGCCGGCAATACCCGCGACCGCGGCCACGGGTAAGTTGCCGATCATTCCGCTATTCCCGTTATCGACCGCCTGCGCCTGCGTGATAGTGTTGCTCTGGGAATTGGCGATGCTGCTTTGAGCAGCGGCAGCGGCTTCCTGGGGAAGCGGCGTGACTTGGGCCGCGGGGGTTGTTGAGGAAAGTTGCGTAGGAGGGTCTAGTGTACTACTGGTTGCCTCGGGGATATTGAGACTCGTGGCCACGCTCTCGAGGATAGAGGTAGACGGGTCAGCAGCGGGGCTTGACGGTGTGGCGGCGGGGCTCGATGGCTTGGTGGATGTCACAAGTGTGGTTGGTGGTGGCGGCGGCGGCGCCAATGTTGTCGAGATGGACGTTTCGGAGGATGGCGAGGGTGAGGGTGAGGATGAGGATGGGGATGAGGGCGAGGGCGAGGGTGTATTTGGTGGATTAGTAGCCGATGTTATAGTCGGCTTAGGGCTACTAGTCGACTTAGGACTAACAGTCGTCTCCGACGCATCGGGAGTTGCATCGGGAGTCGCAACATCTGTGTTTTCAGCAGCACCGGGATTGAGAGCAATTGCCGTAGTCTGAACGGGTGATTTCGGCAACCCTGTAATAGAAGGCTTTTGAGTATTAGTGCTAGTAGGTTCTTGGATCTGCGGCTGCTCATCGTCCTTGTCCCCCTCATCGTCGTCGTCTTCGTCGTCGTCGCCATCACCTTTGTCCCTCAAATTTCCGGGAGTAGGTGTTGCTCTTATTTCGCCATCTGAAGTCGAAATGGAGGTTGCAGTTGCAGTTACACTTGTGCTAGCTTCAGAAGTGGTTTTCTGCTTTGCGTCCCCAGCATCCTCTGTTGGGTTTAATATCTGCGAATTCTGATCGTTGCCGCCGTCGTTGTTCCCACCCAAAAGGCCTCCGCGCAGTCCTCCCAAAGCACTACCCAAACCGTCCAAAAGGCCCGCCATTGTAGAATAATAATAGTAATAATATAAAACTGAACACCAGGTCCAAAGAAAAAAAAAGATTAATAAGAAAAGAAATATTGCGATGCTATCACCAGGATTGTCGCATCGAATAATCGTTGCTTAAGTTACAGAAGAAAGGTTGAGATGACCTGGAAAAGGTTTCCCATCTCGAAACCCGGGGAATGGGGACTTCATCCAGGAAATATGAGAAAAACGTCGCGCTAACACGCTCCCGATAAACCCTCGGAAGAGGCTTGGTCTGAAGTCATGATTCAATCTCTGGCACGGCCTCAGTTTCATGTTCCCTGGCAAACCCATCCCTGGCTTGGTGTTTCGCGCCGAGAAGGGATTGATCTACGCTTGATCCACAAATTGTAACCCCCGGGTTGAGCTGTGCATACCACGCACGCAGCCACAGCATACGACAGGTCCTGCATTGGGACCCCTAGTCGATCAAACTCCATCACGTATTTATGGGATCATTTTGTTTCCTCCACGACATCATCATAGCCAGCCAGTCAGAGCGTTCGAAGTTGTTTTCCGGTATGAAGCAAAGCCCCTTTTGATCATGGGTATGCGACAAGAACGAAGCCAACTACGTATTCTCAACATCATCGGGATAACGGCAAGTTGGCTGTTGAGAATGTTGAAGTTTTCCATAACTTCCAAGTTACCTGTTAATTAACGGCTAATTAACATCAGGTCTTATGTTAGGTTCCGAATTAGTTATTGCTTTGACTACCTTTCTTCAGGTCCCTGAATCCAAGTTCTCGGCTCTACGTAACAACTTCGTAGCCTACCTAAATTCAAGCTGGTTTAAAACAATCATAAGAGCATCTAATATGGTTAATAGAATTAATTAATGCAGGTACCTATCCATGACAACATTTACTCTCAAGTAGCGTTTAACGCGGAGGCCTCTTAGTGAGCTTCTGTTGTGGAGATATCCACCGCATTGGCGACCTTTGGCGACCATTGGATCTATCTTCGTGGGGCTTCTCTCAGATGGGGACTTCTTCAGCGGCAAAGAGTACAATGCAATCATGGAAGAAACGGAAGGGTGTTTCTCTTAGAACAGTGATACCTGGGCACTTACTGCTAGACATGAATAAAATTCAGGGGGTTGGATGGGAATGTAAATTGCATGATGATAGTTAGTTGTCTAAGCCGGTGTTAATGTTTTGATACCATGCTTGGTATATGTGATATGTCCTTAGTGAGATCTCCGGCGACTTGATCCCGTAACTTCCGCCATCCTCGGCCGTTCTGCCGAAAGATCGGTTCCGCTACAGGGCTCTTTTCCAACGAACACAAATTGGTAGAGCAGGCATACGAGGTACCGTACATTAATATTATTAAAAGTATTCTCGTTTTGAAATTATCAGCTAGTCATATTTTATCAAATACATTATAACTCGTAACTATTTTCTAAGTTGTATGTTCAACTGATCTTGCGTGGGAACCCTCCTCCGAATGTTTTCATCAAACTTGCCCCCGCCAAATATACTTGGGTATAGCAATCTAGTATGGCGCTTGGTAGTATAAATTGAACGTCTGGAGCCACTGGCTAGGTCTAACAGTCATCTTTCCTAGTGCTCTGCTGTCATACTCACTACCCATCACCTTCTGCTCGAGCCACGTTTCCGCCTCCGACAGATGGCAATTGATATCCCGTTCCACTTGGACACTGCTGAAGCCATGTCTTCCTGCCCACTCGATGAAAACAAAAAATCGCTTCAAATGTGTCAGTGATTGGAAGGGCAGCACAATATCCAAATAGGTTCCTAGCGTCAGATCTTTATCTCTACCCATGGCTAAAACGTTCTCTATAAATATTTCTTGGTTGAATAGTTGGTTGTTTATACTAGTTATTCTGCCATACCTCGGTAGCTCATAACGGGTCATGTATATCGCTATTGTTAGGACGGAAAGGTTTGCGTGTGTCTTAAGGTAGTCGATAGTATGCTGCCAATGAACATGCGGCACGGCATCGGATGATTTCGAGGGGTCATCCTTCCCAAACGGCGGGCATACTAACTCAAAATAACGAAGGTGAGATAGTGTATCCGGTCTCAGAGATTTTGTGATGAATGTGGAGGTTTCGAGCCCAGCCAAGAGAGGTGAGCGGCTCGTCCAAAGCCCCACGATTGGCATGATAACGACACGGTTTTGCGAGTAGAAAATAACCCGAGCAGTTTCGTACACGGCCCGATTAACTAGGAACAAGGCTTGCGGCGGACGCCAGCATCGGCAGCGGGAAGAGTAACAGGAAGGCTTGCGCATGCAAAAAGCACCAAGCTCGTTGTGGTTATCTGCACAAGCTCGAAATACATCGCTGCAGTAGTGGTCCTTAGACAAGTTATCAAGAGGGTACTCGTAGTAAAAACCACGCTGTAGAGCCCACCGGACTTCCTTACTAGGGGTGACCAGATCCGTGTATTTGAGGATTGCCTGCTTGAGCTCCTGGGGAAGATCGAGAAATCGAAAAGGCGAATCTGGAACAGTAGGGGATTTGTACGACGCCGTGATGGCGGCTTGTCGGGCCATAGAATAAAGGTTGTATTTGTCCCCACCAAGACTCATTGCGCAGTCGCGAAGACTGCCAGGTGCATTGAAAAGAGGTGCTAGCACGTCAGGGATGATACTCGTTTGCGAATATATTTCACAGGAAAGATGTAGCCTAAGCTTCTGCGGATCCGAGTGCGCAAGAACATGCTCTGCTGCTCGTTTCCATGCAGCAATGCGACTTTTCAGTATAGGTTCGACCTTTATACCCTCCAAGATATAGCTTCGAGGGCAGTAGCCTTCGGGCAGGTCGAGTTGTACGTATAAGTTGGTCAGCTTACTGCAAGCGTAGGGGGTAATGTTGCTGAGAATGCGGAGGCCCTCATCCATATCATCGTAGGGAACAAGCACGCGGTTTTCAGAGTAGACCACGGCGCTAACTTCAGCGTAGATAGCCCTACAAGTCTGAAGGAGTCGGAATGTAAAATGAAGCCTATTACACCAATCGCAAGCGTCATTTTTTAAGGTGTAGGCCTCATGATGTATGTCCTCGAGCTCATCATGGCGTCGAGCGAGTGAGTATAGATATATGGATTCACCACTGAAGAGACCTGCATAATCATAGATTCGCCGACGGACCGGTGCCGGGAGATCGAGGAACGTTTTGTTATGGGTACAGCTCGCCAACCCAAACCACTGGCATATTCTTCCCTGGTGCATGACCTTCCTGTGAGTCTTCGCCTTGGGAACGTCGGCCGACAGCTACCTATACAGTATTTATGATCAGGGGAATCTTGAAAGGGAACACGTCAGTGCAGCTTCAAGCCATGTTGAATTTATCGGGTACGGCGCAGCCACAAGGGGACGGACGTTGGGCACCCAAGGATCTGGGACCAGACACGGCGGTCAGGGTAACAAGCCACAAGACCTATGCTCTAAAAGATGATACCCTTAAGGATATATACTAATATACCAGGTACATTATACGTTTGTCGTAAAGGCAGGTAGTTATGCTCTTTACCGGCGCTAAGTGAGAGAAGCTCCACTTTTTATGGTCTTAAGAAGGGATATTTAAGGTAGTGATATTAAATTCACGAGAGTACCTAACCTAAGATAGAGCCTCTTAAGGTATTGTACCTATGGCGGCGGTCAGTTCTTCGTTTTGCAGGGTTACCTTAGGTACCTGGGCACACAAAATACTGAAGAGTCTTTACCCAATAAGTTATCGACAGATGGCAGCTGAGGACCACGACCCCAACTCATGAGGGGCTTTCACCAACTATCAAAATAACCAAGCAGCTCAAGATTTGGTTATGGTGGAGACCGAAGAATAGGTTCTTGGCATGAAAGAGGCATAGATAACTAATACCTCCTAAACATGTAGAACTTCGATCAAGTTCAAGGTATCAAATTTATGTTGTTGGACTAGGTACCTAGTACCTATAGAAAATGTGTGTTAAAATGGTCGTTTATGATACATACCTACCTAATATGATCATGTCTACCGCATACCGTACAGCAATAGCTGTCAGTATAAGTAAATCGACCTGATATTCCTGGTTTGGAAGTTGTTATTAGAAGAAACTAAAACACGGACTACGAATTAGTAGCAATGTAGAGTCTCCGCGTTCTCCGCATCATTGTTCGTTCAAGAGGGAATGACGTGGGGTTGCGCAAATGACCTCCAACCGAACTTGGATCAACACATAATCCCTATGAAATAGTCTATGAAATAGTCGAATATGATCAAAGCCGATGTTATAGAGGAGGTACGAGGGGTGGTCGGGTTGGCGATCGACGACGCAGACCAAGACCTAAAGAAAAAGATCAACCAAGAATTGCACCAGCATCCCGAGACGGGATATCAAGAAGTATTCGCCCATGATACAATCACGCAATTTCTCGAAGATCGCGGCTTCGCCGTAAAACGTGGTACTTATGGCCTAGCAACGAGTTTCGAAGCAGAGACAGGGAATTCTGGGCGTCTTGTTGTCATATGTGCTGAATATGACGCCCTACCTCAGATCGGCCACGCATGTGGTCATAATCTGATTGCGACATCGTCAATTGCCGCCTTCCTCGGCACTGCTGAAGCTTTGAAGAAGAGCGGCGCCGCAGGACGACTTCGCATACTAGGTACCCCGGCGGAGGAGGGTGGTGGTGGGAAGGTAAAGTTGATCGAGGCCGGGGCATTTAAGGATGGCGTTGCAGCAGCTATCATGGCTCATCCGATGCCGGCACACCAGATCTCCGGGCCAAACGCGGCAGAGTCATATGACGGTCTTGCAGGACTGAAAATGATTGCGAGCCATAAGTTTCGCGCCGAGTTTCGTGGAAAGACAGCACATGCTGCTGGTGAGCCATGGAATGGTGTCAATGCTCTTGACGCTGCTGTCGCCGCATATAGCAGTGTCGGACTTCTCCGCCAGCAAATCCAGCCTGATGAACGCGTCCATGCTGTCATTGAAGTTGGGGGGACGGTGCCGAACGTAATTACAGATTACACGCGTATGAACTGGAATGTTCGAAGTCCAACTATAGCTAGAGCCGACGAGTTGCTCGCCCGTGTGAAAGCGTGCATAGAAGGGGCAGCTACCGCAACTGGCTGTGAGCTCAATTATATCGTGTAAGTTCCCCAGCAGGGACCTGATCTACCCAGGTACCTAACCTCAATTCAAAGCTGACGGGAATAGAGCGCCTACTTACGCAAATTTGACGGCAAATAAAGCTCTTTGCGAAGCATATGCGTCTGAGATGGAGCGTATCGGCGATAAAATTCTATTGCGAAACGACAAGGCCGTAACAGCGTCAACTGATATGGGCAATGTTTCCTACGTAATACCGAGCTTCCATGGCGCGTTCGCAATACCGGCGCCGCCTAACACGTCGCTTCATAATCCTGGGTTCACTGCGGCGGCTAGCACCGACGAAGCCCACGAAAGGGCACTTCGATGTGCAAAAGGGATGGCGATCCTGGCGGTCCGGGTACTTTTGGATGAAGAATTCGCCTCCGAGGCTGCTCACGACTTTGAACATAGGCACGAGTGGTAGCCGTATGCTTGAATGGGTGTCTCGGACGTCTAGGAATGTTAGCTACCTTGTACAGCATATCAATGTCAATACACCTACATACGTGATTGAACAGCGATACTACCAATTATTATATACTCACATTTACCTAAACCTACCTCAGGTACCTAACCTACCTTAGATACATACCTACCTGATGTACCTGGTTTAAGGGATTTATTACAATTCTTGACGACAATTCTGATGCTACTCGAGAACGTGGGTTGAAATGGCCCCGTACCCCACCCCCTTTTTTTCGATTTCACTACAAAAAGATGATTCACTGGAACGAATTGGAGAGGATATAGGATCTTCTATATTCTCATTTTATTTTTCTCGATCAAAACCCATACGCCTTTAGCATTGGATCCCGAAGAAGCCGTTGCATGGTTTCCTTCTCTAAACATACGCTAATATCGAAATCCCCCGTGCCCGCAATATCCATGACCTGAACGATTCCGTCCATCCGTGGCATCACACCCTGTACATACCGAGCTGGTCTGTGTGTCCCACAGAAGTCTACCTCGTAGGCCTGTGCTCGTACCCACGAAGTAACGAGGGTGTGCTTGGAGCCAAGAAAAGACTGCCACAGGCGTTGCGGGCTGACCTCGTAAGCTGCATCGTGGATATAAGCAGACACGGCATCAGGAGTGAATAGAGACATAGTCTGCCTTATAGAGCCGGCAATTGAACCGATTGGTGAGGTGGCCGCTTCGGAGCCAGATTTCGCGACATAGCATAACAGGATCGGAGAGCCTGCAAAGCTGTCCGGCAGCGGCGGGGTCACGCGGTTGCGCACTCCAAGGGTGAAGTCGATGTATACTTGTTCTTTAGAATCCTCCAGCCGTCGTGCGCGGTTTATGAGGATCCAGATATGTGCTAAAGTTGCATCTAGTCGGGAGACACGGTGCCCACTCAGGGACTCCGGCAGGCTATTCTCGGCGGCTTTCTTCATCGCGGAGATGGTTTCCGCTTTGAAGCGGATTTGCACAGGTTCCACAGCAGCAGCCGTATCCCACGTCGGCCAAGGCGGAAATGAGGAAGGGCTTAATTCTACCCGAGCCAGTTCCTCCGGTGGAGGCTTCGTGCCCAGTGTTGAGGCTTCGGCCCAAGGGGGGTAGCCCGGAGCGTCTTTAGCCCACCAATCGTATCGGTGCATGGGTAAAGCCCTCGCTATTCTAACCTTCTCAGGGTCTGGTCCTGTTGGGGTGAGATGAGCATGTTGGTCCAACTGCGAGGGGTCGAACAGTGGTATTTGGCGCTTTTCTGTAACAGATCCATTACCTCCAAATAGATATCTCGATTGCGCTGCCCAGGCATGAGCGAACTGGATGAGACACATAGCATCGGAGAGACAATGCGTAAGCTTGATGCTGATCGCAAACCCGCCACATTTGAAACCCGTTAATTGGACAGCAACAGCTGGCAGGCCTTCGAACTCGGTCAAGCTCGAGAATGCTAGTTTCGTTTTGGCGAGGAGATCGTTCTGGGGGAAGGTTGTCGCATTCCACACTTGCTTCGTAGTTAACCGCTCATCTTGGCTCGGGACTACATCGCTAAGCTCGCGATTGTCTCTTACGATAACCAATTCCACTCCAGGATCCTCCGGACCACCGTATATGACCACTGGCCGGCCAATATACCGAGGGTTCACATCTCCTTCCACGAGCTCCTTGGACGCCCATCGAAGCTGGCCTGCGAAGTGAGGGTAGTCATCCAGAGTCTGCCTCAGTGATTTTTCCAGTCGTTTAAATATACCAGGATCACGCGAGTCGGCACTTTCAGCTCGATCATAAAGCCAAATCGCTCCGCATGGTGCAAATCGCGCAACAGACGCGTCAAGAATGGACAATTTCGTAGTCGTGGTTTGCTTTGAGCCGTTCAACGGAAAGACCCTCTTCGTATCTTCAACCTGATATGCCGATTCCGTCATGATACTTAGTATAAAATATAACCTTTTCCTGCTCGTATCGACCTTTCCCTTCCTCCGCACGTATAGCAAAAATGACTTTGCTCATCTGATCGCTACATGCTTTAAGAAGTTCGGCAACACCTTTTAAGAACTCCATCTGTTGTAACATGAACAAGGGCCCGGCTATTGAGTCTAACTGAGTGCAGAAATTCATGTTAGAAATGCCGCCAGGACGACCGATGAGTCGTTGCCGGATAAGTTATCGTTCGGATGATTCATAATGATTCATAAGGAATCGTGGCAGTGCGCCCGTAAGTAATTGGCCCTTTGTCGTCTTCTGCCATAAAATGAGTGGGAACTTCTAACGGCTTCAGGAAAGGGATTCGATAGAACCCTAACCCATTGGATCCCAATAATGTTACTATATTCTCTTCAGGGAGACTCCGTAGAGCATATCAGTTTGAGCAAATCCAAACACCTTTCACTTAATTATGGAAAATACCATGAAACGTAACGAAATCTATTTTTACTTTTCCCCTAAGAGACGTTAATGGTATGATATTATTTATCTTCATCTTAGGTAACCTTCCCAGGCTGGGCAAGCTGGGTTCGTGTCAAACGTTTACTATAGTGACTGACTTACAGGAAACTCGCTTTTCCTTTTCCTACCTATCTATATTGTATATACACTTTCGCCTTTTAGGAACTAAACGGAATGGTCCCGGGAAATTCTAACGTCATTTTCTCCGATACCTATATCCCCAATCCCAACGCTAGATAGTCAACGAAGGTTTCAACATACGCTCGGCCCTAGCGACAGGGCCTCCGCAACCTGCTTGGCAACTACATCATGAATTGGATACGTCGGATGCAAGTTATTGAGCCAGAAATATTGGTTTACTGGAACACCACAGCTGGGAGTGAACGAGTCGTCATCGGGTGTGCCACTAGGATCGTCAGCATCTTTCTCAGCTCATATAGTTAAGTGTTAGCTGTCTGGGGAAAGGTTTAACATACTTCTGATACGCAGTGCAGTAACCGGTGGTATTCTTAAGACCCGCAGTTTCTGCATATGTGCTTGGCTTATCCAAAACCTCCCCGAAGCTCTTGTTTGAGTCGTAAACCCAGACGTTAACTTCGTCTGTATGGTTGCTCTTCAATGCAGCAGCTGTATTGGCTACACGCTTGTTCCAGTCTGCGATCGCAGCTTTCTCTGCCTCCACAGATTGCTCACCTTGACCGACTGTTAAGGGGCTGCGGTCGACGGGCGGAACGTTGATGAAGACGAAATTCCTGGCGCCGCTGTCGTAGAGCTGGTCGACTAGACCCGAGTAAACATCGAAGATTTTAGTGTACAAAGGACCAGTGGACTCTACTCCTGACCCGTAGGAGTTTCCAACATCGTTGATGCCGATCCAAAAGGCGAAGATCGAGTCAGCACCCGTCCATTTGGGTGCCGAGGGGGCTTCGGCAGAAACGCCCGTGTAGCCTGGGATAAACTCTTCTTGTACCTGCTGCTTTACAGATAATACGGTAGGCTGGTAAGGCGCAACAAGAGCTGAGTCGACAGTAGCACCGCCGTAAGCGAGGTTGTAAGTTTGTAAGAGTGACGCATTGTACTTGACGGTTAGATATCCAACCCAATTCGGTCCATTAGATGATGTCCATCCTGGGTATTGGGGATTTCCAAAGGGATTGGACGGTGAGGGAGGAGTTTGCGTATAGTTGAATCCTATAAGAAGCTGTTAGGGCCCGTCATCTCAGGTTAGTAAACCTTCATTACAATACCTGTCTGTGTGTAGCTATCCCCACTAGAAACAGATTAGCATAGCCACAGAGAATTCGATTTGAAGTACTAACAAGATAAAGGCATGCTTGATATTCTCCCAGCCCGTCCATTCTGTCGTCGCGGCGCATGCCTTTCTTGAACACAACGCGTAGGCACTCGTTGCAAGGAATGCCAACGTTGCAACTGCAAAGCGAGCCATATCTCGGGGGTAGTCTAAGACTGAGGTTATGCCAAGTGCCGGTTTTCAGGTCTGATTTTAAATCGCGAGTCTTACATCCAGACCCCTTGGCAATGCATTTACAATAGACTTAGAATAGACACTAAGATAGACTGATGAGAACTGAATTGAGTTTTGAGGACAAAAGCTACCAGGTTGTAGGCAGTTATATATCGGATGACTTGAATTTATAAGGTATTCTTTAACGGATGGCTGCACCTAAGATTGGGGCGGCCCTATCGTTGCATACAGCCCCCATCATCGCGAAATGCACCTTATTACCTGCTATAGCATGGTCAGGTCTAGTACTGACCATCTAGACTTCATCGCTTAGCGATTACTCCACGAGCCGCAGTCCAACGGAGGAATATTTTTCAGCGCCAATACACCGCCCCCAACAAGAAAAGTTGGAGAGGACGGAGCATCGAGCACCGCCTTCTCAAATCTAGCACTCGATTCCCAAGGTAAGTTCCCACTTTCAAGTCCAGTTAAAGATGAGATGGTAGCAATTCAAAGCCGCCTCATGGGCTTAGGCGGAGGCTGATGTTCCGAGCCAGGATAGGAATAGGTAAGTCGAGAGCACACATCGAAGTTCAGCTGCTACGCTGGTCAAAACTTTATCCGAGCTTCAGATGGAAAAAAGTTAATACTTTCAATAAAGGGGGGTGCTTCCTTGGCCGCTATCTGAGAGGTTATAATTGTCACGAATGATTATCATATGTCCTGTCAAGTGCGTACTGCTCCTTACCCTCTCGCTATATTGGTTTGAAAGACTACCTCCTAGGGTACCTATTCAAGAGACACTTGGTAAATTGGAGGTCTTGAAGGAATTCCAAGCATAGGACTAATCCTTGGTCTAGCTTATAATGCTCATGTAAGGTAGGTAGGTAGAGGTATGTATTCGATTACTATATCGATGATTTCGAAAAGAAAACACCTAGATTGCAACACGAGGCAAGGAATACGGTAGAATCTATTATTACAGCTTTTAATAGACTGTCTTCACATATACTACCTACCTACCTACCTAACATTAGTCTTTCAGAACTACGAGAGGTAAGTATAACGTGGTCCGGACTCATGGCTCTTTTAACGGGGATACCCCTTACAATGCACAATAAAACCGTGTCCAGTCCTTACAATTATACGTTTTACTCTTCTTATCCCCTCTTCTTGTTAACGCCATCAATTATCAACCCTTTAATCAACAATCCAAAGATATATACGATCGGATAGCACCATGAGGCGTCATCGCGAAGCTGGGATTCGAAGGGGTCATCGGGGCCCGAACATAGCCCTGCAAACAGAAACGGGACAAGAACCACGATATCGCAAGCACTTAACGCGTCGCACGCTCGTCCGATCTGCGTCGTGCTTCGTTCCTCAACACCCCGACGAAACGCCGGAGCACCATTTCCTCACGATCCAACCAGTCTCGCTTCATCAACCGATACGACAGCCACGAGATATTAATTCTTGTCGACGGGAATTGTATCAACAATGGGAGCAAGGACGAAATGGCCAGGCCGTCCGGTGGATGCAGTTTCACATTCAAAGGGCCGGGGAGATACGGCTCCGAAGTAGAGCTTCCTTTTAAGGACGACATATATCATGATGGTGGGATGATTGGATTCCCTCTAGAGGAGTCTGGACCTGGAGGTGAGAGTTACAATGCGACGAGCAACAGGGCGAAGCTTAGGGCGGTTATTGCGGCGCTCGAATTCCGCGTTTGGCAAGACGAAGGGTGGCGGCGCATCGTCATTGCGACCGATCTCAAATATGTTGCCGACGGCGCGACAATTTATCTACGCAATGGGTTCGGCGCGGTTGGCGAAATAGCAGATTCAAGAGCATAGCTAACAGAGGCCTATGGGAGAGACTCAACGGGATTATTGAAAGCCTACAAAGATCTGGTACTGGGGTTTCGTTTTGGCTACTTTGCTCTGGTAGCATGGCTAAGACCCGGTCGGCCTTGGTACGCGAGACCAAAGCCGCCACTAAGGAGGCTGCGATTGAACACATCGATGATGTTGCGCTTGAGTTTACAAGACTATGTGGCATTATGTTATAAATCCGAAGGACTGTTTGCGAAGCTTTTGAGGGCTGTATACCTTTCATACGTATTATAGAGAGTATCAAGAGAAAAAGATCAGGTACCTCCTAAGGCGGCAAGTGACTGCTGTGATACTGCACTTCGATGCACATCTCGAGTTGCAAGCACAGTTTCTGGAAGCTTGACAAAAATCTTCACGAGCGTTTAAGTCTCATATGCGCCAATGTTCCTGGATTCGATGGGAAATGTGGTTAGGGCGAAGAAACATTACATTCGTAAGCGAAATGCTTCACGCGTCGAGCATTTTGATATTAATTCATTAGCCCATCGTAGCGCTATACCGTCTATTTACAAGTTAGACCTCTCTAATAGGACCTTTATAGTGTTTCTTCGCCCGGAGCGGATACCAAACAATTGAGAATATAATAACCACGCAGAAGGGCAGGACGCTCCAGTTGGTCGTCTCAGCAGTCGGATAATTCGTCTGGGGCCAGAAGGACCAAAACAGCGTTACCACATTATATATGATAGCGAATATATTGTTGATCGTTCCCAGTGGTTCGGGAATTCGCCAAGGTCCCCAGGTCACTTCCGGGTCAGGATCATCTGTCTCTCCTACATAGGGCAGCATCCTCCCCGTAGTACGGCGCCAAAGAAGGAGACCGCAGGGAATCATGTAAGAAGCGAATAGAGCGGCCACCGACAAGGAGCATAACGCTTGGAGGGCGACGGCGGATCCGAATGCAATTAGTGACAAAAGCACGGTGATCACGAAGGTAGTAAAGATTGCGTTCGTCGGGAGGGTGTTCTTGGATAGCTGAACATACTATGTTAGCTCATACGGATACCAAAGCACATATATCCACAAGATGCATACCTTTACTAGCTGGTTTGAAAACGGGAGCCCCTTATCCCGAGAAAAGGACCAGAGCATGCGGGCCGTCGAGGCATATATACCGATGCTACCGGCTACTGTCAAGGCGAAGATAACACCCGCCATGAGGCAAGCACCAGTGGTCGACTTAACGGCAGCATCGGCTATCTGTAAGAATGGGTAGAACATGGTTTCCACGGCAGCCACTGTTTTTACTGTTAGAAATTATATCTAGGAAATTTCGGGGATATGGCAGTGACCATGAGACTTACTTGCTGCATCTAAATCGGTTATGCAGAATATCATAGCGATAGCCATTCCTAACGCAAGGGCTCCATTGATGAGAACCGTATACATCAACGCTCGAGGCACGACTAAGGGGGCTGATTGGATCTCTTCGGACATGTGGACCGCACAATCGGCTCCGACTATAGCTGTAGCAAGTGTCGGGAAACCAACAAAGAAGGCCATTGTTTGCGTAGGCCAGTTCCCATTATTGAGAAACGTGGTAAAGACAAAGCTCGGTTCGTTATGGGGCGCAAAATATACCACTTGATCGGACGGGTTAGCAACGTCTGACAATGTAGAGGAGGGAAAGGGGGTTGGTTAGGGCCTCTCGGATACATACTTGGAACCAAAACACCGAAGAAGCCAGTCAAGTGGAGGATAAGAATGAAAGCCTCCAACTTCGCCAGGATTCGACTCGTGGTGGAATTTATGAGAGTGGTAATTAGAGCGAATGCCCATATCATCAGGACGGTGTGCCATGCTAGCGGCACATATGTTGGATGAGCTAGGACGATGATGCCTTGTAGAAGAGTTGCGAGGAGGTAACTGCACATGACAGAAATTGCTTGCCATGCTAATGTCGTAAGCCAGGCGGTCATGTATGATAAAAAAGTTGAACATGACTTTGGACCCAACATCGAAACCCAGTGGTCTACGTAGTGAATGGAGTTAGTAGACGATCCGACTGAAAATATAGCGCAGTCTCTTCATACATTGTCCACCAGCAGTCGGTGCTGTCGAAGCCAATTCAGCTAATGTCGCATACAAGGAAATAACTCCAATCCAATTGACGACAAGCCCCCATACGAGACCGGATGGTCCGCTAGTTGAATTAGTATCCGTTTAATCATATTGTCAAAGTCCAACGGGGGAGAAACTATCACTAAAAACCTACCCTATGATAAGGCCGGGGACACTTGTCAAGAGAATGCTTTCCCAGGAACATAATGCAGAACAGGAGAAACCGAGAATTGACATAAATCCAAAACTTCGAGTTAGCACCGGCCGCTTTCCCAGCCGTCGCAAGACCGCGTCGTCGTCATAATTGTCGCGCCTGCGGTAATTCGACGACGATTCATCGCGGAGGAGATTCCCGACATTAAGCTCAAGCTCGTCTTTCGACATAGCGACCGATTCGATATGCGCGCAAGGGTAAACCAACAACACCTGTCGTACAAAACGATAAAGATTGTGCGAAGGAGGAGAGCGAGAGAGAAAAAAAACCAAAGGACCGATACTATCACTATCGGGGCCCGAGTGGGACGACAAACAGGTCGAACTGAAGATCGAACTTCGGTTGTCCGACTGTGGAGAAGAGAACGTGATGAAAGGTTGAGGCGGGAGAAGCACGATTCTCCTTTCGAGCACGCCTTGTTCAGTGTTAGGCCCAGCTGAACTTCACCCGGGGATTGCCCCCGGAAAGTGGCTGCTTGGCCCGAATACACTACCACCACTGAGGCCAGAGAACCAGGGGGGTGATAAGCGAAAAGAGAAAAAAGCACGCAACTGAGGAACCAACACAAGGGAGTGAAGTGAGTGAATGTTGGGTGGCCAAAATCTCACCTGCAGAGACACGGCGTAGCATGGCAAGGATGCAACTTTTATACCCCCGCACTCGGTGTGTTTCCGATCCTCCCATGAGTAGACCTACCTTGTAGGCGTATCGTGCGAGCCAATCAGTCTATCAGACTCCCTTACGATGCATATTAAATCGGTATTATTGAACGGTTAAAATCCGACTGTCAAGACATTTATCGTCATTGGTGTTATCGATATAAGTCTGACTTTTGCAATTTTTGTTCTGGCGTTGTCTTCCTGCGAAACTTTGATATATCTCGATAGCCATAATAGTGTAATTTTTTTTTTTTTTTTTTTTTTTTTGGCTACGATTCAGTTGAGAGCTACATTTAGTGTGTCTATCGACCTTGCCGAATCCAAACCGGTTGCGACAGAGTACTATCAGTTCGCATTGGCTCTGAAGGAAATCTGAAGAAACTATCAGGTATCGCGTTGAGATCGTTACTGTAGTGTTATCTTCGTCACAAAATTCGTAGCATGTTATGATCCTCAGTACTTGTACATCGAAGGGGACAAGTGGGTAGGTGGATAATATGAACCTGGTCGAGGCACACACGAGATCCCCGTTAATTTTACTCACGATGCGCTTCGTCAAGAGAAGAGTGAATGAGAGTTTGCAATAGACCATGTATTTCATAGCAATATTCTCAGTTCCTGGTATCACTCATTGTTCGCTAACGCCTTCCTACACGACGCCCTGTGCTCAATATACCCTCCAGACAACCAAATTTTCGGTAGATTCCTAGTTTCGTCGTTCGTGTTCCGCGTCGACGACCTCCCCAGCGCTGATGATGACGTCCGAGGTAAATCCACCACGGATCTCCCTGTTACCGCGTGCCCCTACTCGGTGTAAGCCTCAAAGCATAATATCAGTAGTAGATTGAAGAATAAATACCTATGGGGGTGGCCGCAACAGCGCTGAGTCCCAGCAATGCCATGATGGCAGTCTTGTAAAGCATTTTGAAGCCGGTTGATGATGGACCTGTGTGAGCGTATGTTGTTTAGTTTAGGCAATGTGTGATAGTCTGCGAAACAAGAAGCTAAATCTTTCTCTAACAATTGGGTTGACTAACGACGATTTATATATATAATGAAGAGTGATAATCATTATGAAAGGGGCGCAGCCCACTATTGATATATAGGTCAGATGTAACATCGTTAGGACTACGACCATCAAATAGATCTAAATAGTGAAACATGATTGGGTTGATCGCATCTGGCGTAGTCCTATTCAAGAGATTAGATTCTTCTACCGCATCCGCCACTTTACAAGGTATTTCTGATTGCCGGCGGCTGTATCGAGCGGTCAATGCCCAAGGGTTTCCAACTTTCAAGCGGGGTGCCGAGTAAGATTGTCTGAACCATGAGCCATTCATATCTGCAATAGGCAGTGGAATGGTAATCTTATAGGCGCCAACTGGGTAAAGGTTGCATCCTAGAAATGAGACAACATATGTGCAGATAGGTTAACTCGAGCTAGATCTGACGCATGCGTATTCTGAGTGGGTCATAGCGCAATGGAGTCCTGCATATCTATACCGATCGTACGACGTGTCAGAAGCCATAAGGCTGAGTGATATCCTCTGTCTTATAACCAAGGTCGAACCGAGCTCTATCTACTCCTTACCTAACCGCTCGAGTTTCTCGCGATTCTACCATTGACCATCATGGAGAAAGACTCAACCGATTCGAAAGATCGCCTTCTTGGTGAAGCAGAGTACCCCGGTGCAGATCTCAGACACTCTAATAAGCCAAGGACGTCGTCGATACGGCGATGGATACGCAACAATGCGCTTCTACTGGTGATATTTGCGCTTCTATTTTATATCGCCATTGTCCTAACCATCGAATCTGCGGCGAGACTGAAGTCTCAAAGACATTGCCTCGGAGCGGATAACCACTTCAGTATGAATTATCTAATAACCAAGTAAAAATACTGGCTAACATGATAAAGGGCTGCCAGGAGACGCTATAAGGTACGAAGAGAAGCAGGAATGGTATACTCTTCGAGAACCCTGGAATATGGAGCCGTCCGACGAACTTGACGACTTGTGGGAAGACTTATTGTATGGTTAGTAGCCCAATCATCTCAAAGTATCGATAACATATACTGAAGTTCCTCTAGCATTGAATATCAGAGTTTCCCCTCGCGAGATGGAACAGCTTGGTTCAAACCTCACGAATCGTATCCAAGTTGATGGTGGGGACTATCTTGGCGTTATGGGTGTATATCACCATCTCCATTGCCTGAACAATCTACGGAGAATAGTCCATTGGGATTATTACGAGTCTCGCGTTGCAGATGTAGGTCCTACGGGACCTTTTGGAAAGGGCCACTCGGGTAAGCTTATTCGTCCCCCCGGTTTTAAAGTACTAAGTAAGCTTATATGTATAACTTCACAGATCACTGCATCAATGCAATCCGTCAAGCTCTCATGTGTCACGCAAACACTGAGATACATACAGGACAGTGGATCTACGACCCCGATAGGCCTCAAGCCTCGAAACTCGGGTCGCACTCAATGACAACTTGCGTAAAGTGGGATAGCTTAAATAACTGGGCACGCAGCAGGGCATTAAGACCGGGTGAATATACCTACAGACCTGTGCCAATCGACGAAACTATGTCAGATTAGTTGAACATAGCTCGTGGGCGAGTTTTTGTAGTTCAGTACCTTGCATTGAGAAATACTACCCCAATTCAAGCTTAGGATCTTTTTGTAATAACCAAGCTGTTCGTTATAATTGGAACCAAAGGACAGACTAACCACTTCAAAAATAGTGAGTATTGTCTTGCGTCACCCATCTGGACATAAAGGGGGGGCTATTTTCCCCCGCGCCCTGAAGCTGCGTTAGCCACACGGGTATGCGAGTAGTTCTCAAGCGCTTACATCCTTTCTACGCCAAAGGAATAATGTAACTGTAGCAGCAGAGGGTAGCAATTGTTGGACATAACGAGGGTGCAGCAGAATCGGTCCGACCTATTCGAAGCTTAACCTTTGGACTTTTTATAGTTACCATCGCAGCTAGCCTACAAGAAGCCGCATATACAAATTTCATTCATATTCTTCAACAGTCAGCCTGGTTTCTTTTTCTGTTTATGAGCATATTTCCTGTTGCCTTAGGAGGTATTGATTGAAAGCACCCTATCATCTCCTATCTACTGGTCCATTCTAGACCCATCGATATGGCGGGCTTACCCGTCTTAGAAAGTACCGTGGCCTTTGACGCGCCCAATGCGGACAAGCCAGCTACCACCTGGTACAAGATCGTCGGCGACCTGGACAAATCGCCCACCCCGGCGTTGATCGTGCTTCATGGAGGGCCCGGTGCGGGACACGAGTACCTGGCTTCCTTTACGGACTTATACTCGCAGTACGGGATCCCCATCGTGTTCTACGACCAGATCGGGTGCGGCAGGTCTACCCACTTCCGAGAGAAGATGCGGGACGATTCGTTCTGGACGGTTGACCTGTTCATCGCAGAGCTAGACAACCTTATCGACCACTTAGGATTCCGCGAGAGGGGCTTCTATCTCGCCGGCCAGAGCTGGGGTGGCATGTTAGCGGGATCGTATGCGTCCCGCCGCCCGCGCGGCTTGAGAAAGCTGGTAATTTCCGGGGCGCCGGCTAGTTTTCCTCTTTTCGCGGAATACGGTAAAGAATTGCGAGCTGCGTTGCCGTCGGACATCCGTGATATACTCGAGGCTGGCGATCGAGATGGGGATTACGAATCCTCCGAGTATGAGAGGGCTAGTACCTGTGAGTAGCATCCGTCGTGATCTGCCAGTTATGCTGCTATGCACGGTAACATCTTATATTGACTCGGCAGTCTTCTATTTACGGCATGTATGTTCGCTTGATCCGTTGCCGGAACCAGTAAAGAAGGCCTTCGTCAACTTGAAGGATGACCCGACTGCTTACAACACCATGTATGTATCCCGATTAAATCAACACCAATAACTGTAGCGGGTATTAACATTCAGATTGCAGGCAAGGACCCTCTGAAATAGTCGTTGATGGCAACCTTAAGGACTGGGAGGGTTGGAAGGAAGCCCATAATATCCAGGTCGACACGTTGCTATTGAACGGGAGGTACGACGAGGTGGGTGAGCCATGTGTAGAACCATGGGGTAAGTACAAGAGCATACTTTTCTGTAACTGCAACTCTTTTATCATTCAAGACTGTTATTTTCCATATCACTGTGTTCATTATCGCTAACTTCTAATAGTAAGTAATACATTTCATTTTCTTTACTACCTCAGTCGACCAGGTAGTTTCTCAATTCAGCTTCGAGAAACACGTCCCACCACCGTAAGTATATGGTTCACATACTGACGACACATCTTTCGGGATATTAGTTTAGGGTAATTCCGAGAATTAAGTGGATAGTATTTGAGAAATCCAGTCATATGCCTCACTGGGAGGAGCGGGAAAGGTTCATGCAGGTGGTAGGTACGTTTCTTACACGCTACTGAAGCGCCTCAACCTCGTTATCAGATACCTATGCTAGCGAACTACTTCGTATGTGCACCTGCTCCTACGTAATGCAAATTGGAGTTGTTGCTTCAAAAAGTGAAGGTGGGTAAATGTCGCAATGGTCTGTTGGGATTATGCTAAAGGGGTTACATGATGGAAGTAGTTAGCAAATTAGAGCAACCATTCCTCCACCTACAAACTTCTAGTTGATGCAGGCTTACTTTTAAGCCAACTTTGAAGGATCAGGTTAAACGGAACTACGGGCTAACCCGCAAGATTAGGTTAAGACTTGCGAGCTTGTCTATATCTACGCCGCGTGCCCGCAGCTTAAAGGCACATCGACTTTATGCGGGTTACCTTATATGGGTAGCGATGCGCGACAGCCGATATACGGTAGCTTGGCAACGAGTTGTGTATGATACCTCGTCTATTTATTGGTGCTGCTCGTGATAACATCAGATGAAGATAGTTTTCATATATACCTAGGTAGGTACTGACAACCCCGCTCAGTCGTATAACCCTGATTATATATAAGACAAGCGAAAGAACCATTGAAAAAGGAGCGACTCTTCCGTGTGATCAAGGTATTATGCAGGCTTATTTCTAGCTCCACCACGACTGGCAAATTTCTGCATTAAGAACTTTATTCATAGGGCTGCATTTACTAAGGTACGCGAGGCGGTAACCATAAATAAGATCCTAGCCAGGGAGTGAATGATGACGCCGCTCATCTAATATATACCTGAGTAGCCTTGTATTGATGTATTTGAAAGCATCCTTAGAAGAGGTATCTACTCACTCTAGCTCCCAACTTAAAATACCCCCCTTTTATCCCATATGTTACGTAGGTGTGTACCTAGGGATGGTCGCTTCCAGTGTATGTCTTTGACTTCGAAGTGATCAGGTTCCCCTGAAATGAGGATAAAGGAGAGAAGTACCCCATTCAAGTTTTCAAAGTAGTTCATATATTAGCTACTAAGGTACCAAAGATTATGAGACCAATTATGACCTACCTAGGTACTCTAAAGTATACCGTCGCTCCTAAACCTAATAGTTGCCGGAACGCCTGGCTAAAAACACCCCCAAAGTGCAGTAGATTCCCAAAACCACCACGGGTAAGCAGCTCTCTCTGTATCCTAACGATAACAGCTAACAACATCTAACTAAAACGTCGACTTCTGATGCTCTTCAGCAAACTCGCACCAGTTCACAACCTCCTCCTTATAGTGCTTGCTCATATACAAGAACGAGCCTTTCTTCACCAGGTCCATATCGAGACACTCCTCCATCTTCAAGCGCTTGGCATCAGCCTCCCGCCTGCACGACCGCTGCAGGTACGCCTGGAAGGGCGGCTTGAAGTCGTGCGGGTCGAAGATCCCGTGCGAGGAGCTCGACGCCGGGGTGGACATGCCCGGGGTAGGGCTCTTGCGGTTCTGGTTCTGCTCTTGCTTGAGCGCTACGTTCCTCTGCTCGGCGCGCACTGCGGCCTTCTCCAGAGCGATCCCCTGATTGGTTCGCGGCATGGTTTCATAGATGTAGGTACTTGTCGTTTAAAAGTAAGTGTCCCACCTGTTCATAGGTATGCGTTTTATACGCTTTCTTAATGTTTTCAAGTCTGGGCTTAGAAGTTCACGTTTGTGAACGGTTAGCTTGCAATATTTGCCGTCTGTACAAGTGCGTTTCAAGTCGTATAAGTAAAATATACGGAAGCTCTGAGATCAGCAATTAGGTGCCTCGAGTAGGTAGTATTGGAACATTTATACCATTCATATCTAGATTGTGGACAATCCCATTGGCATTTAAAGGGTTAATGAAAGGTTCGTCTACGATATTTGACAAACGTGAACAATTCATTATTGTAAAAGCTCTCATACATCTCGTACAACCATGAATGACCATTGTGATAAATAATAAAGGTAAGTTAAAAGAGCCCCGAGGATATTTTAGCAAGGTTTCTTTGATGTATTTGACATGAACTGTGCTTGGTTTACGCTATGAGTTTCGCGGCTCAACCTATAAGATGATTTCCTATAGAGATGTGCGAAGCATTAGGTTACGTACCTAGGTACTTAGGTATCAAAGGTCGTATCCTGGTAGGTAGCAGATCTCTTGAGATGAATAATGGTCATTATATCATTGACAACTTTACTGTTTGTTATCATCAAGCTATTCTCCAAGAACGAAATGTCGATGATGAGCCCAATTTATACCAACTATAAGGTAACGCTTGCACCTGGACACACATGATGGTAGGAAACCCGTGTTTAGCCATATATATCCAATATAAAACGCCCCCTTGACCCGCCTAGTAAGAAAAACCAGCGTCATAAACATAGCAGGGCGTGATAAGCGAACAGAATAATGGTTCGCAAATAGTAAAATGAAAATCTTAGCAATAAACGAAGCCCAGTATTTCTCTTCCCAATACGGAAAGCCAAGCTGTGTCCACTAAATCGAGGGAGGATTAGGTGAGAGTAGCGAGCATAGCTCTCATCAAACCAGGAGGAGGCCCTACAAAGATAATAAATGTTAGCCAAGGCCCCTCGGCTTTAGATAACTCCAATAAGATTAGAGCGAGTAGAAGCGCACCTTCACCTATCGATACTTAGGCACGCTAATGGACATCCTACCTTTCTTGTCCTTCTCAATGCGCACCCCGCGCCGTGGCTCCTCGATCTTCTCGACCTGCTCCTCATATAGGACGATCTCCCCCGTCGGTAACCGTTCGGCCGAAACCAACTCGCGATCAGTAATATGGCTATGCGACCGATGGCGGGAGTGCGAATGATGGCGGTGTTGCCGCCGTTCCACTTTCAGCAAGTCGCGTTCTGCTTCTAGCCTTGCAATTTCCATCTTAATATCCCTATCCGATCGCCGTCGGTCACCGACTAAAGCGAGAGGTCCTACAGCTACATCTTCGCTGTATTCTCGGGGTTCTATGATAACAGGTGTTCGAGTTGTAGAGGTAGAGTGGCTGCGATGACTACGTGTACTGCGAGAAGGCGAACTCTCTCGAAAATAAGTCTCATTAATAACTTCGACGGGCGCTTGCGTAGCGGGTGCGACAGGGGCCGCGGTATGAATGATCGTTGGGAGAGGAGCGGGTGCAACGGGGGCTGCAGTATGGATGACCGGTGGTGGAGGAGCAGGTGCGGCAATTGGCGGTGGCGGAAGAGTAAAGATTTCTTCTCTCCTTTCTTCGACAAGACCTCCGTGAATGGAGCGAGCAGATGCGACTTCATGTTCTGACTTCTTGTATTCTTCACTTAGCTTAAGTAGGTCATCGATATTTTGTTGGCCCAGAGCTTTTTGCACAATAATAACGTTACCCTAAGCCAGTTAGTTAGATTAATGACGAGAAGGTGTTGGAGAGGTGAAAGGGGCTTACCTCTTCGACGAATGGATAACCGAGGTCGATGAGCGCTAGCTTGGAAACAAGTCGGACTGGGATTCTTGTCTTTCCCTTCTTAGGATACTCGCTCTTAACGCTCTTCATCGTAACGCTGGTGCCTCCAGTGCTACTAGAATCATCTGATGAGAAAGAAGTGCGCGAAACGCTTCTGCTACGGACACTTCTACTGCGACGCTTATGTCTCGATGCACTACTATCGCGACGTTTCCTCAGCTTCACAACGTCTCTCTCGCGAATACGCTCAGGGTAATTATGATATTCCTCATCACCGTAGAAATCAGGCTCAGAGATCTTGATTTCATCAAATTCCCGTTCAGCGTATATTCTCGGTGGAGGCAGGGCTCTCGATCGAGGAAGAGGGGTAGGTTTGTATGGCTCAGGACGGAAATCATCGCGACGAGAGTGGGTATCAAACTCGTCCCTTTCAACAAAGCGCGGTGGGGGTCGTCTATCGAATGTATCAAGAGATGATTGTCGACGGAGTAGCTGTCCAGGCCTTCTTGGAGGAGAAGAGGGGCGGAATTCTCGTTCACGTTCCCTTTCGGCTCGCTCGCGGTTGATAACAAGACGTCGGTCCAACTCGGGAGGTGGAGAACGTCGGAATCGAGGGGCTTCATCGTAGTATCTTTTCTCGCGGGGGAAGTCGTCCTCCCACGGACGTGGTACTCTTCGCTCGAACCTTTCATCCACAGATTTCTCACGGAGCCTACTTCCTGGACCGCGGCTGTAGTAGCGGTCATGTTCCTCCATGCGATCTTTTTCAGCGTTTTGCCGACTACGGTCACTTTCAACAGCGAAGCGACTCTTGTCCCACCTCTCACCGTACGAATCACCGTAGGCCAGATCTTCATCTACCCGCATGTGCGCCATATTAAAATGGTGAAGTTGTAATTAGAAAAATGTCGAAAGATATAATAAAAAGATTTTCCAGGAATTATTCAATATGATGGCCGAGTATATTGAAATGATGGTTGATGTCGATGTAGGAATAAAATCGGACGATCGCCAGTTTCCAGTGTCAGTTGTAGATTTTTGGCTATGACGACAGCAGGGAATGGACGCTACTCCGAAATGCCAACGTATTAATTTGAGAGCTTTGGAATCTCGCGCGGGGCAGCTTTTCGTAACGACCCAACAGTTCCACCACCCTTGCGCAGCGTAAAATCCAAATGGACCGTTTTTGTTCTCCTCGGGGTTTTCGCACGTTCCTGCTGCGTGTGACCTTTATGCGACTCCTATCTGTCGCGGACTGACCGATAAACCTCGATAAACCTGATCAGCAGCCCAAAGGTGATGCGGTGCCCTCAAAGTTGCAGGTGTGTGACGAGTGAGCCCTGGGTATATGTGTATCTGAGGGTATCTTAAGTTATCTATAATATAGATACTACCCAAGTAGATGGAAATAATAGACTAAACTTTATAATATATATAGTCTTGAGTGAAATTTGACAGAAAAAAAAAACCCAAAACCAGTATGGGATGAGAAATGACGACAATGTAGTTCGATCGTGGAATTGAGTTTGAGAGATGTAGAGGGGCAACCTGGCTCTTTAAAAATGATCATTACATCAGTGAACCTGGTGATGGCTTAGCCCATCCATCTAGGAGGTACTAAGGCACCTTAGGTGGCCATTAGCGCTGCATGAAACCACGCTAACCTTGGTATAAGCCAATACCTACAGCCACTATCTAGGGAGCCAAAAGAATCAAAAGACCAATCATAAATTTGAAGTAAGAGAAGTGTGACTGCTAGTCTATGTTAGTGTAACATCCAGCATCGAAGCTTCTATCATAAGAATTCCGTCACCGTGCTTTTTTTTTGTGTCGGAGAGCAATATATTTTAGGTAATGTGGCATTTAATTTGTACCTATCACCTATTTGACAATTATAGGCTGTTATCCATCATTCATGGGCATCCATCATACATCGTATCCGAGCAGATATATGAGAAGAACGACATATGTACAACATACAAACATATCAATTTGGGCAGCGCTTGGGTTGCTATATTTGCCCTAATTCGAGGTGTCGACTGCCCGCTACCCGTGACATATGCCTTTTGTGTACAACAGTGAGAATCATCGAGGTTACATTTTATTAATTTTGACCACGGCCATGTACAGACAGACCATTGAAGTAATCATTGCAGCCGCAACCTGAGAGAGAGTTGTTCATCGTTAGGCACTTTTATCATCAGGATCCGCCGCCGATACGATACGTGCCGATTATCCTTGGTCAATAAGGCCGGACACGGAAGACTTCGAGACGAAAGTACCTATCGTACAAGGTTTACAAGGTTGATAGCGTCGGAGAGAGATGATGTGTCCCCATACCACCACCACCTCACTTAGCGTTAGGTTAGGTATTAGTGGTATTAGAGCTTGCTTTTCGTGGATCTCGACGGGATCTAGAATTTCGTGTTGTGACAGGTGGAGAGCTTTCTAAGCTTTCTAAGCTTTCTACTATGAGGTAGGCTAGGTACCTAGAGGTAAGCTTGGACTTCCAGGATATAGATGCCAAGACCTTTTTTTTAATGCAGAGTGACGTCGTTCAATTTTCATTAAGCCTGTCTTGTCTTACCCACCAGCCCATCCGCGCCGGCCGCGACAACTAAATTGGCCCGTGCTCTCCAACCAGAAATAAATGTCTTCCTCCTCAACAACGCGTTTGTAGTTCTCACCATATCCAAATACCCAAAAATCCAAATCTGCTCCCCTTAACGATGCAACTCGTCATTCGTCATGAGGTACAATATAATCATTGTTCTCAAACACTCAAATGATTTCCTGAGTTGGGTCTTTTGCTTTTCGCGCTTACGTGCGTACGTCCTTCAACAATCGTGAAACTCGAAGCGCTGGGTCGTTTTGTGGGCGACCACGCAATTCCTGCTGCCCAACCAAGGCCGGACCCTTAGACTTTACTTTGCCTTAGGTACCTACCTGTCAGGGCTATCAGGGGTCCTCAAATTAAGAGGAAAGCTTCGCTGGACCCTGAACCTGTCTCTATCGAGGAATGCATAAGTCTATTGATTGGTCGCTAAATCCCGTTAGAAAGTCATGTTCCTATTTCGACGAGGTCAAGTAAAACTGGTTCATGCGGCCGCGGCCGGTTGCGGCCCGCCTATGTTACTATTCTTGATACTATACAACAATATTACTTGTCATGGCATCCGAGATCCCGTTCAAGTTGAAATCCGCAGCTTGAATACCAGTGCTTGGCTTTCAAGATCATAGCCGCTTTCGTCAGAATACGGGAGCTTACCCCCATTCATAAACCCTTTCTGAGTGATAAAATCGTTATCGCTTAAACTAAAAACGTAAAACTCTCCATTCGAGACGCCAGGATCAACAGGGACTCTTCCAATAGACTCCCATTTCTCATTCTGAATAGTATCATAGGTCAGCCTTAAACTTGTTCCTGAACCAAAGCTTATAAGTAGTAGAGATGGCTTACCAATAGGTATTGGTCTTGGTTACCGCCGTTGTGAACGCCAAACCTGTTTAGCTGCGCATTAACGTTGAAGTCGAGGAAGCTGCAGTATTTCGCTGGCTTGATCTCCTTCTTGAGATCCCCACTCTCAGACTTCGCAACGTTGCAGTCAGTGCAATCATAATCGCCAGCTGCCTTGATATCTGTAGCGTCTGAAATGTCGAAGACGTCAAGCTGGCGATAGACGGAAAGGGAGTTGTCAGTGCCATGGCCAGCACCAGAATCTCTAGACAGGATAAAGAACTGGCCATTTTCGAGAGCATGTATCTCGGATTGTGCAGCTGCTTTAGGATTCTTTGACTTCTTCGCTGTCGGATCGTTATAGAGGGGCAGAGGCACAATCCACTCCCCCGCGTAGACTGGCGCAAGTCGATCCGAAACATCGTATTTAAGGAACCTAGTATGCCTCATGGTTTGCTTTTCCAAGCCCTAATTCCGGTGTTAGTATTCAAACAACCCAGTCAAGTCAGTCTATCAGCATGCATTTCGCCTCAGAGAACTTGAGTTGCCGCCATCCAGTCATGACATCCAGTGGAGTACAACACTTACACCGTCTTGGACAGTTGCCGCCTGCAAAAGTATCCACAGAGACTTGCCGTCTTCCGAGACAGTGAGACCTTCGAAACCTAGGTAGATTCCGGTTATTGAGACTGCCTATACATATCGCATATACAGACCATAGGTTAGGTACTTACCATGATTATTGTCACGGCCGCTATCCGGATCAGCAGGGTCTACATCGTCTCCTTCGCCATTGTCGATATAATATGGAGGACTATTAGCGGAGAAAGAGGTGTTCCCATTGCGGACCGGTACAATAGCGTCATTGGGACGAATTGCGCTGAGCATCTTGCCCTCCGGGCTGAATAGATCTGAGTAGTCACATCAGCAAAATGGCTTTTGAGTTTTAGGTAGGATGCTGAGTCGAAGCGCTCATACATATGTAAGGACCATATTCATCAGATACCCAAAAGCTAGAGTCATCATTCACATAGAGTCCCTCTGCGTCAACGGGGATACGTTTACCTCCTGGTCCGTCTCCACCAAAACCGTCTCCCGTATAAGTAGCAACGGGAAGATCGGGAAAGCCGGGGAATGAAATGTGACCAGTGGCGTCGGCATCCAACCCAGTACAGGGCGTTCCGTCAGGCCCAGAGAAAAGTATCGTATCTAGGTACTCGAAGTATAAGTTTGGACCAGACGGGCTATCCACCGTTGCATCGGGCTTCGGCGTGAAAATAATATTAAACTTGTGCACTCGGGGATTGAAGTTAAGTGTCCCTTGGGTGTTCCTGGTGGCGATTATCAGTGATCCTAATGTTCAAACTAGGGCGTGTCAAAGAAGGCAGCTTAGATACATGATATATCATGACAGTTCCCTATGCTGCAAGCACCTGCTGTTTCCATGCACTAGTTTTCACCAGATTCATTTCAAGAACATCATGGAATAAATTCAGAAATATTACTTACCAACCCCTATCAGGCAATGACCACAACACACCTGAGTAGCTTCCATTGTCAAGCTTCTTCCAAGAATCCGAGTCTAGATGTATAGAGGATCCCAGTCCTCCAAGCGTGTCGCCGAATTTGTCAACCGCATCCGAGACAACAAATCCATAGCCAGCGAGCTCCTGATACTCGTAAACGATACCATTGCAAGTGGTCTTATTTACGCTTGGTGGCGAACCATCACTAGCCCGACACTTTACGGCAGCACCGACAGCGCTCGCGGCCAAAGAGGCTATGAGTAAGAGTCTGTTCATGCTGACGCTCAGAACCGATATCACGAACAACGACGAGAGCTTACAAAGACAAGAAGCAATCCATTATGGGTTAATAATCTATTAAATACTTATGCGCAGCTACTTTCTAATATTCAGCTACTCTGCTTTCGGCCCGGTCACGGTTTACAAACTCGCGCTTGCGACACATAGGGCAGGCCGTTGTCGCGGGAGATCAGACAACTTAGCTCATCGCAATGTCCACGACAAACTATTTATGGGTAAAAGTAGAAATGAAAAAGAATGAAGATGCCTAAACTGGGTAGGTGGTGGTGGTGGGCTCTGAGGATTATCCGATTACCCGAGCGCGGCGTTGAGCACGTTGTCGACTCCCGAAGTCTCATTCGCCAAGGCCCCCAAGCGACCTGCCGTGCTGAGATACTAGGCGGCGAATAGGGTGGCAGGGGGGAGCCACCATGTTGCACATTTCACAATAGAATATTCGCTAATTGCTAATTGTATTCGAAAATGGTGGACGAGCACGTGGGGCGTTTTGGTGCGTCAGAGGCTTCGAATGGGAAAAGGTCGCGAAACAACGTTGTGGGTAGGTGGTAATGTTCGTCAGCGGCAACACCCACGCTATACAACTTCGGTGATTCTTAGCGACAGCATGGCCCAAAGTGGTGTCCTATTTGAGGAAGGGGGTTATTTCATGATCCTACCACGATAAGATGACCGTCTTCGCAAGCAAAATATAAGAATCAATAAAATAAATCTGTACTTAACAAATTTCTCCATTCCTTCAGTCGCCTCTGACACTCTAGGTTGTGTTTGAATCGATTATGTGTATGCGATTGAGTCAAATGGTATCGTCGACTATCAGAAACAACCGTTATCCTCTTCCCCCCATCCCGGATACTTCTTGACTGTTCTGCGCGTCCTTTTATCCTTGAAGATCTAGCCGATTCGTCAGGTTAGGCGCTATCACGAGGAATACCTGGTATTGAACCCACTTGCGCTTCCAGCAAAGCAGACACTTCTTGCAGCGTGACGGCGCCTAAATATAACGGAAGCCAATACACGCGACATACCAATCCGGCGTGAACTTCGTCAAAGCCCCCCGGGGGTATTTTGAAGATAACCAGATCATAGCTTCTACAGAGAGTTAGTGCATGCATTAAAGCCAAGGTGTATAGCATCCTCTCTGGGCCCAGTCGGCGTAGTGACGAGCCGGAAACCACGCATATCTACTCTCGCCGCGACCCGAGTCCTCTCGCAAGGCCCCTTAAAGCCTTTAAGCAGTGCGTTCGGAAGGAAGCGCGTCGCGCGGTGGCTACACATAAGCTACACCCAAGACCGACAAGACCAGTCTTACTCAAGGTCAGACGTAAGTTGCGCTTGAGTCTACTACTAGGTTATTCAGATAAGAGACAGAGACGGGATTGCTGCACGTACAGTATGTTCCGCAAGCAACTATTTTGACGCAGAACCTTTCTACGATACAGAATCGTTCTAACTTCTCGGAATAGTTAAATTTGAACGGTCGCACGTTTTAAGAGGTATGGTACCACGCATCGAGATTTGGGACATTTCGCCTATTATTGTGGTCGTTATAGCCATCTCAGGGTCTAGTGAGTCAAAGGGAAGATGCTGATTGTTTATTGGCTGAGTTTTCAAAACATTTATCACACATAAACCAAATCCGCGAATTCAAATCTCAGTTCTCCTCATAGCCAGCCCATAACAGTTCCATAGCAAAGCAACATTACTTAGACCAGTAAGGAGTATGAAATAATAATGGAGACTCTATCTATACTGTAACCCGATATCCTGGGTAGACTCGGGAAAGCTATCTGAATGCGGGGAATGAACAAGTTACCCACCAGGACTTGAAGTTCGGCTATTACCCTTGTATCAATAGATGTTATCTTATAATTCATTATTTATATGCTCTCTCTCCTGAGTTAACCCTCTATAGCATGGACTTAGGGTCAAGCAATAGGATTCGAAAAAGGTGATATCTCAACTAACCTCTTTGGATTATACATGGGATAAGGTCTACGCTTCGGTTGTGTTTTGTCTCCTAATTTATTGGCTATCTTCGTAGGTATTAACTCCAGTCCAGTATCGAGGTATCAAGGTAATATATTAAGTCAATTAATGCTATTTCAGCTTATTGGTGAATATTCTAACATCGACATAGGGGTTTACCACTAAACTGGATATACCTACGATGGCTGAAGAGATTCCTGATCTTAAGGAACCCCCCGAGGCGATTGATGGGAATGTTGAGCACGTCGAGAGCAATGTTCACATTGCTCGCAAAATTAATCAGCGCCATGCGGACATGTACGCCGAAGCCTTACTGCAATATCCGGATGACCATTCCATTGATCGAGAAGCCGAGAAGAAACTGAAGCGGAAACTTGATAGACGCATACTTCCTCTGCTGGGGATATGCTACTTCTTCTATGTATAGATGGATGAAAAACTATGCCACAACAACGGCAAGGCTAATCATGGTGTCTAGTACGTTGACAAGACAACTCTCTCCTACGCCGCCATCTTCGGCATCCAGTCGGACCTGCACCTGAAAGGGGCCGAGTACTCGTGGCTCTCGAGCGCCTTCTACTTCGGCTGGCTTTTCTGGTCCATCCCGTCGAACCTCATCATGCAGCGCTGTCCGCCCGCGTACTACCTGGCGTTCAACATCTTCATGTGGGGGGCGCTCTTGATGGCCCAAGCCGCAGCTAAAGATTTCGCCGCCCTGACTGTTTTGAGAATCCTTTCCGGCGCGTTCGAAGCCATCGCGGACCCGGCTTTCATGCTCATTACGTCGATGTATTACACGCGCGAGGAACAGCCTTCTCGCATCTCGGCCTGGTACGCTTGGAACGGCGTTGGCATAGCTGGTGGTGGCCTCATCGGTGAGCGGTCGCCCGATAAGTTTCGCATGTGCGAAGGGAGTTACAGCGACTGATAGAGGTAAATAGGCTACGGAATCGGTCAAATCGAAGGCGCGCTTCGCTCATGGCGATACGAATTCATCGTCGTGGGGGCGCTGTGCACGTTCTGGAGCATCGTACTATTACTCCTCTTACCAAATTCGCCCACGACATTCTGGGGCTTCAGTAAGCAAGAACGGCTGCTCATGATAGCCCGCGTGCGCCGCAACCAGACCGGAGTCGAGCACCAGAAGATCAAATGGGGCCAAGTCAAGGAGGCCTATCTCGACTACAAGACCTGGCTGTTCGTGCTGTTCGGGTTTCTCGGCGCGATCCCAAACGGCGGCATATCCAATTTCTCAACGCTGGTTATCCAAGGGCTCGGGTTCGATACTCTGCACACGGCCCTGCTAGGCATTCCGCAGGGTGTCCTTATCGTCATCTGGATTGCCCTTGGCGCGGTGGTCAATAAGTACATGCCGCCGGATAACCGCACAACTGTTTCCGCCTTGTTCATGCTGCCTACGATAGCGGGGGGACTGGGCTTCTTGCTTGCCCCTCCCGACGCTTACGTCGGGCGGCTGATCTGCTTGTAAGCTTCTAAGGGGTTTCGCTTTAATAATTTGTGACCCAGGTAGCGCTAATATATTCCAGCTACCTGACTGGATCTTATCAGGCGTCTTTCGTGATTTCCTTGTCTCTAGTAACTAGCAACACTGGAGGACAGTCTAAGAAAATGATCGTGTCGGGGATGGTATGGTTTGGCTCGTGCGTCGGTAACATCGCGGCACCCTTCTTTTACAAGTCAGAGCAGGCGCCGTCGTACCACTTAGGCATCGGGTCTCTCCTCGTAGCCAACGTCGCCGAGTTCCTCCTGTTCTTCGTTTTCCGGTACGCGTTCAAGTGGGAAAACAGACGAAAGGAGAAAGCCCGCGCCGCTTTGCGCGAAACGGGGGTGATTACGGATAGTACGGAGGGTTTGAATGCTACGGCGTTCCAGAACTTGACGGACAAGGAGAACCCGAACTTCGTTTATGTATATTAGACCCTGGACTAGAATAGCTTCCTAAATTATACGTTTATTGCGGAATGAAACCATTTCGGATTCGGATTGCAGATCATAGAACCTTTCGCGTCCAATGCACCCAGCCAAAAATGGATTACTAGGTTTATGATACAGTGACTGGTTTTTAGGTCCTAGATACCATATCCTGAGTATTTTGTAAGGTATGACTTCTGGTCTTCCTTGGACGGGCGAAACAGGCAATCCCGGTGTGGCCGTAAAGAGTCACCAGGTGTACGAATACAGCGCTTTAGGTGATCTGACAGCAGGCGTATGACGGGTCGCAAGAAAATAGAAACAGTAGACTGAAACAGCTCTCGTTGCATAGGTAGCCAAGCCGAAGCTGTAAGCTATCTTACCTATACGATTCTTAACGTGAAAGCAGGTAATCTCTGGGTACATTGCCCTAGATAAGAACTAACTAAAGGTTATTTGTTCGGAAATAGTGGCTGCTAGGCTTTAGGTCGTTGGATGTCTATTTCCACACAAACCCGAGCAACCATTCTCCAACCAATTTTTGATATGCGGTCATTTTCAACTTCGCATCTTCTAAATCTTCTCCCCCGAGCCAGCGGGCTGGAAGATGATCAAATCCATGGATCTGATCTGGTATCAGTAACCATCGGATACTGCTCTTCCCTTTGTCTTCTACATGCTCGAACGCAAACCTCTCATCGTCCAAGATGAGTTCTCCTTTCCCCGGTCCTGGCTTCTCCTGACCCACCACATCAGTCAACAGCGGCTCCGGTCGTCCCGCCAATCTATTAGCCATAGCCCACTTGAAAAGGAGTTAGTAAGTTCTGAGCCGTCTGTGGATAGGAGATGTCCCGTTTTATGAGTATGCAAGTAGAGAAATGAACCTCGATTCAGGTACGTACAGTTTCATGTGCGAGTTGATCCAGTTCTACCCCGATAAAGAAGATGTGCGGAGGCAGGGTGTTTCGAGGAGCGAAGTACGGCGAGAGCAGAGGATCTGTTAGATTGATGCCTGGTTCGATATAGCTCCAGAGGAAGAATGGTGATAACTTTGCCAGGTAATCAGTCGGCGCAGAGCGCATACCCGGGCCAAGGCCAGGCTTGTAGTATCGCGTCTTGAGCTTAATTTCCGGGCGAATAGCCTTGTCTACGACGGCATATATTGGTACAGCAGCCGAGGGTTTGACCTTTTCTCGGATCGAGGGTAACTGGCATACGCTAAGTGTCAAACTCCCACCCGCCGAGAAGCCGCCGATCGCTATACGGGTCTTGTCGATGGGAAGGCTGTCATCGTCGAGAGTGGCTAGGATGAGGGCTTCGAGATCGTAGGTTGCGGTCGGGAAAGGATAAGACGGGGCTTTACGGTAGTTGAGCGCGACTACAAGCACATTGTGCATATTTGCAAATTGAGCGTTCCACGCATCGTCATCGTTTGATCGGCCGAAACAGAACCCGCCACCGTGTATGGTATATATAGTTGGGAGAGGCGTCTTGGATGAATGGGGGTCGTACGACTTAGGGAAAAAGACCCTGAATATGCGGAAAGGTATCTCATTAGATCTCATTACCTGGTAGGTAGGTAACTACCTATAGGTACATAAGGAACTATCGTGATCAAGACGGCCGTACCTGATTGGCAAATATGGGCGACACGAGTATTTCTTTACATAGTTCGGAGGGATTTCTGGAGGATGAGCCCAGTCTTGGAACCAAGCTGCCGGCTCCCTTAATATTTGAATTGCGTAAACGACGACGCCTCGATAGACTCGAGAAAGAATTGGAAGGCGAGGTTGCTGAAGGACGCGAACGTCCAACTTGCTGGCTTCGTTCGCCATAATTATCAGTCGCCTTTCTTGAGCGGCTTTGGTACCGGAGTAAGGCAAGAGAGGTAGATTCTGTGTAAAGGCTACTCTAGATTGTTGCGCATATATCTGTATCGTATTGGAGTCATATTGTTCGTATCTTACCAAGTCTAAGATAAATCCATAGAATCGGGTTGAGCCGAATCAGGTAGATTCAAATCGTTTAGGCACATCTACCTGGTACCTTAGGTAGGTAGGTTAGGTACCTACCTAAGGTAGGCATCTAGCCTTACGCCAATAGAAGACGTGGCCTTCTGCAACTCTATATTGTATTGTGTTGTGTTGTATTGTACGTGGCTGCGTGGTGCGTGGGCTGTGGTTGGTATCTGATAAGTGTTCTAGGCGCAAATGGCGTATCCTCGGTTCAAGGGTTAGGTAATATTTTGGGGGTGTTGTCGATAGCTGGGGGGGGGGGGGGGGCCCCCCGGGGGCGGGGGGGGGGGGGGGGGGGGGGGGGGGGGGGGGGGGGGCGGGTGGAGGGGGGGGGGGGGGGGGGAAAAAAAAAAAC